GAATTTTCTTTCGATTCGAATCGGCCAATTCGAAATTCGAAACTTCGAATTGGTATTTCGATTCGAATTTTCTTTCGATTCGAATCGGCCAATTCGAAATTCGAAACTTCGAATTCGTATTTCGATTCGAATTTACTTTCGATTCGAATTTTGCACTACACCTCTATTAAAAACATTTAAAAACTTTTTTGCAAAAGCAAGGAAGATTTTTTTTTATTAAAACAAATTTCATTTTCAATTTAAAAAGGGATTTTAAAAAAACAATTTTTCTTTGTTTTAAACAAATTTTTTCTGGGTGCAGAGTTAAAAAGGTGTTATTTAAATGACTTGCAATGCAAAGAAAATAGAAAGGTTATTTTAATAACGAATTTGGTGTTAAAATAACAAGCAACAACCCTTACAACAAAAGGATATCTTTAGGATATCCTCAGGATGTCCTGTATAAATGTAAGATATCCCGAGAAAGTAAATTCGAATCAAACTAGCCAATTCGAAAATCGGAGTTTCGAATTGTACAACTCAACTCGGTTAATTTATTCGCACAATTATTTTGACAAAAATCCTAACCTAAAATTAGAAGGATGGTATTTTTAAATCCATTATAGTTTACAATATTCAGTTTTACAAAATTTCAAATATTCCTAAATTCTTCAATGAAATAAATATTAAAATATAAAAACTTAGAATAATATTTACAAAGTTCAATTAAATTTATTCAAAATTCAATTATTTTTAAAAATTCACGCTATATTGCTTTTGATATTTAATTGTTAATCTAAAATTTTAATTGAATTGAATGTTTCTTAAAATTCAATTCCCATAAAGAATCGTTATCAACAAATTGTAATAAAATTTTTGAGAATAGTGACATTTTTCGAGAAATACGATTAAAATTTTATAAAAAATAATTGAAATTCTGCAATGAGTTTTATTATTTATGAAAATAATTGAATTCCTAAAAGAATTTTATTTTTTATAAAAATAATTGATTCCCTGTAAAAATGTTATTTATACGAGAATATTTTATTTTCTGCAAAGGATTTTATTATTTTAAGTAACAACACAAATATTGAATTTCTGTAAAGTATTTTATCATTCATGAAAATAATTGAATTTTTAAAAAAAATTTTATTCAAATTTATAACAATAATTAAATGCCTTGCAGAAATTTTGTTAATGAGTTGAATAATAATTGAATTACTGCGAAGCCTTTTATTAAAATTCGGACAATAATTAAATTCTTTTCAAAATTTCAATTAAAATAGTATTAGAAAAGAAATAGTAATAGTAAAGAATTTTATTAAAATTTAAAAAAAATTGAATTCCTAAGAAGAATTTTATTAAAATGTTTAAAATGGAGAAATTTTATTATTTATGAAAATAATTAAATTTTGGATAAATTTTATCAATTTTTTCTGAATAATTGAATTTCTTTGCGAAATTTTATTAAAATATATTTTTATTTCTTGTATTAGCGAATTTAAAGTAGTGCAAATTCTCAAAAAAAAAAAGAAATAGTAGCTTCGAGTTGCTGAAATCTAAAAAAAAGTACTTAAATATATAGTACCATAACGTAAAAAAAGTAGTAAATAGTTGGTTTATACTTATTTTTTATTTATTTTAGTTTATTAACTTTTGAATTTAAAAATCTTTAATTTTCAATTTTTAGAAGATTATTTCTTAAAAATAATTAATAGGGTAGAGTGGGGCAAACCGGACCCCCTAACGGTTTTTTGACTCTTGTGACCAAACGAATCAACTGATTTCACTTTTCGATGGCTTGTTTGAATGATCATTTAATTGCGCAACTTTTTCCCAGAGACACATATACCTTATCTTTTATTGTTAAGTTGCTGTGTTAACTTTAAAAAATTTTGCAAACGGTCCGGTTTGCCCCACCCCCTGGGGTAAACCGGACCGTTTGGTTTTTTATTTATAATATTGCATTTACATAATCTACAATAATAAAAAAACATAAAGAATCATGTAAACAATGGTTGTGAATAAAATTTTGTGATAAAGGGAGTTAGTAGAAGTTAGTAAATTAACTCTCTTCTAGAGTTGATTTTTAACTCAAAAAATTTCACTCCCAACTCCCGAGTCCGTTAACTCCATAAATTTTTTACAGTGTAGGGATATCTTATAGCTGTCCTTGGTATATCTAGAGGATATTCACAGGATATCCTAGGGATATAATAAAAATATCGCTAGAATGCCCTGAGATTATTTTTACAACGTTTATAGTCAATGGGAAAAAATATTTACGTTATTTACTTATATTTTAAATATATTATAGATATTCAGAGATATTTTATTAACTTATTCAATTTACTAGTAAAATTCTATGCGCGCATTAATGATTTAAGAAATTACTACGGGTGCAATCTGCCACCTGACTTTCACAGAAAAAGATTGATAAATTTAATTTATATTGTACCATTTATAATAGTTATGATTTTTTAAAAAATCTCGGTATTAAATTAAATTGTTTATTCAATTAAATTATCATTTTCATGCCTTAGAAACAATTTTTTCTTTTGATAATTGTAAATTTTAATGTATGAAGTAATTAAAAAAAATTGCAAGAGGATCCAAGGTAGGAAAAACACTATATTTGAAATTTTTTTCCAGGATCTTACAAAAATTTTAGAAATTTTAACTAAATTAATATTCCCTCGCCTCCGAAGTAATTTTTATCTTTTCATAATTGTTTATTTTTATGTTAGACGGCATTTAAAAAAAACTGGGCAAGTGCGAATTTCACTTGCACTGAAATAGCGGGTTCCGTACACTAATATTTTGATCATTTGGTACAATAGTACATTGCACAACTAGTGGCGAAAGTGTGGAATTTATAAAAATGAAAACAAATATAAAAAATTGAGATAGGAGGTTGGCTTAACTTGATATTATCTAATGTTCCCAAGTAGAAATGTCCGGAGTTAGGACGGAGTTAAACACCGACATGGTACTGACTCAGTACTGACCGTCGGTACTGACTTTCGGAACCCGATCAGTACTGGGAGTATACTGACTCCAAAACCGAATCAGTACTATGTCGGAGTTAGAAAAGTTCTAAAATCAGTACTGGCAGAAAACTGGCTTAACACTAAATCAGTACTGCGAAGGAGTTAAAAAAACAATCAAAATTTGTTATAATGTAATTAAACATTAAACATCGTTTGATTTATTAACAATTAAAATATTTGCAAAGATTTGTAAAAACATTATTCATCAACAATAATATCAAACATTTTATTAATTTATTATTAACTAATAGATATATTTTAATAATATAATAATAAATTATTATTAATTAATTATTTTTAGAATTATTACGTATTATTAATAATAAAAAAAAAAATTTTATTTTTTAAAGCTGTATATATATTTTTATTTATTTATTTAACAAAAATTTTTCTTAAATAAATTTTTTTTTATTATTATTTTAATAAATAATTAGATTATAAATAATAAATAAATAATTATATTAATAATTTTTACCATATTATTATGATGTATCTATTAATTACTACATAATGACTTGATAAAATGTATATAAAGATATATGTATAATAATTTTTCTTGAAATAAATATAATATGCAGTGGATTTATTATTAAAGCACTGTATATATCGGTCCCACAATTCAAAAGGAAGTTTATGCGAGATAACTCCCGAGCTTGCGTGGCTATGCGGTATGTGTATTCGACTTGCGTCCTCGAGGTCTAGGGTTCGGTCCCCCGTGCGTGCGATATTTTTCCGTCTTAGTTTTAAGTGTTTTGTGTATAATTCTTAACAGTGTTACATAAAGTATAAGTTTAAATAATTAATAACCAGTAATAATAATAATTTAGTCATTAATTTAAATAAATAAGATTTAAATAAATAATGAAAAAATAAGAAAAATATTTTTTTAAAACTTATTTTAATAAAAGGAATTCTAATAATTAATAATAATTAATACTAATAATAATTATTAGTATTCAATAAATTACTCCCCATGCTTTAATAATTAAATAAGGAGCTTATACTGACCGCCGGTAAAAATCAGTACTGGACAGCGTTACCAGCCAGGGTTTTCCCAGTACTGACTTAGTACTGGAGTCAGTACTGCAATACTGGCAGTCAGTACAAGATCAGTACTATGCCAGTATTACATTTCTACTTGGGTTAAGTTGAAAATAATCATACGATTTTTTCCCGGACACAATTAATTTAAATTCGACAAGCGGTAAATTCAAAACACAGGAATAACCCTATGAGTGCGGTTAAAGTGGTTATTCTACACTTCTAAAGCCGAAAACTTTTGTTTGCCCTCGCAACTTTAATTATTTTTCAAAAGGATTAATGGGATTTGTTACGGATAAAAAACGGTAAATTCTTGCGCAAGAAATTCTGCGAAATATATTGATTTAACAGTTTCAAGGGGGTGCCCTGCTAACTTGACATCAAGTTAGCAGGGCACCCTGTATAAAAAAAAATATTTAAACGACAAAATTATTTCTTTCACAATTAATTAGCGATTAATTAACGGCAAATTATAGTATTGTTCATTTTTGAATTTTGTGAAGTTGCACTGCTAACTTGATATACATTCAAAAATCTACGTTCTTTAAGACGATTTCTAATTAAATTAATTAAAAATTGAAATTCTACAAAATTTCAAATTAAAATCTTTTGAAATTCATCTGTACATATGAAAATTGTAAACGCAACTCTTTTAAAATTCAATTAATTTTGAAATAATTATGTAAGATTAGATTTCAAGAATAAACTTTAGAAAATAACAATTTTCCAGGATTTCGATCAAAATTCCCTGACTTTTCCAGGTTTTTTTTAAGGTTTATAAAATTCCCCGACATTTCCAGGTTTTCAGGTTGCGTGGCAACCCTGAAAAGGGGTTTCTGAAAAGTTTAACGCTTTTTTGTATTATAAAATAGTTTAAACAGGTTTGATATTTGAATTTTTAAAGATTAAGATTTCTATTCTTATTTACAGGTCGCCAAAAGTACTGGTATCGCTAAACATATTGTAAGATTTACATCCACAATATGTGTCCAGGATTCTGGACCGGCTCACGCCACGACACAAAAACTCTTTCAACCGTTAAAAGACAGACTGCAAGGTTGGACCGTACAGTTGACGGATGGCTCCATATCAGTAGAATCGGTGTTAGTCAAAGTTGAAGGCGATGATGAAAATCAAAAAAGTGTTTATGTATCCTGGACAAATGAAGACGAGGATCTTGGAAGTTATATTCTCGATTTTCTTCAAACTTTGTTGAGTTAATCATAGACATATAATGTAAATATGTAGAAAGAAAACTGTATGTTTTTCCTTTCTTTATTTGTGATGTAAAAACTCGGAAAACTGACTCAAGTCACTATATAATTTATTTTTTTAAGACTTTTATAATTCAAAATAAAAGTAGGTAATAATTAAAATTTTCATGGGATTTTATTTTAAAATCATGGATGTCGTGATTATTTTTCACCTATATATATGGGAATCGTGAAATTTTTGCAAGAAGAAAATTAAGAAACACCTAAAATTGAAGTATTCGGAAATAAGTTAAAAATTTTATTTCTGTTTTGTTGGAAATTGATTTTCTTATTTTTACAATATTATACCCTTTCAATCTCTCGTCGCTTTCAATCGTCTTCGACTGTGATTACGCGCTAATGCATGAACAATAGTTATGCAAAAGTAGATTATCATCAAAATAACGAACTTATCAAACAACCATGATATAAGTGTTGATCCTTCCTGTAAATAAAAAAAAGAAATTCTATAAATATCAGTTTAATAAATTCAAGTACATAGAGAATTCTACGTTTTTTTTTTGTCAACAAATTTTTAAATAATTGAATTTTTTCGACGCATTTTGATATAATTTTTAAAAATAACTGAATTCTTTTGAGAAATTCGATTAAAATTGTTTTTGAAAATAATTGAAATTCTGCGATGAGTTTTATTATTAGTAAAAATAATTGAATCCTTAAAAAGAATTTTATTACTCTTCAAAATAATTGAATTTCTGCAATGATTTGTAACTTCTCCAAAATTCAATTTTTTTTCTAGTGTTTTTTAACTAAAATTCTTCTATAAATCCATTATTTTTTAGTAATTTTCAAAAAAAAGTTCTTTGAGAATTTTCAAATTTATTTGTTTACAATTCAATTTTACTAAATTTCAATTATTCAAAAATTCCTCAATTAAATATATTATTAGAAAATAAAAACTACAAATAATCAACAAAAATTCAATTAAACTTTTTCAAAAAAATTAATTCTACACAGAATTGTTAGATAAAAAAATGCAAAATTAAGATTTTCAAAGATTTTAATTTGAAACCTTTTAGAAATTTAATTCTTTCTATAAAAATTCACGTCATAATGCTTTTAATATTTAGTTGTAATCTAAAATTTTAACTGAAATTTAGTTTTAAAACAATTTTTATTAGAATATTCTACGAGAATTCAATTGTTTAACGAATACAAAAATGAATAATTTTATTAATTTAGTGTTTCTTAAAATTAAATTCTCATAAAAATTTTATCAGCAAATGTTTATACAATTTTTCGAGAAATTCGATTATAATTGGATTAAAAATAATTGAAATTCTACAATGAGTTTTATTATTTTATGAAAATAATTGAATTACTAAAAAGAATTTTATTATTTACGAAAATAATTGAATAAAAATTTTATTAATTGTGAAAATAATTGAATTATTGCGAAGAAATTTATAAACAAAATTTGTAAATAATTGAATTATTGCAAAGAAATTTATAAAAAAATTTGTAAATAATTGAATTCCTGTAAAATTTTTTATTATTTATGAAAATAATTGAATGTTTGCGTAGAATTTTATTCAATTTTTGTAAATTTTAGAACATAATTGGATTTCTGCGATGAATTATATTTCTTTTTGAAGATAATTGAATTCTTGAGACGAATTTTATTAAAATTCCTTTTTAAATAATTCAATTCTTTTGTCAAATTTTATTGAAATAGTAGACATTGAAAATAATTGAATATTGACAAATTTTTGAAATTAATTAAATTTCTACGAAGAATGTTATTAATGTTATTATTATTTTGAAAAAAAATTCAATTTTTACAAAGAATTTCACTCTAAAAATTATTAGATACTCAAAAAAATGTTCTTTTAAATTTATTTACAAATTTCTTCAAAAGTAAAATTATTCGAAAACATCAATAGCTTTTCTTAAAATAAATATTTAATCATTTTTTTCCATTGGAATTAAGATGTTCAAAAATTTCAAATTCAAACCTTTTCAAATTGAACAACTCATAAGAATATTATTATAAAACATAAAGATGACCGACTGACAAAATCATTATTTTATTATTATAAATATATTGTTACTGTAATTTCTTCAAAATTATTTGTATCATTTCAATTCAATTAACATTTTCTAGAATTTTTAACTAAAATTCTACTTTAAATCAATTATTATTATTCAATTGAACTTTTTCAAAAACATTAATTCTACAGAATTTTTAGTTAAAAGTACGAAAAATAATAATTTAATTCTACGAGAAATCAATTATTTAAATACAAAAATAAATAATATTGAATGTTTCTTAAAATTTCATTTTTACGAATAATTGTATTAACAACTTTTGAAAATATTTAATTTCTTTTAAGGAATTTAATAAAAATTTTAATGAAATTTATTGGTATATCAAAGAATTTTATAACAATTTTTGAAAATAATTGAAAATTTTTTGAAGAATTTTATTCAATTTTTTAAAAATAATTGAATTCCTGAGAAGAATTTAAATAATAATTTTTGAAAACAAATTCATGAGAAGAATTTTATTAAAATTTTTGAAAATAATTGACTTCTTGAGAAGAATTTTAAAAAAATTTTTGACAATAATTTAATTCTTGAGAAGAATTTCCCAATCTATTTATAAAGATAATTTAATTCTTATGAGAATTTTTAAAAAATTTTTAAATAATTTAATTTCTGCAAAGTATTAAATTACTTTTCAAAAGAATTGAATTGTTGTGATGAATTTTCAAATTTATCGCAAAATAATTGAATTTTGGAAAAGAATTTTATTGAAATTCCTTAGAATAATTGATTTTATGGGAAGAATTTATGCGATTTTGTTGTTTATCAAGCTAATTAAATTCTTTTGCAACATTACTTAAAATTTTTTTAAAAACAATTGATTTTCTGCGACGAATTAAATGTTATTTATGAAAATATTTGAATTATTGCAACGAATTTTATTGTTATATTGAATAATTGAATGTTTCTTAAAATTGAATTCTTTCCTCAAGTTTTAATAAAATTTTTAATAATAATTGCATTTTTCAAGGAATTTATTTAAAATTGTATTAAAAATATTTGAAATTCTGCGATGAAAATAATTGAATTCGTAAATGAAATTTTATTATTTATGAAAATAATTGAATCTTTTCGTAGAATTGTATCAAACAGTTTTTTCTATAATTAAATCTGTTGATAAATTTTATGAAAATAGTAAATATTGAAAATTATTGCATTGCAAAAAACTTTTCAAAGTAATTGAACTTTTGCAAAGATTTTTATAAATTTTTGAAAATAATTGAATTTTTGGCGAAAAATTTTGCTATTTGTAAAAATAATTGAATTCTTGACGAGATATTCGTGAAAATTTTTAAAAATAATTGAATTTCTTCGAAGAATTTCATTATTTTTGAAAATAATTGAATTCTTTGGATGAATATTGTAATTTATGAAAATAATTGAATTTTGTAAAGAATTTTATTAAAATTCGTAAAAATTATTGAATTTCTGTGAAGAATTTTGTTATTCATCAAGATAATTGCATTAAATCTTTTGTAATAATTAAATAATGTGAAAAAAATCAGGTTGTGTGGTAACCCTGCTAAAATAGAGAAATATTTAAGAATGAGGATTTTAGAAATATGACATACCGATGAGGTTTTACTGTGTAAATTTCGTTTCTGTTCCGTTAGGTATTTTCTAAATGGTTCTTGAAAATTCTCCCCAACAAAAGGCACAGTAGCGAGGAAATTGATTACTTTGTCAACAAGTTCTTCATTGAACGCTATAATTACAGCTAATTGTTGTATATGCATTTTTATAACTGCTTTACCAATAAGCGTTGCTCCAAAAAATGTCCAAAATGGAATAAGATAATGACCACAAGTAAGTCCAGCAAGATCAAATAAAGGATTTGGAATCTAAAAGCAGAACAGTTCTAAGATAAAAAATATTTCCAGAGAGATAAAGTAAAAAAATAATTAAGTTTAAAAAGTTGAATAGGAACTTAAAGATTCAATTACTTACCGATGCACACGCTAATATGCCCCAGAATCCAGCTTTGTGGACAAAATTTTTCATAGCTAATTTAAAACGTAATACAAAAGAGACATTTCCTCCATTTTCAATGGTCTCTAACATTTCTAATTCTTTCAGATCATCTTGATCACAGTCTTGATTTTTACTAGTGAAACGACTCTTTCGAGCGGCTTTTGCCATAAAATAAGGGGGTAATTCTCCTAAAGCAGTACCAGCACCCCACAGCATTGCTTCAACGCGAACTTTTTTCATAATACTTAAAATTCCCACAGAAGTCATTGTATCTATTACAGATGGACAGATTATTTTATCTGGATAAGGTGGTTCTGGAAAATTAAGTCCTCCACATTCATAAGCAGCCATTGTCACAGCAGCAATGTGTGGTCCAAGATATAATACAAATGTATGTAAACCGGTCCCTAAACCCACACTTGATAGGACTCCAAGTCCAATCCAATACAGCCATCTTTTTATATTATTTTCTAAATCCCTAAATGTCTGCAAAAAAAAGCACAAATATTTAACATAATTCGAGAATAATCACAGGATTGCTCCAAGAAAATTTTATTTTATTTTTCCCTAATTTGTAATTTCCTGACAACATTTTTTTTACTATTTTCCTGACCCTAAAGAATATTCTGATTCACTCTCAAAATAATTACATTCATTTATGTGAATTTCTTTAATTTTTTTTTTTTTTTTTATTTTATTTTTAATTTTTTTTTTTTTTTTATTTTTTTTTATCATATTTTGCAACGATATTACCGGGAGAGGTCAGTTTTACAGGAAAATTGAATTTTACCGACTAAAATTAATCACTAAATATGCATAAAATAAAATGGGAATTAAATAGAAACTAACCTGTTGTTGAGGTCCAGAAATCCTACTGAGTAACAGACACGTTAACATAATTAGTGCAAAACTTAAAACTATTTTATAATGTCTTAAAGTTTTCTTGCATAAACTTCCACAGTCAATTAATAACTCTCTTAAAAAGTAATTGATGGTCGTAATAGGATGATGCCATAATGTTAAACTGTCAGAATCTAAATTATTATTGTCCATATACTTTGGGTTAGGTATTGAGTGATTTTCGAATGTAGAAAAGTCAGATTTTTTACTTGGATTAACTTTTTCTCCATATGTGGAAACTGGAATGGAATTTTTACTCCGCCTTGAGGTACCTTTATTTTTTATCATATTTACGGCAGTGAATATTATCTGAAATGCAAAAAAAAAGAAAATATTTTTAATTAATGTTTCAGAACAAATGGAGAATTATACCTACATGTTATAAATGAATTTAACTCTTAAAGTTAGATTTTCCTCTATCAATCAAAAAACATTTCTTTTATTCTGCTGAATACAGTTAATGAATTAAATATATTTTTGTTTGAAAAAAAATCAATTATTTTCAATTTAATTTTACAAAATTTCAATTATTGAAACTCTTTTTTATTGTAAATTTTTTAAATTTATTTAGTAATTTATAACTTAGAATGTTTTCAGGACCTTAGTAATTTATAAAAATAGTTGAATTGTTTCGAAGAAATTATTAAAAATTTTAGGAAATAATTGAATTTTATGGAAATATTTGAAAATATTTGAATTCTTCCGAGAAATTCAATTAAATATGTTTTGAAAATAATTGAATTCCTGCAAAGAATTTGACTATTTATAAAAATAATTGAATTTTTGCGAAGAATTTTAACATTTATCAAAATAATTGAATTGTTTCGAAGGATTTATTATGATCTTAGAAAATAATTGAATTTATTCGAAATATGTTAAATTTTTTTAAAAAAATTAAATTCTTCCGAGGAATTTAATTTCAATTATTTTCAAAATTTGCAATTAATATTCTTCAAATGTTGAAATTCAAAAATTTTTATAAAACACTTTAAAAAAATCAATTATTTTCAATTAAATTTTACAAAATTTCAATTATTTATTGAAACTCTTTTCAATTGTAAATTTCGAAAATAAGTTGCATTTTATTCTAAAAATTATTGCAATTTTCGGAAGAAAAGTCGAAAAAGTCGTAATTTTTGAAAATAAGTCGAAAAAAGTGGTATTTTTTGAAAATAGTCGAAAAAAGTCGAAAATGTTATAATATCCAAAGCCTGTTTTTTTTTAAATAATTTTAATTGAAAATTTAAAATTATAAAAATTTAGGAGAAGTTCAATAATCATAATTATTGAATAATAATAAAATAATATAATTTTTAAAAGCTATAAATTGATTTAAAACTTTATAAGAGGGACTTTATATTTAAAAAATAAAATTATAATTGCATTGATTAACTTCCTTTGATTATTTTCAAAAAATTTAAATAGAGTTCTTTAAAATAATTCAATTATTTGTAATAAAATTTAAAAAAATTTCAATTATTTCAAATTTTTTAAATGATTTGTTTATAAAAATTCAATTATCTTGAAAGAATAGAATTTTAAAAAAGTTTTAAACATAATTGAATTTCTGCGAAGAATTTTATTATACTTTTGAAAATAATTGAATTATTTTTTTTAGAATTTTGTGGAAATTTATTTATGAAAATAATTTAATTCTTGTGAAGAATATTTTTTAAATATAATATTCAAAAGAACTTAGTACCTAAATCTGAAGAATTTTGCTACTTATAGAAATAATTGAATTCTTGAGAAGAATTTTTTTTTACATAGTTTCTAGAAATAATTGAATTCTTTCGACGAAGAGAATATATATAATAGAATGTAAAGAAATTTCAATTATTTCAAACATTTTCAATTATTTGTTTATAAAAATTCAATTATCTCGAAACAAATAGAATTGAAAAATTTCAAAAATTTTATTTTTCTGAATTTTCAAAAAAATTTTGCGAAATTTTTCTAAAACTTCAATTTGAAACTTATTAAAATTCAAACTATATTAATATTAGTAATATTAATTTAACATTCTAAATAATAGAAATAGTTGCTTATGAATAATTGTAAAAAAAACGAATTGATACTAATGAAAAATACAGTTTTTAAAAAATTTATATTCTAAGAAAAGAAATTTTATTTATTTTTATTTTTTATTTATACTTTATTTATTATTTAAAAATTAATTTTTATAAATTTCGTATTACTTTTGTTCTAATTAGTTCAAATTTTTACTAATTCAAATTTGTTTTGTTATAATATTATTGCAAAAAAAAATTCACAAAAAGTGACATTTCGTAAAAATGACGAAACTCAAGATGTCGAAAGTTTTGGTCACTATTATTGCAAAATACCAAAATGTTATCTGAATTTGCCTAAATTTTGTTATTCGGGGGTTTTTGGGGTCGCTAATTACGAATTCTATGTTAGTTTTCAAAAATTCAAAATGGCCGATTCAATATGGCGGAAAATTTTTAAATTTATTCAATTTACACATCTTCTATACAACTTGTGAGTAACTCAAACACCATTTATTTTGAATAATAAAATGTATACATAAATAAAATGTGATTAAGACATTAAAATTTTGAGTTTGTAAGAGAAAATAATAAAAATGAAATGAAAAAAAATACCTGAGTCTAGAAAGAATAAAAGAATCAAATGGCATCTCCTCCTATTTGCAATAAGGAAAATAATATACCAGCTGTGTTGCTTATTATCGTTCAATCTGTTGTGTGAAATTCCAACATCGTTTTATAAACTTAAAATTCGTGTACTAATTATTCAATGGAAGGAAGGTGAGAAAAATGTAAATAATTCGTTTTTAATAAATACTATTGTACATGGTCCTTTGATTCCTGAACCTAAAAGTAAAAAAAATAATATTTGTATATCAATTTTAAATTTCTTTCTTTAATCACTTTTGAATAATTTTAAAAAAACTATTTAAACATGCAACACTGGATTAAAAAAATGTCGTGTTTATTTAAAAATTATTTTACTTATTGAAAGTTTTTTCATTTTTCGTCCATATTAATAACCGGAGATATTAAACTTTTAAAAATCTAAAATTTTCGGAAAATAAGAGTTTTTTAAAAAAATTTTTGTTAAGAAATGTAGGAGTAACTTTAAAAGTCGCATAACCAACTTGTAGAGCATCAAAAACGCTTCGATTGAACTATTTTTGAAACTAATTCGAATAGAAATTACGAAATTATTGGTATTTTAATTTTTAAAAAACCAAAAATTGTACAGAAAGTCATAATTAAAATATTTTTTTTTAAAACGTGGAGGTAATTTTTAATGTCTTATAAATAACTTGTAGAAATTAAAAAATTCAATTATGTTCAAAAATTTTTAAAAATTCTGGTCAAAATTTCAATTATTTTTAGAAATAATTAAATTCTTCTCCGAAATTCAATTATTTTTAAAAATTTTAATAAAATTCTTGGCAAAATTTCAATTATTTTCAAAAAATTTCCTCAATTCAATGATTTTAAATAGGTATCTATTATTTTAATAAAATTTTCCAAAAGAATTTAATTATTAAAAAAAAAAAATAATAAAATTCTACACAAACCTATAATTATTTTCACAAAATCATAAAAATTTTATAGAAATTCAATTATTTACAAATTTTGCATAAATTTCTTAGCCATAATTCAATTATTTTCATAAATAATAAAATTTATGGCAGAATTTTGATTATTTTCAATAAAATTTTATTTGAATTCCTCGAAAAATGTAATTATTCATAAAAATTTTATTCACATTCATCAAAAGAATTCAATTGTTTAAAAATTTGTTGATAAAATTCTTTATGAGAATTTATTCTAAAGAAGTAATCAATTATTCAATAAATTATTTATTTTTGTATTTAAATAATTGAATTCTCGTAGAATTTTCTAATCAAAACTAATTTGAAAATTAATTTTTTTTTAAATTTTAGATAATTAAATATTGAAAGCATTGGAGAATGAATTTTTAGAAAAAATTGAATTTTGCAAAGGTTTTAAATTAAAATCTTGGAAAATCTGAATTTTTCATACTTTTCAACTAACAATTCTGTAGAATTAATTTTTGTTAAAAAAGTTCTCGTCAAAATTTCAATTATTATCTTTTTAAATAATAAAATTCTTCAAAAATTTTAATAAAATTCTTGTCAAAATTTCAATAATCTTTAGAAATAATTGAATTCTTCTCCGAAATTCAATTATTATCAAAAATTTTAATAAATTTCTTGGCAAAATTTCAATTATTTTTAAAAATTTTCTAATTCTTATAAAGAATTTACCAATTTAAAAAAAAAAATAATTGAATTTCTGAGAAGAATTTTATTATTTGTGAAAAAAATTGAATTCTTGCGAAGAATTTTATTTAATTTTTTTTAAATAATTGAAGTCATGTGAAAAATTTTATTATCTATGAAAAAGTTGAATTGTGAAGAATTAATGGAAGAATAAAAGAAGTTATTAACGTTTTTTTTTAAATAATTGAATTTCTGAGAAGAATTTTATTATAAGTAGAAAAATAATTGAATTTTGGCGAAGAAATAAAATTTAATTTTTTTTTTAATAATTGAATTCTCGTAAAAAATTTTATTATTTGGAATAATAATTTAATTCTTGTGAAGAATTTTATTAAAATTTTTTTTAAAGTAAATGAATTCTTGTGAAGCATTATAACATTATAAGAAATAAAAAAAATATTTATTTACAAAAATTTTTAATTCTCTTATCGTCATTGTGGGCCCCGTAATATACCATATATTCATACACTCCTGGATTTAAAATACAATGTTACAATTCCCCTCTTGTCATCTCACTTTTCCCCTCTTATTTACAAAATAGTCAATTAAGAAGAGAGTCGAACTTCCTATAATCGGGGTCTTATTGTAGTACTAAATCTCATAAAATAAAAAAATATAAAATCACATTTCGTCTTATTTTTTACATAAATATTGAATAATTCCACTTTAAAAAAAAAACTCTAAAAATAGAGTTTGTTTATATATACATTTATTTAAAATAAAATATGTAATTTTACCTTTATAAAAATTTGTTTTATCATTAATTTCTAGAGATTATTTTCACACAAAGTAGCAATCACTAATTAGATTAAAACATTTTAATATTAACCACAATAAACAAAGAATAACACATTATAAACAAAAAAAAATAAAATTTTCCTTTCATCTAAAAAAAACACGTCATTGTAATGTTTATTTAAATATGTGCACATACGATAAAACTACATTCAATCATGAACGAAATAGAAAATACGATTAGAACAATGTATCATAAATGTATGGAACTTGATTCAATTAGAAATATAGATCAGGTGATCAGATGAAACATTTTTATTATCTACAATATTTGTCTTACGATTAAGATGATGAAACAATTATGTCAATTGTTACAAACAAAATAGTATATCCATACATCAAATTTCAAGCACAAAGAAAATTAGGAAAAAATAATTTATAAAAGAAACTTTTTAAATTTTGAAGTAATATTTATAAAAAAAGCATTGTTATCAATGCTAAATTATTTTGAAATTGTTTCAATATTAAATAAAAACAAGAACATTGTAATTGACTTGTATCAAGAATGCTATAATTATCACGTATTAATAAAGATTCTAAATATTATATTAATAATCAAATGTATTTGAAAGAAAGAATAATGATTAATGTTTAACATTTAATAGTATAAAAAACTTACATTAAATTCCTTCTGATTCAAACTGGAACAACGTGTCACTCACTCAAAATGATATTTTATTATTTATATGTAACTCTTCAATCCATGACTAAGTTATCCGAAGATAGGCCGACGCATAATCAAATTGTAAAATTCGCCTTGGGATAAAAGAAGACAGAAGGTGTGTTCTTGTCCTTTTCTTTCTCATGAAAAAGCTCACGAATTACGATTTATAATTGGCACAATAATCACATTATTTTCATGAAGTTTCATAACGTCACTTTTGAATCTCTGATTGAGGGTTAATTTCCTATAATTTAATTATAATTTGACACTTGTTCACACAGAGTTTGGAAGTGTTAGGGTGCGTTCATACCAATATACTTTCAAAACAATTTTTTTACGCGTTCACACCTTTCACACTTAGCTATAAAGGTGTTTTTACAATAGTTTGCAAATACATTAAAGGTCAATGCACAAGGCTCGAACAAGTGAAAGTATTTAAAAACACGGACTACGGACCGAAAATGAAAAATTCGGACCTACGGACAAAAATATAATAGTCCGACTTCCGAGTCAAATAAGAAAACAATTTTAAACTTAAGGTGCTTCTATACCTCCGGTGGATTGGTCAAGCAATCGGCTTGATGAATTTTCACGGTCGGAAAATGTACTTTCATGGCGGGTATTTTTGAAAAAGTAAATGTTGAAAAGGTTTTTACTTGAAAATTTATTTAAAAATATGATTTTATCATAGAAATTATTTTGAAAGTAATGTTAAAAAACATGTTTTATTTTAAAAGTTATCAAATTTTAATTCAAAATGTTTTAATTTTCCAAAGAAGTGTAAAAAGCCTAATGTTTTTGAAATGCTAGTACCAGGAAGGAAGAGTAAGGAGACCGAACTCTGTGTAGAAAGCGCTTTAAAAATCTCAGAGAAATATGCACGAAAAGTGCCAGGCTCACTGCGTTCTAGTCGACCTCCAATTAAGTTGATCATGCGCATAAGCTGTGTTGTGTCTCTGTTTCTCGTAAAAATTGTGCGAGTGAGATGTAAGATCTAATGTTTACATTTAGCCGGTCTTAGTGAGATACATACATAATTATACAATACATTTCGTTTTAATAATTATTTATTTATTTTATTTAAAAAATGTCGTGTTGTCTGCCAGGATGTAAAGAAAGAAAAAGAGTGTAAAAACATTAGTCTCTTCTATCCTTCTACGGTATGTAAATATACTCTAGTTATAAACACAATTCTTCTTAACCATTTTCGCAAAATTTTTCCCTTTTCATGAATATATTATTAAATTATTTTGAAAATCTAAATAATATCACAATTGCAAATAAATAAATTTGCTTTTAAAATTAACACTGTTTAAACTATGTAATATTTACCTTGACATAACCACACTTTTCATCTATGTCAACAGTCAACACTGAACTTTAGTTCAATGCGCATGATCGACTTAATTGGTGATCAACTAGAACACGGTGAGTCTGGCACTTTTCGTGCATATTTCTCTGACATTTGTAGAAGCAGAGTTCGGTCTCCTTACTCTTCCTTCCTGGGCAATCTACATTAAAGGAGTAGGTCAAGCTAGGTCTCTTTTTCTGCTTCAAAACAGTGAGTCAGAAGTGGCATAAATCTGAAGGCGAACCTAATATGCGTTCAATATCCCTTTTTTCATTCTGCGCAACCCACATGTTTTTTAATAAGAAATAAGATTGAAGTTTCTTTATTATTACATATATTACACAAAAAATACAAATAATATTTTAACAAATTGTCATTTTTTATTATTAAAAAGATAACAAAATGACAGAATTTAGTAAGTTTTATAAATTACTTTGAAAAAAACATTAATCTTTATGATATATAAGTGTAAATAATTATAATTATAATTATAAAAAATTGTATTTTAATAATATACTATGTATTAAGTTTAAAGTTGTTTAATAAATTCAACGTTTTGAATTTTAAAAAACTAAGTTCAAATTCGTAATCAACGACACCAAAAACCCCTTGATTTCATACCGAAATCCGTTAATTTTCTAAATTTTCGTCCGCCATATTGGATCCGCCATTTTGAATTTTGAAATTCAATTATTTTCAAAAGTAATAAAATTCCTCGCAGAAATTCAATTATTTTCAAAAATAATAAAACTCGATGCAAAATTTCAATTATTTTTAATACAATTTTAATCGAATTCCAAAATTTTATTAAAATTCACGTTGGAAGCCAGATTTCAATCGAATAGCCGCAGCGCCATCAATGAATCTGGAGGAAATTTTAACTCCTTCATGGCTGCAACGATAACCCTAAGTTTGTTAACCGTTCCCTTACTATATATTTTCCATTTTCAATTACACAACTCTGCTCCCCTCTGCTTCGAGCATCTTCGACTTTTGTCGTTCTTCAAACCGATATTCTCGGCTCAAGTTGGTTGTTGGCTCACAAAGTCACCACAAAGTCTGTTTAGAGAGTAGGAAAAGAAAAAGGAAAGGAGAATGATATACATGCAGTCCTCTTGAACATATATATATATTTAAAAATCTAATCAGTGACAAATAAAAACACGCAGACCACACGTTCTCATGCTTTCTTGCTAGAAGGACCGGTTTGTCATTTATCCCTTTAAAAAAAATTCGTTGTAGAAACAAAACCCAAATTTTGTTTTGTCTATATGTAAATTTTTGTTCATCATAAAAATTCTCTATTATAAGAAACTCCAGTTCCATTCTGATTTCTAATTTCTTTTTTAAGAATCTATGTAATATAGATATAAACACATTATTTTCCATTCATACAATCATCTTTAAATTTGTCAATTTTCTGTGCATAATGACAAATAAATTGACCTTGGACGATGTAAGTAGTACGCGCGCGTTTGAAAATTCGACGTGTCAGTGAAATTAAAAGAGAAAAAAATCGTTCATGTTTAATTTTTTTCAGTTTCCAATTTTAAATAGGATATCCAGTGTGAAATATAGAGACAAAGATGTCGTACTTAGGAAAATAAACAACATTATTCGTGATGGACCTGAAAAATTACAGGTTTGTAGGAAAAGTTTACTTTATTTTTAAATCACTTGTTAAAATTGAATTTGGCGAATATCATATTTAGAATTTTATATTATCTATATATAAATGTTTGCTAGTGACGAAGGCGCTAATGACAGTTTATTGCAAAATTTACACTGTATTTTTGTCGCACTATACATTTATAGAGACAGTGATAGTTTCAAAGACAATTAGCAAGAGGTCGTTGTTGTCAAATTTAAAAAAAAAATTAACTAATAAAAATTTTAATTATTAATCTTCGCACTAATAAAAATGACTACATTAGAATGTGATTCTTTATAAAATTCAATTATTTATCAATTATTAAATTAAAATACTTTGAAAATTCGATTTGTTAAAAAGTTTTTAATGAAATAAATTCTTTAACAAATTTAATTATTTTCAGTTGAATTTCACAAAATTTCTAAATTTTTTTAAAATTTATTTACAATACTATATTATTTGAATCAGTGACTGATTTTTTACTATATCAAATTAATTATTTTTAACTAATTCAAATTTAGAGAACAGTTAGGGATTTTTTATTAAAAGTACTGGTAAAAATTAAATTTTTAGAATTCATAAGAAAATTCTGAATTTTTGTTGTATTTTTTTGTTTGACTAATAAACTATGAAACTACCACAAATTTTAATACAAAACCTTGAAAAAATTTTTTTCTATTTCTGCAAAAATGAATTTTTTAATATATTTATTATTTAATTATTTCAAAAGTTTTCACGCAATTATCTTGATAAATAAAAAATTCTTCTCAGATATTCAATTATTTTTAAGAATTTTTAATAAAATCCTTTATAAAATTTAATAATTATTTGCAGAAATAACAATATTCATCACAAGCATTCAATTATTTTCAAAAGTAATAAAAAATATTTCGAAGAAATTCAATTATTTTTTATTTTCAAAAATTTTAACGAATATCTCGTCAAGAATTCAATTATCTTTATAAAAATTTCTAGTTATTCTTGAAGAAAGTAACATTTTTAAAGAAAAATATATTTTTTTTTTTGTAATTTAAAGCCTTTAAAATGGAAAGTCTCTCAACTACTTTACATTCGTTAAGTAATAAATATTGCGGTTTTTACAAAAAATATCCTTTGCGTTATAAAAAAAATGTTATAATCGAATAAAATATTTCTAACATTGTTTATTAAAAATTGCCCTCGAGAAATCAAAGCGCAATTTTCTTTTATTATTATTAAAAGAAAAATTTAAATACATTATTCTTATTCAGCATTTTTTTTTATGAATTTACAAATAAATAAAAAAGTATATAAATACTTTTTATCTTTCTGTAAATTTTTATCTTTCGTATTATTATTCCAAAATAAAAAATAACGCTTTCGATAGATAATTATCGGGAAAAAAAATAATCCACGTTAATTTATTTAAAAATACAAACAAAGGAAAATAATATTTATTTTTAATTTTTTTCCATCATTTCCAGCTTTTTCCAGCATAATAACATTATGCTTTATTATTTAAATCTAAAATCATTTGCACAAGAAAAAGGTAACTCAAGTTTAGTTTATCAATTTTATAAAATATGCACGTTGGTGAAGTTCACAAGAATTATAATAATTTTCAAAGAAATATTTTTCTATTCAAAAAAAAATTTATATTGTTTCTTCATCAACAACTTCGTTGGCTTAAAATATAATTGTATTTTAATAAAAAAAAAAATTTATTTGTCTTACAATTTTTGTTATTTAAACGTTGTGAACTTCACCCTCGTAAATTATAGAAATATAAAATTTTATTATAATAAACTCAAATGTATTTTTGAATCCTATATAAAGAAGTAATTTACTTTTAGGTTGTCACGGATTTTGATTTAACTCTGACGAAGCAACACGTTGATGGGAAAGCTCATTTGAGCAGTTTTGGTAATTACAGAATTTTTATTTTTTAAATTTCCACCCACCCCCCCCCCCTCTTCCAAAAAATAAATTTGAAAACTTTTTAGTATAGTTTATTAATATTATTTATTATTATATTTGATTATAATAATTATCTTTATGTTTTATAATAATATTTTTATGTTATTGAATTTGAAATTTTTGAAAGTCTTAATTTCTATGAAAAAAAATAATAATTATTAAATATTTATTTAAAAATGAAGTTTTTGATATTTTCGAATAATTTAACAATTAAAGAAATTCGTAAAACAATTTTTTGTGTATTTAAAATCATTTTGCGAGTGGCAACCCTGGAAAGTTAGAAAAATTAAATAAAATTTTAGATTTTTTTATTGTCAATACCAGTTAAGATTGAGAATTACAAATTTTTTCTTTCTTTTCAAAGATTCTACTTTGTAATATCATAAATATAATATAGGTATTAGGTATTATTTTCAGATACTCAATTATGTAAAGTTGACTTCGAAAAGCAAATAAAAACTGGTATTTTTGTGGTTAATATTCAACCGCGATAGATGACCGCACTTTTTTTACCTCAAGGTTTTTCTAATTAATTCTCTAATTTATATTCATTCTTTTTCAAAACAAAACGAAATAACAATTTTTTTGGTTTTTTTTTTTTGAAAATTATTTTTAATTAGTAATTTATTTTTTATGCCTCCAACATTTTTATTTATTATTACAATATTAAAGAAAGTACTCAAAAAAAAACATTATAAAGAAATTTGTGAAATTTACACAAAACTTTGACCTTCACATTTATGTAACTTGATTAATAGCACTAGTATTTAATGCGTTCTCAGTTTCTCGATATCAGCGATTTGATAATATTTATTGTATGTACGCGACTATTTTCATCCTTAATAATAAACTACGGGAAAATTGCAACAGTAAAAAACAGAATAATGATTATCAATAATTATAACTATATCGCTATAGATTAATCGTTTATTTTTGAATATAAAAGAATATGTATTTTTAAACATGTAATTTTCTTTTTCCAATGAAATGATAATTTAGTTTTTCTTTTGGGTAAATTGAAAATTTATTATAGAAGGAAAATTATTTATTATTTTAATTTTTTAACTTACTTATCTTGGAAATGAGTTTATAAAACATACATTTAAAAAATATTTTTATCTCAACTTAGTTTCTACCAAAAGCAAAAAAAAAAAAAAAAGGTGTTCATCATAACCCCAATTTTTCTTAATTTTAGATTGTTGTATGCTGAGTATTTTTAACCATTGCTTTAAAAGAAAAAAAAAAACCTGTCATGTAGAATTTGTTTTCAAAACAGTGCGTTACTGCATTTTCAAAAATTTTTATTTTTAGAAAAGTGACCAAATAAATTAAAATTTTATTTTTGACTATAGTTAACAATAGTTAAATATATATCACAAAAATTCAATTCAATTAAATTATTTTTATTATCTACTATTAAAAAAAAAAAATGTTAGTAAAATTCCAGGCAAATATTTAATTATTTTCATAAAATAATGAAAATTTTACAAGAATTCAATATTATTTATAAATTTCGTCACATTAATTCAATTATTTTCATAAATAATAAAATTTTTGCAGGGATTCAATTATATTCGTAAAAAATAAAATTGTTTTTAGGAATTCAATTTATTCTTTTCATCTCTAGGAATTTACATATTTTAAAACACAATTTTCATAACATTTTTAGAAATTAAATCAATTATTTAAAAGGATTATAATAAAATTGTTCACTAGAATTCAATTATTTAAAAAAATAATAATAAAGTTCTTCGTAAGAATTAAATGAGTTTTGATGATTTTATTAAAATTCGTTGTAAGAACTCAATTATTTTAAAAAATTTTAATAAAATTCTTTGTATCAATTCAATTATATTAAAAAATTTTGATAAAATTCAAGGCAAAAATTTCCATTATTTTCAAAAAATTTTCCTCACTTCAGTGATTTTCACTATCTGTTTTAATAAAATTTTCCGAAAAAAATTAATTATTTAAACAAAATTTAATAAAATTCTACGCAAACCTTTAATTATTTTCATAAAATAATAAAAATTTCACAGGAACTCAATTATTTGAAAAATTTTTTATAAATTTCTTTGCAACCATTGAATTATTTTCATGAACAATAAAATATTTACAGGGATTCAATAATTTTCGTAAATAATAAAATGAAATTATTCTCAAAAATTTTATTAAAATTCTTCGAAAGAATTCAATTATTTAAAAATTTGTTGATAAAATTCTTAATGGGAATTTAATTTTAAGAAACATTCATTTATTTAATAAATTTTTTTTTGTATTCAAATAATTAAATTCTATAGTAAAATTTTCTAATAAAAATTGATTTAAAAATTCTCAAAGAACTTCGCAAAAATTAAATATTGTTCAAAAATAATAAAATTCTTCTTAGCGATTCAATTATTTTCACAAATAATAAAACTTATCGCAGAATTTCAATTATTTTAAAAACAATTTTAATCGAATGCCTCGAAAAATGTAGGTAATTATTCTTAAAATTTTTTACTAAAATTCGTCGAATGATTTCAATTATTTAAAAAATTTGTTGATAAAATTCTTTATGAAAATTCTATTTGAAGAAACATTCAATTATCTAACAAATTATTTTTGTATTTAAATAATTGAATTCTAGTAGAATTTTTTTTAATAAAAATTGATCCAAAAACGAATTTCAGTTCAAATTTTACATAATAATTGAATATTAATAGCAATATAGCGTTAATTTTTAGAAATAATAAAATTCTTTTTAGAAATTCAATTATTTCCATAAATAACAAAAATCATTGCGGAATTTAAATTATTTTTAATAGAATTTTAATTAAACTCTTCAAATAATGTAATTATTTTTAAAAAATTTATTAAAATTCGTCGAAAGAATTCAATTTTATTTAAAAATTTATGGATAAAATTCTTTATGAGAATTCAATTTTAAGAAAGATTCAATTATTCAATAAACTATTTATTTTTGCATTTAAATAATTGAATTCTAGTATAGAAGAATTTTATCAAAAAATTTGATAATAGAATTCCTTCAAAGAATTTTATTATTTAGGAAAATAATTGAATTCTTACGAAGAATTTTACTAGTTATGAAAATAATTGAATTGTTCCGAAAAATTCATTAAAATTTTAGAATATTAAATTAATTTTATGTTAATATATTAGAAAATTTAAATACTTTTGAGGAATTCTATTAAAATTGTTTTGAAAAGAATTGAATTTTTGCAAAGGATTTTACTACATTTATAAAAATAATTGAATTATTGCGAAGAATTTTACTAATTTATTAAAATAATTAAAATGTTTCGAAGAATTTATTAAAATTTTAAGAAATAATTAAATTGTTATGAAGAATTTTATAGAAATATCTAAAAAATAAAATGAAATTTTTTCGAGAAATTCAATTAAAGTTGTTTCGAAAAGTAATTGAATTTCTTTAAAGAATTTTATTAAAATTAATTATATTCAAATTAATTGAATTCATTACAAGAATTTTATTATGTTTTGAAAATAATGGGACGCATGATTATTCCCCAAATGTCATTTTTCCGAAATGTCATTTTACCGAACTGCACTTTTGCGAATAGTCATTTTTGCAAAAAGCCAATTTTGCGAAATGTCACTTTTGTGAATTGTCATTTTTACGAAAATCTATTTTTGCGAATTGTCATTTTTGCGAATCACAATTTTTACGAATTGTCAATTTTCCGAAAAGTCATTTTTGCGAATCGCCATTTTTACGATTTGTCAATTTTTCGAAAACTCATTTTTGCGAATTGTCATTTTTACGAAAAGACATTTTAGTGAAATGTCATTTTTGCGAAAAGCCATTTTTGCGAAAAGTCATTTTTACGAATTGCCATTTTTGCGAATTGTCATCTTTAAGAAATGTCACTTTTGCGAATTGTTACTTTTGCGAATCGCCATTTTTACGAATTGACATTTTTACGAATTGTTATTTTTGCGAAAAGCTATTTTTGCGAATTGTCATTTTTGCGAATCGATATTTTTACGAATTGTCAATTTTCCGAAAAGTCATTTTTGCGAATCGCCATTTTTACGAATTGTCAATTTTCCGAAAAGTCATTTTTGCGAATTGTCATTTTTGCGAAAAATACAATAGTGAATTTATAGATACCTACAAGTTTCTATTGTATTTTTCGCAAAAATGACAATTCGCAAAAATGACTTTTCGGAAATTTGACAATTCGTAAAAATGGCGATTCGCAAAAATGACTTTTCGGAAAATTTGCAATTCGCAAAAATGGCAATTAGTAAAAATGACTATTCGCAAAAATGGCTTTTCGCAAAAATGACATTTCACAAAAATGTCTTTTCGTAAAAATGACAATTCGCAAAAATGAGTTTTCGAAAAATTGACAAATCGCAAAAGTGACAATTCGCAAAAATGACATTTCTAAAAAATGCCAATTGTTGTCGGTATATTAAATAAACGTAAACACCAGCAAATACACAGTAAAGAGATTTATTAAAGAAAAGTAATTATCGTCAAGGGACTTCTATACTTTACAAGGCGTAGCCATGAACTGGCGATTGTTGTCACACGGAAGTAACTAGTGTCCTCTATATTAAGAGTTTGATTCGCGTAGTGCTTTAAATTAAAATATTCCGACACCAATTCGCAAAAATGTCAATTCGCAAAAATGACTAATCGTAAAAATGACATTTCAGAAAAATCTCTTTTCGCAAAAATGACATCACAAAAATGTCTTTTCGTAAAAATGACAATTCGCAAAAATGACTTTTCGGAAAATTGACAATTCGTAAAAATGTCGAATCGCAAAAATAACTTTTCGGAAAATTGACAATTCGTAAAAATTGCGATTCGAAAAAATGACAATTCGCAAAAGTGACATTTCGCAAAATTGGCTTTTCGCAAAATTGACTATTCGCAAAAGTGCAGTTCGGTAAAATGACATTTCGGAAAAATGACATTTGGGGAATAATGACGCGCCCCGAAAATAATTGAATTCTTTCAATTTTTTTTTTGACGAATATATATATTTAAAAATTGCATTGAAGGTAATTTAATTTTTATATCGAATTTTTTTAAAATATTCCGAGAATAATTGAATTATTTTTTAGAGAATTTTAAATTCTTTTTGATATTGAATTTTTGAAAATAATCAAATTCTTTCGTGTAATTTTATTTAAATTGGATTTAAAATAATTTAATTCCAACAAAGAATTTTAGTATTTATAAAAAATAGTTGAATTTGTTTCGAAGAATTTATTAATTAAAATTTTAGGAAATAATTGAAATTTATGGAAATATTTTTAAAATATTTAAATTCATCCAAGGAATTGAATTAAAATTGTTTTTGTAAATAATATTGAATTCCTGCAAAGAATTTTACTATTTTTTAAATTAGGTGAATTCTTGCGAAGAATTTCACTATTTATAAAAATAATTAAATTTTTTCGATAAGGATTTATTAAAATTGAAATGCAATTTATATTCATTAAATTAAAAACAAAATTGAATTTCAGGAATCTTCGCAAAATGCAAACAACTCCCTCCACAGTACGCGGAAATGGACACGCGAACCCATAAAAAATATAGACCAATAGAGACGGATCCGCATATTTCAATTAAGGATAAGACAGCAGCCATGGAGGAGTGGATGGAGATAAGCGAAGAATTCTTAAAGGGTTACGAATTTGATTCCTCTGAATTGGAGCAGGTTGCGGAAAAATATGGAACCGATTTACGTGAAGGAACAAAGAATTTAATGGATAAATTAAATTCAGCTAAAATTCCAGTTTTGGTATTTAGCGCCGGTCTTGGTGATGTTGTCGAGGCAATTTTAAGACATAATAACGTACTTCTGGATAATGTGGAGATTATTTCAAATTTTCTCAATTATTCGGGAAAAACATTAGACGGTTTCAAAGGGAAGAAGATTCACGTTTTTAATAAAAATGAAACCGTTTTAGAAAAAGAACATTTAAAACGATTGGAAAATAGGAAAAATATCATATTAATGGGAGACAGTGTCGGTGATACGACAATGTGCAACGGGATCAAAGATGTTGACAATGTCTTTAAAATAGGCTTTCTTTATCACGAAAATAATGAAATTGTGGAAAAGAGTTTAAAAGATTATATGGACGTTTTTGATGTTGTTCTCATTGACGATCAAACAATGGATTTACCGTGGTCTATACTCAAACGAATTATCTAATTTTTAAATGCGAAATTATCTCCCTCCTCCTACTCTATGTTTATAATTCTCCTTAATTTTGAAATTGTTTATTATTTCAAACACCGAAATTTAAAAATTCAAATTATTTAAAGCGATTCATTGATATACGATTTTAATAAGTTTTTTCTTCTTTTATTTCAAATTATTTTTTGAAACAAAATTTTTTAGTTTATATGCGAATTTTATAATTTGCAAGTACGCTTCAAATAATTGTCATTTTGTTTAGAAAAATAAGTTATCGATAAATGGTGATTTGTAAGAAAATAATTTTTTTTTAACAATTTACCATCACTGCCATAATGCGAGATTTGAAAAAAAAAGTCCACGAAAACAATTAAAATTTAACAAACGTAAAAAAATGGAAATTATTGCACATTTGCATAAAAGAAATGAAAGCTTCTCTTCTATTTGTTATTTAATTTTATTTCCCAATCTTTGAAGAAAATTTCCTACAAAGCTTGAAGAAATTTCGCACAAAATGAAAAAAAAAATGTTTGGAAATTATATCATTGATTTTCTCAGAGATAATAAATATATTTTGTGCAAAACAAAAAGCGTTGTTTTATTATTATTTTTTTTTTTTGCTCTCCGACTTTTGGTAAATTTGCGTATGTCTTTGGATTCTTCAAAATTATGTAATAGAATCGCAAACGAAAACAAAAAGTTTAATAAAATTGTAAAAAAAAAACAAATAGAATGAGAATTTAATGAAAAAATGTTTTCTTAACATTGTAAAAAGATATAAATAATAAATAAATTAGTTAATCTTTATAAGTTCGAGATTTTTTTTTATAAAACAAGGTTAATAAGAGGAAAATATTCGGACAATGATTAAAATATATATTTACTCCAACGTTTCGAAATTTAAATGATTTCCTCCGAAGGGAAAATCTATAAAAAAATATACAAAATTAAAATAATTTTTTTTTCTGAATTCAAATTATTTTCTCCAATTTTTAACAAAACTTAACTTCATCTCTGAATCAATTAATTTAAATAATTTTCCAAAAGTTCTTCTAGAATTCAATTATTTAAATACAAAAACTCAATTTTTTATGATAAATTGTAACTCTCCATAGTTTCTTCTTAAGTTATTTTTAAATAATTTTTGAAAGATAATAGTTTTTCAATTTTGAAAAATTCCCAAAGCAATTGAAATTTGGTTTTATCTTTTAAAAATAATTAAATTTTTGAAAAATATAAATAAAATAGATCAAATTTTTGAAGAATTTTATAATTATAAACAAGACCATGATTTCTGAAAAATCTTAATAAATCCAAAAAGTAAATTTTCTTAAATTTTTATTGACATTGTTCGAAGATAATTGAATTTTAAAAAAATTATTACACTAATAATTAGTTTTTAAAAATATATTTATGCAATTTTTTAAAAATAATTGAATTTCTGTATAATTTTTAAAAAGAAACTAATTAATTTTTTGATGAACTTTAATTGAAAAATTTTAAACATAATTTTTTTCACCAAAATATTTAAAAAATAATTCTAAAATATTATTATTTTTTTGTATATATTTGAATTTTCGTTGAAAATATTTATAAAATATTGAATTTTAAAAAACTAGAACATAATTTTCATTTTTAAATTTACATCTAAATATTTTTTATTAACATATTTTTGATAATTCAATTCTTTTCAAAATTTGCAATAAAAATTCTTCAAAAGTTGATTTTCAAAAATTGTAACAAAATACTTGAAAAAAAAAAATTAATTATTTTCAATTAAATTGTACAAAATTTGCATTATTCAAAAAGATTTTTATATATATTTGAAAAATTTAATTAACTTGAAAAATGATTTAAAAACAATTTTTGAAAGATTTGTTTTTAGTTATTTTTCGAATTATAAAAATTAAAATAAGTTGCACTTTTTTACTATAAAAATTGTGGTATTTGTTGCAATTTAATGTTTGGAAGAAAAGTCGTAAAATAGTCGCAAATTTTGAAAATAAGTCGAAAAAAGTGTCAATTTTCTTAATTTCCCTGATAAAAATTTCTTTTCCTAACTTTACTGACAAAAATTTTGTTTCCCTGACATTTCACATAATTTTTCTAATTTTGTTGATTAAATTAATTTAATAATTTTCACATAATATAAATCAAAGTACATCGCACTCGCTTATCAAGCTGAGTCCAGAATGAGAGAGGGTGCGCACCGATGTTCATATCTATAGATATACCACAGCATACTTTAGTATACCTATAGCTATGAACATCGATGCGCACCTCTCTCACATTGGAGACTCAACTTCAAACAAAAATAACTTTAAACCAGACCTATATTACTCATAGAAAATCAGTCTGCTCTTAGTGATGCCACTGAAACTAAAAGTTTGTGGTGGCGCCACTTTCGTTACTCTGTAACGAGCGACTATTATCTCGCTCGAATAATTTCGATATATCAACTATCGAAATAAACGCGCTAGAATTGAATTATTAATTATTAATTAATTTATAATTTTTAAATATTCTTCCCACAGTTTGAGGCAGAAATCTCTGAGACAGAAACAGGAAATCTTTTGTATGTTTGTCAATAGAATATTGTCACGGTTTAATAAATTCCAAACTTTTAGTTTTTATATTAACTACGAAGACATTTCTTAGAAATGTCGTAAATCAAGTAAAAGTTGGAAAAAGTAATCTCGAATTTCTTAAAGTCATAAAACCAAACCGTCAAGAGTTATACAAAAAATAAAACATCTCAAGTGCCCTTTTCCATAGGACAATAGAACATGTGTTCAACATGCTTGGAACCGCAGGATTGCAATGGACTAAGTAAAAGAGATGAGTCACAAAAGTCTAGTTGAATAAGGATCTAAAATATTTAATAATAAATAGTACAAATAGAATTGTTAATATAATAATAATGATAATAATAATAATTATTATTATTATTATTATTTCGAATAATCATTTAGTGCGAATGTATTATTTGGATAATCTAAAACTACGTTGACGTTTATGTAATTAAATACATTTCATCTATATGTATATTATTAATGTAATTACTATATTGTTTGAGTGTCGTATGAAATATTCAATTTAAGTAAATAGTACATAACATTTTATAGATGATTAATAATATTATATTATTTGAATGTAGAGTATATTGCATGAGTATAGAGATGATCTCTCTTGAATGTGTGTGTGAGTATAGTTTCAATGTAGTGCAGAAAAGTGTTGGTGCAACGATGCTGTATGCTACAGCCAGGAAGGAAGAGTAAGGAGACCGAACTCTGTGTAGAAAGCGCTTTAAAAATCTCAGAGAAATATGCACGAAAAGTGCCAGGCTCACTGCGTTCTAGTCGACCTCCAATTAAGTTGATCATGCGCATAAGCTGTGTTGTGTCTCTGTTTCTCGTAAAAATTGTGCGAGTGAGATGTAAGATCTAAAGGCGCGTATCCACTAGACGAAGCGAACACGAGCGCAACACGAATGACCGATATTTTCCTATTGTGTGTTCAGTTCGGCCCATGCTCCAAGTCGATCCACCAAATTTTCCCTGCAAAGTCGCATGGTTTAAACGTTCGACTAGCCACAAGAAAATATGTACTACATGTGTAGTTATTTTGAAGCATTCGCCACTATTTTTAAGTACATGTAGAAAAAAGGGTAGAAAAAAATTTGGGACCGTTCGGTTCGTGCTCGCAGCCGATCCATCCGTTGTCGGTTTATGACAATACCTCAAAGCAACAATAAAAGTGTGTCCCCAGTTTTCTATTTGCGAGTCCACTAGTAAACCTAAATTTCCCATAAACAAAAAAATTTATTTATTATTCAAAAAATAATTATCAGAAAAACTTTTGCTAATATTTTTCTTTGCAACTATTAAAAAATAACTCATTAAAAAAAGCAAAACAAAATACTAATTACCCTATTGAAAATCCCCATATGGGAAACCATATGGGAAACCACATGGGATCCTATGTCAAAAACCATGTAAAACCCTACTTCCATGAAGGAAACCACGTGGTTTACCATGTGGTTTCCCATGTCAAACCATATGGGAAATTGAGACAGGATTTTAGTTAGGAATAGACATGGGGAATTTGAACAGTTCATCCATGCATAAAACCATATCAAATCCCACATGTTTTTCCCAGTCAAATCCTAAACCGAATCCCATGTGAAAAACAGTATCATTTATTTATAATTATTTTCCCAAGTCAATCCCCAAGTGAAAAACAGTATCATTTATTTATAATGATTTTCCCATGTCAAATCCTAAACCAAATTCCATGTGAAAAACATTATCCGCCTTATTGAATATCCCTACATGGGAATCCACTTGGAATTTTACAAGGGATTTCACATAGGATTTTATATGGGAATTGACATAGGATTTCATGCAAGATTTCACTTAGGATTTAATATGAGATATCACATAGTATTTTATTAAAGATCCAATGAAGAAATTTTCAAAGGATTAAAAATTATTTAATAAAAAATTAAATAATATATAGTATTAGTGTTACAAGTCATCAAAAAAGTAAAAAAACGATAATTTGAAACACGTCCTCTCTGCTACAGGTTCTCAGCTTTTATATACTTCCAGAGTCGTCTCAACAGCAAGAGAAGTCACTTTCGCCACCTAGCGGTGAAAGTATAGGAGCGACAGTAATCTTTAACATTACTAAGGAAACCATGTGGAATACCATGTAGGATTCCATGTGGTTTCCTACGTGGGGATTTACATGGGATTTTACTTAGGAATTTAAGTAGAAATAAATTCCTAAATGAATTCCTGAGTAAAATCCCATGTAAATCCCCACGTAGGAAACCACATGGAATCCTACGTGGTATTCCACATGGTTTCCTTAGTAATGATAAAGATTACTGTCGCTCCTATACTTTCACCGCTAGGTGGCGAAAGTGACTTCTCTCGCTGTTGAGACGATTCTGGAAGTATATAAAAGCTGAGAACCTGTAGCAGAGAGGACATGTTTCAAATTATCGTTTTTTTACTTTTTTGATGACTTGTAACACTAATACTATATATTATTTAATTTTTTATTAAATAATTTTTAATCCTTTGAAAATTTCTTCATTGGATCTTTAATAAAATACTATGTGATGTCTCATTAAATCCTAGGTGAAATCTTGCATGAAATCCTATGTCAATTCCCATATAAAATCCTATATGTGAAATCCCTTGTAAAATTCCAAGTGGATTCCCATGTAGGGATATTCAATAAGGCGGATAATGTTTTTCACATGGGATTTGGTTTAGGATTTGACATGGGAATATAATTATAAATAAATGATACTGTTTTTCACTTGGGGATTGACTTAGGAAAATAATTATAAATAAATGATGCTGTTTTTCACATGGGATTTGGTTTAGGATTTGACATGGGAAAAACATGTGGGATTTGATACGGTTTTATGCATAGATGAACTGTTCAAATTCCCCATGTCTATTCCTAACTAAAATCCTGTCTCAATTTCCCATATGGTTTGACATGGGAAACCACATGGTAAACCACGTGGTTTCCTTCATGGAAGTAGGGTTTTACATGGTTTTTGACATAGGATCCCATGTGGTTTCCCATGTGGTTTCCCATATGGGGATTTTCAATAGGGTATTACAAAAAATTACTCATTTTAAATAAAGAAATCTTTGTAAATTAGTCGAATTTAACTAATTATATTAATAAACATTGAGTCGCCTTTAACTGATTCGAATTAAGGTAACATGTTATTATTAAAAATTAATTTTTACTTTAAAAAGTAATTAAGAGTATTAATCATATATATGATTATAATTAAATTAATCACCTGAAATTTTATTTATCTTTTACTATATGATAGTTAAAAATAATACTTTCTGAACTCTTTACTGATTTCTTACTAAAAATATACATATTTTCTAGATTAGGAAATAATTTATAAAAATGTAAACTTTTTTTTACAAATTTTTTATAAATGAATTAAAAAGTTCAAATGTTTCAATTTAGATTTTTAAATTTCCGAACTAAATCTTTATTAATTATCGGCGTCATTATTTTTTCATAGCCAATAAAAATTGTGAACATCAAATTTTTTAATTTATGACAGTAATAAAAAAGTGTCGAAAAACTTTCAAAAAAAAAATCATGAGTTGAGCCCTTTTCGAAGTTTCCCCTTTTTTTGCTTGTCCATTTACACATAAAAGAATTTTAAATTCTAACTTTTCTAAATCTTTATTCTTTAAATGTTCGCTGAACGTTTTGGTACGTCCCAACTGGGTAACGTTCGGTTCGTGTTGCGCTCGTGTTCGGTTCGTCTAGTGGATACGCGCCTTAATGTTTACATTTAGCCGGCCTTAGTGAGATACATACATATACAATACATTTCGTTTTAATAATTATTTATTTATTGTATTTAAAAAATGTCGTGTTGTGTGCCAGGATGTAAAGAAAGAAAAAGAGTCTAAAAACATTAGTCTCTTCTATCCTTCTACGGTATGTAAATATACTCTAGTTATAAACACAGTTCTTCTTAACCATTTTCGCAAAATTTTTCCCTTTTCATAAATATATTATTAAATTATTTTGAAAATCTAAATAATATCACAATTGCAAATAAATAAATTTGCTTTTAAAATTAACACTGTTTAAACTATGTAATATTTACCTTGACATAACCACACTTTTCATCTATGTCAACACTGAACTTTAGTTCAATGCGCATGATCGACTTAATTGGTGATCAACTAGAACACAGTGAGTCTGGCACTTTTCGTGCATATTTCTCAGACATTTGTAGAAGCAGAGTTCGGTCTCCTTACTCTTCCTTCCTGGCTAGTACAGACGGTACAGACTGTTTGTTATGAATGTACATAACCTAGCGTTGTGTTATCGTGCTTGTGATATTATTATATTCTAAATTTAATGATTTAATTATATTAAATAATAATGAACAGACAACACAACGCTAGGTTATGTACATTCATAACAAACAGTCTGTACCGTCTGTACTAGCATTTCAAAAACATTAGACTTTTTACACTTCTTTGGAAAATTAAAACATTTTGAATTAAAATTTGATAACTTTTAAAATAAAACATGTTTTTTAACATTACTTTCAAAATAATTTCTATGATAAAATCATATTTTTAAATAAATTTTCAAGTAAAAACCTTTTCAACATTTACTTTTTCAAAAATACCCGCCATGAAAGTACATTTTCCGACCGTGAAAATTCATCAAGCCGATTGCTTGACCAATCCACCGGAGGTATAGAAGCACCTTTAAATTTTTGATAATAAAATTATTATCATTCCGATTGCGATTCTGAAAATTCAAATTAAATGTTTTCTCTCTCTTTCTCTTCCTCTCGTGGTGCAAAGAGACTCACACCTCAGTGTGAATGCACCTTTATTTTTTACAATGTTTGTATTTATTTTGTATTTTTCACACAAATGTACGCGATTCTTCTGTTTTGCAATGTAATACAACCAGTAATTATTTATAAATTCGCAATTAATAAAAATGCCAAAAACTATAAATACCGAAAGTGAATGTAAAAAATCGCGTGAAATTATAAAAGCTCGTAAAAAAGTAAAGAAACAAACGCGATGTGCATATTCAAAGGAAAATTTATTATCAGCCGTACAAGAGGCTAAGAATGGAATGCCAATTGCGGAAATTGCAAGAAAATACAATGTACCAGAATCGACAATTCGTTCAAAAAGAGATAATAAATATGCTGATAAGAAACCAGGACCAGCAACTGTTCTTAGCACTGAGGAAGAAAATGAAATTGCACATTGGATTTTTCTTTGCTACCAAAGAGGATTTCCAATTGCTAAAAGTCAATTACTCGAAGCTGTTGAAGTAATTTGTCAAAAGATAAAAAGAGAAATTCCCTTTAGTAATGGAAGACCGGGTAGAGGATGGTTTACAGGTTTTCTAAGACGTCATCCTCAAATTTCAAAATCAGTCTTTGAAAATACATCGTTAGATAAGGCAAAAATCTCCGAAGAAAGTTTACAGGAATGGTTCGATCAAATATCGAAAAATATTTCTTCCATTAATCTTTTGACAATTGAACCGAATAGAATTTTCAGTTGTGAAGAAATTGGTAATAATGACAATAAACTAATCGTTTTTTTTTTTTTTTTTTTCTAAATCGATTGCACTTGTTTGCACAAAAATTTTGTTACAAAGTCTTTTTCAAAACATTATTTCTCAATGAAACTTTTGATTTTGTTTTTCTTCCATTTTTAATCAACTTTCAATTGTTTTTCAATAGTTTCTCATCTGATGTTTATTTAAAAAACGAGTGAAAGCTTTTTCTTAATTCTAAATTTTTATTACTTTTCATGAAAAATTTTAATTCTAACAAATTTTCAACGATTAAAATGAGACAAACTTCACCCAAAAATGAAATTTGTTAAATTTTTTAATATATAGGTATTTAATTAATTATTAAAAAAAATGAATTTATAGAAGAATTTTACTTCTAAAAAAATTGAATTTTTGAGAAGTTACAATGATTTCAAAAATTCAATTATTTTCAAATTTCAAAAATAATAAAAATTTTCGCAAAAATTCAATTATGTTAAAAAATTACAAAAAAAATTTTAGTCAAAAAATCCAATTATCTTTATAAATAATAAAATTTCTCGACAAAAATTCAATTATTTTCAAAAATTTATAAAAATCATTGCAAAAAGTTCAATAACTTTCAAAAATTTTTTGCAATTCAATAATTTTCAATATTTACTATTTTCATAAAATTAATAAACAAATTTAATTATAGAAAAAACTTTTTGATACAATTCTACGAAAAGATTCAATTATTTTCATAAATAATAGAATTTCATTTACGAATTCAATTATTTTCATAAATAATAAAATTTAATTTACGAATTCAATTATTTTCATTGCAAAATTTCAAATATTTTTAATACAATTTTAAATAAATTCTTTGAAAAATGCAATTATTATTAAAAAATTTATTAAAACTTGAGAAAAGAATTCAGTTTTAAGAAACATTCAATTTTTCAATAAAACAATAAAATTCGTTGCAATAATTCAAATATTTTTATGAATAACATTTAATTCGTCGTAGAAAATCAATTATTTTCAAAAAATTTTTAAGTAATTTTGCAAAAGAATTCAATTAGCTTGATAAACAAAAAAATCGCATAAATTCTTCCCATAAAATCATATTCTAAGGAATTTTAATAAAATTCTTTTCCAAAATTCATTTATTTTGATAAATATCAAAATTCATCACAACAATTCAATTCTTTTGAAAAATAATTAAATACTTTGCAGAAATTATTTAAAATTTTTTTAAAAATTCTCATAAGAATTAAATTATCTTTATAAATAGATTGGGAAATTCTTCTCAAGAATTAAATTATTGTCAAAGATTTTTTAAAAATTCTTCTCAAGAAGTCAATTATTTTCAAAAATTGTAATAAATTTCTTCTTATGAATTCAATTGTTTTAAAAAATTATTATTTAAATTCTTAACAGGAATTCAATTAATTTTAAAAATTTTCACGAATATCTCGTCAAGAATTCAATTATCTATACAAATAGCAAAATTTTTCGTCAAAAATTCAATTATTTTCAGAAATTTATAAAAATCTTTCCAAAAGTTCAATTACTTTCAAAAGTTTTTATTTCCATTCAATAATTTTCAATATTTACTATTTTCATCAAATTTATCAACAGATTTTATAGAAACAATTTTTTGATACAATTCTACGAAAAGATTCAATTATTTTCATAAATAATTAAACTTCATTTACGAATTCTATTATTTTCATCGCAGAATTTCAAATATTTTTAATACAACTTTAAATAAATTCCTTGAAAAATGCAATTATTATTAAAACTTGAGGAAAGAATTCAATTTTAAGAAACATTCAATTATTCAATAAAACAATAAAATTTGTTGCAATAATTCAAATATTTTCATAAATAACATTTAATTCGTCGCAGAAAATCAATTATTTTCAAAAATTTTTAAGTAATTTTGCAAAAGAATTCAATGTGCTTGATAAACAACAAAATCGCATAAATAATCAAATTTTTCGAAAGAATTCAATTATTTTAAAAAAATTTCTATAAAATTCTTGGCAAGAATTCAATTATTTTCATAAATAATAAAATTCTGCAAAAGAATTCAATTATCTTGATAAACAACAAAATTTTTTCCATAAAATCAATTATTCTAAGGAAATTTAAAAAAATTCTTTTCCAAAATTCAATTATTTTGATAAATATTAAAATTCAATTATTTTTTTTTTTTTGATGAATATCAAAATTCAATTATTTTGATAAATATAAAAATTCATCACAAGAATTCAATTCTTTTGAAAAGTAATAAAATACTTATTGCAGAAATTAACTTATTTTCAAAAATGTTAATAAAATTCTTCTCATGAATTCAATTGTTTTCAAAAATTGTTATTTAAATTCTTTTCAGGAATTCAATTATTTAAAAAAAATTTTAATAAAATTCTTCAAAAAGTTTTCAATTATTTTCAAAAATTGTTATAAAATTCTTTAATATAATAAATTTCATTCAAATTTTAATTAAATTCCTTAACAAAAATTAAATAGTTTCAAAAGTTGTTAATACAATTCTTCGTAAAAATTAAATTTTAAGAAACATTCAATATTATTTATTTTTGTATTTAAATAATTGATTTCTCGTAGAATTAAATTATTATTTTTCATACTTTTAACTAAAAATTCTGTAGAATTAATTTTTTTGAAAAAGTTCAATTATTGAATAATAATAATTGATTTTAAGTAGAATTTTAGTTAAAAATTCTAGAAAATGTTAAGTAAATTGAAATGATACATATAATTTTGAAGAAATTACAGTAACAATATTCTTATAATAACAAAATAATGATTTTGTCAGTCGGTCATCTTTATGTTTTATAATAAAAAATAATATTTTTATGAGTTGTTCAATTTGAAAAGGTTTGAATTTAAAATTTTTGAACATCTTAATTCCAATGAAAAAAAAATGATTAAATATTTATTTTAAATAAAACTATTGATGTTTTCGAATAATTTAACTTTTGAAGAAATTTGTAAATAAATTTAATAGAACATTTTTTTGAGTATCTAATAATTTTCCCTAAAATACTTTTTAGGGGCACTGTGAAGCCTGAATACTTTTAATTATTATTTTTTAAAAAATTTATTTCATTCAATTATAATTTATTACTGTTAATTAAAAATGTAATATCTATTAACAGGACTTGTGAATCCAAATTCTTCTTCCACGGTATTTTCGTCCAAGGGATCAAAAATTGTTCAAAAGACAACAATGTATAATAATCAGAAGAAAAATGTATCGATATTAATCGCAGGCAATGCAGCAGGTGACATTGCACCAACTTTCATCATCTTTACTGAAGGATCATTATCAAAAAAAAATTCACAAACAATATCATCTGAATTGACTGTCGATTATAGTGAAGATGGATCAATGACATCAGGAAATTTTTACAAATTCATTGTAAATGTATTTGACCCTTGGTTAACCAAAACAAAAGTGAAACGTCCAGTACTTTTATATATCGATAGCAATAAATTTCAATTGACATTGGATCTCAGTAAATTCTGCACAAAAAATGAAATTGAACTCATAGCATTGCATTCAGATGTGACGGAAGTTCTAAATCCCCTATGTGTATCGTTCATCCATATTTTCGAAGCTGAAAGAATAAAGGCGAACAGCATTATTACTGAAGATTCTCCAAGAAAGGATATAACAACCGAGCAATTTGTTTCGAATCTCAAGCAAACGTTTGACACTCTTAATGTAAAGGAACTTTTACCAAATTGTTTTATGGAATCTGGATTGTATCCTAACGTCAACTTTACAGATTACAACGAGGTTTCAAATCACAATGAAAATACAATTGATAATGAAATGGAGGACAATGCTGAATACGCAAATAATTGGGAACGTTTACAATGTTTAGAAAGTCTGATAAGTAATGATAAACTTGAAACTTTCAGACTAAATGAAAGTCCAGAATGGAAAGGTGAAAGAAGGGATGAGAGTCTTTTTGAAATTTGGTACAAATTGTCTAATTCTTGTACTGAGATAGTACATGAGGCAAATAGAAAGGTAATTACTTTTTTAAAATTTAATATTATTGTGTATTATTTTTTTTAACTAAATTTTAATTTTTATCAGATTATAGATCCACAAAGTGATTGTGAAGATGTTAAACCCATGGATTTGGAGTTTGTGAAAATTGAAAATGACGATGAATCCAATGATGTGCTTGTCTAAATTAGATTTAAGTTATGAACTATTTTTTAATACAGAGAGTTTGCAGAAACGACTGAACTGTATAAATTATTTAATATAATAAATTATAACAATTTGTTACAAAATTTCTTTGTTTTTTCTATTAATACCCACCGATTTCAGAATTTTTGCTATAATGCTTCTCGGCGAAAAATTAAACTTATTCTGTTACGTTTCCTGACGTGACAATGGAATATCGGGTTAAATAAATCAAACTAAATAATTTTTCAGACCAAAAAATTCATTATTAGGTATAGTAAATTTTTTAAATCCAAATTTCATTATAATTTATGTTTTTAAAAAAATGTAATTTTTTGAGATCATTAAAATTAAAATATAAAGGACGAAAATGATAAATATATATGTATATAATATATTGTATATAATTAATAATTTTTTAACGATTACAAAACTTAATATAAATTATTAGATAGAAGCAGTTCATCAATTACGTTACACATAATGCGATCTTTAACATTGCATGCGTCAAATCCATTCTGATCGGATCCTGTTGTATCCATAGATTCCATAATGTCGGTATTTATTCCGAGTTTCGAATCTAACTCAGACATATCGGGCAATATTTGTAAAGCGTGGCTCAATATTTCCTGAACCTGTAAAATAGTTAAAATTTACTTATTTAGATTAATTTTATAATTCTTAAATTTCTATACATATGTATTTTATTTAGTGCCAAGAATATAAAATTTAGATTTTTGTTTCGTGTATTATTTTTATTCAAGATGTTTTCTAAATGTCATAAAATAGAACTTACTTTATCAAGATGTTTCTCGAAGCGCTCTTTTGTTTCGATTCTCTGTCTTTTTTGTACTTCCATCATAACTCTTAAGGTTTCACGCGCCTGATGTGGTCGAAATTCATTTAATAAGTGATGAATGTGTATAAATAGTAAACTTAAGTCTTCAACCTGTAAAAAAATGATACATGTTAAGTCTAATAGTAACTGCCTCTTTCCTTATGATATAAAATAAACTTTTCAGAAATTTCATGAATAATTTTTATTCTCATGTTAGTTTTTCTGAATACAGACCTCGGATCAACTTTAAAGTGTAAAAAAAGTCGCTTTAGTCGATTTAAAATAGAAAAAAGTCGAAAAAGTCGTTTATTTAATTCAGTGTCGTCACAAAAATTTTATTTTTTATTCTTCTCATCTTTCACTGATTTCTAAATTTAATTATTTGAAACTTGAATAATTTCGTTAAATAAATATTTAAATACTTCTTGTTTGATTTTATACGGGAATAAAATTTTAAAAATCTATTTAAAACCTTCTGAAATTTAATAACTTCTAAAATACTTTTAAAAATAATTGAATTCCTGTGAAATGTTTATTATTTCTGAAAATAATTAAATTTATTCTATAATGCTTTTAATATTCAATTATTATTATCTAAAATTTTAACTAAAACTCATTTTTAAAAATCAATTTTTATGAAAAAATTCTACGATCATTCAATTATTTAAATACAAAAATAAATTATTGAAGGTTTCTTAAAATTAAATTCTCATAAAGAATTTTATCAACAATAAAATTTTTAATAAATTCATTCAACGAATTTTAATAAAATTTTTCGAGGAATTCGATTAAAATTGTATTCAAACTAATTGAAATTTTGCTGAGTTTTATTATTAATCAAAATAATTGAATTCCTGAAAAGAATTTTATTATTTATATAAAAAATTTTCTAATTTATGAAAATAATGGAATTATTGCGAAGAAATTTATTTTAAAAAAATTGTATTACCTTTTCTGCTCTTCGAGGACTATCCGGACATTGCACTAAAAGATCAATTAAATCCAAAAAGTTGACAAGCAGAGAATGATTGAGTTTCCTCAATTCCCGTCGCCTGTCGAAATGTTGAGGGTAGAGCCTTTTAATTCCCTGAGTCTCAAGTGGTCTGATTATGGTATCATCCATATTAAAGTTATTTCCAAACATCATGTAAGTGTCGTGAATTGGTGGCGGAGGACGAGGTGTTCTTCCTCGTCGAACATTCTCGTCAGTATATAAACTAACATACTGACTCGGTGGCATTGGCAAAGAACTTACCTGAATTGCTTCTGGCGTTGACATTTTCTTTAGAAAAAAAAATTATCACTTACTTTTATAGAGAAAACACTAAAGCTATTTAATTAGTCTAGAGCATCACTTTTTTTTTTTATTTAAAAAACGTTTCTTTTGAGAAGCACAATGGTGATTCTTAAACACTTTGTAAAGTTTTTACTTTTAAAAAGTTGGGACTTTTTAGGGGAAAAAGTGAAATTTAGTGTAAATATAAAATAGTAAACAGTGGGAAATCAATACTAAAACATTGTTCAGAAGAGAGCAGTAGAAATTTCGTAAACAAGTAGAGAATGATCATGAATAATTTAATTACTAGAGATGGACAGTGACATTAGGAAATAAATCATTATGGTATTTCTACAATTTGTTTGATGTTAAATTTGGGTACGACTACAGTTTTGTAGATGACATCCTTAGGCGACGTTCACAATGGTCTATTCTGCTAAACGCAAAACGCAACGTTCGAACGGTTCGAACGCAGCGCCAACAGTGGCAGTGGCAATAATTAAACATCAGTGGAATTTTAGAGCACAAATGCCACTCCCTTAGCGTTACTAGGTACGCTAGGTACTTTTGCATTTCATAACCCTTTTTGTGTTCGCGGTGTTCGCCCAAACAATGTCAGATAAACTACAAAATTAATGTTATTTGTAAAATGTAAAAAAAGAAAATATATTTCCTGAAATGTAGCCCAGTGAATAGTAAACCTTTTACTAATACAATACCAAGGTAAGCTTTTTGAATACATTAAATGTTTTAGATTTTAAAAACCCGACAATTAATATCGTGTAAAACGTGTAAAATGCATTTAGATGAAATTAGGCGTAGGTTTGTGCATGAATAGTTTTTAATTTTTAAATATGCTTTGAAGCCATTTTTTATATCAAAATATTTGAATTCCAAAAAGCAAGAGTTATTGATTTTTTAAAGTAGTTACTAGTGTTTTGGCTAGCTGCTTTGCAAAAAGCCATTAAATAAAAAAAAGTAGTTACTAACATTTCAAGGAGTGCGGAGAAAGAGACATTAAATATAAAATAATTACTTTTACACTAAAAGTACAAATATTACGTCCTAACGTCAACTGATATTTCAGGATATCTGAAAGGTATCGGGGTAGGATGTCCACGGATATCCTGGGAATATTCTTATTTCCCCTGACTAACGGTTATCCCTAGAGCATCCACAGATTAATCTGGATAATAATATTATCCTGAATAGTGCCTGAATATCTCAAAACTGTTTTGACGCTATAGATAAAGGTTTTGCAACAAATAATCAATATCACAGGCTGACAAAATTTTGTTGACTTTTTGAACAGTAATATAAAATAACTAGCTGCCATACCCGTCTTCGACGTTGTTCTTAGTACCATTTATAGTTTTCCATATTGAGTATTGACCGGTATTCAACCAATTACATTGGAAATAATTTTCTTGATGATTATTAATTTTAATTAATGAAGAAAAAAAGAAATAACATTCTTTGCAAAAATTTAATTATTTTCAAAAAAATTTTACGAAAGAATTTTCAATTTTTTTCTTAATTCGTTATTTATAACGAATTAAGAAAAAAATTCGTCGGATCGAAGAACCGACGCTTGTAAACGCACAGAACATTGCGAAGCGTCGGTTCTTCGATCCGAGCCCTCAATTATTTCAAAAGAATTGAATTATTTTTCTAAATTTAAAATTTTTTGCAGGAATTCAGTTCTTTTTAATACAATCAGGCCTCGGATATTATAACATTTTCGACTATTTTCAAAAAATGCGACTTGTTTCGACTTATTTTCAAGAATTACGACTTTTTCGACTTTTCTTCCGAATATTGCAATAATTTTTAGTATAAAATGCAATTTATTTTCGAAATTTACAATTGTAAAGAGTTTCAATAAATAATTTAAATTTTGTAAAATTTAATTGACAATAATAATTGATTTTTTTTTAAAGTGTTTTATACAAATTTTTGAAAATCAACATTTGAAAAATATTAATTGAAAATTTTGAAAATAATTGAAATTAAATTCCCTCGGAAGAATTTAATTTAAAAAAAAATTTAATATATTTCAAATAAATTTAATTATTTTCTAAAATCTTAATAAATCCTTCGAAATAATTCAATTATTTTTATAAATGCTATAAAATTCTTCGCAAGAATTCAATTATTTTTATAAATATAGTAAAGTTCTTTGCAGGAATTCAATTATTTTTAAAACATATTTAATTGAATTTCTCGTAAGAATACAAATGTTTTCAAATATTTCCATAAAATTCAATTATTTCCTAAAATTTTTAATGATTTCTTTGAAACAATTCAACTATTTTTAAAAATATTAAATACTAAATAAATTTTTAAAATTTACAATGAAAAAAGAGTTTCAATAATTGAAATTTTGTAAAATTAAATTGAAAATAATTCATTTTTTTCAAAGTGTTTGATAAAAAATTTTGAAAATAAACTTTATAAGAATTTTAATAGCAAATTTTGAAAATAATTGAAATTGAATTCCTCGGAAGAATTTAAGTAAGTTTTAACAAAATTTTAATTATATTTCGAATAAATTCAAGTATTTTCTAAAATCTTAATAAATCCTTCGAAACAATTAAATTATTTTTCTAAATGGCAAAATTCTTCGCAAGAATTCAATTATTTTTATAAATAGTAAAATTCTTTGCAGGAATTCAATTATTTTCAAAATATTTTGAATTGAATTTCTCGGAAGAATTAAAATATTTCCATAAAATTCAATTATTTCCTAAAATTTTAATAATTTCTTCGAAACAATTCAACTATTTTTATAAATACATATTAAATACTAAATAAATTTTCAAAATTTAAAATAAAAAAAATTTTCAATAATTGAAATTTTGTAAAATTTAATTGAAAATAATTGATTTTTTTCAAAGTGTTTGATAAAATTTTTTGAAAATAAACAATAAAAAAATTTTAATTCTAAATTTTGAAAATAATTGATTTCTCAAAAATGTTTAATCCAAAATCTTCAAGTGTAAATTTAAAAATGGTAATTAATGAAAATTAGCTTCTAAAAATTATATTAAAATATTTTTGAAAAAAATAATTCTTAGAATTTTTTGCATTCTAATTTTTTTAAAATTCAATTATTTTCAATACTTTCAATTACATATTTCCAAAAATTCAAATACATACAAAAAATAATAACATTAAAACTTTTTACAATTAATTTTAACATTTTAACAACATATGACTTTTTTAGATTTATTAAAATTTTGGGTGAAATCGCGTTTATATTAATAATTAAAATTCTTAAAAATTCAATTATTTTTTAAATAGAATTTACCAAATTTCAATTGTTTGAAAATTTTTCAATTCTATATAATTGAAAAACTATTATCTTTCATAAATTATTTTAAAAATATTTTCCGAAAATTAATTTTAAGAATTTTTTTATTATAATTTTTTGAAAATTAATTAATAACTTAAAAAACATGGACAGTTAGAATCATTATAAAGAACTGAATTTTTGTATTTAAACAATAAATCTGTTTATATTGTGGCCTTAAGGTCACAATATAAACAGATTTATTTGACAAAAATGAAGGTCCTGAAAACATTGTAAGTTGTATTTAAATAATTGAATTCTCTAAGAACTTTCGGAAAATTATTAAAAATAATTGATTTCGAGGAGAAGTTTGATTAAACATTGTAGAAAATAATTGAATTTTAAGAGAATTAAAGTTGTAATTTTTAGAAGTTATGAAATTTCAGAAGGTTTTAAATAGATTTTTTAAATTTTATTCCCGTATAAAAACAAATAAGTAGTATTTAAATATTTATTTAACGAAATTATTCAAGTTTTAAATAATTAAATTTATAAATCAGTGAAAGATGAGAAGAATAAAAAATAAAATTTTTGTGACGACACTGAATTAAATAAACGACTTTTTCGACTTTTTTTCTATTTTAAATCGACTAAAGAAATTTTTTTTTGCACCTTAAAGTCGATCCGAGGCCTGAGTGAGTGATATTAGTGTATTTTCTTTTATAGAAAATTCACAAATAAAATAAAAATGTAAAATGGATCAATAAGGTCGATCTGCTTCAAAGAAAACGAAATTAGAAGATAAATTGAGAAAACGAAGAGAAGCTCAGAGAAAAAGAAGGGAGATAATAAAAAATGACCCAATGAAATATGAGTTAATTAAGAAAAGGGAAAATGAAAGATTTGCATTAAGAGTAGCTAATGGTAAAATTAAATCAAAGACTAATATGTCAAAAGAAGAATTAAAGGAACATCGTGATAAAAATTTGGAAGCAGTTCGTCGTTATCAAAAGAAAAAATTAAAAAATAATAATCAATCACGTGAAATTGAAACAGATGAATCTGAAAATCCCCAAAGAATCTTAAAATCAAAGAGAGGACGGAAAATAATAAAGAAAAAGTAATGATTAAATATATCTTATGTACACTCAATTCTTTCTTTCACGAACGATGAATCTCGCGGTATAGAGGAAAAATTTTCTTCGAGATTATTTTTACATTTTCTGTACACTAACCTACATTATTTTATGTCACAAAATAAGCCTAAATCGCGTATTCAATTTTTTCCTCTAAAAAAAGTTAAAAATGTATTTAAATACTTACAGGTCTGGTAGTTAATTGAGAATTAAAATAATTTACATGAAATAAATAATCTTTTCAGATATTCCTAAGTAACAAGGCATTATGTCGTCTGTTCAACGATCTTTCGCACACAAATTAAACAAACAACATGCAGCTGATGTTCGACGACACATTGCCGGTTCAACATCATATTCAAGGAATTTGTCCAAAAGTGGAAGCAGTGTTTCTGGATTTTCTTCGACGGTTAGTTCCTAATATCTGTATTAACCGTTTTTTAATCAGTTTTAACAAAATATGTTCTTTATATATTCAAACAAATTTAGATAAAATTAATAATTATTGACGTCATTGGTTTTATTAAAAAAAAATGAGAAAGAAATAACTTTAAAAAAGTATAATTTTTACTCAAAAATTAGTATAAAAATTACAATTGTAAGTTTTGTATTAATAAGAAAGGACTAAAGTTTCAATTGGTATTATTTTTGTTAAAGATGTCTCTCTGTGAAGTATTAGAACCTCTAGATTATGAAGAGTTTTTACTTCAACATCAAGCTGTCTTAGACAGGGATCCTTTGAAACCAATATTAGACTTTCCTACCAATGATGTTGATGTAAGAGTAATTAAGAGGAAAATTCGAACTGAAGAACCAGTAATTCCATACGAATCTCTGTAAGTACTTTTATTGTCATTATTTTTAAACTTACAACTCACATTTAATATGTAAGCTGCTATCGAGATATTTTTTCATTTTTTAATTGTTTTGTATTTCTGCATTACTAAAATTTTTCAGGGACACGGTTTCACCGTATGTAAGAAAGTGTATCAAAACTTTTACATCAGATTGGATCGTTGTACACAGAAAATTTAAAGCAAGAGCTGCTTCCATTGCACGTGACAAACTACTTCAGGATATACCAAAACAAGACTTTGAGGTTCTTATATTTTTCAATAATAAATGCATAATTTTTTCCTATGAAAGAAGAAAATGTTCTGAAAAGATGTAATTTCTATTTTTGCCTCACCAGGTGGATCAGGAGGAAACACATTGTTCCACTTCTCCTAACGAGGACGATGAATTTTCTAATTGTGGTAGTACGCCACGTGGCTCGTGGGCTAGTTTAGATCTCCGACATTCTCAGCACGATCCTCTATTTCCAAATATACTGGAACGTATTTGTCCTGAAATAGTCGATCAATTGAATGAGCAAAAACGATTGGAAGATCGTCAGGTAATGGAAATTTTTCTCACTAAATATTGACTTAATTAATTTAAAATTTAATTCTTTTTTTCTATTCTAAGTTATTTTATCTTTATTTCAGGAAGCATTTTTTCCGCTATATTCGCCGCCTGCTTCATTAGATGATGAATGGCATGAAATAAATGTCCCTTTAGAACCATCTGAATCTTTTTCTCATAAAATTCTTGTCAAGTGTCTTCAATTAAAATTGGAACTTGAAGTTGAGCCGATATTTGCCAGTTTCGCTTTATATGATGCCAAAGAGAAGAAAAAGGTATTATTCGATAAAGCATTTTACATTTATCTAATAATCCTCTGCCTACGCTTTGTCTCTATTCTAGCGTTCTTTTCACTCTTCACCAAGCGTCGAATTAGACCATAACGATCACATGACTAGGCAGGGGATTAACTCAATTTAATATTTCTGTCAGACTGTATAGCAAAATTATTATTTAGGTTTCAGAGAATTTTTACGTAGACATGAATTCAGAGGGAATTAAGAAAATGTTGGGAGGACATGTAGCATACAGTGATACGAGTACATTAGCCAGAAGTTGTGTATTTAATATTCATAAACCAAGTTCTGATCTATTTTTGGTTATTAGATTGGAAAAGGTGCTTCAGGGTGATATTACCGAGTGTGCGGAACCATATTTTCGAGATGATAAAAATAAAGAAAAGGTAAGTAAGAGCTACATTCACTTTTCATCCAATTATTGTAGATAATATCCAAATTCCTTTATAAAACGATAGGTAGGTAGGTGAGAAAGATAGGAAAAAGAGGAATAATTATTATTAGCCCTCGTTTTCATGCCGAAAATCATTAGATTTTAGAGTTTCTATTTTCTTTCGAAAGGTACGAATTGCAGCATCTGCGGCTTGCGAGCGTCTTGGACGCTATCGAATGCCTCTGGCTTGGACTGCAATCCATCTTTCAGGAGTAGTAAGTGGCGGAACCGACATGGAAAACACTACAAGTGTCGGATCCCTAGACAGAAAATCCGGAAGTTTAGAACAGTGGCGGAAGAAAGTGGAACCATGCACTAGGCGAGGTTCTTTAGAAAGAAGAAACTCGGACAAGAGACGTAGTTGGTCTCCCGATGATTTTGCCAACTGCTTCGAAAGTTTTAGGTAAATCGAAAGCAAAAGTAGACTTCTATCCCCAAATAGTAGTTTTCTATTCCAGCCCCTCAATTAAACCATAACAAATTTTCTCTTACAGACCAATTACACTCACAGTTTCGAGTTTTTTCAAACAAGAAGCCGAAAGACTCAGAGACGAAGATCTGTACAAACTTCTAGTCGAGATACGTCGACCGGGTTCGAATCTAAAGCGACTCAAGTGTCTCCCAGGAATTTTAAAATTAGATTTAAGTCCCAAACCAGAAGATCTTCCTCGCTGTTTAGATCCAGATCTGAGAAGACTCTCACCATATCCTGACGAAAAGAGTCGACCTGTGAAAGAAATTCTCGAATTTAAAAATGATGTCATCTTGCCAGATCTAACATATCGTAATCTTTTATATGTATACCCAAAGGAGGCTAATTTCAGCTCCAGAACAGGTTCCGCTCGCAATATCGCAGTTCGAATACAAATAATGGAAGGTGAACTAGAGGAGAATGCCTTGACGGCAATTTTCGGTCGTTCCTCCTGTCCAGAAATGACACACGAATACATTACTTCAGTGTCCTATCATAATAAGAATCCAAATTTTTACGATGAAGTAAAAATACGACTTCCTGCCGATTTGAATACAAATCATCATTTGCTATTTACTTTCTATCACATTAGTTGTCAGAAGAAATTGGAGCAGACGAGTGTTGAAACACCGGTTGCATATACATGGTTACCTCTTCTAAGAGAGGGACATTTACAATTTGGTGAATTTAATCTCCCCGCAATGTTGGATCCTCCACCTGCTAATTATTCGTACATTGCGCCTGATGTCCTCTTACCGGGAACGAAATGGATAGACGCGCATCGAGGAGTTTTCACATTGATTCTAGAACCGATTTCTAGTGTTCATGCACAGGATAAGTATATCGATCGTTTTCTTTCGTTGTGCAATTCATTGGAGACTGGTCACGTACCGCCGCGAATTGGAGAATCGGGAATGGAATCCGAATTGAAATCAGCATTGCTGGGTTTGGCTCGAGCTTCAAATTCAGCGCTGGTAAGATCAATGCCACAATTATTTGATCAGTTGATTTCAATTCTCGTTTGTCCGCCAACTTTGCCTTCGCAACCGCTAAATATTGCGGGAACGGTTTATGAGGCTATTGGACTTCTAGTCAGGAATGTGACGAATCTGCCTGATGGTCAAGTAGACGCTTATGGTCGTCACGCGTTACTCACGACTTATGTCACTTATCAGTGTACTCTACCGTCGGTGCCACAATTTTTACGTCCGCTTTTGATGCGAGCGCAAAGTAATCCGGATTTACCGCTAGAGGATCTTGAGATGGAGATTCATTCACGTGGGCTGGACAGAACGGCTTCTATGCGACAGGAAACGCAGTCGGTTAATAGCAGCAATCCATCGCGAAGGCTCTTGCATGAGGAATTGTGTCTCCATTGGATTGTATCCACGGGACAGTCACGGGAATTGGCGACTTTACACTGTTGGTTCTTTCTGGAATTAATAGTACGATCGATGGCGACAACACTGTCAGAATTGGGGACTTTGGACTCGACGAGAAAGACGAGATTTTCAGCACACTTTTGCGATGATATTGCAACACTCGTGGCGGCCATTATATCCGAAGTGATAGCACATTGCGGAAAGGATAATAAAGTTTCGTCGAATCTTATTTCAAGTCTTGGGAATTTCCTCTCGGACCTACTGTCTCTTATGGATCGGGGTTTCGTTTTGTCCCTGCTGAAAACATCTTGCTCCACTCTCTCCGAAGCGGCGATACAAGTTCAAGATTCCGTCGCTCTTTACGCGTTGAAACTAGATTTGGTGAAAACTGTCTGTACACACGAGCACTACGTTCCTTTGAATTTACCATTCGGAACGGGATATACGTCCGGATCGGCACCTGTTAGTCCGAGTCCATCCACCGGTAGTTCGGGCAGTTTCATATCGACCCTAGTTCCTGGTGATCGAGCCCGTTTCTCCGAATTGAGTCAAGAATTTAGACAGCAACATTTCCTTGTGGGATTAGTTTTATCCGACTTGTCGTACACGCTGGAAATTCCAAATCCAATGCTGCAAAATAAGGCGATCAGTACGATTCGATATTTAATGAATTTACATGACGTTGATCCGAGATATTCGGATAGTGCTTCGAAAGCGAGAGTCGCGGCATTGTATCTACCACTGTTGAACATTGTAATAAGCGCTCTTCCACAATTGTATCATTGGGATTCGAAGGACAAGAGTGTTTATACTGATGATCAGGGTTCAATTACTCAGTGCGTGGCGATTGCTATTGCGGGTGGAGCGTCAGCGGAAGTTGTTGGATCACAATGTCGAGTTTTTCTTAGTTCTGAAGCAACGAGACATCTATTGATGTGCACTCTTTGGCTTTTGAAGTCTCTCGATAAGAGTGCATTGATGCAATGGTGTTCGGAATTAAGTGTGAGACGTCTCCTGAGTCTTTTGCAAGTATTAAATATTTCTAATGCGGCTTTCGAGTATAAGGGGAAGAAGGCATTGAAACGTCTGCCACAACAATCTGCCGCTACAAGTGATATACGATCGAGACTGGAGGACGTGATTCTTGGACAAGGGAGTGCTAGAAGCGAAATGATGATGAGAAGAAAGGAAAGAGTCGTTGGAGATAAGTTGAGATGGAGGAAGGATCAAATGCCTTACAGGTAATACAAATTCACTTTATTAATTTAACTTCTTTTGCCTTTTTAAAGGGATTTATTTAAAAAGGGGTTGCTTTTTAAAAAATTCAAGCACATACGTTCGTTTCTATCGCTGTTCCCTTTAAAATGAGACCTTTTTGAACTTGATCTATTGAGATTTAAGAAAGTTATGATATTTTAAAGTAAGTGGGACGTATATGTCCCACTGACAGTTAAAGAGTTAAATTCCTTTCTTTCATTCGGAATTATTCGTTAGTGATCATAAAAAGAGCAAAGCTTGAGAATTTCAAAATAGATTCAAAAAGTATAGAAAATAAATTGGTGCAAAACTTTCGTGAAACACGCGAGAAGTTTAGGTTTATTTATCCTTTAACGTCTCTGGGACACATGTGTCCCACTTACAAATACCTTAATATTTATAAGCAAAATTAATATTTTTTATTCAAATTTGGTGCGTTGTCTTAAGCAAAGAGAGGGCTTCAAAAATATGTTGAATAGAAAGTGTCTAAAAATTTTTATTGATTAAAAAAAATGTGTAAACAATTATTAAAATTTACGAATTTTTAAAACATTTTAGATTCGCATGAAATTTATTACTCGGGGATTGTTAAGGTCGCTGATTACTTTTTGAAAATTTAAAAGCGACCCAAAAAATTCCGAATAAGAAGTTACAAGCAATTTTGAATTTTTGAAAAAGTGATCTTGAATATTATTTAGCGTACTTAGAGTCCCTAAATCTTCCAAGAACATGTTTGATTTTAAAAAAATTTCTCCTCCCTTTTCGGGGGGGTTAAAGAGTTAATTGTTCTGTACACAACACAAGTAACTCATAGAAATAAATAGCAATTTATATAAAATACAGATCTTCCGAACAACCTGAAGGAAAAGCTGTTGAACAAGATGCTCACATTGAAGGAGCTTTAGCAGCGGAAGCTTCTCTAGTTGTTCTAGATACTCTGGAAACTGTCGTTCAAGCCGACGGAGGAGGAGGTATTAAACAATTAATGATTAACAATCAATAAAAATATGTGACAGGGAAATTTTTTTCTATCAAAATCACTAAATAATAAAAAATTGATTTTTTCGAACCGTAGGTCCCTTTTAACTTTCCCTGTCACATACATTGAAGAACATTACTAGAGTACAGTCTCATAACGTTGTACTTTTTCTTAATGAACTTTTAGGAGCTGTAATAGGTGCAGTATTGAAAGTTCTGCTTAGAGCATTAGCTAGAAATCAAAGTACAACAGTTCTTCAACACATGTTTAGTTCGCAGAGAGCTTTAGTCTTTAAATACCACAGTGCCTTGTTTGACGAGGAAAGCGAAAGATGTGGAGATTTGTGTCTTACTTTATTAACACGCTGCAGTTCTCCTTTGAGTGCAATTCGAAGTCATGCAGCAGCTAGTCTTTATTTATTAATGAGGCAAAATTTTGAAATTGGAAACGTAAGTCCTACAGTGTTTCTTAATTCTCTAGAATTCTTGGATTCAATTAATAAGTGTTTCAATTCCATTAGAAGAATAATTTAGACTGCTCTTGAATTTTATCAAACTCATTTTTTTTATAGAATTTTGCAAGAGTAAAAATGCAAGTGACAACATCATTGTCTGCATTGGTGGGTCGTGGTAGATCACTAAGCGAAGGAGCCTTACGTCGAGCTCTGAAAACAGTTTTAGTTTATGCAGAGCGAGATGTTGAATTAGCGGAAACAAGCTTTCCTGAACAGGTGAAGGATTTGCTTTTTAATCTTCACATGATTCTTTCGGATACTGTTAAAATGAAAGAATTCCAAGAGGATCCGGAAATGTTGCTAGATCTAATGTACAGGTAAGTGCAAACTGATAAGTAGGAAAAATTCCGAATGCGCATGTTCCTCGAGTAGCAATTTTGAAAATAAAATATTGAAATGCGCAGAATTGCCAAAGGTTACCAAGGTTCGCCAGATCTTCGCGTAACGTGGTTAGCGAATATGGCTCAGCAGCACATGGAGCGTAAAAATCACACCGAGGCTGCCATGTGTCTTGTGCACAGTGCAGCACTTGTTGCCGAGTATCTGCATCTTCTAGAACCTGGAAGCAGTGGACGTCCAATAGGCGCAGTGGCACTCAGTTCGATAACGCCTAACGCAATTGAAGAAAGTGCTGTTGGTGATGATATTCTTGCAAGAAGAGAGGAAGGACTTTGCTTAGGTCCCGATTTCTCAGAAAGTGGATTAGCCGGTTTACTTGAGCACGCAGCAAGTTCTTTTTATGCTGCCGGCATGTATGAAGCAATTCCCGATGTCTACAGAGTTCTATTGCCAATTGCAGAAGCTGCTCACGATTACAAGAAATTAGCAAACATTCATGGGTAAGTCATGTCAAACAACATTTGATTTAATACACAAAAACTAAATAGTTAATAATCAAACTAAATAGAATAATTCTTAAAATTCGTGAAATTTCTGTAATTAGAAAACTACATGAAGCTTACACACGAGTTGAACAATTATCGGGAAAACGTGTATTTGGCACGTACTTTAGAGTTGGATTTTATGGAGCGAGATTTGGTGATTTGAACGGTGAAGAATTTGTTTATAAAGAACCGACACTGACAAAATTACCAGAGATATTTTCTAGAATTGAAAATTTCTATGCTGATAGATTTGGTGTTGAAAATATTGTGATTATTAAGGATTCAAATCCTGTCGATATGAATAAATTGGATACTGATAAATCCTATGTGCAAATTACTTACGTGGAACCATACTTCGAAAATCATGAACTCAGACATAGATCTACAGTCTTTCGAAAAAACTTCAATATAAGTGAGTCAAGACTATATTGCAATTTAAATTTTTAATTATTTAGAATTTTTGCTTTCTTGTAATATTTCTAGGATACTTAGTTTATTATTTATTGCAGAGAGATTTGTTTACGCTACGCCATTTACGCCAGGAGGCAAAGCTCATGGTGAATTAAGAGAGCAGTGTAAACGTAAGACAATTCTAACTGTCGCTACACATTTTCCTTATCTTAAGACGCGAATTCGAGTCGTCTCCAGAAAACAAATTGTACTCAGTCCAATTGAAGTTGCAATTGAGGACATACAAAAAAAGACGGCTGAGGTATGTATCTAAATTCAATTTCTTTAAAAGGTATTAAATGTTTTTTCCAATTTGAAAACTCCAAAGTTTTTGAAGATTTGAAAAATAGGTTCAAGACGTAATTTAGGAATTAATTTTTAAAAAAATGTTCATCTAGGTTGGGGCAGCAACTGCTCAGGAACCTCCGGATCCAAAGATGCTGCAAATGGTTCTTCAAGGTTGTATTGGAACGACAGTTAATCAAGGACCAGCGGAGGTTGCTATTGTTTTCTTATCGGGATTACAGGAACAAGATGCACAACCATCTCGATTGCAGCATAAATTACGTTTGTGCTTTAAAGATTTTTCAAAGAAATGCCTCGATGCATTGCGAAGAAATAAGAATCTTATTGGACCTGATCAACGTGATTATCAGCGTGAATTAGAAAGAAACTATCAAAGACTAATTGAGAGATTAACACCACTTATAGCTTGGAGGTAAATTTTGTTGCTTATTTGATAATCTGAATTTCTTTTATGTGAGAAAAATTATAATATTGTCATTGCTGTTTCTTATTTATGATTATTTGAATAATATTATGTTTCATTCATATGAGAAGAGAACATGTTCTCATACTTGTTCATATTTAACGAAAAAGTCGTTCATTTAGTTTGCTGTTTATGATAAACAAATTTTTTCGGGGGTCATTCACAAACGCTTTTTTGGACAGAAAATGTCGATGATATGAATGTAATTTTTAAATTGTTTTATGAATAATTGGTAAAATTTTAACTGCAAAAAATTCAATTGTTTTATTGTAGAATAATTATTTCAAAATGCAAGTAAATAATTTAATTATACTTTGACATGGGCGAATTTCCCTTTTTATGGTTAGGGGAATTCTCGTCAAATTTGTTCACAGAAAGATGCTCTGAAACTTTTAAAAGGGTAGATTGAAATTTTTGTATTTAAGGGTGGCCGGTTGACCCGCGAGAATTTAGGAAAAATGAAAATTCACCCTTATGGGGAACTGCATGGGGAACCAATGCAACCCTCAATGCTGCGATGTAGGTTGAATTTTGGTTGAGGGGGGGGGGTTCGAATGTGGCAGTGAGGCGGACGAGGGAGGCCTTGCTGCTGACATCGTAGTTAGGAGAGAATTGCCAGGCAGGCGGTGGCGGACCCTGGGCGGTTGGAGAATAGCTTCCTTCCTTCTCCTTCTGGGTGCTGGTCGAGGCTCGTAGCATGGAAAAGGTAGGAAAATGGGTGTAAGGAGAAAAAATTAAGCGGACTTGCGTGAAATTCAAGTTCGCTTTTATTAATCTTGACTCGAACCGGTACCTCCCCCTCCAGGCAATGAGAGGTCGTTTGGAACAAGCGCTGAATGGGCTATTCCAAGATTAATTATTGCGGTTTGTAAGTCAATAAGAGATTGACGTGTTATAGAATTTAGAAAGAATTTTTCGTCATACATAATCATTAGATAAGTGATCAACGCCGCTATGCCTTTTGGCTCAGTGGCGTCTCTTGCGAATCCATCAAATGATATTGAGCATAACAGCTCCCCTGGAGCCAGAAATGTCGAATACTATGCAGCAATTTGTGATTCCATGAACGATTCGTATCCAGTGGAAGCGATATCGTTTAGGAACGATAATTTATTTACGTTCGCACCAGCTGATTTCAGGACGGTCGACACGTCGAGAGAATCAAACTGGATTGTATATTTTAAAAGTTCGCAAAGATGCTCCATTCTTAAATTCAATCGCTTCTTTGTATTCATTGAAATCATATCTTTGTTTCAATCTTATTAACATTACTTCGGCTAATTTTCGATTGAATTCGAAAATATTAATATTTATAAATTTTATTCCTTTTAAAACTGAATCACGATTCTACGACCATTTTTACAAAAGCAACTAATTTCACACAATGACATTAAAAGGAAATGCTAATTATATGTCAAAATAATATAACATTTTATTTATAACTTACCCCTTTCTAGTCCTTTTTGCATCCTGGTATCTCTCCCAGTTTACAATCGTTTTTTTTACACAAACATGTAATTTCCATGATGTCGAGAGGATTCGGACACCCTTTCTTGGCTCCGGCAAATGAGAGAGTATGGTCATCCTCTCTTCAGAACGAATCCTCAATAATTGGGACATAATCCGTCCCACTTCCGAACTCGGATCCACCATCGGCAATCCCCACAAACACAAGCTAAACACGTTATGTGAGTCTTTGAGCTGGGTCACCCTGTCCCCTAAATTATTAATTAGCGCGGACATCTCCGCCCACCTTTCATCGTTCCTCTGCTGTAACGATTGTTGACTTGGAATACCCATATACTCGTAATGTCCATTTAGAGTGTAAAATGCCGTTTTCTCTCTATCAACGAGGTCTGTTTCGATTTGATGGAAACCCCATGCTAAATCAAAAGTTGAGAAATATTTAGCTTGTCCCAAATGATCTAGTATGTCCATGATATTCGGTATAGGATAAGCGTCCCCAATTGTTTTCTCATTAAGGGCCCGAAAATCTATAACAAGACGCCATTTCTTATTTCCTTGCGCATCAGGTTTTTGGGCACTATCCATAATGGAGAGTTATAAGGTGAGTTGGACGGAACAATAATTTCTTCTGAAAGCATTTTAGCAATTTGTCGTTCAATTTCTTCTCTTTGAACTGGGGGAAATCTATACTGTCTTGTGTTTATAGGAATATCATCTTTTGTTGGAATTTTGTGTCGGACTAAGTGAGTCGAGGAAAGGTTATCACCAGGGATATAAAAATCGTCACTAAAGTCTTGTATTAATTCCTTTACATGTTGGATTTCATCTGAGTTTAGATGGTCCAGTCTCACTCTTTTAATGAGTGAAGCATGATCCCAAAGTTTGGTTTGACCAAACGTAATCCTTTTTTATACAAAGTTTTTAAAGTTTGTTTCTCTAACATACATTCTTGTGTTTGTAAATCTATGTACAAATCTTTAAGCTGTTTTATAACATGTTTTTCTACATAAACAAATTTGGAATTCATATGAGGCCTTGGATCCAATAACTCGCCCGACGCTCGGAGGAACGCGCAACTGCCAGTCAGTGAGCAATGAGCGCCTCTGGGCCACTCACTGCTACCCGACTGGTATTAGCGCGTATCTTCGAGCGTCGGGCGAGTTATTGGATCCAAGGCCTCATATGTAATGATATGGTAATAACATTTTATTGTTAGAGTCATAGACTCAGCAAGCGATACCTCCTTCAGTGTGAGGTCGAAGAAACACCTTGACTAGCGGAAACAGAAAATTAAGTAGATTTCCCTAGAATTGTTTTCGAGCCAGCCAAAATTTAGAAATGCGGTAATTAACTTAATGTGGCAATTAACTAATTAACTAGATGTGGTAATTAACTAATTAACTAGCTGTGGTAATTAACTAATTAACTCTGGACCTTTCGGACCTGAGTCCAGGTGTCGATGTAAATTAGGTTAAACACCCCTCATACTTGAAGTAACCAAAACTCAAAAAGATTTATCATGATTAAGTAATTTGTTCGAACTCTTTTAATGAGTGAAGCATGATCCTAAAGTTTGGTTTGACCAAACGTAATACTTATTAATACAAAGTTTTTAAAGTTTGTTTCTCTAACATACATTTTTATGTTTGTAAATCTATATACAAACCTTTAAGCTGTTTCCTAATGTGTTTCTCTACGTAAACAAATTTAGAATTCGTATATGTACCAAAATTTTCTTTGTAACGTCTCAGAATGATATGAGAAAGAAATATGGGCTAGATTTTAGTTGTCTCGAAAGGGAGGATTTGTTCAAAGTCTGTTAGTTAGAAAATCATTATTAAATGTTATTAAACTATAGGGCAGCGCATGGTCACCATTTTCCGTCAATTTCAAAAGTCGTGGGCAAGAGTCTGTTACAATCTATTTGTTTTCCTGCTGAGTCGCAGACTTAGCAAGCGATACCTCCTTCAGTGTGAGGTCGAAGAAAACACCTTGACTAGCGGAAACAAAAAATGAAGTAGATTCCCTCGAATCGTTTTCGAGCTAACCAAAATTTAGAAATGAGATAATTAACTAATTAACTCTGGATCTTCCGGTCCTGAGTCCAGGTGAGTTTTCTCTGTTTCAGTGTATGTACATTGTGGAGTTTTGATCGTATAGAATATTGTACTCTAGTTTGTATTTTAATGTTCGTTAGACAGTACATGTAATCATCGAAAGTAATAGATTTTTTCACAACTATCGTTTTGACACCTTTTGCTTTTTTCAAAAAATTTTATTCCTCCACACGAATACGATACATTTTACTTCGTGAGCCAATAAATTCTGTTATTATTCGCCCATTACACTCATCTTTTATGAGTCCTAAGACTTTTTTGTTAGCTTGCGGAATTCCATATACATAATTAGCAGGATAATCAGATGTATCAAATTTACAAATATCTGCTTTCATATCAGAGTAGATATCTGTACATTTAATTTTATAAATAAGGCTGTCGGTATCAGTGTAAAGTAATTTACAATTTTCACCATACTTTCCTCTCATGTAAACATAATGAAAATCATACATTAAAATTTTAGATATATCCAAAACGCTAAGTCCAATATAGATTGGCTTATTCATAAGCACTTATGTTTTGTTAAGTTCCACAGCAACCAAGTTTTCATTAAAAATAGCTCGTGTGTGGAAGATCGGTTTTGAAATAAGAACCTCTGCTCCATACCTACCCTCCCATTTTGTTATAAGTTTAACATCAACACGTTTTCGTACATTCTTCATTGTCTTACCATAAACTGCATTATTCATAAGTTTGAAAAGATTATTTTCAAACTCATTTTTGGCATTTGTTCGCATCTTGGTATTAAAATGGATATACTTCTTCAACCATGGAGATTAATTAAAGCAACTTTTCTTGTTTTGATCCAGGTGGCTTTGAGTGTTCAGGACAAAATGGTAAGTCTCTATGACTATCGTGTAGTTCATGTGGTTCATGTAGTTCATCTTCATTTTCATTATAATTTTTCATGTACAGATTATTGGCATGAGCATATCTGTTTGAACATTGGCTAATCCCCCCTCTAATGAATCTTCATTTTCATTATAATTTTTCATGTACGGATTACACTGGGTTACAAAAAAATGGTCATGTCGTGTTTATTTAAAATTTACTGTGTTTATTGAAAGTTTAGGTGTCACAGAATAAGAATATACCAGAAAAACTTTTTTTCATTCGGTCATTCCCTTAAAAAACGAGTTTAAAGTCTCAAAAAACCGTATTTTTAGCACTTTTTGAGGCAGCGTAACAAGAAAATGCAACATGATAAAAATCTCTACAAAAGCTTAAATAAAAGCTTAAACCTTCAACTTTAAGGCTCAGAACTGAAAAGTACTTAAAGAAGCACTGAAAACCTGCAGTCACTATCTGAAATTATCAAAAAAGCTGGGTTAGGTAGCACTTGGTAAAAATCGATTTCCCTAACCGGATTCGGTTGCAAATTGTTATTTTAGGTTTTTTGAGGTTTCTAATGACGAATTGGAACTTAGATTTAAAAAATTTCAAAGTGGCGGACTCAATTTTTTAAAATTATCAACGCAAATTTTGAAAAATTGAGTGAATTCATTATTTTCAGTCCGCCATTTTGAAATTTTTTAAATCTAAGTTCCAATTCGTCATTAGAAACCTCAAAAAACTTCAAGTAACAAGTTGCAACCGAATCCGCTTAAGGAAATCGATTTTTACCAATTGCTTCCTGTTCTAGCTTTTTTGACAATTTCAGGTAGCGACTGCTTGATTAAGGAGGTTTTTATTGATTATTTAAGTACTTTTCAGTTCTGAGCCTCAAAGTTGAAGGTTTAAGCTTTTATTTAAGCTCTTGTAGAGATTTTTATCATGTTGCGTTTTCTTGTTACGCTGCCTCAAAAAGTGCTAAAAATACGGTTTTTGACACTTTAAACTCGTTTTTTTAAGGGAATGACCGAATGAAAAAATGTTTTACTGGTATATTCTTATTCAGTGACACCTAAACTTTCAATAATCACAGGAAACTTTGAATAAACACGATATGACCATTTTTTTGTAACCCAGTGTTATTGGCATGAGCATATCTGTTTGAACATTGGCTAATCCCCCCTCTAATACCACTTTCAACAAACATAACCATATCAATATCTGTAAGAAGTTCCAACTTTACATTTGTATATTTTAACATGGCATCGCAACTAAGTCCAGGTGTTGTATAATAATAAGCTGGATCTAATTCATATGCTATAAGACATTGGTCTCTGAAATTCTCAAAAACATCTGCGAGTAGTAAAATATCAGTTTTCATGTACAAATATACATACTCGTAGAGATATTGACAATTAAAAGCAGACCAAACCTCTTGTGCATGAAGATAATCTTTATCGGTTACATGAGAATCATTTAGAGTACTGTAAAATTTCTCTTTTGGAGGTAGTTGTGTCTGGTTTAATTTCGATCTATTGTCCAAGTACTCATATGGAAAAATTCCTTTGCGTGTTAATAACTGAATCGTATTAACATCATAAGACTCAAATTCGGAATGTACTATTGAATAATTTGATAGATATGAGGCCAATTTGTCCAAAGATGATGCCATGAATCGAAATGAGTCAATGAATTTAAATTTTATACCATTTTCTGGGAAATGTTTTGTAAAGCTAATATATTTTTCTTTGGTAATAGAAAGGAGATCAATTTTACCTTCAAACTCATTCGCAATGGCTTCTATAATGAAGTGAGCATCATAACCACTCAAATTATGAAAAACAACAGGAATAGTATTCAATTCCTGATAGTTTAGGTTGCAATATTGATGAGCTACACCTCTGTATTTACCAGTTAGGCGACAATGGTCTCTAACCCTAGTCTTTCCCTGACTAATAAATTTTTTACAAATGTGACATTTATTAATTTTTTGAAAAAGATACTCTTGCTTATCACTTAAAACTTCCATCGGAATGATAGTTTTAAATATAGGCTCAAGTCTCTCAGCAACTTGTTTCAATTCATGAGCAAACCATTTTTATGCATCTTCTTCATCAATGGGAGATGCTTTGTATACAGATTTTGTATTATTACATCTTTGTTCATTGAATTTTAGATAATATCCAATGCTCAAAAGTTTATGATTTTGAACAATTTCTGTATTACCTCCCACAGATGATAAATCTGTTTTAGGAAGCAATAAGCTCTCACAGTCTGCATATATAATAAATGGAGCACGCTCCTTGTTTAAAAAGTTTTTTAATTTGAGTTTATTTTTATCTGGATTTGGTAAAATAATTTTCGTCTTATTTACAAGGGTACAAGTTAATTGACGTGTAGAAAGTTTATCTTGATTATGAAAATAATGCAGACAGCGTTCGCAAATATACTTCTTATGTTCCTGTTGAGATAACTGAGAGCTTACAAGTCGTGATAAATTTTTAATCCAAACATAATGATATTTAGTTTGCGCTTTATCCACCTCGTGAATATTATACTTATCTTGAATTAACAAAAGATTAACATGACTTTCTTTTTTGTTTGAAGTTAGATGTAATGCCCATTGAAAGACTATAAATTTTTTTTGCAATTTAGCTAATCATAATTTTGATAAATTTGTCAACTTACAATAACAGGAGATACCGCCCGCAAAGGATGGGGGAATATTCATAAAGATTTCTTTTATGAAAGTTCAGACCATTATGGTCTTGGAGGAATTCTCCCAATGACAACGCTATCTCTGGTGCCACCACTCCCGTAAATGATAATGCTTCCTTCCGAAACTGCCGCATCTCATCCTGGTTTGCGAAGTCCCAGTTCCGGACATTTGATTTAAAATAAACCCAGAGCCGTGACAGCTCTGGGAAATTCGACACAAAGTACTTTGCGTCGTATAACGAGGTTTTCGACATGTTTCACGAATTACTATCACGAATCATAAAGGTTTTTATATCAAAAACTGTAGTATTATCAGGTAGAACTTGTTTATACTTAGCAACAAAAACTGTGTATACTTTTAATGGGCCATCTCTTAATGCTCGTTCTACCTGATCTTTAAAAACTGAATAAGCATCATCTAAGAAATCATTGATATCTAAATGTGAAATATTTATAATACTTCCATTTTTAAGTATATTGTTAAAAGCCTCGTCAGTAACTACCCATTTAATTTTATCATTTGAGTGATCCATTCCAGCTCCAAGTTCATCCAACTGGTATTCATAAAATTTAAGTTGTAATAGCAAATTTTCAATTCTTTTATTATTATGAGAACCCTGAATTGTATAACGGTTAGCGAACTTTGTTAATAAAGCAAAGTGTGCCTTACACTTTTTATACCACTCATATGCTATTTTGAAACGAGCATTGACTTCTTTAGATGCAATAGATCTCAATTCAACATTGACAACGTCAATGAAAGTTTGTGAGACCTCACAAATTTCATCAACGCTGTCTTGAGATAATACTCTTTCGTCTACTCTTTCGACTACTCTTGTGTATGGATTGACTACTATTCGATTATTAGAATTTATTTATTTAATGTTAAAATAATTAACGTAACACATTTTATTTACAAGTATGTATAATTTATTTTTTCACTGCACTACGCTCTGCAACTATTTTCACGAAAAGAATAGTCTTTACGACGAGAACAGTTTTCATGAAGAGAACAATTTTCATAATGACAGATAGAATTAAAGTCTATGTGGAGAATTTTTAAAATTTACCCCCCCCCCCCTTCAACAAAATATTTAAAGGTTTGTGGAATTTACAAAGTTTAAAGTATATTTATTTTTTCCAACTAAAACCCCACTCTCCTTCGGCTCCCACTTCATTACCCCCACTTGAATAACTGCGCACGCAACAATTTGCCCCCACCTACCCAAAATCAAGTTAAAGCGTGACTTAAGATTTTCTAACAATACCATTATTATTATCCTAAAAAATATAAATTGAAACCAGCTCACAAATTCTTTTGGACGATACATTTGTCTCCTTCGAAGCAGGTGAAAACGTGACTTAACATCTTCTAACATTATTATCCTGAAAAAGGTAAATACTTTTGGACAATACATTTGTCTCCTTCAAAGTATGTGAAAACGGGACTTAAGATTTTCTAATAATATCATTATTATACTGAAAAAGGAAAATTGATACCTGCTCAAAAATTATTTTGAACAATACATTTGTCTCCTTCGAAGCAGGTGAAAACGTGACTTAACATCTTCTGACATTATTATCCTGAAAAAGGTAAATTCTTTTGGTCATATAAGGAGAAAAGTAGGTGGAAGGGGGGTGGTTAACTAAATGTAATGTATTTTACATAAGTAATGGATAAGTGGGCGGTGGAAGGGTGTGGTTTCAAAGAATAAAATGTATGCAAATTAGGTTGAATGTAAAAAGAGGGGGGTGAAAGTGGGTGGTATTTGCATATTCTACATCCAAAAGGGTTGAATTTGCCTGAAACTTAAAAAAGAAGGGTGAAAAGTGGGTGGTATTTACATATTTCACATCCAAAAGGGTGGATTGTGGGTGGAATTTGCATAAACTTAAAGGTTAACTTCAGATACCCCACCAACGGCCAGTTCTCGTCCGATTCAGTCGGTAATGCAGATTCCTACAGTTACCAACAAATTCGGGTCAGAACCGGCCTAGCTACACTACTTTAATAAGAACTGATTTTAGTTTTTCACAATTAAATACAAATTTTCTGCTAAGATAAGACCAACGCACATTAGCTTCGCGAAATACATGAGACAGAAAAGGACACAAATATATCTCTATCCTTTTCTAACACATGCTTTGCGTTCGCGAAGCAATTGTTGCGTTGGCAACAATTTTACTTTTTATGTAACATTTTTCGGAACGCGTCGTTCTTTTTGTTAAATTTTACAAAATATCATTGACCAACTTAAATCTATGATATCAGATTGTAATATACGTTTTATCATTAAAATAGAATTTCAAATAATCATATTTATGAAACAGAAAGAAATATTTTTAATTTTAAAAGATCATTAACTAAGCATAAAAGTTTTGTGTATACGAAAAAGTGAATTAGTATAACATACTGCTATTTTTCACTTTCGATGTCTCTCGTCCTAAAAATCTCGTTTTCAAAGAGTGTAAAAAATTAGAAAAAAGATTTTTAGAGTCAGATTAGAACATTGTTTATATACGGTAGAAACGTCGAATTTTTTAATAATGTGGTTCTACTTTTATAATAAGCTAAAAAATTCGAAAGCAAATGTTGATAACTGTAACTATATTATTTAAAAAAAAATTTCTTTTACAGAAATTCACCTGCTGATCTGCAGTGAATTAAAAATAGCTTTATTACTTTCATATAAGCTAAAGAAACAGTGGTTGAATAATATAATTTCTCATACACTATACAATGGTATTATTTAATTGTATTCGTAGATTAAAAGAAAGCATATTTATTATTTATGTTTTATTATATGTGTAAGATTTTGTATTTCATATCATTCTTTATAATAAAAAATGCACAAATTTCAACAGAAAATTATGAGTTTGTTTTTATATGTCCCTCTTTAATGAAGTTGAAATCCACTTGATCAACGAAAATAAATTGGAAAAATATGTAGGACTATTTTTTTAAAGAATATAATTTCTTCCTGATGGCATGTGAGCTAATTGAAAAAACTTATTTAGTAAGAAAAGGATAGACATATTTTCGTCATTTTCTTACTAATGGAATTTTATAGTTTCCCAGTAAAAAAAAACTAATTCAAATGAATTGAAACGAATTAACATTTTTGGTAGGCTCCAATTCGTATTTGTCACAAAGCGGGATTCACTCAAGCTCTTTGTATATTCAATTGAATTTAATTCAATATGTACCAATTTGTCCAAACGAATTCGCATTCGAAAGAAATGGCCAAGGAATGCATTGAATTCGTGCTAACAAATTGAAAAAAATTAAAGGCTCAAAACTTGTCCAGTGAATTGGTACGGATAGAAGGTTCGGAAGTTCAATACAGTTTCACGAATTCAGGAAAATTGCATCATGGCTCCAATTCGTATTTGTCACAAAGCGGGATTCACGAAAGCTCTTTGTGAATTCTTTTTAATTCATTTCAATTAGTTTTCGTTTACTGGGTTGTCCACATGCCACCAGGACTCTTGCCGAATCTGGGTAAATTATCTTAGGCTGCTGTTTATTTCTCGAAAAGTTATGCAGATTCCATTTTGAAACTCACCGATCGCCTAAAGGTAAGTATACACTTTCACCTTAAAAAAAAATTAATAAAAAAATTGCAGTTTTTTCAAAAATCGAAAATATAAATTTTTTTCTTTTACAAAGTTGACGCAAAAATTTAATTTTGTTTTTCCCTGATTTTCAGACAAAATTTCAACTTTTTCCGTGACGCTAAAAAAGATTCTGATGATTCACTCTAAAAATGATTAGATACTCAAAAAAATGTTTCATTACATTTATTTACGAATTTCTTTAATTGTTAAATTATTCGAAAACATGAATAACTTCTTTTTAAAATAAATATTAATTCTTCATTATTTTGTTATAAGAATTCAGATTTTCAAAAATTTTAAATTCAATAACTCATAAGATTATTTTATTATAATTATAAAACATGAAAATATCGACCACTCCGAGTCTTCGACTTGGAATGATCGATGTCTTCATGTTTTATTATTAAATATAACCGAGTAATAAAATCATTATTTTATATTATAAGAATATTTTTACTGTAACTTCTTCAAAATTATTTTCATTATCTTAATTCAATTATTATTTTCTAGAATTTCTAACTAAAATTTTTCTTTAAATCAATTGTTTTTAATAATTTTTCAAAAAGTTTTTATATTAGAAATAATTATATATTAGAAAATAAAAACTTCAAATACTTTTAAAAAAATTAATTCAGATATTCAAAGATTTTAATTTCAAAATTTTTAAAATTCAATTACTTCTAAAAATTCATACTATATTGGTTTTAATATTCAATTTATTACTATATAAAATTTTAACTGAAACACTTTTTCAAATCAATTTTTTTAGAAAATTCTAAGAGAATTCAATTATTTAAATTCTCAAAATTGATTTCTCATAATTAATTTTTGTGAAATATAATAAATATTATGAAAATTTTATTTTTAAATATAATTGAGTTTTTGTGGAAAACTTTATTTGTGAAAATAATTGAATTTCTTGATTAATTAATTTAAAATAGTGTTAAAAATAATTGAAATTCTTCGATGAGTTTTATTATTTATGAAAATAATTGAAATTCTTCACTGAGTTTTATTATTTATGAAAATAATTGAATTCTTGCTTGGAATTTTAAGAAACATTGTTTTAAGTAATTCAATTTCGAATAAAAAATTTATTACTTTTAAAAATAATTGAATTCTTGAAGATGAATATTGTTATTTATGAAAGTAATTGAATTTTGCAAAGAATATTATTAAAATGCCTCAAAATATTTGAATTTTCGGGGATAATTTTGTTATTTATCTTTAATAATTGAATTCCTGTAAAAAATTCTAATATTTTTGTAAGTTATTGAATTCTTCCAAAGAATTTTAAACAAAGATTTTTTTAAAGAATTGATTTTTTCGAGAAATTGAAATTCTATTTTTTAAAATAATTACATTTTTTTAACAATTCCTATAAAGTTGTGTTGAAAATAATTGAAATCCTGCGATGAATTTTATTATTTGTGAAAATAATTGAATCCTTGTAAAAATTTTTATTATTTATAAAAATAATTTAATAGTTGCTAAGAATTTTCTTAAAATTTTCAAAAATAATTGATTTTCTGTAGAAAATTTTATTATTTATATGAAAATAATGGTATTAATGAAAAGAAATTTTTTAAAAAATTGTAAATAATAATTGAATTTCTGTTAAATTTTTATTATTTATGAAAATAATTAAATATTTACGTAGAATTTTATCAAAATTTGTTTCAGAAATAATTGAATTCTTTTGGAAAATTGTATTAAAATAGTAGATATTAAAAATCATTCAATTTAGAAATATTTTTAAATATAATTTTAAAGTTTGACAAGGATTTTCTTAAAATTTTTGAAAATAATTGAATTTTTCCAATTATTTGTAATTTCTCCAAAATTCAAAATTATTTAGTGTTTTTTTAACTATAAAATTCTTCTATAAATCTGTTATTTTTAATAATTAATTAAATACATATTAAAAAATTTAACTAATTTCAGAAGAATTTGAATTATTAAAATTTGTTCGAAATAATCTAAGTTTGTTTAAAATTGATAATTAAATTCATTCAAAATTGAAATTTTTAAAAATTTTAAATTAAAACCTTTTAAACTTGATCTATTTATGAAAATCGTAGACGCAACTCTTTTAAAATTCAATTAATTTTTAAATATTTAAGTCAAATTATTCGTTAAATAATAATATTTAATAATTTAAAAAATTTAAATAATAATAATAATGATTCTATCACTCGGTTTTCAAATTAATTATGTGTGATAGTTAACTTAAACACAATTTTTTAACAATTTTTTTAATTAAAAAATTAAAAGTTTTATGAATTTGCCCATATAAGAATAATAATGTTTCATTTCCAAGAAGATTCACTGTTTCAAGTCGAAAAAATTGTAAAAATATCTGAAAAGTAAAATAACATCTGAAAAGAAAACTATTAATTAAATAACTTACAACTACAAAATTGTTTTTAATTTTTCAAAAATTGTTTATTTCGTACTATCAAAAAATGCATTGTGAAAAAATTACAATCAAATGCCATGAAAATTTGCTTACTGTCAGCTATACGTGTGACGAATAATTGAATGATAATTCGAATTAACAAAAATTTTTATATGAAATCAATTATAAGTAGGTATATAGTGAATATTTTTCTAAAAAAAATAATTGAATACTGCATCAATTAGGAAGTCGATTTTTTTAGGAGAATTGCGATACACGAGTTACAGGAAATTTGAGGATAAATGGCGATAGACAATTTAACGATTTTCGAATGACAAATATTCAGGCGCCTCATATCTGTATTTTTTTGCAAAAACTCTCGGTGGCACAAAAAAAAGATTACCTCTAAAAAAAATGCATTTGAATAAAATAAATGTTTAATTGTAGGATTAGTTATTCTTTTTTTTTAGTCTTTATTTAAAGCGAATCATATGTTTACGAAAACTGTAAAAATATATACAGAATCTCCCAGAGCGTATAAAAAATTTTAGAAAAGGAGATTTAAGAATAAACTTAAACTATCCATACAAAACAGGTACCATAAGGGGAGATAGATAGTAAATTTAATATATAGATCACATATTTAAAACAAACATTTTCAAAAACAAAAATTACTCTCACATTAAGTGTTATTTTTTAACATGTGAATCAGTTTCTTAAAGAATTTAACCTGAAACAAAAAATATTTACATTTCCAGTTCTTGAAATTTTTCTTTTAACTATTAAATAATTGTTTTTGATTCAATTTGGCCAAATATGTGTTTTAATTTTCTTTTTAGTTGAATTTAAAAAAAAATATTAAATATGAAAAATTAGTTAATTAAGAAAAAATTAATAATATATTTGTTAATTGAAAATATTTTTTCTGTTTAGTTAAAAATTAAATGTAATTAATTTATTGAAATTTCGAGATACTTCCAAAATAGATTTTCGGAATTTCTATAATTGTGAGCTTCTCCGGCATTGCTTCCATTGAAAAATGTTAATTCAGTTCTGGAACCTGAAAAAGAAAAGTGTAATAAAAATTGTTATGGTTAATGTACTTTTCAATCAAAGAAACGGTTTTCCGTCAATTAGCGAACACAAAAAAATATCCAAAGAAAAAATGGTTTTTTATGAAAATCTTTTTTTTTTTATTAATTTTGTGGAAATTAAAATAATTTATTAAATTTTAATTTTCTTTTTAACAAAACAAGAAAAAAAAAGAAACAAAAAACAAATGCAAAAATCAATTCAAAAAATTTTTGAATTGCTTTATGAAAATTGCATTCATTACTTTGGTACGATATTCATGTTGATAAAACTTAAAATGTTTCTTTGATTAAAGAACAAACACTTGCTATAAAACATTTTACAAGCAACTTTTAAAGGTGTATGGAGTTTTTTTTTTTTAAATGGAAAGTAGGAAGGTAAATGGGAAAATTCGCAAAGCTGAAAAGACCATTCAGCTTTTTTTTTTTTTGACAACTTCTTCAAATGCAAAATTAGCACTTTTAGTAATTGTAGTTCGATATTTATGGATTGTGATTCCCTTCGACGTGAATCTAACACTTGAAAATCCTCCCAATTACTGAAACATTTTTTGACATAAAAAAAAAGAAACATAAAATTCAAAATTATATACTTCGATCTTTAAAATTCTTATAACTCTCGATGAAAAAAAGAGCACACTTTTCAAACTCCCAAAGAGCTCTCTTAAAACTTGAGAAAGTTTTTTTTAAGAAAAATAAAAAAATAGTTTAATTCACATGCTGTGCTTCTAAACTTATTTTCATCTCCTTTTTTGATGTCTCTTTAGAGAAAAAACGATTCGGTACTTTAAACTTTAAATCAATATTAATAGGGCTTATTTCGCCAACTACTGCGACCCCTTTGCCTAAAACCGCCTCTACCCCCTTGCTTATAACCCCGAAGTCGTCCTCTGTTTCCTGAAACAAAAAAAAGAAGGATTTTATTAAATACAATTTTTTTTTAGATATTTTGGAAATTTCAAGTGACTTTTCAATTTACAAAGTAAGTAAACTAATTTTCCCTGACCCTATAGAATATTCTGATTTAGTCTAAAAATTATTAGATACTCAAAAAAATGTTCTATTAAATTTATTTACAAATTTCTTTAAAAGTAAAATTATTCAAAAACATCAATAACTTCTTTTTTTAATAAATATTCAATCATCAGTTTTCCATAGGAATTAAGATTTTCAAAACATTCGAATTTAAATCTTTTTGAAATTTAACAACTTATATAAGAATATTATAATAAAACATGATTAGATTAGATTTTATTTTTAAAAAATTATCAAATGCTAGCAAAAAAAAAAAACTTACCATAGTTTGAAGAGATGTTTGAACTGTATTTTCCACTTGGAGGAGTGTAAAGTTCCCTTTTATTATTTTTCATATCGTCTCGGTTGCGCTTATTTTCACTACTATCATTTCCAAATGTGATTGGCGTGTGACGCTTGTGTCCAGACACTGCTTTATCGGTCTAATGGAAAAGAAAACGATATAGAATATTTAGACATTTCAAGAGCCCTTTTTTTAAATAGTTTTAAATTAGTAAAAAATATCTATTAAAGAAGCTATAAAATACCTTTTGGGAATTAGTGATAATTTTCCAGGACAATTCAACAACGCTTTTGAAACTAGGTGGCGAATGAAACAAATCCTTAATTAAAGTATTGATATTATTTGTCGTTTTTAATGCAACAACTTTTAATTGATTTTCTTCTGATTTCAATTCCTCCTCCGATTTTCCATTAATCGCTTCACGCAACTTTTTAATATAACCTTGAATGCCACGCGCAAAATACTGCAATCTCAATTTAAACTCCTTCAATTGTTCTGCATCCTTAATTAAAAATTCTGGTGTTTGCTTGCAAAGTTTATGAAAAGCGTACATCAAACATTCGACATGACTGAATTGAAGTTTTGGAACTTCTGTTATCTCCGTATCAGGAGGTAGTGGCATAAAGGTCTAAAAAAACGATGAAAGAAAATTTTTATTAACAAAAACAATACCATTTTACCTTAAGACTAAATTGACGAATCGAAAACAAAAATTACGTACGATTAAAACATTGTAAAGTTGTTGAACTTTGTCTTCCGCTTTTTCGAGTGTACCACAAAATTCTGAAAGTTCAGCTAATTGCTTTAAAATTTCCAATTGAGTGTCACGGCCTTCGATTGATGAAATAAGTGATAAGTGTGGTAAAACTTGTACGCAAAGATATGAGACGAATTTCGATGAATTCGTTTGTGACTGTAAATAAATGAAAAGCGTATTTAAAAATTACTGCCTATGGCAGGCTTCACAGTGCTTCTAAAAAGTATTTTAGGGGAAATAGGGGACTGAAAATTATAAAATAGGGGACTTTTAGGGGACCATAAAATCAATATTAAATCATTTTTTTTCATTGGAATTAAGATGTTCAAAAATTTCAAATTGAACAACTCATAAGAATATTATTATAAAACATAAAGATGACAAAATCATTATTTTATTATTATAAGAATATTGTTACTGTAATTTCTTCAAAATTATTTTTATCATTTCAATTCAATTAACATTTTCTAGAATTCTTAACTAAAATTCTACTTTAAATCAATAACATCAATTATTATTCAATCAAACGTTTTCAAAAAAATTAATTCTACAGAATTGTTAGTTAAAAGTACGAAAAACGATAATTTAATTCTACGAGAAATCAATTATTTAAATACAAAAATAAATAATATTGAATGTTTCTTAAAATTTAATTTCTACGAAGAATTGTATTAACAACTTTTGAAAGTATTTAATTTCTTTAAGGCAATTTAATTAAAATTTTAATGAAATTTATTATATTAAAGAATTTTATAACAATTTTTGAAAATAATTGAAAACTTTTTGAAGAATTTTATTCAATTTTTTAAAAATAATTGAATTCCTAAGAAGAATTTAAATAATAATTTTTGAAAACAATTGAATTCATAGAAGAATTTTATTAAAATTTTTGAAAATAACTGACTTTTTGAGAAGAATTTTTAAAAAATTTTTAACAATAATTTAATTCTTGAGAAGAATTTCCCTATCTATTTATAAAAATAATATTGAATTCTTGACGAGAATTCTTAAAAAATTTTGAAAATAATTTAATTTTAGCAAAGTATTTTATTACTTTTCAAAAGAATTGAATTCTTGTGATAAAATTTGATATTTATCAAAATAATTGAATTTTGGAAAAGAATTTTATTTAAATTCCTTGGAATAATTGATTTTATGGGAAGAATTTATGTGATTTTGTTGTTTATCAAGCTAATTGAATTCTTCTACAAAATTATTTAAAAATTTCTGAAAATAATTGATTTTCTGCGACGAATTAAATGTTATTTATGAAAATATTTGAATTGTTGCAAAGAATTTTATTGTTTTATTGAATAATTGAATGTTTCTTGAAATTGAATTCTTTCCTCAAGTTTTAATAAAAATTTTAATTATAATTGCATTTTTCAAGGAATTTATTTAAAATTGTATATTAAAAATATTTGAAATTCTGCGATGAAAATAATTGAATTTGTAAATGAAATTTTATTATTTATAAAAATAATTGAATATTTTCGTAGAATTGTATCAAAAAGTTTTTTCTATAATTAAATATGTTGATAAATTTTATGAAAATAGTAAATATTGAAAATCATTGAATTCCAAAAAACTTTTGAAAGTAATTGAACTTTTGCAAAGATTTTTATAAATTTTTGAAAATAATTGAATTTTTGGCGAAAAATTTTGCTATTTGTAAAGATAATTGAATTCTTGACGAGATATTCGTGAAAATTTTTAAAAATAATTGAATTTCTTCGAAGAATTTTATTGCTTTTGAAAATAATTGAATTCTTGGGATGAATATTGTAACTTATGAAAATAATTGAATTTTGTGAAGAATTTTATTAAAATTCCTACAAATTATTGAATTTCTGTGAAGAATTTTGTTATTTATCAAGATAATTGCCTTAAAACTTTTGTAATAATTAAATGATATTAAAAAATTCATTCTTGTCAGAAATAGAAAAATTTTTTGAAGTTTTTGTATTAGAATTAGTGCTTTAAGAAGTTTTAGTGCAATAAGTAGTACAACGGTAAATATCAATTTACATTTAACTAGTCTTTAAGGTTCAAATATAAATTAGAAATATTTATTTTTACAAAAATTTGTTTTGTTAATTTTAATTTTCATAAAATTCAGTTTTCAGTTTAATACCTATTATTTATTTATTTATTTAAATGTACAAACGGGCATAAAAAGCCCTTTACAAATAATACTAAATATTGCAGACTAAAATTTTGTCTACAATTATATACAAAAATGAATCTATTAATATATTAATATATTATTAAACTAAGAGTCTTTTTAAACACATGAATGAAATAAACAAATAATAAGTTTCTAATCCATTTACATCCTAATTAAAGAAAATCTACATAATCATAATTAAATTGAACCAATTATTACATTTTGAAAAATAATTTAGTCTTTAAAAAATAATGTATGTCATAACAAGTTTGTGCAGATTATAAGAATTTAAAATACAACCAACTTCTAAACATAATTGAGACTTGACTTCACCAAAATACTAATCTTACAAATTTTAAAAATTTCATGAAAAATTTCATCGATCATAAATTTCAAGATTTGAAACTTTCAAAACACAAGTTTCCACAAGTTTCCAATTAAAGAAAAAAAGAAAAAAATAGGGGAAAATTTCAAAATAGGGTACGTTTAGGGGCAAAAATTAAAAAATGGGACTTTTAGGGAAATAGGGGACAGACCGTGAAGCCTGCTATGGGTTAATATTAAATTATGCGAAATTAAAAGAGTGTAATTTGTACTCACGTTAAAAAAGGGAAGTGCATGTTTTATACATTCGATAATTCTGCTACACTGCTCCAAATTCGTGTGTTTGAATGGTACAGTAAGTTCTGCTTGTTCTATTGCGATATCAATTAATTCCTGTTGTCCTTTAACTGTTGAGCCTAATTTTGTCCAGGCCAATACATCCATAATGATATGGAATTCACTGGCAGTAACATCCTGACAAAAATAGTAAACAAAAATTTAGTAAAATATAGTTTATCAACAATAATGATAGTTCATTATGCAACAAAGGCGTATTATTATTATTTATTGACCTAGGATAATAATGGGTTCTTTATTGACCTGCGAGCGGTCAATAAAGTACACTTTATTGCCATAGGTCAATAATGGACACTGTATTGGCCTAGGTCAATAATGGTCACTTTATTGACCGCTGGGTTATAAAGGGGAACTTAGTATGAAACTGTACAGGTAGATAAAGTGACCATAATACGCCTAAGTTGCATAAAATAATATAAAACTTATGTAACAAGACTATAAACTCAAGCTTTTAATTTTAATTTACAATTTAAAATTATTAAGCTTATTAAAGTTATTAAATTATTAAAATTTTAATTAAATTTAAATAAATAAACGCACCTGTAAAACTTTCTTGCATTCTGCTATCAATAAATCCTCGGCATCTTTTGTGATTACACTATGACCAAGAGCTTTCAACTTAGTACCCAAAAATTTAATGCAACGTTCACGAGTTGAATCGTCACCATTGAGAATTTGACTGAAAAATCCACTCAATGCACCTGGATAAATTAAATTTAACATTATATTAGAATGAATTTAAGTAATAATAATAATATAACGTACTAATGAGGCGCTTGAATATTCCATAAAGATTATGAATTAGAATATTTATTTAAACAAAATTTTCATTTAGCTGAATTTATAAATTTCTATTTTTATTCTGAAAAATGGAAATTCTGTCAAATGATATCTTGCGATTTTAAAATTTCAACCAAATGACAATTTGTGCAAATAAAAATTCGGAAAAAATGAAGACTCAAATTTATGGCATATTCATATAGGCACCGTTTTCTTATTCTACTAAACAAAACGAGCTGGTTATAATAGCGGATTAAATAATAATAAATGTAATAATTATAATCTAAGAAATGCATTGATTACAATAAACATATCTTACCTTTTGAGTCATTTTTGATAAGAGTCATAATACTGTTATGTACTACATCAAGTTCTGTTGGATCCTGAGCTTGCAAAAGTTGAGCTAAAATATCAGCGATTCTTGGTGTGTGTTCTGTGTTGTCTTTACATAACGTTGGCAAGTCTTTAATAGCCTGTTTTCGTATCTATTTACAAAGAATTGAGAAAAAAATAAATTAATGAAGGCTTTATTAAAGCTTATTAATATTTACGTCCAAATTTTTTATATTTTTATTTATTTTACAAAATTTTTGATTCACTAAGATTGAAGAAAAACAAATTTGATGAATGTACTTACAGCAATATCTTCATCTTCACAAAGATCTAAATGAGCATCAATTGCTTGATCGGCTAGTTTCGGAAAGTGCTTAAAGAATCTGGCAATAAACTGAGAAGCTAATCGCTTTTCTTTAGCAGATCCCTTAACAGCTGTTAGTATCTCCAGATACTCTTTTTCATGCTAAACAATATAATAATGGTTTTTTTTAGTAATGAAAATAAATAATAATATTTCAGGGTTGCCAGGCTTTTCTTATTTCAAATTCCCTGACTTTTCCAGGTTTTCCAGGTTAAAAAACGGAATTTTTCAGGTTTTTAAAACTACATTTATATTTTACCAAATTTTAATTTTTTATTTTATTTTTAATTTTACCAAACTCCCTGATTTCCAGACAAAACGACTTTTTTCCTGTCCCATTAAATTTATTTACAAATTTCTTTAATTGTAAAATTACTCGAAAACATCAATAACTTCGTTTTTAAATGAATATTTAATCATTATTATTTTTTTAGAGAAATTAAGATTTTCAAAAATTTTAAATTCAATAACATATAAGAATATTATTATAAAACATGAAGATATCGATCACTCCGAGTCTTCGACTCGGACTGATCGCTTTCTTCATGTTTTATAATCATAAAAACTTGATACTATCATTATTTTATATTATAAAAATATTTTTACTGTAATTTTTTCAAAATTATTTTCATTTCAATTCAATTCTTCATTTCTAGAATTTTTAACTAAAATTCTTCTTGAACTCAATTTTTTTTTTTATAATTTTTGAAAAAGTTCTTTGAGAATTTCCAAATCCTTTTGTTTACAATTTACGTCACTTCATTATTAAAACTTTTGAAAATAATTGAATTCTTGAGACGAATTTTATTAAAATGTCTTTTTAATTAATTGAATTCTTTTATGAAATTTTATTGAAATAGTAGACATTGAAAATAATTGAATTTTGACAAATTTTTGAAATTATTTAAATTTCTACGAAGAATTTTATTAAAACTATTTTGAAAAAAAATTGAATTGTTACAAAGAATTTCATTAAAATTTTTCAAAATAATTTAATTTTTAAGAAATTTAATTAAAATTTTTTAGAAAATAATATCTACTTAAATTCTAATAAAATAAATAAATTGTAGCAAAGGTTTTTAAAATTGAATTTTTTTGATGAATTTTAATAAAATTTTTAAGAATAATTTCTTTTTCGAGGAATTCCATTAAAATTGTATTAAAAATAATTAAAAGTCTGCGATGAGTTTTATTATTTATGAAAATAATTGAATTCGTGTATAAAAAATGTTATTATTTATGAAAATAATTAAATGTTTGCGTAGAATTAAAAAATTTTTTTTAAATAATTGAATTCTTTTGGAAAATTTTATTAAAGTAGTAGTAAAAGTAGTAGCAAAAGTATAAATTTTTTAAAATTTTTATTTTAATAATTATTTATTACATTATTTTTAATTAAAAATTCTTAAAGTTTTAAATAATTTTATTCAATTTGAAACAATTTTAAATTCTGTCAAATTTCATTCAAATTAATTTTATATTTTAAAGAATTTCATTTGTTTACCTTTAAATATTATTTTGAAATAAAATCGAATTTTAAAGAATTCTAATTGAAAATTTGGAAAACAATTAAATTAAATTAAAAAAAAACTGTTAGAAAAATTACATTTTTAAAAAATGAAGAATTTTCATTAAATTTAAAAAAAATCTTTTTTTTGTGCCCACTGAAAACTTTTGTTCTATTATTTTTTTTCATTTGTTTTTCCTGGCACTTCATAATTGGTATAAAATAACTTCTTTTTTTACTAAAAATTAAGAAAAATTTTTGTCCTCAACATTATTCGAAAGTTAACGAATGGACAAATTTTTCTTCTCTTGGCAAAATTTTCTAAATTTCTTAAAAAGTTGTTGAAGAATAGGTTGAAATTTTTTTGCAAATTTTAACGAAATAGCGAAACTTTTCAAAAATTTGTTTTATTTTTTTGTAAATTCCCGTCAATTTTCTGTGTTTTTTCGGCAAACGTTGCTTTTGAATAAAAATCCGTTTGGAAAATTTTATTCCATTCACCTTTCTTGGATAATTTATTAAATTTAAAAAAAATATGGAAGGAGACAATTTTAACTTTTTATAAATTTTACCTCCACTTGAAATATTTTTTTAAGTAAACATTTATTGTTTTTACACTTTGAATTGAAAATAAAAATTTATTCAACTCGTTTTTATTAAATTTAAAAATTCGAAGCAAACAAAACGAGATTCGTGGCAAAATGATGACCGATTGGAAATTCTTCGAAATAAAAAAAAAGTTATAGACACTTAAATTTTTTTATTATCATAGTTGAAAATAATTGCGTCTAAACAAGAAAAAAGTTGTTGTCAGTAATGAAATTTTTCATTTACTGCTCCACAAGCAAAGTTAATTTGAAATACAAAAAGTCTTTATAAGTAAATACTGAATATACGCAAGTGATATAGTGACGAAGATTGTTGTTAATATTTAACCTCTAAATTACAAAATTTAAGTAGTGAAATATTACAAACATTCCTACCCATTAAATTTTATGTTATTAAAATAAAATAATAATTTGAAGAAAAAATAAACAATTTCACAATATAGAGAATAGAAATAAAAGGAAATTTCTAAAAATACATAATATTAACTGCTCACCTCAGTAAGTTTATCTTTGGCGTCAGCAAGAATCCCAAAATTTTTATATAACTTCTCAATACTATCCGTACTCATTGTAAATATTTACTTCTTACTTTCATAAAAATTTTAATTCTACAAAAGCGAATTTATTACTGACGCTACTTAAGTTCCGCGCTGCTTAAGTATTGCTACAATTTTTCTTTCGGATCAAAAATCAAAATAACCGGCCTGTATACTACGCCAAAAACTGTCCTTCCTGAAATGGAAAATTGATCATGGACGATAAAGTATAATGATTGGTTTACGGAAGTTGACGGAAGCTTCTACGCGCCACCAACCAACCAATCGGCATTCAGCATTCACTTTGTGCGTGGAAGCTTCCGTAACTTGTGGTACGAAATAACGCCACTTGCGTCTGTGACGCATCCGTGTTTAGGTTGAGTCCACAATAGCACTCTTCGTTACGTTTACGTTCCGTTCAAGAGTGCTATTGTGGACTCAACTTTACTTTTACGCAAATTCATTGTGCTTATGCCTTAAGCTATATTCTAAACAATTGTGCAAATACGCACAAGTTTAATGTTGATGCCGGCCTTCGTCTTCAACAGCATCCCCAATATTCAAGTGATAAATAAAATTTTTAATCATTTTTGCTTATCCCTTGTCACCGATTTCTCATATATACAAAACACAAGTTGTCTCCTTGAATAATTCACAATATTTTATTCTTTCAATCAAATAAAATACGTCTATAGAAATTTTTAACTAAGCTTTAGAGAATTTGTTGTGTTCGGTGAAAATGACGCCTCCTTTAGGCCTATTCGATTATAGCTTTAGAGGTTATGTGAGTTGTTGACTTTTTTATTAAGTGTAAAATTTGAGACAAAAAGAAAAGTTTAAATAATGGGTCAGGGTACAGAATCGTGCACTGATAGACCCAGTGAGGTTAGTGTTATCAGATTCGTGTCTAGGAATCGTACCATTGAAGAAATTGTTCCAAAAAAGGTATTTGTACTTCATAATGATTGCAGTTGGCTTGCTGTAGTACATACACATCTCCATCTTTTCCTGGATAAAAATGTTTGTTTTCTTTCTTTTACATTCAAAAAAAGTATTTAATAAATGATATTTTTATTTTATAGTTGCATTGTCTCTTATTTTTCTTTCTTTATCCTTCATTTTCAACCTTTTTTTTACCTATGTATGTGCGATTTATATTTTGTATACATATATATGTAATAAAATTTCATTTACGAATTCAATTATTTTCATCGCAGAATTTCAAATATTTTTAATACAATTTTAAATAAATTGCTTGAAAAATGCAATTATTATTAAAAATTTTATTAAAACTTGAGGAAAGAATTCAATTTTAAGAAACATTCAATTATTCAATAAAACAATAAAATTCGTTGCAATAATTCAAATATTTTCATAAATAGCATTTAATTCGTCGCAGAAAATCAATTATTTTCAAAAATTTTCAAGTAATTTTGCAAAAGAATTCAATTATCTTGATAACCAACAAAAATTCTCCTTATAAAATCAATTATTTTAAGGATTTTTAATAAAATTCTTTTCCAAAATTCAATTAGTTGGATAAATATCAAAATTCTTCTCAAGAATTCAATTATTGTCAAAAATTTTAATTGAATTCTTGGCCAAATTTCAATTATTTAATAAAATACTTTGCACGAATTCAATTATAATTATAAATTTTAAAGAATATCTCGTCAAGAATTCAACTATCTTTACAAATAGCAAAATTTTTCGACAAAAATTCAATTATTTTCAAAAATTTATAAAAATCTTTGCAAAAGTTCAATTACTTTCAAAAATTTTTTGCAATTCAATAATTTTCAATATTTACTATTTTCATAAAATTTATCAACAGATTTAATTATAGAAAAAACTTTTTGATACAATTCTACGAAAAGATTCAATTATTTTCATAAATAATAAAATTTCATTTACAAATTCAATTATTTTCATCGGAGAATTTCAAATATTTTTAACACAATTTTAAATAAATTCCTTGAAAAATGCAATTATTATTAAAAATTTTATTAAAACTTGATGAAAGAATTCAATTTTAAGAAACATTCAATTATTTAATAAAACAATAAAATTCGTTGCAATAATTCAAATATTTTCATAAATAACATTTAATTCATCGCAGAAAATCAATTATTTTCAAACATTTTTAAATAATTTTGCAAAAGAATTCAATTAGCTTGATAAACAACAAAATCACATAAATTCTTTCCATAAAATCAATTATTCCAAGGAATTTAAATAAAATTCTTTTCCAAAATTCAATTATTTTGATAAATATCAAAATTCATCACAAGAATTCAATTCTTTTGAAAAGTAATTAAATACTTTGCAGAAATTAAATTATTTTAAAAATTCTTGACAAGAATTAAATTATTCTTATAAATAGATAGAAAAAATTCTTCTCAAGAATTAAATTATTGTCAAAAATTTTTTTTAAATTCCCCTATTTCCCCTAAAATACTTTTTAGGGGCACTGTGAAGCCTGTACTTTGTATAATTATCTATACTTAAATTATTTTTAATTAGTAAATACCTACATAATGTTTTTCAACAGAACTTTTCATCATTTTATTTGTTTTGAGTAATATATGCTTCTAAGAAAATAATTCTAATAACATTAAATAAATCGAAAAAGGGGAAGTGACACTTTTGAGGTTGCTTTAACCTATTTTTCATGATTTTTTTTAAGTCACAGGAATAAAGTAAATAAAATTTGGTTTTCAGAACTTTATTTGTTAAATTTTTAAATTTTACAAAAATATATTTGTGACGCGACCCCAAGAAAGGTACCTAAGAAGCAAACGAATTATAGGTTGGGTTCGAGTTAGATTTATCTTGATTAAAAGTTCATTTTTAATTATTTGAATTTGAAACCAATATTCATTAAATATTTTGAATATAATAAAGACTTGAAGACCAACAATTTTTAATTATTAATTGATTCTCTTTCTGTATTTTTACTCAAAAAATTTAAAACATAACCTCAAATTTTTTCCTTCTTAGGTACCTTTCTTCGGGTCGCGTTACATTTCTAATTACAAAAAGTTTAAGTTCATGGCCTGTAGAGAGTGTCAAAGTTGGTCTGGTTTTCCTGAAAGGCAAATTGCTGGGCAAGATTCCGGTTAGACGGTTTAATCTAAAACAAAAATTCAAATTTTTTCAGAATAGAATAGATATAACTTTAGAGTACGTAGGATATTTTAAATATATTAATTTTTGTAGATTTGGCAGCTTTTTGAAGAAAAATGTCAATTTTTAGGGCTGCGTACTCTAAAGCAATAATATAACCCACACAGCATCTAAACTTTTCTAAAGGTTGAAATTAGCTTGACAGCAATTTTGGGAATCTTTAGTTGCAAAGCTCATTAAAGTTGAAGTAATTCTTTAATTTTTCAACTGTTTTTCTATATTTGACTGAACATTTAGTCAACTTTTACGTTAAATATTGAATAACATCGGGCATTTAAAGATAACAACTTCAAGTTTCATGCGCTTCGCAAATCGCAACTAAGGATTCCGAATTTTGCAGTCAAGTTAATTTCAACTTTCAGGAAATTTTCGGCGCTGTATGTTCAAGCTAGACTGCCCTCGGTTTTAAAAATGTCATTTCGAAAAAAATATGTTTATACTTTTAAAATATGAGAATTTATAAAAAATGAACTCACCGCTACTCAGCGATGCCTGCATCATATAACCGGCTTGCTACATGAATATTATTGGCTTCATCTTCAGCATATCGAGCGACTGTGATCGGTCTTCGAGCTTCTTGAGCTGCTGGAGTTACAACGATAAATGACAAAATATCCTATAGCGCTAAAAAAACACTCAAAGTGCTCTTGGACCTTCTTTTCAGATTACAATAATTATTCTCACATAAAAAGATTGCGAAACCTCTTCAAAAAATACATCCTTTAATCTATCACCTATCTACTTAATAACTATACAGAAAATTTACGTCTTGTATATTTTAAACTATAATATTACATATTTTTCTTGTTCTATAAAATAGTTGTGTAATTTTTTGATTTCAATTTATAGGAAGTTTACGAATGTAAGCAACGTGGATGTGGAAAGATTTTTACAAATCAAGATGAATACAAGACACATGAAATTTTGGAAGCACTCAAAATTCGATTTATGTAAGTTGTAATGTAATTCAGAAGAACATTTTTAGTGAACATGAGGAATCCTACTCTTCATTCGACGACATGTTTTCGGAAATGTTAAATATATTCTTCATATTATCTTATAGATGCCGTGAACCTGGATGTGGTGAAGAAGTATCAGATCCAGGAAGTATGTGGCGTCATTATCAAGAGTGTCATAATGAAACAAACGTCTTCGTTTGTCCATACACTTCTTGTTCCTCCACTTATGTGACTAGTGAAAGTCTTGCCGAGCATATTGAAACTTGTCATAGACAACCGCCAACACTTCCCACTGAACCAGAAATTATTTGTTTTGTCGAAGGTTCCGAGAATGCACACGAGGATGATATTAGTCAATGCAATGAAGAGGGATATTTTGAGACTGATATAGACAGACATTATCAAAATGCAGAAACAATAGTTTCTGGTGGTATCAACTATTGTCTTTCTGTAAAGAACGAACAATCGAAACAAGAACGAAAAATAACGACAAAAGCTCAACAAAAAGAAGATTATAGTCTTGAAGCACAAAAGTTAAAAGACAAAAATCATTTGCCTAATCACTGTAGAATTTATGCTAAACTTCCAAAGAATGAGGATCTTTTAATAACAAAAGAGAATTTCCTCATGAAATATGAAGCGAGAACGTCAAAATGTAATGATAATTTTCAGGTAAAGTAAATTCTACCAGATTTTGCAGTAATTTTTTATAAAGAATTCTAAATATAGTATAGTCTTTTTACTTATTTTCAGAATCAAGTTAGTGTTGTCTTCGTCAATGATGATGTTACCATGACGAAAAATATGAATTCAACAAAACAAATTTCTTCTCCAAGTAATAATCAAATTATAGATATGGAAAATTTGGATAGAATACTTTTCAGTAGTTTGGATTGTCAAAATATGAAATTGGAAGATGTAGCAATTAATCAAGGTACAAATTGTTCCGACGATGAGGAGTACACTCCAAAAAAGCAAAGAATGTCAAGATATAAAAAAGAAACCTATAGATGTGAAGTTGAAAGTTGTGGTAAGAATTAAAATTATTTAACATTTAAACTTTAACTACTAATTATTTTTCTACAAACGTTTAAACTTGTCATTTTTACTCTGAATTTCAGATGCAAGGTTTTAGGTTGTGAATTAAAGTTAAAATGTCTTCGTCGATGTTATAAAAATAACCATTTATGAGTTATATTCATAATTCATTTATCGGTGAAGTTTAAAAATTTGCAAAACAAAATATTCTTTTCTGCAGTTAAATTCTGCGTGAAGAAATAATTTCAATGAAAAACTGTAAGACTGAATTAAAATCTAAGCACATATAAATATGTTGATGAGGATCATGAACATTCGTCTCTGCTGAAATTGATTATCATCTAATCAAAGTTCATAGTAATGTATCTAATCCAAGAATTACTTGAAATAGAATTGTAGTCTTTAGTATATTGAAATTAAGTCATTTAAAAGTATATAGTAGAATTAAGTGCAAGGGAAGTAAGGTAAAGTATAATTCTTTATATTAACTATATAATGGAAAAAGAAAATGATGTATGTGATAAACATACTCAATTTCTAAATAGTTAATATACATAAATATTAAATATTTCAAAAATGGTGACTATATGATTAAGAATTTAGTCAACTACCACAAAAGAAACATAAATACTCAGATACATTTAAAAACTTTAGAATTAAACATAGTCTAGTCAAGAATTTTCTACTTGTCATTAAAATTTAACGATAGCGCAAAGAGGCAAAAGAACAGTAAGTAATGCTTTGACTTAAAAGAATAATTATAAATAATTATGTTAAAAATCTATTCAGTATAAAAGAAAATTGCGAAAATGTAAAATGAAATTTTTATAGGATAAAAATTCTGTTTGTGCCCAAAGAACCAGTAGTAAATGTCAAGATTTTTAGTTTCCCTCTCTTGGGGCGGAACTTATTGAAACTTTATCTACACTATTAATTAATTTCTTAATTTTAAAATCAAAATTGTTTTTATTTAGCGCCGGAATATTTTATCCAAAAGATTTATTTTATATTTTAACAATTGTCTAGCTAATTCAGAATATACTATTAGGAAAATTCCTAATAGTCTGAAGATCGTGGAGAGTTAGGAGAAAAACACATTATACACACCTTCACTGAATTTAAATTCACACAATTTTATATATAGTCTTCTTATCAATAGTCTGAAGATCGTGGAGAGTAAGGAGAAAAACACATTATACACACCTTCACTGAATTTAAATTCACCAAATTTTATTTAATTACTATTTAGATTGATTTAGTTATAATCAGACAATTAAATTATTTGACTGAAGCATCGTCCAGACATCACTGTTTTTTTTTACCTTCTGTTGAGATTTTATTTTAAGAATATCCGTATGTACTTATTAATTTACTCCAGGAATATTGGATATATAAAATTCAGGTTAATGCAGGTTACTTTTAGACTATTTTATTCAGAAGCGTAAAAAAATGAAGTTTTTAAAGGAAACAAGAGTTTGATAAATATTCTAAGCTAGGAAGAGAAAATCGAACTGTATGTCTAGTATTCTGAGAATTAGTAAACTTTCAGCTGAAGATTTGAGATGTTATTACTTTGACGTTGTTTTAGAGTTCTAGGAAGTAAAATAAAAAGAATAATATTTAAAAATTGAAGAAAATAACTTAAAAATTTTTATGTATCTGTAATTTTACAAGTTTTTAATTTGTATTCCGCATTATTAAAATTTACCGTAATATTAGATATTACTATTTTATTATTAAAACTTTATAGTAACTAATCAGGTGTACTAAAAAGAAGTAAAAGATTTATTTTAAAAAATGAAATCATTTTTAAAAAACAATATTACAAATATTTTAATATATTTTTTACTTCTATCATAAATATAAATATTTGCTTATAAATATTATTGATGTACTCAAGAAATATTTTTACTTTCTTATCATGAAATAGACTAAAGAAATAGGAGGTCATAGTCTATCAATCATCAAATTTACTGGATTTTTTTTTTTTGGCTAAAAATTTTAAAATGAAGTCGACTCTGAAATGCCGTCCACGAGAAATATACTTCTTTTAATGCAAACTGATTTACACAACACGAGTGGAATGTAGGCCTAAAAAAGGCTAAACATTTGTTCACACAAAATTAAAATTTGACCCTCATTCTTTATATACAGATAATTTATTAATGGTTCAATAGGCACCAGTGGATAATTATGTTTAGTAAAATTTAACAAGAGTCAGAAACATTTATGAGAAAAATACTTTTTTTTAATTCATAAAGTAGTCAAAGTTACACTTCCTGTTTTTTTGCATTTTTTCCTCATAATATTCATTGGAGAGTTGTAGAGAACGAAATTATATTATTGTATAAACAAATTTCGCAGTATTCATCCATAATGTGAATTCGAGAGTGTATAAAATTTCATATTCCAAAAAATTAAAACTGTTGTAATGGAAAATGTAAAAGTGTGTACACGGAGAAAATTTGTTCCTTACATTTTACCGAATTTTTCAATAAACTTGGGATATAGTAGCATAATCGTAATTTTTAATAATTTTTATATTATTTTTTCGGTAACAATATTTAAAATCTAATGTGATATCTTTATTCCTTAAGAACTAGTACTGTAAAAGTTGAAAAAAAATTGAAACTGAACGTTTAATGTAAATTAAATAAATACCTCCTTGATGGGCACTAACGTTTCAGGAATAGTTCGGTAAAACTTTCTTGACTTGCCTAAAGTGTTAGTTTTCAGGAATAGTTCGGTAAAACTTCCTTGACTTGCCTAAAGTTTTAGTTTTCTGGATTAAAATACTTTATTTCAAGTGTCCCGCAGTCAAATGAAAGACTTTCACACTAATAGTTGATTTTTCCAACTTATTTAGACTTAATTAATAATCATTTTATTATTATTTAAATTAAAATTCAATTAATTAATTATTTTAAACACTTATTAATTGCCAAATATGAAATAAATGCTTTTAAATCAAGTAAAAAGAAAATATAAAATGGCAATAACATACTTATTTTTTTAACATATAATTTATTCATTTTAATTAAATATGAATAATAGTAAGTAAGTAAGCAAATAAACATAAGTAAGTAAGCAAAAAGGAAATAAATAAGTAAGCAATTAAACATATAAGTATGTAAGCAAGTAAATAAGTAGGTAAGCAAGTAAGCAAAAAGGAAATAACTTGCTTGCTTATACTAGCTTACTTTCTTATTTGCATACTTACTTGCTTATTTCTTTCTTGCTTACTTTGCTTACTTGCTTACCTACTTATTTGCTTACTTTGCTTATTTGCTTACCTACTTATTTGCTTACTTCCTAATTTCCTTCTTGCTTACTTGCTTGTTTCCTTTCTGCTTACTTACTTCCTTATATGCTTACTTGCTTACTTTCTTATTTCCTTCTTACTTACTTTGCTTACTTTGCTTACTTGCTTATTTCCTCCTTGCTTACTTTTCTTACTTGCTTATTTCCTTCTTGATTACTTACTTTCTTATTTGCTTACTTTCTTACTTGCTTATTTCCTTCTTGCTTACTTTATTCTTTATTTGCTTACTTGCTTATTTCCTTTTCGCTTTTTAATACCTCACAATTATTATTTAATATTTCAGAAAGATTAATTTTCTATTAATTAATTTAATAATTTCCAACTTGCACTTTTAATATGTATATTTTTAATTTTAAACACAAAAATTTGAGAATAATAAGGATTTTCATAAATTATTGTTTTATTCCATTAAATACAAATTTAAACATTTTTCTTTATAATAATAAAAACATAATTTAAAAATATTTCATAAATTGACCTTGAATATAGTTAGAAATGATTCATTAATATAAATAATTTTTAATTTTGTACAACGATAGTTTATTAATTTGAATCTTTCTCACAAGCGGTGAAATAAAATTGAGATTAATATATAAGGACAGTTGAAACTTTCTGAAGCATTAATGTAAAGCGTGCGATGTGTGTATTAGTGTATGCGTTTAGAATGTACTGTAGGCAGGTGTATCAATTAGTATTTGTTCGTAAACAATTGTAAGGGGTTTAGGTAGTGATTAAAGTAGGTAAATTGAGAGTTACGGCAGTATTAATATAGATCTACTGAAGTAACATTATTTTTTATTTTTGTTCTTCAAGTTTTACCGAACTTTCAGTAAATTGCAACTCGTCAGTTTTACCGAAGACTTTAACTTACGTTTTACCGAACTATTCAATAAATTGAAACTCGTCAGTTTTACCGAAGACTTTATCTTACGTTTTACCGAACTATTCAATAAATATGAATGTAGCGAGCACTTGGCTTACGTTTTACCGAACTGTAAGTGAAGCGCTAATACATGTATCGTGAGCTTTATGATTTTTACATTATTTTTCAATGCAATTTCTTTTACAGTCTAGTTCTTGAAAAATTACTGTTTTGACACTTCATCCCAGTTTTACCGAACTAAATTCAGTAAAATTTCAGGAATAAATTTTCTCCGTGTATAGACATTTTCAATCTTTGTATAATTAAAAAAAAGTAATGTAGATTTGTAATTAATTCCTCTAAATTTTCTATTTCATTAATTCTTTCCGTTTAGAAAGAAAACATTTTTTTTAAAGAAACAATTTAAGAAACAGAATTGAAAAAATGTATTTCACAAATATTTTCATTCGAACAAAATAGCTTTTTGTGATTTCTGAAATTATTTTAACCTGTTTTAAATATTTAAAAAAAAATATCTTTATTATCTTTATCATCAGGATTAATATAATTTTAATCTATTTTAAAATATTTGTAAACAGTAATTTTTTAATTTCAAAAACAAGGAATTTTCCGTCTCATATCTAAATGTATGCATTAGTTTTGCAAAAATTAGAAAATAATCGCATATATATAAAATTTTAAAGAATTAAATAAATTAATGATAATTATAATAACTTTACATTATGTAGAAGTAATGAATGACTTTGAAATTTAAGAATTTTACTAAAAACTTTTATTATAGTTGAAATTATTATTTTAATTTTTTTTAAAGAACTTGTAATTTATTATTGCAAAAATGAGAAAATACGATGTGATCGCTTAAGTTTTCCGCATTTGTGAACGCATATATATTTAAATGAATATTTGAATATCGATAATAAAATTTTCGATTTATATATATGTTGGGAAATTCTTAGAAATATTTAGATATATATTTTCAAAACAATTTTTCTATTTTTCTTTGTACTATAGACAATAGAAATTATAATTTTAAAAAGTTACTGATACACTGCAGCGCATATGTAATATGCGCTTTGAAGAAAAGTATCCAATATACAAGTTTAGAATAAAAGCAGAAAAAATTTATTTATTGATATTTACGTCGCCATTCTACTTACGACAGATATATTCAATAAAAATTCTTTCGAATTATGTTAATGAAGATAAAAATGTATCTTCTTTCTTCAGTGGTCACGTGTTCCGCATAGTTTCACTACTATTTGAACACGGGACCACTGAACAACATGACTTTAAGATATAACCTATTAGCTTTTTTTGTTTATAGCCATTTTTCTTCAGAGCGGATAACAAATAAGTATATTAATGATTTTCAAATTGTAAAAATTTTTTAGTTTATTTCTATGAATTGAATATAATGTAACAAATAAATTATTTCTTCCTTATTCGCTCAATTCTAATGAAATTTGTAAATTCTTACGAAACGAATGACAAACTTTCATAAAAATAAAATAAATAAAAATGGTTAAACTTATTTTGTACATTTTATCATTATTAAAAATAAGCAAAAATATTTATCCATCTCATATCTGAATTCAAACGATATTTAATTTAACTTTACATTTTTTGTGTTTTAATGTTTACAATATTTACAATACGCCATCTGGTGGCGATCTATTCGCCCCTCCAATTTTCTTTCTTTCTCTCTCTTCAATTAACAGGTTTGAAAGAGTGGAAAAAACAAAATGGAGGAATTGAGCATTCTTACATATAGCATTTGAATTTATTTCTAATTTGCTTATATGATTATTACAATAATAAATATTAATTTTTTGAATAACTTTTTTTTCTTTTGTATCATCGCATTTTCAAATTAACGGTGTTGCGCAATTTCAAACAGTGGTCGCCAGTGGTCGCCTTTTAAAAATGGCTACTTGAACGTAAACATAATTTCAAAAGGATTTTTCTCCAAATTTGGACAATTATTGCAAAATAGGGAAAAATACCAGTAATGGTACGGTCACAGCTCGGCTGCCTGCCTGCCTGCCTGCAGGTCGTCATGGCAATACATAAGAGTAAGAGAGTCAGACAATTTAAATTATTCGTCTCCTCTCTCTTACTCTCGTGGCGGCTGCCTGCGCAGGCAGGCAGGCAGCCGAGGTGTGACCGTGCCATTATCCTGAAATTTTGTTCTTTCATTTGTGCACAAGAAATTGAAAATCCAATATAATACACGACGTCAGGAAGTAAAATAAGAAAATTAGAAGTGCCCGTTAGGTGCTGCCCTCTGGTGTCAATTTTATGTTGTTTAACTTTTTCTTATTTTACTTCCTGTCATTGTAAATCTATAAATAAATCTTTTACTTCTTGCGCGCAAATGAAAGATAAAATATTCAGGATATCTTGTATTTTCTCCGATTTTCCAATAACTGCCCGAATTGGGAGAAAAATCATTTTCAAATCAAGTATACATTTGAGAAGCCATTTTTAAAAGGCGATCACTGCGGAACACCATTAACTTACATGAAAATTCAGACAGATAAAAATTATAGCAATTAGAAAGTATAAACGTATAAAGTATGTAAATTCGATTAAAATATTATTTACTTACATTCTTATTAAGTTATAAAAAATGTCAATTCGAAATAAACAATAAATTTCGTTCAATTTACAATTCGTTCTGGTTTCAACAGAAATTATTGCAATTTTCAATTCTAGTGTTGTGAATTCTACTTAATATTCGTCTGAGGCTGAGGCCCTGACGTTTCTATCGTTTATATATTCATTGATATTCATTGTAGCTTGCCCCCCCCCGTGACACTGGTTCCAAATGGAGGCTATAACAGCGCGATGTCTAGAAGTTGCACTTTGGTAGGTGTTAGTTTTTTTTATTAATAACATAAGATTATGTATTAAATTTTATATATTTGCGTTGAATGAAAATCATATTGTTAAAAAATTAAATTGATTCCCCGGCGGTCTGTCAGACCGCTATTCTATATATAGCTCTATATATTTTTGTTGTGATTTTAAACTATGTTAATAATACCGACAGTAACAATTTAATAAATTTTTATTATATCTTTATTATATTTGTAGATAAATAAATAATTTAAGTATTTTCATATGTCGTTTATACCGTTTATAGTGTGTCATGAAAACACCAAAACAATAATTGTAGGTTATCTTGAATAAGTAAAGTTATTTAATTTAATAATTAAAATTTTAGTTTAATTTATTTTATTTCAATTTATTATTTCTAACGTACCTCTACTCTTTTCTCATCTTTAATTCAATAATTGTAAGTCTGAAAAATTAAAACTTTACTGTATAAATATACGCGTCGTATTATTATTATTATTAAATATTAGAATTGTTTTTTTATCTGTTCGAAATTATAACAAAGCCCCATAAAAAAATAAAAGTGCCATATGCGGCAGACCATGGTACCCTACCCATATGTATTTTGGTGCGCTGAACACGATCCCGGGTCCCAAAATTATCCATCACGTCAGGATTTTGAGAAAAGTGGGGGTAAAGAGTCCAAAAACGTGTTTTTGAGGGTTTTTAACATTTTTTTTCTCTTTAACCTGACTTGCTAGAAAATTCCACAAGATCTCAAATTAAAGCTTGAAATGTGCACTTCAAGACCCATACGGTAAAGACAAAAAAAAATTAAGAATTCCCTACTAAAAATAAAATCAGGAATGGTCAGACAAATGGTCAGGCCGCCTGACCACTTTAATCCAGTTTTCTTACGATTCTGGATGGATCTCGTCAGAAATCTATCACAACTGATCAGGAGGAAGTTTAAAGTGGTCACAAGTTTGCTACTATCCCCTCCTCTTTGTTGACCCCGCCCATAATTGGTGACTATTTGAGACCATTTGTATCTCATTTTTGACCATATTTTTAAGCCACTTATATTTTATTAATTAATATCAGTTTGTTTACATACGGAACAACTTGAAACTAATTCCCGGAATTAAATTAAAATTTGGACCCTACGGGGATCGAACCCCGACGCATGACCTAACCTAGTGCCTAAACTAACTGCCCTAACGACTGCGACTACCGAACCGACTTACATATTTCTGGATTCAACTGTCTATATAAAGAGCAACTGTAAAATAGTAAAATTCAATTACCAATATTATCAAGAAATCAGAATAAACTGTTAAATAATTTTTATTAATTAATTATGTTTCAATTTAGTCATAATAGGTTATGTGAATTAATAAAAATTAACATTATTAATTGAATCAATAATAAATTAAGTCTTAACTTTACAATTTGAAATGTTTCATAAACTATAATACGAATACAGATTAATAATAATTATTATTATATCTGCATTTAAAATGAATTTAGTATTTAATATTAATTTAATTTAACATTATAATTTATAATAATAATGAATTATTAATGCAATATTGAAATTTTTATAAATTTAAAATTTAAATTATTAATAATCATTATAGTAAGAAATTATTCTATTAATGATTAATAATAATTTAAATATAACTGTATTTCAATTATAATGCAAATACTTCTCATAATAAGTACTGACTGGTATAGTAAATTACTAATATTATGAAACAAAATTTATTATTAATAAACTATATTAATTAATTATTAGTAAATATACATATATCAAATTAATATATTATAAATATATACATTAAATAAATATATTAAATAATGTTAAAAGAATGGTCCGAATGTTTTGATTTATTTACCTACATTTGCTGTATAATTAATTCAATAATTATACCAATTTGAAAAATGAGAACTTTTGTTAAGTTAAAAGAACAATTTTTATAGGTTATGTGTTCACACATTTCAGAAATAGTCAAGAATTTCAGAAATGGTCAGGAATTTCAGAAATGGTCACAGCTTCGAAAATGGTGGGAGTAAAGTGGGAGGAGCTTGGAAAGTATTTGGTTAGGAATGGTGAGAAACGTTCGAAAACGTCAGAAGTGGTGAGACTGTTCAGAAATTCTGACCATTCCTGACGATTCCTGATTTTATTTTTAGTAGGGTTTTGGGAGAAGTGTGGGTAAAGAGCCCACAAAACGTGTTTTTGAGGGTATTGAACATTTTTTTTTCTTTAACCTGACGTCAGGTACCTGACGTTTTTTCGAATCTTTACTCCCACTTTTCTTAAAATTCTGACGTGATGAGCAATTTTAGGACCCAGAATCGTGTTCAGTGAACAAAACTACATTATAGAAACAACTCAGATATCAGAAAAAACGAAACATTTTTTGGGGGTTTACTTTTTCTAAAATCCTTGGTTTATTTGTCTTTTGCATATAAGTATTTTGCATATGGGTGCCAAAATTGACTATCACGTCAGGATTTTGAGAAAAGTGAGGGAAAAGAGTTCAAAAAACGTGTTTTTGAGTGTTTTCAACATTTATTATCTTTTAAGTCTAGTACACCTTTAAGATGAAAAATTAATAGGTTTCGAATCCCCTCCCTCCATTTTGAAAAAAATAAAAAAAATAACGGACATCCGACAAAGCGGTCCCTTTTCTAAAATTGCGTTTTTTAATTAATAAACCTGATTTTTTGCAAAGTTAATGGTTGGATGTTATTTTATTGAGTCATTTGAAGCAAAAAAAGAGAAAGTAGACATAAAAAAATTTTTTAAGGGACTTTATTGTAAATAATCTTAGAAAATATCGAAATTTTTACTTCTAAAAAAACGAAATTAAAAATTGTTATGGAAATTTCTCTAGTTCTTCTGGGAAGTTATTCAGATGAGAGTTGTTTTAAGTTTAGTACACCCTGAAGATAACAAATCAAAAGGTTTTGAATTTTTCAATTTTTTTGTCTAACAACGAAATAAAGTACTTAAAGTATCAATAAATTAATGAAAAACGCATGATTCGACGTGTGAGACCCTGTAGATTAAGAAAAAAGAATAAAAAAAGTTATGACATTTTTTTTTAAATTACTAAATTACGATTATCGCCAAATCCAGAACCGACAAAGTGGTTCCTTTTCATGCGGGCGTCCACATATATTTATAACTAGGCTCTGATGTCGATATTTTCAATTTTCATCATTTATTAATTTATAAGTTGATTAATAATAATTAAGATGATGAAAAAAATCGATCACTCCGAGTCAGGATTCAAAAAACAAAAAAAAAGTAATTTCTTTTGACGTTTCGACAGCACGGCTGTCCTCTTCAGAAACGTAAGAAAAAATTATAAATCATTTAAGTCACATATTGCTTATACAGGACGAACGTCTTCGTCGAAGCAAGAACGATTAGACATTTTTTAAATTAGACGATTAGATAAGAGTGTCTAATCGTTCTTGCTTCGACGAAGACGTTCGTCCTGTATAAGCAATGTGTGACTTAAATGATTTATAATTTCAACTTAGTCCAAACTCACCGCGGAAAGTAATAAATAAATAAATAAATAAAATGTTTCTTTTCTTTTTACTTAAATTTCTTTAATGTAGAAGACAAAATAAAAGTATCGCGCACAATTTAGGATTTTGTGATTTTTGTCTTTTGACCGTATTAATTAATTTGTAGAGTAATGAAAAGGTCTAGATGACGTATCTAGGCATTCTCATTACTCTGTAAATTTAAAATTTTATTTAAAAGATAACGCAGTTTTATAATTTTTTGTTACAGAATATATAATCGGATCAGACTATTTCTACTTAAGATTGTGATATTCTTCAAAAGAATTTCCATAAGTTTTATACTCCTTGGAACTTATCCTTTTTCCAATTATGGATTGGTCGAATAAAAGTAGCAGTGACCGTTATGAGAATTGCTCACGGTTCTTTTATGGTGCTGATAAATTAAAATTTATTCGAACATTTTTTAACCAGTATTCTCCCAATGAAGCAACAAGTGGGAGAACAATGATGCATGCAGCTGAAGGAGAAAAAGGGGTTGCTTTTTTCATTGCAAAACGAGATCGAGACGGGAATACTCTACTGCATCTTGCGATAGAGAATAACGAGACGGAGGTATTCAATCTACTAATTGAAGAATGTAATGTAAACGTGAAAAATATCAGACATCAAACGCCACTTCATTATGCTGCAGCTAATAACAGGATTCAATTTACAAAAGTGCTTATAGAAAATGGTGCCATGGTTAATGTAGAAGATATTGAGCAAAAAACACCACTTCATCTTGCTTTGACAAATCAAAACGTTCAATTATCAAAAATTCTTTTTAAGAATGGCGCTGTTATAAGTAATAGACATTTTAATTTATTTCGACCCCTTCATTCTGCTGCTGAAAGTGGGAATTTGGAAATTGTTAAATTGCTTATGATGAACGGATGTAATACAGTCGATGGTATAACAACCTATAATTGTCCTCTTACCGCAGCAGTAATTAGCGGTCATTTAGAAGTTGTAAAGTATCTGATGAAGAATGGTTCTAAAGACAATAAAACCATTACTGAAGATCGCTTCAATTTACTTGTAAGGTGTGTGAAACCTGACCAATTCAACATTTTTAAATATTTAGTCAGTGTGGGTGTGAAAACGAAACGTACTATATTATCTACTGCTACATATTGGAAACGCTATAATATTTGGAAATATTCATTGAAGTGTATCTCTAAATTAAATTTAAATACACGTTCTATTGAGACAGAGCTTCATTCGGCTATTCGTGCCAGAGAAGTAGAAACTGTTAAAATAATTGTAGCAGCAAGCAATGTTGAACCGAACTCTTTAGCTTGTAAATTAGCTGTCTACATTGCCGTTGAAAATAACAGTGAAGAAATACTAGAAGTTCTTCTAAATGCGAAATATTCAGTTGAAGGTTTTGAAAAAGTTAGTCCTCTTCACATTGCATCAACATTCGACAGCACGAGATTAGTAAAAATGCTATTGAAAGCTGGAGCTGACATTAATTCAAGAACTGGTGAAGGTTTTACACCGTTACATTTTGCAGCAGCTGCACTAGAACCAACTATTGTTAAACTTCTCTTAAAAAAAGGTGCCGATCCTCATATAACTTGTGATTACAATTCATCACCATTATCATTTGCTTTAAGTATGCTTACGGGACGATATGAAACTCCTTTGACCATTACTACCTTAATGTTTAAAAAGATTTTAAAAATTATGGAAATACTATTCTTTAAGGAAAGTTATCATCCTAAAGTAACAGAAGGCGACTTAAATAACATGTTTTCAATCACAAATCGTATGTGGCTTTCGAGAGACAAAAGTAAAGAAAGTACATCAAATTCAATGTTAGATGAAGAAACGTCAAACGGTACATTCGAGAACATCAGTACTTCACAATCTCCATTTGGAATGCTTAAATTAATATTTAATTACCTAAAAAAAGATAAAGAGGAACATTATTTTCTATTGAGAATAAATGATAAATGGGAGAAATCAAATAACTCTCCTGAACTGTTTCACATTTTGATGGAATACAATAATTTTAAATCTTGTTCCGAAATTGAAATACGACTTTACCAAAATTCCTATGAATGCAATTTACTCTTAATTGATTACGCGGACAGTGTTAATAATCTTACAAATGTTGAAATTCAATATAATTTCGATCCATCTTATAAACTATCTGCAGAAGATGAAACCGTTTATCTGAAATTAATAGTTGCGCGTCTATTATTACTGATAACTGAAGATAATTTGATATTGTTAGAATTTTGTAGGAAACATAATCTTAACGATTGGAGGCAGGAATGTGAAAGGCAAAAAGTTATCATGAAAAACACGAAAGTTGAATATAGCTCAAACATCTCTTTCTATGATATTTTAACCGAACGTATTGAGAGATTCTCAAAGTACACAGAAAACAAGAATTTCCTCAAAATCGTAGAATCTTCATACATCAAGTTTCCAGCATATGCTGAATTTCTGAGGATCTATGTCGAAAAATGTAGAAGAAGAAATGATCTTATGGAAGAATGCATGGATTCTATGTTTGTTATGGTTAAAATAAATTACAAAATTCAAATGTTAAACGATGATTGTAATCCAATTTTTCAATATCTTTCGGTAGCTGATTTACGAAGACTTTTAGCAGCGTGTTCTTAAAGTTTTTTCAGTTTACAAAAAAATTATTTTTGTACTTGACATAAATCTAAGAAACTTAGTTTTATAATTACTTTATTTAGTTTGCTTGTAAGTTTATCTACTAGAAGGAAGCTTTCTAATTATGACATTAAGTGTATGAAAATCACTTACTTTTCACGTGAATGATTCCTGACGCATTTTAAGCGAAAAACTTGATTAAAATTATCAATAATTCAAAAATAGTACTAAAATAAATGAATGTACAAAAAACCAAAAATGTAACAATAGATAGTATTTCTAAAAATTTTGAAAAAACGAAAATGTTATTTACATTCCCCTCAGAATTATAAGCTTATAATAAGAGAAATTCTAATTGAAGATTTTCTATGACAGAAAATTTAACTAAACTATGGCTTCTATTTAAAAAAAATTTTATTGTTGATACTAATTAGTTATTGAAATATAAAATAAAGAGAATATAAGAATAGAAAGAAAGCAAAGTAATCTCTTGATATTCAAAAATATTTTTAATTAAAATTATCTTTTGAATCATTTACAAAACTATACACAAATTATTAAAGCATCAAAGAGCAGATGTTAAATCTTGGCAACTTTTGATTTCAATTTTTGTTGGCTTTTTAATTTATGAATTATATTTCCAATTTATTTCTATCCTCTGAACATTTTGACATTTTTAAGATTCATCCAAATGAATTTCATCAACTGAAGTTTCCTGTATTTTCTTCAACTTTCCCATTTGTTTGAAATACTTCATTGTATGTTGATTATAGTCACATCTGTAAAGATAATAAATCTTTTAATTATCTAGGTTAATAATTTTAATCTTTACTACGTTTATTATATAATAATAATAATAAACGTAGCAAAGTTTAGCAGTTTAAGATTATTTAAAATTTATTATTATTATTTATATTTAATGACAAAACTTAAATACTTACAATTTACTGAGAACGTCATATTTTTCCTGAGTACTTTTTTGTAACATTATTAAAACAGGCATTAGAGTTAATGTATTGAAGAGATCACCTCGTTCCTTAAAAATAGTATTAATCCATTTTATATAAAACTGTACGTGCTTAGTAGTTTCCAATTCATCAGCAATAAACGTCAATAGTTTTTCCACATAAATATCAGGTAGATTATAAATCGTAAGGGAAACTGAAAATTTAACAATCGATAATATAAAAACCCCCAAATTTAAAAATATATTTAAAAATGGTTTTTGAATACTTACTATCACATAGAGGGACGTTTTCCACAACTTTACGAATGTGACAAATTTCACTAAGTTTCAAGGCCGCAATCAGTGCTAAAATGTAAAAAAAATCAAAGTAATGTCAACTAATAAAATAGCTAAGTTTACTGGAAAGAACTGTAACCCCAACTAACAAATTAGCGGCAGCATATTTTACTAATTAAAAGTTAATATTAAGGTCTTAAGTACATTAAACATTTTGGTTTTAATGAACATGAGTTTATAAGTTTACCTTTAGAATACTCGTTTAACTGCAAAGCGATATCTATTGCCTCTGGTGTTACTCCTAATTCAAGTTGGAAAGGGTCAAATAATAAAGCAGCATTCAAAGAGTATATTAGCAAACCCTCAGTTGTTGCTGCTGCCCAGGATTGACCTATTAAATTATACTGTTTTGTTAGTAAAACAGAATTCTCATATACATGTAGATAAAAATCATTCCCAGATACTTCCTCGAATCAATTTCACTGAATATACTCAACATTTCTGGAAGTACGTTAAAACTTTACAAAAAAAAAAAAAAAACACGTATCTTGAAGATGAAGTGAGTGATGATTTTGAAGTTATAAGTAGTCCTTTTTCTAAATTTTTTAAATCTGTCAAAAAGACAAAACTCTATTTTTATCACCCAGATAGTTGACATTGGAGTAACTATTGACAATGCAATAACATTTCATAGTTACACTGTTACCTTGATAACGATTCTGATTTTTATAATAATTTGAATTTTCTTTGTATCGATTTTGATTTTGTTGATAATAATTTTGAGTGAATTGATTTTGCCCATTTTGTTGACGATTATAATTGTCAGAACCACTCCTTAAATTGTTTTGATAATTGCCAGAGTTTGAAAAATTTCTTTGAGAGTTAACTGGTTAGTTTTTTTAATTCCTCTTATCTTATTATTACCGTTTAAATATCATCACTAAAATGTCTTGTAATTTTCAAAACAATTTCGCTTTCAAAGGGTGACGGAATTAAGTCTTTCTCTTTGTTTATTACTTTGATTGCATATGCCGACCTTGACAACTTTCTGTTTGTTTGTAAGAACCAAATTCTAAATTTGTACTAATTTTAAATCTGATACCTTCATTCCAAAATAGATTAACAATTTTTTTTTTAATGACCAAAGTGATCATCTTCTTCTTTAACTAAATTCCACCACTCTTTAGCAATTTCATCTAAACATGCTTGAATTACATATTTAATTTTAGAATTTAAAATATCATTGAATGTTATAAAATCTTGCAATTCTCCCAAAAATACCATTGGACGTTCTTGAATACTTCCGGAATACTTTGGTAATGGATACTCTCTAGTCCACGAATTTGTACCTGTATTATCACTTGTTTTTAATCCATTTATTCTTTTTCCAAATAAATTTTGATTTTCTTCAATTTTTTAAATTAATACCATTCAGTAAAACAATTTTCCCACAAAAAAATTGATTCGAGGAAAGTGTTTAGAATAAAACTTTTCGGTAAAATTGATTCGGAGGAAATGACATTACCTAATGGTGAAAACTGAATATAAAATACTCGAATTTCTGGTTTTGCACTTCTTTCGGCCATGTCTCCCATCACCACTCCAGGTAATCGGACTTTAACATTGCCACCTTCGTTTTCTTCTCTCTCCTCGATTAAACTCGCGTAACCAAATTCAGTCATTTTACGACGATTAAAAACATCCTGATATAAAAATTAATTAGTATGATTCAAAACCGTGATTTTAAGAAAATCATCAAATAATGTAGGTTTATATGGGAAATTTGAGTATTTTTAAGAGCACTTACAGAAACTGCATTTAAGGACATATTATGCGTGACTTCAAACTTCTTCAATAAAATCGACTCCTGAACATTATAGAGACAAACATTTTTCGACTGTCCGCCGGCAAGTATACAAGTTCCATCGACTGAGTAACACAAAGATGTGAATGATCTAAAGTGAATTACAATCGAATTAGTAAGTTAACGATTTGAACAGTATTCTAAATTCTAAAATAGTTGATTATAGAACTTACTTTCCTTCGAGACTCTTTTTAGCGGTAATTAAATCCGTAGTAGAACGACCACTACCTAAATCCTTCTTCCCCTCTATGTTTCCTGTTTGTGTTCCAGTTTCAGAATGGAAAAATGATATTTGACCATCGAGTGTAGCAACTGCTACTTCTTTACCATCGGGTCTAAAAGCTACGCACAAAGCATCAGCAGTTAACAGAATCGATTCATAAGTAGAACCACTGTCAATTGCATTCCACAATCTCAATGTTTTATCCCAAGATGCCGATGCTAATTGAGTACTCGCTAAATTTGGATTAAAAGCTAAACTCACTACTGGACCTTCATGTCCACTTAAAATCTGCAATTCACATATATAAAAATTTAATTTCCAAAAAAATTACCATTTATCAATTGTCTAATTCTTATACTTACATCCACCATTTTGCCAGTTTGAACACTCCATAGATAAATTTCGAAAACATTTTGACCACCCGCTGCAAGAAATTCGTCACTTGAATCAAGTGCTAAGCAGGAGAATTGAACTGGCTTTGGAGTTGTGTACGTCTTAAAATTTCTGTAGCGTACCAAATCGTAAGCACGAATACTTCCATCCAAAGATGAGGAGACAATAAACTTTTGATTATGACTGAATGTAACGTCACTAATAGAAGAAGTGTGTTCATTAAAAGTGGTGATGCAAAATCCATTGACAGTGTTCCATAATTTTACTTTTCCATCGTGACCACCTGTAACTATGTATTGACCATTTGGACTGTAATAGAGACTGGTCATATTGTTACTGTGTCCTTGCTGCTTGAGACAGTAGGATTCACTTTGCCATTCCCAGACTAATAGTTGTCCGGCATCCGAACATCCAACAGCAATCCAATCACCGGTGGGATTAATAGAAATTGTTGATATACATTGATTGGGAATGCTATAAGAATATTTATGAACAAAAATTTATTTGTTGGCTATTTTTTGAATGTAGGGGAACCTAATTTATTAATTCTATTTTTTAAACATTAACGCGGAAAATTTTAATAACTAAAAACTCAAGTTAAGGATGGTGCCTTAAACATTTTTGACATCTTAGTACTAATAATAATTTTTTTAAATTTCTCTTATCCAAGTTTCACGGCTTACACCTTGTAAAGAAACATATTTACCAAAATACAGATAAATAAATTTAATTCTACCATTAAATAACGATTAAAATAAGTCCGAAAACGTTAAAAAATGTTAATTAACTTCGGAGAAATTAAAAAATTAAGATTAGCATGCAAAATCCATATTTTTTATATATCTAACAGAAAATTTGACTTTATCTCTTCTATTTGGTGTCATTTTTTTCACAATTTTACCAGCTTTTAGGGGAAAAATAGAGATAAATTTTTTCTTTTTTACGTTTAACGCTTTTTACACTATAATGAAAAAAGGGAACGCCACTCAATTATAGACGGCAGTGTATGAAAAATTCAGATTTTCAAAGATTTAAATTTGAAACTTTTATAAAATTCAATTATTTCTAAAAATTACAATTATTAGTAACTTTTCTAAAATTCAATTATTATCTAAAACTTTAACTGAAATTAATTTTTAAATCAATTTTTATTAGATAATTTTAGGAAAATTCAATTACTTAAATACAAAAATAAATAATTTATTGAATAATCGAATATTACTAAAAATTTAATTCTCATAAAGATTTTTATCCACAAATTTTAAAATAATTGAATTCTTTTGACGAATTTTAATAAAATTTTTTTAAATAATTACATTTTTCGAGGAATTTAATTAAAATTGAATTAAAAATAATTGAAATTCTGCAATGAATTCTATTATTTATGAAAATAATTGAATTAATGCGAAGAATTTTATAAAAAAACTTTCAAATTAATTTTTTTTCGAAAAAGTTTATGCAAATTCTATTTTTAACAATTGAATTTCTGTAAAATTTTCGTAATAATAGAAAATAATTGAATACTTGTGTAAAACTTTGGCATTATTGTTTTTAAATACTTTTAATTCAATTCTTTTCGGAAATTTAATTAAAATAATTAATATACAAACTATTAAATTATGAAAATTTTTTGAAAATTATTGAATTGTATTAATTTTGTAAATAATTCAATTCTTGTGATGAATACTAATATTTATGAAAATAATTGAATTTTGCAATGAATTTTATTAAAATTCCTGAAAGTAATTGACTTTCGTCGAAGAATTTTGGTAATTATTTATAAAGGTAATTGAAATGTTAAAATTTTTTTTAGATTTTTGAAAATAATTGAAATTCTGCGAAGAATTTTGCTATTTATGAGAATAATTAAATTCTTGTGTTGAATATTGTTATTTATGAAAATAATTGAATTTTACAATTAATTTTATAAAAATTTCTGAATATAATAAAATTGAATTTCGGCGAAGAATTTTGCTATTTGTGAGAATAATTGAAATGTTGAGAATTTTCTTTTTAAATTTTGAAAATAATTGAATTTATGGAAATAATTTTAATATTTATTAAGATAATTAAATTCTTTCAAAGAATTGAGTTAAAAAATTTTTATCGCGATTACCTTTATTTTTTAAAAGAGTTTTTACTCAGATAAGGTTACTAAACAAATATATATTTCTAGAATTAATTTTGGACAGTTTTCGTATTCTTTTCATTGAGATTTTATTTGTCCTTTTTGTTGCCGTGAGAAGGAGAGCTTTTTCCATATTTTATTAGAATGCCCTTTTTGTGAACATCTATGGAATGAATTTTTTACTCAGATCTCCAATACTTTTGATCGGTATGATGTTTGTCTATCTATTCTTGATTCCTTTGAATGCTCACGTATTAAGTCTTTTGTCAATCTTTTAATGAAAATTATGAATGATCGTCTAACTTATAAAAATACATAGCAATATGCTAGGATGAAAATGTCACTGTAAAGCTTTCTTTAATCGGGTTACAAACGTTGGTTCGTTAATCATCATTATTTTGAACCTATCCAAATATTTAATAAATTTTCTGTGAACCTATTCCCCTGCTTGGACGTAGTTCTCGTAGAGATGCAAAGTCAGAGTGGTTTATTTTGTCCGATACTATAAAAATAAATAAACAAACACTGTTAGAAAATCATACCTTAGAGAATGAATAAGAATTGCACTTGGAAGTTCATAGAGAAAGAATCCTCCATTACTGAAACCAACAACAAGAATGTGATTTGGTGAATGATACGCAGCGCTAGTCAAAATTACGTCCTTTGATTCATTCCTTGCAGCGTCTGCTAAATAATGTCTTCCCAACCGTTTGTACTTCAATTTACGCACCTCATTTTTAACCTCCTCTTGTATATCATTTTTATTTGCATCTAAAACAGTATATTAATAAATTTTACCTTCTCTATATTTTATTTCTGAAGAAAAGAATTTCAAAAAGCATACCCAAAGTTTGCAATGCATCCGATTCCTCATTCAATGATAATTCCGCTATTTTCTCAGTATCTACATAATTTTCCTCATTGGGAGTATTTGTGTGTTTGCTCTTTTTCAGTGGTGCTTGATATTCTGAAAGATCCTTAGGTTCGAGAGAACACTCCCATACACAAAGGTGTCCGTTCCTATGATAATTGTTAAAAAGTGAAATAACAGTCTAGTTAATTAACATGCTGTCAAATCAATTGAAAAATTGATTCTTTAAATTGTTTGGACCTTTCCCCTCACCTGCTGATAGTAGACAAATCATAATTGTCCTTTTCGAAGAAGCATCCTACCATTACGTCAGAATGACTAGCGAATGAATAACTTCTTATATTTACTTCTTTATCAATACTGTATAATCTAGTGGTCATGTCTTTCGAACCAATGCACAATAATTTTGAATCGAAAGACCAGTCTATACAGGTTGTGTCGTCTGAAGCTCCAGTGAATACACGTTCCATTATGAAGGGTTTGTAATTCTCGAAATCGTAGGCAGAGAATTTAAATATAAATACTGTAAAAATTTTAAAAATATTAACAATGATAATTCGTTCAGAGCCCACATATTAACTTTGTGTTTCGATGGGTTTCTTAATCAATTTGAAAATCAACAAATTACTTACCATTATTTTCTTTGCATACAGCAAAATGTTTTCCATCTGGAGAAAATTTCACACTTCTCACTCGTCGTTTAAAACGATGTTTATGAATTATCATTTTACTGATCATACTTATAAAATGTGCATCACCCTCTAGAAAACAAAATTTTGCATTTGAGAGCAAACTGTTGGCAGTAGTACAACTGAAATTATGAATTCTATTTACCTTCATTTACTGCAATTAAAATACATCCATTTGGTGACAAATCAAGAGCATTGTAATTATATTTACTTTCCACAGGAAGAGTTGTGGATTTGTCACTGGAAGTAAGCATTTATGTTAATAGAAAACAATTACTTGGTTTTAAAAAAAGAAAATTCTTTTTGTTTTCTCATTAAGTTACCTCAATTTACGCTACTTTTACTTACTTTTTCAAATCATAAATTGTTATACGATTTCCCACTGGACTAATAACAGATGTTCCATCTCTTGAGAAAATTAAATCTCCAGCAGAGTAAACCGTCCCAAGCAAATTGCTAAACTATAAATTAAATAGGGACGCATGAATAATCTCTAGAAATCATTAGTTAGAATTTTTAAATGATTGAATTTTATTTATTAGAATTTTCTTTTAGCAGAATTTAATTTTTTTCGAATTTTTGTCTAATCGATTTTAAATTAACCCGAATATTTACTTTAACAGAATTATAAATACTTGAATTTTTATTTATGAGAATTATCATTTAACATAATTTCCATTAATGGTACTTTCTATTAAAATGAATTCTTATTTACAAGAACTCTTCTTTTACATTATTTCTACTAAGTCTAATTTTGAAAAGACAGAATTTCCATTAAAAGAATTTCTGAAAAATTTAATAAATTTTAAAATTTAGGATAATTACAACATAACATAATTTTTTGCACAATTTTAATTAAAAATTTTCAACACGATTGTTTTCTCCAAAATTTTAAAAATGATTCTTAAAAATTTTAATGTTATTATTTATCGTATGAATTTGAGTTTTCGGAAATATATGTAATTTGAAAATTTATAAAAAATAATTGAATTTTTAAAAAATTAGAATGAATATAATAATTTAAACAATTTAAATTTTTATAATTAAAATTGTTCAAAAGTTGATTATCAAAAATAGTCATAAAATTTTTTAAAAAATTAATTATTTTCAATTATATTTCACAAAATTTCAATTTGTCTAAAAATTTTTAATTATACACGTATATTTTTCAAATTTAACTATCGTAAAAACATTCTTTAAAAATATAATTTTAGAGTATTGTCTATAATTATTTTTAGCGCTATTAAAAATTGAAATAAGTAGCATTTTATACTAAAAATGTGGTATTTTGTTGCAATATTTTTAAGAAAAGTAAAAAAAAGTCATAATTTTTTAAAACAAGTCGAAAAAATTTCAATTTCTTCAAAAAACGTTTATTTATTTATTATTTATTTATTTTTTTATACAAAAACAAAAATAATCAGTTAACACAATTTTATAAATTGTATTTAAATTAAATATTTATTTGCTTATATAGTTATATCTTTGGTTAGAACTTTACACATTTTAGGTTAAGACTACTTATTTTGCAATCACTTTCTTTCATTTACTTTCATGTATTTTTCAAGAAATAAATATAAATATTGCTATTTTAAAACATTTACTGTTGACTAAGAATTGGAAAAATTAGAGACACATTATAATTTAATAAAAAAGATTGTCTTTAAATTAAAATCTTCTTAAATTTTTCTTGACAATTTGAAACTATCATCTACACGAATATCAATTGCTTTTAGTAATAAAAATAACACTCTTACCTTGTAATTGCATTTCATTTTTTCTCCAATTTGATATTTCTAAATAAAATCAAATAAACAAATTGTTTAACGAAAATTAATGTTATTTGTTTACAAACAGTGTAAATTTAAAGACCACATGAGAATACATGTGCTACTGAAAATTGAAAATTTTACCGGAAGTAGCAGGGCTGAGTAGTGCTTTACAAATTATTAGATAGCAGTTAAGGGTGGAGTCCCATGACAGCGTTTTGCGTTGCGTCGTAATGGGAGAGAAAAAGACGCAAATATACGTTTGCTGCATTCTCTTCTCTCTCATTACAACGCAACGCAAAACGCTGCCATGGGACTGCGGTCTAAGGGTACGATCACACTGCCTTTTTTTGTCCGCATTGCGCGATAATCGATAAACAAGACGCATCCGTAAAGTAAATTAAAATGAATATGTATTAATTATTAAATGTATTTGTTAATTACTTAGTAATTAGTTAGTAAGTTAATTAGTTAATAACTAATTTAGTTTGTAAGTTAGCTAGTTAAATAATTAGTAACTAATTAAGTTAGTTAATTATTAATTTAGTTAGTAAGTTAATAACTAATTTAGTAACTAATTTAGTTACTTACTAAGAAATATAGTAACTAAGGCTGGAGTCCCATGGTAGCGTTTTGCGTTGCGTTTTGTAACTAGGCAATGAGTGCAAATAGAGCAAACCTATATCTGTATCTCTCTCACACTCATGGCCTAGTTACAAAACGCAACGCAAAACGCTGTCATGGGACTCCAGCCTAAGGTTAAGTTAATAACTAAGTTAGTTAGAAAATAAGTTAGTCAGTTACTAAGTTATTTACTTACTAAGTTAGTTAGTAAGTTAGTTTACGTTCGTGAACCTATTGCACATTGGCCTTTAGACAGACAGGCAGCACAGGTGTGAGCGCACCATTATATCCTCCTCCTCTATGTCGCATTACAGAGGCTCTTCTATAAATTCAAACAACGCTACGGGAAAATAATGAAACTATTGAGGATGAGCTTAATGTGATATTTCACATATAGGCAGTGAAAATGAATCGTATAATGATTTTTCTCAAAGGCGCCATTTCGGTATGCGTCCGACTTCAAGAAAGAATTTATAATAAAAAAAAAAGTAAATTTTATTGTTGTTAATTAAATTTACTTGAATAAAGTAAATTTCAAGTATACGCTGATTCTCGATTTGGATACAATATTGAAAAATGCCACGAAAACGAAAATTATTGAATTTACGTGAAAGATGTAGACTTTGTTTGACTGATAATGGTGAAATGCGAGATTTGTTTACCGAACCATACTGCTTGAAATTGAAGGATCTATCTGATTGCACATCAATAGAGGTAAAAATTATATTTCATTCTTTATTTACATCACGCAACTTTTAATATCATTGTCTTCTCAATTATTTTATTTTCATTACGAAAATGTCGACACACTGATTTTGAGGTTAGATTTGTCAAATGTTTGTGATGTGCTATTTTTATTATACTTGATTGATCCTTCCAGAAAAGAATGTTTGTTAAAAGTGTGTTATATAATTTATTTTTCTTTCTTTCTTTCTTTTACTTGAATAAATTTTTTCAATTTTTCAGTTCATGTAATCTTATCTAGGTTATATCGTTTTGTTACATTTGCAATATTTTTAATTTGATTCTTTGTTTTATGTTTATTTTAAATTTTGATAATTTCTTATTCGGAACTAAGAAAATTTAAAATTCTGTTTACTATTTTTACTGAAAATATATATTTTAAATACCTCTTAATTTGTAGAAATAATTAATTTAACTCTAATTATTAAAAAAAAATAATAAATTCTATGGAGAAAATTACAATCTAAATACATTGATTTTAAAATAAACTTATTTCATATCAATTTTACAAGGTTTATTTTTAAAGATTACTTAAAATAGAAATACATTTTTTCTGAAATAATATAAACTAGATTTGACTTTAAAAAAAAAAATTTTATTTATTTTTTTGAATAATTACAAATATAAATTAATTATTAATACAGTCAAACCTGTCGGAAGGCAACGTTATTACAAATTTTTTTGCAATGAATACTGTCGAACAAGAATTATTTACACTTAGTTCCAAAATACTGTAAAAATATTACAAAATTTAATTACAAAACAATTGTTTACTGTAATAAAATTTTAAAAATCGAGTTGCATTCCGAATAGTTTTACTGTAATTCATAAAAGAGGCAAATAATATTAGTAAAAATACAAAAGCTAATTAATATGTAGCTTCCGATATTTAAATCAATTTATTAAATATAAATATATAAAAAATATATATAAATATATAAGAAAAAATAAATATATGATATTAACAATTAACTTATAAAGTAAACTAACTGAAATAATCAGTGCCCACACTTTAACTGATTAACTAACATTGAAGAATTCTTAGATTGTTTCACAACTAATATTTAGATTCGACAATGTGGTTAAAATGGTCATTTAATTAATTATTCTTATATTAATATTAAATTTACTAATTTTCTAAGAAAATTATACTAAACTTCTTAATTTAACAAAGATAAACTTTTAAGGAAGTACCCTCGGAAATAGAATTAACAGCGAGTTTTTGATGAAACTTGGAATAATGGTAGATGTTGGTTTAAAAAATATGTAGTTAAATTCTTAGAGGTCTGCACAATGTATAAGAAAAGTTATAAACAATTTTATGTTTTCACATTTTACATTGTGTCTTATGGGAAAATGCACTTTGATGATCTTTAAAATTCAATTGTGAGAAAAATGGCAGCGAGATATTGATGTTACTTTTTACAGTTAAAGCTAAAGAACTGATGTTTAAATATTGTCCAAAAAAATGATCAGTCACAACCTGTGAGACTCAAAATTAATTATTTTGTATAAAAAAAACACATTTTTTATCAATTAAAAGTTACTAAGCACGACACTTGGCAACGTTGCTTCATAGAGGTACTTATATAGGTTATGGTAAAAAAAGCGGGAGAGGCGAAACGGGCGAAACATTTAAAATTTTAAATAGATAGATTTTTTACAATATTAACAATATTATTATTAAATATTATTAATATTAATTTAATTTTTTGATTATAGAAAGTTTAGAAAAATTAAAAGTAACACCGAATTAATAATTTAATCTAAATAAAAAGAAATAAATTTTAAAAATTACAAATTGTTTTTAAAAAAATTTCATTTGAATTATTATATACTATTTGAATAATAAATTTGTTAATGAAATTTTTTGTAAGAATTCAATTTAACGATGTTGCGCAATTTCATACAGTGGTCGACTTTTAAAAATAACTGCTTGAACGCGAAATGGAAATAAATCTTTTACTTTTTGTGCGCAAATGAAACATAAGATATCTAGTATTTTTTCCGATTTTGCAAAAACTGTCTGCATTGGAAGAAAAATCATTTTCAATTTTCAAATCAAGATTTCTCGATAAAGTGCGACTAACCACTAACAGTCATCACCCAACAAATACGGCACTGACCGGTTTGAATGACGTGAAATTGGTAAATATTCATTTTCTAATAAATTTCCCTCTGTTCACAGGCACTTTTTACAAAATATGACAACCTACAATCGTCACAAATGTTTTTAATTATCTGAATTCAAAAGATTTTGTTAATCCATGCAGAAACACGGTTGCAGCATTGGAATTACCGTAGCAATGTAATGCGAATCATTTTGACAGCTGAGCCTTTTCGCTCCCTGCATGCTTCTGCCCTCCACTGGCAAAATGGCTGTAACACACTTCTTGCCGCCTGTCATTACATTACTTTTGTATTTCCAATCCTGCAACCGCGTTTCTGCATGGATTGACAAAATCTTTTGAATTCAGACAATTAAAAACATTTGTGTCAATTGTATGTTGTCAGATTTTGTAAAAAGTGCCTGTGTGCAGAAAAAAAACTCGTTCGAAAGCAATTGTTTACTAATTTCACGTCATTTAAACGATGCAATGCCGTTTCTCTTGGGCGATAACTGTAAGTCGCACATAACCTACAGATTGCAGAGACCATCGAACGCTCAGAACATTTAAATTAAAATTCCAAAAGTATTTTTTTAAAGACTATCAGAATTTTCTGAAATATTATCTAACATGGTTAATAGCAATGACAGACGACGCGAAATGAGACCGGAGGAAGCATTACAATGTTGCCAAGCGTTGCATTAGTACTACGTGAGTAAATTGAAAACTTAAATGGTAATTGCATTGACTCACAATGCAGAGAGGGTTCTTCCTTAATTTTTAAAAGGTAATTTTATTATAAAGTCTATAGTATTATACTTAATTCTATCATAAATAATAGGATGTAATAAATAATAGGATGTAATAAATAAATAATAATACAATGTAAATAATAGGATAATTTGATTATAAATTATATAACAATTAATTTTATTATATAGGGCGTGGCAAAAGAATGGAAAGCCTTAAATATTTCTTAAAATATGTATTTTGGTGCAAAATGTTTAAAACAAAAGTCGTTGGGCTTAAACAATTTTTTTCAAATATTACCTTTTTTATGCCCAAAAAATTTTGTTTTAAACATTTTGCCCTAAAATACATATTTTAAAGAATATTTAAGGCTTTCTATTCTTTTGCCACGCCCTGTAGGGTAACTGCTCCAGTCGTTGGCACCCTTAAGGCCAAATTTTGACTTTAAGAATTATTTTAATAGATAAAAACTAATATTATATAATACTTATAGTAATATATGTATTCAGAATTTAATACAGAATACGATAAAATTATCAATTTTGAATAAAAATTGAAACTTTTAAATTAATTAATAATTATATAATGACACCAATTTCCAGTCGTTGGCACTGCAAGCACTAGTCGTTGGCACCCACCAGTTTCCAGTGGTTGGCACCCATACATAACCTTTAAATTTCTTATGTTTCAAAGGTTATTTATTAATTGTTAATATTTAAAATAATAACCTCAACAAATGACCTAGCAACTTTCTATTAACAATTATTAGTTTTTGACTAGAAATTACATAGTTAAAACGCTTACTAATTAATTTAATGAACGAATCGGTCCTATTTCATTATAGAAAAGTGACTAATTCAGATTCGGAGATAAATGTTACATGCTTGCATTATAACGCTGCGTTTTGCCTAAGATAATTCAGCTATATTCGACATGGCTCCTGGTGGTATGTGGACTAACTGAAAATTTCCATTAGTAAGAAAAGGACGAAGATATGTCTATCCTTTTCTTATTAATGGGATTTTCTAGTTAGTCCATATGACACCAGTTCCCTTGCCAATCCTTTTTTTATCGCATTCGCTTTAAGGCCTAAGCACAACTGGTTCGGTTTCGGGAGACGGTTTCGGGATATGGGCTTCCTAACCTCAAAATGTATGTAAATCTTACATATCCCGAAACCGTCTCCCGAAACCGAACAGTTGTGCTTAGGCCTTTACTCGGATCTTTAAGCTTAAGGTTGGTTCCAGAATGGACTCGACGCAAACGCAGACGCGACGCGTTCCCATTTGATTAGCATTGGGACGCGTCGCGTCTTCGTTGCGTTTTGGCTCATTCTGGAACGACTCTAAGACTTAAGCACAACTGCTTTGCGAACGCAAAACATAAGTTAGAAAAGGATAGCGATGTATTTGTGTCCTTTTCTACCTAATGCTTTACATTCGCGAACGACGTTCATAAAGGCCTAAGCACAACTGGTTGGGTTTCGGGAGACGGTTTCGGGATATGTAAGATTTACATACATTTTGAGGTTAGGAAGCCCATATCCCGAAGTCGTCTCCCGCACCCGACTCAGTTGTGCTTAGGGCTTGAAGCAGTTGTGCGTTGATCTTTAGTCGACTTGTAACTAGGCCATGAGTGTGAGAGAGATGGATGTATTTGTTTCCTATATTTGCTTTTGCACTCATGGCCTAGTTACAAAACGCAACGTAAAACGGTGAAATGGGAGATGGGACTGTACCATCAAGGCAGCGTTTTGCGTTGTGTTTATATGGTTGTATTTGTATTATATGGTGAGGGGTGTGGAAATCGCAAAAAAGCGTTAAGTAATTAAATTATGTCCCCTTATTAATTTGTTTTAATCACCAAACCTTTGAAATAAAGTATAACTATAAGTGAGAAAAGAATTTTCAATTTTTTTTTTTTTTCTAAAGATGACGTCCCATTTTGGCGCAAAAGCCAAAAATGTTGGGCCAATATGAACTTTTTGTTCAACAGAAGGCTTTCGAATAAACAGAAATAAGTAATATGGAAGGGGGGGGGGGTAAGAAATAAGTAAAAATGTCAAATTTAAAAAATGTTGGCGCCCATTAACAATTAGCATTTTGCAATTTTTAAATTTCTAGGCATTTTTACACATCTTACAGCTTAATTACAAAACAGAACTGCAAGATGTCCGCGAGAGAGTCGTAAACGGGAACGGAAGTATGAGTTAAAAAAAAGAGGATAGAGTATTAGTTCTATCCTTCTCCAATTCATTTTTGCTATCCCGTTTGCGTTCTGCTCTCGGTTTATGCTTTCTGCTCACAAGGGACTGCTCCCTAAGTTCTACCAGTCATTTTTAAAGATTGTTCTTGTTTAACCACCGTTAAGGTGCAATTATGCTCATAGGGGTCGTTCATAAACTACGTAGATTTTTAAGGATCGTAACTTTTGTTATCGTATCAGTTGACAACGATAGCAGAACAAAATGGCTCTAATGTTAAATATTTGTCACCGTATGGGTGCGTATGGGTTTGAAATACCATTAAGGTCTTTCTCCAATAGGATCCCAAAAGCATATTTCGCAAAACACACTGCGTAGGTTGCTATGAACCTATTGAAGAAAGGCCTTTAGGCTGTTTTAACATGCTTGCGATCTACTGCTGCATTTTGCAATGGAAACGCAAAAACTTGCGTTAATATTCAAGCATATTAACACTGCCTAAAGGTGGAATCCTTAGGTACCGTTTTGCGTTGCATTTTGTAACTAGGCCATGAGTGCAAATATAGCGAACATATATCTCCATCTCTCTGACACTCGTGGCCTAGTTACAAAACGCAAAGCAAAACGCTGCCATGGGACTTTATCCTAAGAACTGGAACGAAACAAATAAGGGAGCAAGAGCATAAAGTTAGGTTGAGTCCACAATAGGCACTTTTCTTAAAGCGATGCATACCCTCTACATCGATTTCCATTGTTCGAACAATAGAAATCGATGTAGAGGGTATGCATCGCTCTAAGAAAAGTGCCTATTGTGGACTCAACCTTAAGGGTAAAAAGGATAGTGCGGTTACGTTTCTGTTCTGCTTTAGGGTGCAGTCCCATGGCACCGTTTTGCGTTGCGTTTTGTAACTAGGCCATGAGTGTGAGAGAGATGAAGATATAGGTTCGCTATATTTGCACTCATTGCCTAGTTACAAAACGCAACGCAAAACGCTGCCATGGGACTCCACCCTTACTCTTTTGGCGTTGAAGAATGAGAGAGAGAGGAAGAAAGACATATGTGACCCGCTCCCAAGAAAGGTACCTAAGATCCTAAGAAGCAAACGAATTATAGGTTGGGTTTGAGTTAGGTCCTTTCCAAAATCCAAAATTGGTAGACGCAAAGCTGAAGCGATGCAAGGATGACGCCCGCATTGGTTCTTACGTAAGGAATGCAGTGTTGCCAACATCTATTGGGATCCGAAATAACGTGAAACTGACCCATCCCTGTACCCACTTGTGTCCAAACATGGGGCCTAAAGCACTTAGACGAAATTGATAAAATACAAAACGGATATTACAAAAGAGTACTCGATGTATCAAGAAACTGTTCAAATTACGTAATTAAACACAAAACACAGTTAATAGCAAGAATATATCTTAATACTTGCAAAAAGCCATTAAATAAAAAAAAAAAATATCTTAATACGATTATGACACTTTACGAGCACAACTGAACTTACCTAAAATTGAGAATAGATTTTTATATAATGACCTTTTGTTTTTGTTCAAAATTATTAATAATATTATTCAATGTCCGTCTGTTCTTAAAAAAAATTAATTTCTCTGCTCCCAATAGGCTATTGAGATATCATTCATTATGCTGACGACGTATCTCACCTAAAGCGAGATATTCCATTTTACATGTTAAAATTGTTAGCACAATGTCTGCTCATTTCTTCAATGTAGTCCTAGTACTTCTAATTTAAGTCGATCTGTAGATATAAAGTAGGGAACTTTCGAAAATTTGTTGCGTAAATAAATCTGAAGTCAGGCCACAGGATATTGGAAAGACCTTAATTGACAATGAAATCTAAATTTAGTTTTTTACAAATTTTTCCTATATATTATATATATATAGGTAATGCAGTGCAATTTTAAATTTCTTAATATCCAGTAATTTAAAATATTTATTTTATAAATTTCAGATCAAATGTGAGCAGAATTTACCGAAAAATATTTGTCACGCTTGCATATACAAATTGGAAAGTTGGAATGAATTCAAAGAACGATTTATGCGTTCCAATCGTTTACTGTTGACGCGATTAGAGGGCACTGATACTAATGAACATTCTGTAAGTTTTCATTTAATTATATTATATATTGAAAAAAATTATTGTATTCAATTGAAAACCTAACGTCAATTAACTTTAATTTAAGGCTATTCTACCAAAGAGAAAATACAATGAACAAGTAAGCAGTGATGAGAGTAAAGCAATCGAAAATAAGGTAAGTGGTTATAATACTCAGCTATTAATTTTATTACAAATAAACAAATAAACTGCAATAGAAAAATATTTACAAACATTTTTAATATATTAAAAATATATTGAAATTAATTTTTATTCTAATTTTGAAATATTTAATGTACCGAAATGTATTTCATTGTTTCGTGTATTGTTTTAGGGAAATTTGTTAGTTTGATGACATTTTAATTGCATTTCGTTTCTTTTGTCTCTTATATAGAAAAAGAGTAAAGTTAACAACTCACCACTACAAAGTATGGATTCATTTTTCGATGACAACCATTCAAAGGATATTGACATAAAACCAATATCACTGTCATCACCGAAGAAATTATCTAATTTTAGTCCCCCAAGAAATGATGAAAAAGAAATAGAAAATAGTTTCAGTTCATCGTCGAAACCACCATTTTCACCAGAATATCGACAGTTTGCACGTCGGGGTAGAACAACCGAGAGGCGAAAAGCATCCACACGTCGTTGGGACGCACGAAAGAAAGCTTTAATCGCCGCCACTGGTAATAATACAGAGACAGATTCCGCAGCATCTGACAATCAATTGTCTCCCGTTCAAAAAGCACGAGCAAAATCCAACGCCGATAAAGAGGACGAAAAACAGAAGAAAATAGCAAGAGCTCTTAAGAATTTAGAAACAAATATGAATGACTGCAGGAAAGGATCAGATTCTGAAGCTAAAAGAGTTCTCCGTTCGCGAAAATCAAACATGGATGAGGCGAAAGGTAAAAATCGAAAAACAATTGAAAGAGTTAAAGATGTGGATGATGGGAAAATTAAAGAGACAGATGAAAGGGGAACTGAGACGGAGAAGGAAAATATTTCCATACCACCAAGAACAGTGAAATCGGAACTTCGAATTGGAGGATCTACTTATATTGTCACGTCAACTCTCGCTGTGTCAGAACCTGGTCATTTTGATAAAATTGTTCACGACACGAGTGATCAGGAGAAACACGAAAACACCGACATCATTGATGCAGTTCAACTCAAGAGAATCAGTCCTCTCTCCAGTGTAAACAATGATAAACAATCGATAGAAAAATGTTTACACATTGAAATTGAAGGTACTGAATTCGAAGCTCTTCAACGAGTACAAGTCGATTTGGCAAGTTTCATTGAGAGAGATATGAAAAATAAAATCTTTTCCGAGTCAAATATTGTTGAGGATCTCAAAGATAAATATAAAGGTTCATATGATAATCTCGATCAGCAATTAAAAACAATTGTCGTGAAGGCAATAAAGAAAAATTATGAGACATCAATGCAAAAGAATGAAATGGATTCATTTCATTCTAGGGATGATATTGAAAATAATAAATCGGTGTCTATTGAATTTATTAAAGCTGCCATGCATTCCTCTATATTCCAACCGAAACTAAGGCTCGATCAACTTGACATAACGAAGGTCTCGTGTAAAATTAATAATCTAAAGGTTATTCAGAAGAAAGAGAAGTTGTACAAGAATTTCAATGAGAGTGTAACTTGTTTAGAGTCAATGGGAGATAATTATAGTGGCGATGATAAAGGAATGGAAATTGAAATTGTGAAGAAGGAGAAACCGAAGAAAATTGTTAAACAAAAAGTTGAAAGTGTTGAGTGTGATACAACAACACATCAGGAATTACAAGATCTAAGTACATTGGAGAGCTATAATAATAAGGAATTGACGAGTTCGAAGGGGCAGAGTATTTTGAAGAGTTTCCAGAAACACGGATTGAACCACAAGTATGAATTCTTATAATTTTAATTCTAAACTTTATTAGTTTATTTTAGTTTCTAAAAAATAAAAATTAATTTAATTTTGGTTTATATTATTTTTTATATTTCTACTTGTATGCTTTATACGCCAATTTAATATTTATGCCTCTTTTTACAGATGCAGTATTTGCAATCGAATATTTATCAGTAAAAAAGATGCCGATGAACATATGAAATTCCATCAAGATCCAACGCAAAAGAATCGGGAGAAACTAATGAGGTGTAGAAGATGCCATGAAATTGTTCCCGCACGTTTTGTTAAGACACACACATGCTCACAGCAATATAAATGCAACATTTGTAGAGCTTCCTTTGTTCTAGAAAAATCGTATCTTAATCATTTAAAGAGTCACAATGTAACGCAAGTATATTCAAATTCTCGAATTCACAAGTGTTCTGTTTGCGATAAAAACTTCAGTTCAGAAACACAACTCATCAATCATATATCTGAACATGGTAATTTAAAATCTACCTATGAGTGCAATGTAAAAAGTAAAGAGTCGAAATTGGATGGAAAATTGGATAGTACAAAAATTAATGCTATGAAAAAGCAAGTAAGTATATTTTATTTTCTTTATTATAATCTAATGCAGGCTTCACACTCATCTACTAAAACTTACTATTATTTACTACTTTTTTTACGTTCTGCTTACTATTTGGGTACTTTTTTTTAGATTTCAGCCACTAAAAGCTACTATTTTTGTTTTCTTAGAGAATTTTCACTACTTTAAATTCGCTAATACTAGAAATCAAAAAATTATTCTCGAAAAATTATATAATCAAATTTTTTAAAACAATTAAATTATTTTCAAAAATATTCGAAATTCAATTATTTTCAATATCTAGTATTTTTATAAAATTTCGCAAAACAATTCACAGGCTGTCCCCTATTTCCCTAAAAGTCTCCTTTTTTTAATTATAGACCCTAAATGTACCTTATTTTGAAAATTTCCCCTATTTTTTCCTTTTTTTCTTTAATTGTAAACTTTTGTTTTGAAAGTTTCAAATCTTGAAATTTATGATGGATGAAATTTTTCATGAAATTTATCAAATTTGTAAGATTAGTATTTTGGTGAAGTCAAGTCTCAATTATGTTTAGAAGTTGGTTGTATTTTAAATTCTTATAATCTGCACAAACTTGTTATGACATACATTATTTTTAAAAGACTAAATTATTTTTTAAAATGTAATAATTGGTTCAATTTAATTATGAATATGTAGATGTTCTTTAATTAGGATGTAAATGGATTGGAAACTTGTTTTTTGTTTATTTCATTCATGTGTTTAAAAAGACTCTTAGTTTAATAATTAAACTGAAAACTAAATTTTATGAAAATTTAAATTAACAAAACAAATTTTTGCAAAAATAAATATTTTCAATTTATATTTGAACCTTAAAGACTAGTTAAATGTAAATTGATATTTACCGTTGTACTCATTATTGTACTAAAATTTTTTCAAGCACTAATTCTAATCCAAAACCTTCAAAAAATTTTTCTATTTCTGACAAGAATTAATTTTTTAATATTATTCAATTATTACAAAAGTTTTAATGCAATTATCTTGATAAATAACAAAATTCTTCACAGAAGTTCAATAATTTTTAGGAATTTTAAGAAAATTCTTTACAAAATTCAATTATTTTCATAAGTTACAATATTCATTCCAAGAATTCAATTATTTTCAAAAATTTATAAAAATCTTTGCAAAAGTTCAATTACTTTCAAAAGTTTTTTGGAATTCAATTTTAATTTTCATTATTTACTATTTTCATAAAATTTATCAACAGATTTAATTACAGAAAAAACTTTTTGATACAATTCTATGAAAAGATTCAATTATTTTCATAAATAATAAAATTTCATTTACGAATTCAATTATTTTCATCGCAGAATTTCAAATATTTTTAATACAATTTTAAATAAATTCCTTGAAAAATGCAATTATTATTAAAAATTTTATTTTTTTTTTGTTTTTTTTTTTGCTTAGGGACTTTTGGGAAATCTGCCTACAGATACCTAACAAACTGGCGACCTAATTCGTCGCAGAAAATCAATTATTTTCAAAAAATTTTTAAGTAATTTTGCAAAAGAATTCAATTAGCTTGATAAACAACAAAATCGCATAAATTCTTCCCATAAAATCAATTATTCTAAGGAATTTCAATAAAATTCTTTTCCAAAATTCAATTATTTTGCGATAAATTTGAAAATTCATCGCAAGAATTCAATTCTTTTGAAAAGTAATGAAATACTTTGCAGAAATTAAATTATTTTCAAAATTTTTTAAAAATTCTCGTCAAGAATTAAATTATCTTTATAAATAAATAGGGAAATTCTTCTCAAGAATTAAATTATTGTCAAAAATTTTTTTTAAATTCTTCTCAAGGAGTCAATTATTTTCAAAATTTTTTTTAAAATTCTTCTCATAAATTCAATTGTTTTCAAAAATTATTATTTAAATTCTCAGGAATTATTAAATTATTTATTATTATTATTATTATTAATTATTATTATTATTATTTATTATTAATTTATTTATTTATTAAATTATTATTTTTAAAAAATTGAATAAAATTCTTCAAAAAGTTTCCAATTATTTTCAAAAATTGTTATAAAATTCTATAATATAATAAATTTCATTAAAATTTTAATTAAATTGCTTAAAAGAAATTAAATACTTTCAAAAGTTGTTAATACAATTCTTCGTAAAAATTAAATATTAAGAAACATTCAATATTGTTTATTTTTGTATTTAAATAATTGATTTCTCGTAGAATTAAATTGTTGTTTTTCGTACTTTTAACTAAAAATTCTGTAGAATTAATTTTTTTTGAAAAAGTTTAATTGAATAATAATAATTGATGTTATTGATTTAAAGTAGAATTTTAGTTAAAAATTCTAGAAAATGTTAATTGAATTGAAATGATACAAACAATTTTGAACAAATTACAGTAACAATATTCATATAATAATAAAATAATGATTTTGTCAGTCGGTCATCTTTAATTAAGATTATTTTCAAAAATTTCATACAATTATTGTCAAAATTTCAATTATTTAAAAAAATTTTCATCAATTTTATGATTTTCAATATCTACAATTTTAGTAAAGTTTTCCAAAACAATTCAATTATTTTAATAAAATTCTACGCAAACATTTAATTATTTTCATAAATAATAACACTCATCGCAGAATTTTAATTATTTTTAATACAATTTTAATCGAATTGCTGGAGAAAATGTAATTATTCTTAGAAATTTTATTAAAATTCGTCAAATAAATTCAATTATTTGAATATTTGTTGATAAAATTCTTTATGAGAATTCAATTTTAAGAAACATTCAATTATCCAATAAACTATTTATTTTTATACATAAATAATTTAATTCTCGTAGAATTTTCTAATAAAAATTGATTTAAAAATGAATTTTATTTAAAAATTTTGATAATAATTGAATATTAAAAGCATTAAAGTGTGTATTTTCAGAAATAATTGAATTTTTCATACTTTTAACCAGAAATTCTGAAGAATTAATTTTTTTGAAAAAGTTTAATTAAATTTTTTTGAAATTATTTCAAGTTTTTATTTTTGAATATTTAATTGAAGAATTTCAGTATTTGATTAGTGAAGTTTATTAAAATTGTATTGAAAACAATTTAATTTCTGAGAAGAATTTTATGATTTATAAAAATAATTTAATTCTTGCTATAAATTTTACTATAATTAGGTATAAAAATAATTCAATTATTTCGAAGGATTTATTAAAATTTTAGAAAATTATTAGATTTTTGCAAAAAATTTTACTAAAACTTTAAAAAAAAAATTGAATTCTTTCCAAGGATTTATTAAAATTTTAGAAAATAATTGAATTTTTTTGAAAAATATTATTAAAAATTTTTTTATGTAAATGAATTCTTTTATGAAATTTTATGAAATGTGTATTAAAAATAATTGAATTGCTTTGAAGGATTCATTAAAATTTTAGAAAATAATTGAAATTACAATAAATTTGTTTTTTTTCTGCAGGAGGGTTACACTTGTTTTGTATGCGATAAAAGATTCAGTGACGAAGAAATTATGAAAGATCATCTTCAACAGCATTGCGATGATATAAGCGAAGAGGAGCAGAGTTCAAAGGAGCATTATCAGTGTGCAATTTGCAGTGAATCACTTGAATCTGAAGATGCACTAAGTACACACGTTGAAAATCATTTATTCGATGACGCTGACGATAATCCAAATCTCATAAATATTGCCGACACTGGCAAATCAAAGGATTCACAATATTTCTGCGATCAATGTCCCGAGCAATTTTCATCAAGATCAATACTCGCAATGCATCAGGAAATTCACGACGACGAAACAGACACAATATGGGAGAAGGAGAGAAATTTCATGAGCAATTATTGCTGTACAATTTGCGACGAAATGTTTCCCACAGAAAATGAATTGGCCGATCATTTGGACATACACAATGAAAATTCACTTATTTGTCTTTTGTGTGAAAAAACATTCGCCACACTTACAGAATTACAAAATCATGTCGAGACTCACTGATACAAGACAAAAATATTATTTTAAAGTTATTTTCAATTAATTTTTTCTTTTTTTACTTTTCTTTCAAAAAATAAATAGAAATTATTTCTAAACTGTGGAACAGAAGAAAAAAACAATTTTGTTCGTATTTTTTTTTTTTTGAAAATTAACTATAATAATCTCTTTAAATTAATAGTCATTCCCGTGTTAAAAATTTTTTTTTAAATATTGCAATTTTTGTATATTGCACAATTTTTGTAATTAAGGACAGTTCTCTGTAATAGAAGAATATGTATTTATATATCTATATATAAGTGGTTTTCGTTATATATGACAAAAGAAGATTTTTTTCATTAAATTAAAAATTTTCTTTATCATAAATTAGTTTATTGTTTAATACCCGAAGTGAATTCTTCTTTATTAGCAGAAAAAACTAATATTTAATAATATTAAAATATAAATGTAAGAAACTATAAATACATTTAAAAAAAAACTTTAATTTTACAAATTCCTCTTAATTAATTCTATACTTAAAAATATATTTTTATAAAAGTATTTAAAGTGTAACATTATTTAAGCTAATTTTTAAATAATTTAGAATAAGTTTTACTAAAATTCTATACGATATTTTTAGTTCGCGAAGACAACGAAAAATATCTTTTAAATTCCGTAAACAAAGCATAATTTTTTTTTATCATGCGAAAAAGAATCAATAGAACTTGACACAATTTATAAATGGCGTGACATTATTGCGTTGTAAATAATTAATCAATTTATTAGTCAAGTTCATTTATGAGTTAAATGCTGGTTACGGTTGTTTCAGTAGGAAAAACAAAGAGTCATGTAGATAGTTTGAAATAATTATTTTTCTCAAATAATCTTTGTAAATAGAAAGTTGTGCGTAGCATTGAAAATTTTAATAAAAATAATAAAGTGAAAAGAAAAAAAAATTATTTTCATTTGTTTAGAATTTATTTTTGGATAAAGAAAAGAAAAATGATTGTACCAAAAAATATTAACGATGCTTTATTACCGATAACAATTAGCAATTGGATTATGGGCACTGATATTATTGAACATCCTCTTGGCATTCCTCAATTATTACCTAGTCTTGCCTATTCAATAGTTTGCATAATTACACTATCTGTATCATTGTTTAAAAATTACAGTTCAATTTCCGAGTTTTACAATGAGGAATTTCACGTGATGGATAAATTAATCTTCAGCATTTTTTGCTTTGGAAATTATTTCCTGTTTATGATTGTAATCATTTTGAGTAAAGTCAACTCTAAAGTAAGTGATTATTATAAAATATGGTAATTTAATATTTTTTACAGTCGAATTCTATATTTTTCATATTTTAAAATTTATTTGATGTGGGTGATTTTCAAATAACTAAAGTTTTACATTTTTTTTGTTAAATAATTTTTTTGTGAAATATTTTTCTGGCTAATTACTTTAATAGAAATTATTTAGAATGCAGGCACGAAAGAATTCAATTATTTTTTTAAACAGTAAAATATTAGCAAAAATTCAATTATTTTTTTAAATAATAAAATATTTGCAAAAATTAAAATTATTATCGAAATAAAATTTCACGAAAAATTGAAATTTTCTTTTAATTCGTCATAAAATTTTCCAAAAGAATTCAATTAATTTCTTAAATTTTAATAAAATTCTTTACAAAATTTCAATTATTTTCATAAACAATAAAATTTTTCTAAGGATTTCAATTATTTTCAAAAATTTAAATGAAATTCTTCCGAAAAATTCAATTCTCTTCATAAAAAGTAAAATTATTTTGAAGATTTCAATTATTTTCTTAAATAATAAAATTCTTCGGAGAATTTCAATTATTTTTTAAATTTTTAATAAAATTCTTAAAAAAGAATTCAATTATCTTTATAGAGAATAAAATTGTTTTCAAAAATTCAATTATTTTGAACAAAATTTTTAAAGTTTCACGAAAGAATTCAATTATTTTTTTAAACAGTAAAATATTAGCAAAAATTCAATTATTTTTTTAAATAATAAAATATTTGCAAAAATTAAAATTATTATCAATAAAACTTCGCGAAAAATTGAAATATTTTTTATTTAAATTGAAAATATTTCAATTGAAATATTTTTTATTTCAATTTCCATCGAAACAATTATATTATTTTTCTAAAATTTTAATTAAAATCTTTGCAAGATTTCAATTTTTTTCATAAACAATAAAAATTTTCAAAGAATTTCAAATTTTTTTTATGAAATTCTTCCTAAAAATTCAATTATCTTCATAAAAAGTAAAATTCTTTTCAAGATTTCAATTATTTTCTTAAATAATAAAATTCGTTGGAGAATTTCAATTATTTTTTAAAATTCAATTATTTTTTTTAAATAATAAAATATTTACAAAAATTCGAATTATTATCAATAAAATTTAACGAAAAATTCAAATTTTTTTGTATTTCGCGTTATAAAATTTTCCAAAAGAATTCAATTACTTTTCAAAAATTTTAATAAAATTCTTCCTAAAAATTCAATTACTATTTTCAATACAATCTTAATTTAATCCCTCCAAAGAATTTAAATTTTCATGGAAACAATTTTATTATTTTTCTAAAATTTTAATAAAAATCTTTGCAAGATTTCAATTATTTTCATAAACAATAAAATTTTTTAAAAGGATTTCAATTATTTTCAACAATTTTAATGAAATTCTTTCGAAAAATTCAATTATCTTCATAAAAAGTAAAATTCTTTTGAAGATTTCAATTATTTTCATAAATAAATGAAATCTTTACAGAATTTTAATTATTTTTAAATTCATGGCAAAAATTAATTTTTTCTTATAAATAATCAAATTCTCCTGAGGAATTCAATTATTTCAATAAAATTTTTAATAAACTTCAAAAATCAAATATATTTCATTATAAATTATTATTAAATGACATGATTATATTTTAAAAAGTTGAAAATTTTTTTTATTTATTCAATTATGTTTCTGAAATTTTAATAAAACTCTTTGCAAGATTTCAATTATTATTTTCATAAGCAATAAAATTTTTCAAATGATTTCAATTATTTTCAAAAATTTTATCGAAATTCTTCCTAAAAATTCAATTATCTTCATAAAAAGTAAAATTCTTTTGATGATTTCAATTATTTTCTTAAATAATAACATTTTACGGAGAATTTAAATTATTTTCAAAATTTTATTGTTTGCAAAAATTCAATTATTTTTTAAAATAAATAAAATGTTTAAGCAAAAATTCAAATTATTATCAATAAAATTACACGAAAAATTCAAATTTTTTTAATTCGTTATAAAATTTTCCAAAAGAATTCAATTATCTTCTAAAATTTTAATAAAATTCTTCCAAAAAATTTAAATTTAATTTTTTTTTTTTAAATTTTTTTTTAATTTATTTTTTTTTTTAATTCTTTTGTAAAATTTATTTATTTTTAAAAACTTAAATGATTTTCAATACATCTACCTACTTTTTTCATAAAATTTCTAAACAGAAATCAATTATTTAAAAACATAAATATAAATAAAATTGTTTATAAAATTCTTCGCAAGAATTACATTATTTTTATAAATAGTAAAATTCTTTCATGAATAATAAAATTCGTTGTAGGAATTTAATTTATTGGCAGGATATAACGAAGAAGAACATTATTTTGATGAAAATTAGGAAAAAGTCAGGAAAATAAAATTTTTAATAGAATTCTTTTCATTTTTGTAACTTATTTCTGTTTCTTCGGTCTTAAAACTGAATTTATTTTGATTTATTTATTTAGCAGGTAAAAATGTGGCTTAAAAAATGACATTTATTTGAAATTCATCCATATATATATATAAATTATAATTCACATAAATGTTATCTGTTAAAAATAAAATATTAAATTGCTTTTAGAAATTAAAAGTTTGCATGCAAGAGCTTAATTCGGTGGAAGAAAAAATGAGGAGATTAGAAATGGCAGAAAACTATTTTAAACCTTTTTGGATGAGTGTTATTAGCGCAGTATTTTTTATAGTATATTTATTAGTTCTTTATGTGATCCTTTTTGCAAAATGTGTGGAGATTGTTAACAGTGTTTCAATCTTCATTACGATAGCTACATTTTATTTTCTATTAGGAACACCTTACGTAATTGAATGCAAATTTTTTCACATAATAAGGTAATCATTTTTTTTTATTTATAAAGTCCTATATAATTAATCTGGAAGCTTGCAGTAAAGTTTAGTTTAGTTTATTTTTTGTTAGTTTAGTTCGTATAGGTTATGTTTGCTTATTATATTATCATATGCGAATGCAAATATCTAAGTCTTACCTCTACCAATTTTTTCTAATTACAGTTTCATAAAAAATGAGTTTTATAAAGTGAATGAAGCACTACGTCAATTGTCAGAAACGGAATTTTATTCACCGCAGAAAACAAAACTGAGTATTATGCAGTTAGGACTAATTTGCACAGCCAAAAGAAATTTGGATAGTGAAAGAAAATTACTAGATATTTTGCAGTAAAATAAATTTTTATCATTATTGAATTGCAAGGATAAAATAAACTCAATGAATAACACAAAAGGCTGCAAAAAAAAAATTTCCATTTTTGTCTGAAATCGAAAAATTATTTCCTGTAGTTTTTGAATCTGCGGCAACGAAAACCTCCCATCACGTCAAGATTTTGATGAAAAAAAACCCTCGTAACGAGTTTCCGCCATATTGGATCCGACATTTTGAATTTTAAAAATCTCACACCAATATTCGCAGGCTTTATGAAAAATTTCATTTTTGGTACCGAAAACGATACCGAAAATGACAGCAATCTTAGACAACGGAAATTTTATTTTTTTTGCAGGCTTGTGTAATTTAATATAGTAGTAAATTAACAATATAATAACTATAGATTTTTTCTCAAACTGAAGTACTGAAGTGATTTATTTGTTTTTTAGGCAAATACATTTAGATTTAGTAAAAATCTCAAGGTCTGTCAACGATATGTTTAGAATTGAAATACTCACTTCAGTTGGGTTATCCGTTATTTTCTTGATCTTTATTTATATTACAGTTGTTTTTAGTATACTTAAACTAAAGACTAGTATGCTCTCGCTAACAATAATTTTATCAATCTACTATTTGACGAAAATTCTAGCAATCAACCACATATGTCACACGACCAGTGCAGAGGTATTTATTAATCATTTTTTTCGATTTATTCAGATTTATTTATTAATAAAAAACAAAGTAAGACTGATTAAATAAAGAAAATATAAAAATTATTATTATATTGTATATTAATTACAAAAAATTTGAAAACATTAATCAAAATTAATTTTTTAGGCGTCGATGACTGAGAAGGTTTTGTTTGAATTGTCAAACATACAGGCTGATGAAGGCTGCTTTAATAAGGTTATTTTATTATATTTATTTTAATCTTTTTATTTATTTTATTTATTTAAAACGATACAATTTTCCATGACGTAAAGGTTGACTAGGCACCAGTGGAGAAATGCATCATATTTCTTCACTGCGGCCGTTAAAAAGAAATTTTAATAAAATTCGTCTCAAAAATTCAATTATTTTCAAAAGTAATATAATTCTTCGCGAAAAATTCACTTTTTTTCAAAAATTTTACAAAAATTCTCGTGTCAAAATTTCAATTATAATTATCTTTATAAATAATAAAATTTTTTTTTTTTTTTTATTTTCAAAAATTTTAATAAAATTCTTAGCAGATTTTCAATTATTATTAATACAATTTTCATCAAATTTCTTGAAAAATGAAATTATTTTTAAAAAATTTTTTAAAAGAATTTAACTTCTAAATTATTTTTAATTTTTTGCTTCTTATCGGGTACTTTCAATGTTATTAAAGCAGGTGTATTCATAATTCCAGATTGAACAATTTTTATTCACAGTGACAAACAATCGTTTGCAATTTACTGCTAATGGATTCTTTCATTTAAATCACAATTGTATTCAATATGTAAGTATATACTGTAAATATGGAAAAGTATTAAACTATATACATATGGGTCAGTTAATTTTATTTCGACATATTTATATAATTCGTTGCCAACCAATTTTAAAAAGATTATTTATTAATATTGCAAGTATATTTTCATTCACATCCTCCCATTGAAATTAAATCGAAAAAATTTCCCGATTTTTTAAAATATACAACTTTTTCTATAGTTGCTCTATAAGAATTAAATTTTTTTCCATAGTTTAATACTAATAATAATAATTACTTTTAGATAGTTGGAATAATGACACCTTACATTATTACGACACAATATGTTAAAATAAATAAGGGATGAGAAAGAAAATACTGTTTTAAGTTATAAAAGCCCCAAATTAGAAAAAAACAGACCCAATATAGAAGAATTTTAAATAAAAACAATAAAACTGGAAAGTAAAAACAGTACAAGAATATTGTAAATTTGTAATTATTTTCTATAATTTATTCATATTATTAGTTCACTTCTTTTATTATTTGAATATTTTTGTTATGTATAAAAGGCGCCGGGATTTTAATAAAAATCATGAATGGTACTCGATTTATTATATTTACTCTTTGGAAACATTCCTTCTTTCTACAATTACCTAATATGTTATATTAATAATTTATTTTGCTATTTCAATTTTTTTTTTTTTTGAAATTGGAGAATAAACTTGATTTTTGTTAATAATAAGACAATTTTTTTTTTAAATTAGAGAATATATTTATTTATAGTTTCTCAGTTTACATAACATTTGTTTATAACTTTTTATACATTGCCATTGCATTGCGAAAAAGGTTAACATATATAGTTATGAGGTCTTGCATTTGGCGAACGTTAAAATTAATAACGTTTCCTATTGCTGAAAATAAAAATTTTTAAATTATTAAATTAAAATTAATTAACAGAATAAAATATTTTTTTTACATAACTTTATTTATGCAAAAGATATAATAATAATAATAATAATACCTTTGTGAATTTTTTCACATTAATTTTGGAAAATAATTATATATTTTCAAAATTAATGTGAAAAAATTCACAAAGGTATTTAATTAGTTTTTAGCGAAAAATATATTTTTAAAAATGAACATTTAATAGAGATTAGAGTATTTTTTGGAAAATAAGGGTCTTCAAATAAAAGAACTTTATTTTTATAAGAAAAATACTACAGTTCGAATTTGAGAAAATTCAATTAATTTCTAAATTCTCCATCTATTATAGAATAAATTAAAGATAATTGATTTTATTTAAAATTAATTCTCTTTAAAACAAAAGTTTATTCTTACCGAGCTGCAGGCATGAAACGGGCTTGTGATGGCGCTGCCATTAACACCAAAGTTACGACCGCAACAATTATGATTGAAATAGAAGTTCTCATTTTGCTTTGCGAAAAGAAATATCAAGAAATTCAATAAAAAATTTTATTATTACAAAATAGTTATAAATTTTTATAATTTTAAAAAATGTAGAAATTTTTTAATCAAAATTTAAAAAAAAAATTTTTTAAATTGAACAATTGGTAAATTTTATAACAAAAAAAATCAAATATAGTGTACTTAGGTATGAAAAATATAAATTATAAATATTAAGTTTTACTTTTTAAATTTTTTATTCAAGTTTGATTAATGGAAAAATTCTCAGTAAATGTAGAATAATTTTAGATTATTTTTATAAACATTGTAAATATTAAATTAAAAAACTCGATAATTCTAAGCTTTTATAAATTTTTCTTACCAACAACTGAAGTTATAGGGACCAGAACTAGGAAGCGCAAAGAAGTTGATTATAAAAGAGCAGTTTAACTTTCCCATATTTATACTAAAAATTCTCGTGATTTGATCATTAAAAAATATTGAAAATCTATCTTCCAAAACTATTCAGTTGTTCAAGGAAAAAAATTATGAGTAAAAGATAAAATGTTTATATTTTTTCTTTGTCGACTTAAAAATAAAGTTATATTTTTATTTAACTTTTTTTTCTATTTTTTAATATTTTTATTTTATTTCAAATTTTTATTTTACAAATATAGGTACAATAAATTCGGAAAATTAAATATGTTAAAACTTAATTAATGTCATACAGTGAATTTTTAGTTTCGTAGAATTTTTAATACAATGAACAACAATTAAAAAATCAATTTTATCTAATCAAAAATAAAAATCCTATAATAAGAATATATGAATTGAAAAAAGTTTTCAAATATGGTTTATTGTTATAAAGTAAGCTTTGCGTCAAAATTGGGAAATTTTTATTCGAAAGAAAATAAATTTTATTGCTTTTGTTTTTATATTTTTGAGCTAAAATATCTCACGACAATTTCCTATAATTTTTTTTCAGTTATATCATTTCACATTTATTAGAAAATACATATTGCAGAAAATAATAAAATTTTATTACTTTGTAGTTGATATTATTCTTATGTAAAATATAATATGTGAAAAAGAAATAATTTTTTTTAAAAATTGAAAAATTCATCGTTTTTGAAATATTTAAAAATTTTTATCATCTTATAATTTTAACAATAACTTTAAAATAATGAGTGAAAGATAAATAATTATTTTTTTGTAAATAATTTTTAATTTAAAAAATTTTAATTTATTTTAAAAAATGTATATTATATAAGTAGCAAAAGTTACGCGCGGAATGTGATATTCAATTTATTATTATTATGCAAATTACAAAATTTTTTATTTGAAAAATATAAATTTTTAAATAATTTCATAATCAAAATTGAAAAAATTCACTTATTAAGTAAAAAAATTAATTATTATTGTTTATATTTTCAAAAAAATTGTAATATAATTCTTCGAAAGAATTCAATTATTTTTATATAAATAATATAACATTCTTCAAAAGATTTCAATAGTATATATATTATATTATTATATTAAAGTAATAACATTTTTATTTTACGAATTTATCTTTGAATAATTTTTTAAATTAAAAAAATTATTTACAAAAATTAATTATTTATCTTTTACTCATTATTTTAAAGTTATTGTCATTAAAATTATAAGATGATAAAAATTCTTAAATATTTCAAAAACGATGAATTTTTTAATTTTTTAAAAAAATTATTTCTTTTTCACATATTATATTTTACATAAGAATAATATCAACTACAAAGTAATAAAATTTTATTATTTTCTGCAATATGTATTTTCTAATAAATGTGAAATGATATAACTGAAAAAAAATTATAGGAAATTGTCGTGAGATATTTTAGCTCAAAAATATAAAAACAAAAGCAATAAAATTTATTTTCTTTCGAATAAAAATTTCCCAATTTTGACGCAAAGCTTACTTTATAACAATAAACCATATTTGAAAACTTTTTTCAATTCATATATTCTTATTATAGGATTTTTATTTTTGATTAGATAAAATTGATTTTTTAATTGTTGTTCATTGTATTAAAAATTCTACGAAACTAAAAATTCACTGTATGACATTAATTAATTTTTAACATATTTCATTTTCCGAATTTATTGTATATTTGTAAAATAAAAATTTGAAATAAAATAAAAATATTAAAAAATAGAAAAAAAAGTTAAATAAAAATATAACTTTATTTTTAAGTCGACAAAGAAATAATATAAACATTTATCTTTTACTCATAATTTTTTTCCTTGAACAACTGAATAGTTTTGGAAGATAGATTTTCAATATTTTTTAATGACCAAATCACGAGAATTTTTAGTATAAATATGTTAAAGTTCAACTGCTCTTTTATAATCAACTTCTTTGCGCTTCCTAGTTCTGGTCCCTATAACTTCAGTTGTTGGTAAGAAAAATTTATAAAAGCTTAGAATTATCGAGTTTTTTAATTTAATATTTACAATGTTTATAAAAATAATGTAAAATTATTCTACATTTACTGAGAATTTTTCCATTAATCAAACTTATTGAATAAAAAATTTAAAAAGTAAAACTTAATATTTATAATTTATATTTTTCGTACCTAAGTACACTATATTTGATTCTTTTTTGTTATAAAATTTACCAATTGTTCAATTTAGAAAAATTTTTTTTAAAATTTTGATTAAAAAATTGTAACATTTTTTAAAATTATAAAAATTTATAATTATTTGTAATAATAAAATTTTTTATTTAATTTCTTGATATTTCTTTTCGCAAAGCAAAATGAAAACTTCTATTTCAATCATAATTGTTGCGGTCGTAACTTTGGTATTAATGGCAGCGCCATCACAAGCCAGCCGTTACAAGAATAGTCCACGACGACAGTAAGAATAAACTTTTTTTTAAAGATAATTAATTTTAAATAATATTTTTAAATAAAATCAATTATCTTTAATTTATTCTATAATAGATAGAGAATTTAGAAATTAATTCAATTTTCTCAAATTCGAACTGTAATATTTTTCTTATAAAAATACTCAAAGTTCTTTTATTTTAAGACACTTAATTTCAAAAAATACTATAATTTCTATTAAATGTTCATTTTAAAAATATATTTTTCGCTAAAAACTAATTAAATACCTTTGTGAATTTTTTCACATTAATTTTGAAAATATATAATTATTTTCCAAAATTAATGTTAGAAAATTCACAAAAATTATTATTATTATATCTTTTGCATAAATAAAGTTATGTAAAAAAAATATTTTATTCTGTTAATTAATTTTAATTTTATAATTTAAAAATTTTTATTTTCAGCAATAAGAAACATAATTAATTTTAACTTTCGCCAAAAATGCAAGACCTCATAACTATATGTTAACCTTTTTCGCAATGCAATGCGCAATGTATAAAAAGTTATAAGCAAATGTTATGTAAACTGAGAAATTATAAATAAATATATTTTCTGATTTAAAAAAAAAATTGTCTTATTATTAACAAAAATCAAGTATATTCTCCGAACTCAAAAAAAAAAAAAAAAAAAAAAAGTGAAAGAACAGCAAAATAAATTTTTAATAACATTATTACTCAAAAGAAATTCAATTGTCTCTACAAAATTTCAATAAAGAATTCTTCGAAAAATTTATGAAAAATTACAAAAATGTTATCTTTTGAAATTATTATTATATATATATTTTTTTAATATTCTCGTCAAAATGTCAATTATTTTTAAAAAATTTATTCCCTTAATATGAAATCTATTATTTACAGAATTTTTATAAATTTCTTCGCAATAATTTAATTATTTTCATAAATAAAACTCATCGCAGAGTATTATTTTTAATACATTAAATATTAATCGAATTCATCAAAAAATGTAATTGTTCTTAAAAATTTTATGAAAAATCGTTAAAAGAAATCAATTATTCAAAAATGTTTTGATAAAATTCTTAATGAGACTTCAAGTTTAAGAAATTTTAATTATTCAATAAATTATTTACTTTTGCATTTAAATTATTAAATTGTCTAATAAAAATTTATTTAAAAATCAATTACAGTTAAATTCTTACATAATAATTGAATATATTAAAAGCATTATAGCATGAATTTTAAGAAATAATTAAATTTTAAAATGGTTTCAAATCAAATTCTTTAAAAATTTGTATTTTTCATACTTATAACTAACAATTCTGTAGAATTAATTATTTAAAAAAAGTTTAATTATTGAATTTTTTTCTGAAATTATTTGAAGTGTTTATTTTTTAATTCGTATTTAATTTAAGAATTTCTGAATAATTTAAATTTCATAAAATTGATTTGTAAACAAATGGATTTTAAAATTCTCAAAGAACTTTTTTCAAAAATTATTAAAAATAATTTATTTCTGTGAGAGAATAATAATGATTTAAATTTATTTAGAAAAGAAGTTATTGATGTTTTCAAATAATTTTAGAATTAAAGAAATTCGTAAATAAATGTAATAGAACATTTTTTGGAGTGTCTAATTATTTTTAGAATGTATCAGAATTTTCTTTAGGGTCAGAGGGAAGAAGTTAAAATTTTGGCAAGTAATTAAGTTTTTCATATTAAAAAAAAAATAAAATATTTTGCAGGATTTACATTTGTTAATTATCTAAAATGTTTGTTACAAAATGCTAATTTTTTAGAAACAAAGGAAATAATGAATAATATAATAACAATTAATAATTTTTTTTAGATTAATATACAATATTTCTTCTCAGGAATTCAATTATTTTCAATACAATTTTAATAAACTTTAATAATCAAATATTTAATTATAATTATTAACAGACCCAAATATTTTAAAAAGTTAAAAAAATTAAATATTTTTAAAATTTTCAATTAAAATTATACGAAAAACTATACATTATTTTCAAGAAAACTTAAAGAAATGCTTCGAAAGAATTGAATTATTTTATTATTAAGTTTATTAAAATAAACTTCTTTGAATGAATAAAATTATTTTTGAAAATTTTAACAAAGTTCAATAATTGAATGTTTAATTTCAACTATTAAGAAACACGATTATTTTTAAACCTTGAAAGAAATTATTAACAAAATTTAATTACATTCAAAATTTTTAATTAAAATGATTAAAGAAACTACATTTTTTAAAAAATATTCTTCAAAAGAATTTAATTATTACAGTGAGACCTTATTTTGTTTTTAGAAAAAATCCATTCATATAATTTTGTAATTATTTATTTGTTATTAATTTAATTACAATTTTTTAAAATTTTAATAAAATTTTTCGCGAGAATTGAATTATTCTCATAAATAATAAAATCCTTCGAAGGAATTCAATTATTCTCAATTTTTTTGATAAAATTCTTTACCAGGATTCAATAATTTTCAATACATTAATTTAAAAATTAAAAATATTAAAGAAAAAAATTATTCAAAAAGTTAGGAAACAAAAAAGCAAACAATAATTATTTTTAAAAAATTCAATTATTTTCATAAATAATAAAATTCTTTACGAGAATATAATTACTTTCAATACAATTTTAATAAAATGAAAGAATTAATTTTATTTTCAAATTTCTTGATTAAATATTCTTCTTAAAAATTCAATGATTCTCAATATATTATTAATTTTAAAATTAAAAACATTTAAAAAGAAAAATTATTTAAAGATAATATATTTTTTAGTATTCAAAGTAAAAAAGTTTACTTAAAAACTATATTATAATCATGGTTCTATCCAATATTTTAAAATCGTAAAATATTAGAAAAAGCAAAATTCTAAAAGAAAATTTATCTTCTGATTTTGTTTAGTAGAAATTATTACTTTTGCACGTGTAAGTCCTAAAAATTTCTTGTAATAAAAAAATCATGTTTCTCCATATTATTATCAAGTATTTTCAAATAAACTTTGCAATGATAAAATAGAAGCGAAATTTTGCTTTTTTTTAAATATTTCTTAAAAGGTACACAGCGTAAAAATATAAAACTATGAAAAAAAATGTATTTCTGTTATCAGAAAAAGTGCTTAAATTTACTGTATAAAAAAATATTTTTATTCAAAGTTAAGACGCAAAAATTTATATGAGAAATCAGTAATATTTTTCCTCAAAATTAATTAATTAATATTTTTGTTATTGAAAATTTGTCACTTTTATTGTTTCAATTGAAAATATTTACTTTTTTGTATTGGAAATGAATATAATTAATTATAATGACAAAATCATTATTTTATTATTATAAGAATATTGTTACTGTAATTTCTTCAAAATTATTTGTATCATTTCAATTCAATTAACATTTTCTAGAATTTTTAACTAAAATTCTACTATAAATCAATAACATCAATTATTATTATGCAATTACATTTTTTCAAAAAAAATTAATTCTACAGAATTTTTAGTTAAAAGTATGAAAAATAATAATTTAATTCTACGAGAAATCAATTATTTAAAAACAAAATTAAATAATATTGAATGTTTCTTAAAATTTAATTTTTACGAAGAATTTTATTAACAACTTTTGAAAATATTTAAATTCTTTTAAGGAATTCAATTAAAATTTTAATGAAATTTATTTATATTTAAGAATTTTATTAATAACAATTTTTAAAAATAATTGAAAACTTTTTGAATAATTTTATTCAATTTTTTAAAAATAATTGAATTCCTGAGAAGAATTTAAATAATAATTTTTGAAAACAATTGAATTCATGAGAAGAATTTTATTAAAATTTTTGAAAATAATTGACTTCTTGAGAAGAATTTTTAAAAAATGTTTGACAATAATTTAATTTTTGAGAAGAATTTCCATATCTATTTATAAAGATAATTTAATTCTTGACGAGAATTTTTAGAAAATTTTGAAAATAATTTAATTTCTGCAAAGTATTTCATTACTTTTCAAAAGAATTGAATTCTTGCGATGAATTTTCAAATTTATCGCAAAATAATTGAATTTTGGAAAAGAATTTTATTGAAATTCCTTAGAATAATTGATTTTATGGGAAGAATTTATGCGATTTTGTTGTTTATCAAGCTAATTGAATTCTTTTGCAAAATTACTTGAAAATTTTTGAAAATAATTTATTTTCTGCGACGAATTAAATGTTATTTATGAAAATATTTAAATTATTGTAACGAATTTTATTGTTTTATTGAATAATTGAATAATTGAATGTTTCTTAAAATTGAATTCTTTCCTCAAGTTTTAATAAAACTTTTAATAATAATTGCAATTTTCAAGGAATGTATTTAAAATTGTATTGAAAATATTTGAAATTCTGCGATGAAAATAATTGAATTCGTAAATGAAATTTTATTATTTATGAAAATAATTGAATCTTTTCGTAGAATTGTATCAAAAAGTTTTTTCTATAATTAAATTTGTTGATAAATTTTATGAAAATTGTAAATATTGAAAATTATCGAATTGCAAAAAACTTTTGAAAGTAATTGAACTTTTGCACAGATTTTTGTAAATTTTTGAATAGAATTGAATTTTTGGCGAAAAATTTTGCTATTTGTAAAGATAATTGAATTCTTGACGAAATATTCGTGAAAATTTTTAAAAATAATTGAATTTTTTCGAAGAATTTCATTACTTTTGAAAATAATTGAATTCTTGCGATGAATATTGTAACTTATAAAAATAATTGAATTTTGTAAATAATTTCATTAAAATTCCTAAAAATTATTGAATTTCTGTGAAGAATTTTGTTATTTATCAAGATAATTGCATTAAAACTTTTGTAATAATTAAATAATATTAAAAAAAAACAACCAACTTCTAAACATAATTGAGACTTGACTTCACGAAAATACTAATCTTCCAAATTTTATAAATTTCATGAAAAATTTCATCGATCATAAATTTCAAGATTTGAAACTTTCAAAACAAAAGTTTGCTTTTGGTGTGAATTCATCATTAAAAGATAAAAGAAAAAAATAGGGGAAATTTTCAAAATAGGGTACGTTTAGGGGCCAAAATTAAAAAAAGGGGACTTTTAGGGAAATAGGGGACAGACTTTGAAATTTGTTTACAATAAAATATCGAAATTACGAAAATTGCTAGTCTTTTTTTATTTTCTAAATGCGAACGAATTGAATTAGGTGATAAATTCAATTAAGTTGTAAAAAAGTATGATTTTTAAATGATTTAACATTCATTTAATAGTTAAAAGATACTTTATTTACATAATAAAACTATATATTTTATTATAAAAAAAAACATTAAATTGTTAAAAATTATAAATTATTACAAAATTAATAAAATAATGTTTTAGTAAAAGTAATACAGTCGAACGTAGAAATTTTTATTTTAAGTCATTGTCAAACGATAAAATTTTATCTTCGAAAATATAAAACATTAACAATGAATATTTAGATTTTCTTCTTTTTTGTAAAATACCTATCACAAAATTTTGTTTTTGAATTTAAAATTTTTAATTTAATCTCTATAATATACGCGAAAAATGCCAGTCTTTTGTTTTTAAAATCTTTTCAGTCGAATATTCAACTTTTTATACTTATAATTTATTTTTGATCGCAGTGTTTTGTTTTGATTTTCTAAATTAGAACTATACATACTTTCTTCTGCTTTGATCATTTTTTTTAAAATTCGTAGTTAATACCCCAGTCCTTAAAAATAAGTCGTTCCATAAAACAATTAATTTAGATTGAAAAAAATGGACTTTTTAGTATATTTTTCCTTGGAGTTGAAATTTTCAATTCATTCTTATGTTAAAAAGCAAATTTTACAAATTTACAAGCAGTCTTTTAGAACTGGTGTTTTTATTTATTTTTTTAATTTAGAAACTTCTAAGAAGCGAAATTTCTATTGATAAATTCGATTTTGTTTAATTTGTCTAAATTACAGTTCGACTGTTCACAAATATAAAATAAAGGTCATGGAACACGTTGCGGTATCCATATATGTACTTTCCTTCTTCACTTTTTACACAATTTTATTTACTCTTATAGCTAATTTAAAAAGATAAAAAATATACAAAACATCTTGCATCGACTTCACTTTAAAACAAATGCTCTCTGCAAGTCATAGGGATTTCTCGTACTCTGTTTTCTTTTTTCAAGTTCAAATACACGTATTTTAAAAAATTCATTACACGATTGTAAATCATTTTTTTTTCTTTTTTGTTAGAAAAAAAATTGTACCTCTTTTATTCTATAACTCGATCATGCACCTGGGCAAGGGATTTGCGCACTAGATTATTCTGTAATTTCACTTGATTTCACGTCACTGAACTGAAAGTGAAGTGAAATTACAGAATCGAGTTATAGAATACGGAGAATATTAACTTCCGTTATATTTTAAAAAATAAATATTCAGTCTTTAGCAGTCTCGTTTCGAGAGAGATGGTACTGGTGATGGAGGCGGTGGTAATGGATGAAAATATGTCGATGATCTTGAACTCGGAGATGGTGGACAGCTAATTGCTATATCGCTGTGATAAACAGATCTCGGCGTTGGCGGTGGTGGGAAGGGCTCCACTTCATATCGCCATCGCGTTGGATAATTACTGTCAGACTCGTCGCAAACATCTGTGCTGCATGGCGTGGGTGGTGGCGGTGGATTTATACTTCTATAATGTCGATATGGTCTGCATCTTGATGCATTGCTACTGGAACATCTTGTGGAGTTGGCAGTTGTCGCTGGACTAGGTGGTGGGTTCAATGTTTCTTGTGGATAGCCACCTGTGGAACTACCGCGAGTCGAACTTGAAGCACCTGAAGAAGGAAAAATTTATAATTTAGCAATTTTTATTTTATTTAGGCATTTATACATTTGTCTCATAACTTATAAGAAGAATTAATTCAAAGTTGCAAAAAAAAATTTAATTTTGTTCATCCCTGACTTTTCCCTGATTTTTAGACAAAATTTTAACTTTTTCACTGATACTAAAGAATATTCTGATTCACTCTAAAAATTATTAAATACTCCAAAAAAAAATTCTATTAAATTTATTTACAAATTTCTTCAAAAGTAAAACTATTACATACGAAAACATCAAAAATTCTTTTTTAAATAAATATTTAATCATTTTTTTTTTCATTGGAATTAAAATGTTAAAAAATTTCAAATTCAAATCTTTTCAAATTGAACAACTCATAAGAATATTATCTGATATTATTAACTCCGAGTCTTCGACTCGGAGTGATCCGTTTCTTTATGTTTTATAATAATTAAAGATGACCGACTTACAAAATCATTATTTCATTATTATAAGAATATTGTTACTGTAATTTCCTCAAAATTATTTCTATCGTTTCAATTCAATTAAAATTTTCTAGAATTCAAAAATTCTACTTTAAATCAATAACATCAATTATTATTATTCAATTAAACTTTTACAAAAAAAATTAATTCTACAGAATTTTTAGTTAAAAGTATGAAAAATAATAATTTAATTCTACGAGAAATCAATTATATTTAAATACAAAAATAAATAATATTGAATGTTTCTTAAAATTTCATTTTTACGAAGAATTGTATTAACAACTTTGGAAAATATTTAATTTCTTTTAAAGAATTTAATTAAAATTTTAATGAAATTTATTATATTAAAGAAAGTTGGGGTACAGTTTTTCTAAAACAAATTTTCTAATTTTTTATTTTCTAAAATTTTTTTTTCTAATAAAGGTGAATTTCTAAAAAAACTTTTTTCTAATGAAAGTGATTTTCTAATTTTCTTCCTTCTCATCATGCTTCTCATAAAGGTCATTTACTAAAATATTCTTTTCTAATAAAGGTAATTTTCAAAAAAAATTTTTCTAACAATATTCAATTTTTGAAATAACGAATGATTAAAAAATAAAATTTACGAAAATTTTTTAATTCTTTAAAAAAGTACTTGAGATTTCTTTAAAAAATTATAATAAAAAATAGAAAATCTTAATTAATAAATAGAAATTATAGGGATTTTTTTCCTAAAGATATTTAAAATTTTCTAAAAAAAAATGTTTTATAAATAAATTAATTTTGGAAATTTTGATAGAAAAATTCTTTTTTTTCAAAGAAGAACGAAATTTTGTTAACAAATTGTGATAAGAAATAGTAATTTTATAAAATTTGTTCTACTTTTTGAAACAGAAACTTATAAATTTGTAAACAAAATTGTGATTGAGAAACAGAAAATATGCAAAATAGTTTCTATTTCTTAATCTTAATTTTTTTTTTAACAATTTTCTAACTTTTATCAAAATTATGGAATTTTACAAATTTTAAGAAAATAAATATTAGAAATCATAACTTTTTGGAAAAACTTTTTTAGAAATAAAAACTTGTTAGAAAAACCTTTTTTAGAAAACAGATTTCATTAGAAATTGCTTTTTTTAGACAAAAAGGATTAGAAAATATTTTTTAAAGAAAGTGATCACCTACCAATAAAGAATTTTATAACAATTTTTGAAAATAATTGAAAACTTTTTAAAGAATTTTCTTGAATTTTTTAAAAATAATAGAATTCCGGAGAAGAATTTAAATTATAATTTTTTAAAACAATTGAATTCATGAGAAGAATTTTATTAAAATTTTTGAAAATAATTGACTTCTTGAGAAGAATTTTTAAAAAATGTTTGACAATAATTTAATTTTTGAGAAGAATTTCCATATCTATTTATAAAGATAATTTAATTCTTGACGAGAATTTTTAGAAAATTTTGAAAATAATTTAATTTCTGCAAAGTATTTCATTACTTTTCAAAAGAATTGAATTCTTGCGATGAATTTTCAAATTTATCGCAAAATAATTGAATTTTGGAAAAGAATTTTATTGAAATTCCTTAGAATAATTGATTTTATGGGAAGAATTTATGCGATTTTCTTGTTTATCAAGCTAATTGAATTCTTTTGCAAAATTACTTAAAAACTTTTGAAAAAATAATTGATTTTCTGCGACGAATTAAATGTTATTTATGAAAATATTTGAATTATTGCAACGAATTTTATTGTTTTATTGAATAATTGAATGTTTCTTAAAATTGAATTCTTTCCTCAAGTTTTAATAAAATTTTTAATAATAATTGCATTTTTCAAGGAATTTATTTAAAATTGTATTAAAAATAATTGAAATTCTGCGATGAAAATTGAATTCGTAAATGAAATTTTATTATTTATAAAAATAATTGAATCTTTTCGTAGAATTGTATCAAAAAGTTTTTTCTATAATTAAATCTGTTGATAAATTTTATGAAAATAGTAAATATTGAAAATTATCGAATTGCAAAAGACTTTTGAAAGTAATTGAACTTTTGCAAAGATTTTTATAAATTTTTGAATATAATTGAATTTTTGGCGAAAAATTTTGCTATTTGTAAAGACAATTGAATTCTTGACGAAATATTCGTGAAAATTTTTAAAAATAATTGAATTTCTTCGAAGAATTTCATTACTTTTGAAAATAATTGAATTTTGTATAGAATTTTATTAAAATTCCTAAAAATTATTGATGTTTCTCGTTAGTGTATCTTCATGATTTATTTCAAAATTATTAGTTTATTAGAAAAAGTCAAAAATAGTGGTTTGAATTGTAAACTAGAATAAAGTCTACAAAAGCGATTAGTCGCGACCTTCAGTTTTTACGCGCTATTGCGCATAACATTCTTATTTGAAATTATATTTTTGCAGATTACAAAAATGTTATATTCTTTTTTATATATATAATTCTATTACTAGCAAAAACTGACGCGCGCGAGCGCGCGTGCATTTTTTTTTCAACGTTTTATTTTAAATAATTAAAACTTTATTTTTTCAGCGAATTTGAACCATTATGATGTCACAATTTTTTAGCAAATGCTGTGAACAAATTGTGACGTCATTATGGTTCAAATGCCATTAAAGAAATTATTTCATCTTCTATTAATTAATATATTTTTGCATTTTCTTTTTTTATATAAATAAATTAAAATTTTTATTTATTAATTGAAAATATCTGTTCGCAGTTTATATTTTTTTTTTGTTTAATATTTTAATAATTTTATGTTTTAATATATATATATAAATATATTTTTTCTATTAAAATAGCAATTCTTTAAAATGATTATTATTATTTTTAAGGGTATTTTAATTATTATTATGACGTTATAATGTTTTAAATAAATTTAAAAAATGGAAATGCTGGAAAGAATGAAAAATACATTTTTTTTAGAAATATAAAATTATTCAATTAACATCTTCTATCTTTATATCTTCTCTCTATATTAATATCTTCTTCTTCTATCTTCTTTGATTTAGTTGTAATTTACTTTTTTGTTTCCTATCTTCTTTAATAATTTTATGTTTCAATATTTTTAATTTTAATTAAAATTAATATATTGAATTTCATTTAAATTCTTGCAAAAAATTTGAGAATCATTGAATTTCTTCAAAAAATGTCATTATTTATGAAAATAATTCAATTTTCGCTAAAAATCATTAAATCAATTTTGGAAACCCTAATTAAATTTTTCTGAAGAATTATTTTTTATTTTTTGTTTAATAATTGTGTTTCTTTAATAATTTTAATTGGATATTTTTAAAGTAATTTAAATTTATGAACAATTTTTTTCAAGTTTTTAAAACTAATTTTTAAATTTGTAAATTTAGTTGAAACATCTATTGTTTACATTTATCCCTTGTTTACAATTACCCCAAATGGCCCTAATTGTAAATTGATTGTTTTGTTGATTTTTGAATTTTATTTCGGAATAATTCAATTTTTTATTATGTATTTTTCATGATTTGAAGACTTTATATAGTCTTTAAAAGACTTGATAGTATTTAAATAGTTGAAATGAAAGGCGGTGCCTAAAGTATTTTTTTTAAGTTCATTATTTTTTTTTCTTTTTAGAAAATCTATTTTCTATAATATTGTGTTAAAAAAAACGTTAACATTTTATATTTTATTTGAACAGAAGATAACGATAAGTTTAATTCTTGCAAAAGAAAGCACTTATAAGTTAATTCTACACACAAACACACACAGAAATACGTTTATTTTTTACGTAAGTGCCAATAAATTAATTTCAATTTTTTATTTAAAATGAAATAATTTAATTTTGAATTAATTGTATTTTTGATATTTGAATAATTAATTATTATTTTGAACAATTACATTTTTCAATGATTTCAAAATAATTAAATTTTTATTAAAAACAGAATAATTTATTTTTGAATTAATTAAAATTGTTTGATTTATTTTTGAATAATTAATAATTGACTTTTGAATTATTTAAAATTCAAATATTGTAAAAAATTAATAAAATATTTAAAAAAACAATTTATTTTTAACATAATAAAAAAAGTAATTTATTAAAATACTAAATTCAAATAGATTTTGAATTGCAATTATTTTTAAAAATAAATAAATTTTTTGTGTAAAATCATTTTTTTAAAATTAATTAAAATTTGAAACAATTGAATTTTTTTTTTTTCATTTTTGAAAAATTAATTATTTCGAACAATTTTTTAAACATAAAAGAACCAGGAGCTATTATCACTCATAATAGCAATCAAAAAAAGCACACACTAAAGGGATCGCTCTTCCCAAAAAATTTAGACTCTAGATCCTGCACTGTATAAGTTAATAATTGAAGATTAATTAAATTTTTGAAAAATTAAATATTAAAAAATTAATTATTTTGAATAATTAATATTATTGAACAGTAATTTACGAAAACGACCAATGTAATAAAATTTAGAACGATATTTTTTATTGATTCAGGAAAATTGAATTTTTTAATTAAAATTAATAATCGTTGAAAATTGAAAATAATACAACTTTTATTGACAATTCGATATTTCAGTTTTTTTAGATTTTAAAAATGCATAAAATTTTCAATAATAATAATAAATCAAAATACAATAAATATTATCAATTATAATTATAAATAAAAAAAATAATAATAATAATAATAAGATATACGAATAAAATTTGTTTTTAAGTTATTTTGAGATTTTTATTTAACAAAATAAAATGAAATAATATAAATGATTTAATTAAGAAGAAAATTTTAATTAATAATTAGAATTTACCAATCTACAGTTTTTTTTCCACTGAAAACGGTAACCTCTCGCCTGATACCAGATATTTTTCCACGATTTTTCAAACACAATAATTCTTGTCACAATTTAACGTTTTTTAAAAACACCCGCACTATACCGCATAACATAACATCGGAAATGTCAAAACATCACGAAAAATATAAACAAACAAAAAAATCATGATAATAATTCGCAAATGATAACTAACAACTAACTTCATACTGCGAACGGACAGAATGAAAAACCACAGACTTTAATAAAGTTAATATTTCTACACATTTTCTATTTATTAATATTTTTTTATTATTCATTTAAATTAATATACTGAAATTGTAGTATTTTTCTAAATTTCATAAATTTTTACTTACAAATGTGTCCATTTATTACATTTATTTTTTTTCGGGAACTTGTCAACAAAATTTTAATAAAATTTCACAAAAAAATTCAATTTTTAAAGAAATTTTTAATAATATTTTTCGAAAAAATTCAATGATTTTCAAATATTTAATAAATCCTTCAAAACAATTCAATTTTTTCCATAAATAATAAAATTCGAGATATTCGATTAAAAATGTGAAATTTTTATTATTTATGAAAATACTTAAATGTTTGAGTAGAATTTTATCAACATTTTTTTTTTTAAATAATTGAATTCCTTTGGAAAATTTTATTAAAACAGTAAATATTGAAAATCTTGTCTTGTCTAGGTTATTTCAGATAATCGAGATTCCACTGTACTTTGATTGAAAATTTCTGATTTTCCTGACGTGTGGCAACCCTGTAAATGGATAAATACCTGTAATGTGACTGCGATCGTAACTGGATCCTATGCTACTGCCATTTAGAGTAGACATCCTCACAGCATCCATTCCAAGTTTAGGATCCTTTCTGCCACCTTTGTGCACCAATGTGGCCTTTGCAATTCTGTTTGGCTTCGGAGAAAGCGGATCTCCCGCCGAGTCATACAAGATGTCTGGTAATTCGCCATTGGAAGACATTTTCTTTCGACAGTAATAGACGATAATGCCACCGCTTGCGAACACAATCATCGACACTAAAATTACAAGAATATAGGTATTCTTTCCGGCGTCCACCGGAACAACCGACTGCTGCTGATTATTCACTGTCGAGCATGCCACAGTATTCTCATCACTTCCGTCCGGGCAATTTTTCCAACCGTCGCACAGCAATGTTTCAGAAATGCAAGAACCTGTCGAACTACATTGAAATTGTCCAGAGCGACAACAGTTTGCCTCGTCGAAACCATCGGAACATTGAGGGGTTCCATCGCAAACCCAATTTGTATCTGTGGAAAGATTTAATTTAACCCATTAATAAACTAATATAAACACTGACGCAAACCAACTATTGGAATCAGGACATCACACTTTATCGGCAATTACGTATTTTAAGTCTGAACTTCAAAATTCAAAATGGCCGATCTAATATGGCTGCCAACTTTATTAATTTTCCAACGGAATTAAAATTTTCAAAATATCCAAATTCAAATCTTTATAAAACATAAAAATGACAAAATCATTATTTTACATCTATTATAAGAATACTATTACTGTAACATCTTCAAAATTATTTTCATCATTTCAATTCAATTATTATTTTTCTAGAATTTCCAACTATAATTCTTCATCTTTAAAGCAATTATTTTTAATAATTTTTGAAATAAATCTTTGAGAATTTTCACATCCATTTGATTACAATTCAATTTTACGAAATTTCATGGATTATTAGGAAATTTTTCAAATTAGAAAATAAAAACTTCAAATAGTTTGAAAAAAAATAATTTCTATAAAATTAATAAAATCAATAATTAAAATTATCCCGTGTGGAAATCTGCCCAAGTTAGCCCAGTTAAAAACTGGGAGCCAGCTGGGCCCCACCTGGGCTTCCCATTTTCATAAAAATATTAACATTATAATAGAAAAAGTCTGAAAATTAAATATAACTATTCACAATAAATCATTCTACAATTAATTCATAATAATAATAATCATTATTATTTTAAACAATTTATTATTGTCAATAATTATAAACTTTTATTGTACTACACTAACAGACATTTAGTTTTATTGAAATTTTAAAGTTGTTCCAGCTGAATTTATTTATTTAATAATTAACTCATCAAGGTATAACGGTTTTTAATACATTTTAATAATTGTTTAAACAAATAATTGTTGTTATTTAATAACTTTTGATACACATAACTTAGAAACTTGCAATTTTTTTTCCTAATTTTGCAATTAACTAATAGGAACGACATAAAATAAAGAAAATTTATGGTTTTAACAATTCAGAAATTGTTTAAACAAATGATTGTTGTTATTTATTAACTTTTGATACACATAACTTAGAAACTTGCAATTTTTTTCCTAATTTTGCAATTAAGTAATACGAACAACATAAAATAAAGATAATTTATGGTTTTAACAATTAAGAAATTGTTTAAACAAATTATTGTTGTTATTTATTAACTTTTGATACACATAACTTAGAAACTTGCAGTTTTTTTCCTAATTTTGCAATTAACTAATGTAAATAGTAAATCATTCGGATGTTTTATGATTTTAATTTTAACAATTTATCAAATGTTTAAACAAATAATTGTTGTTATTTACTAACTCTTGACACATAGCATCTAGAAGAATGAAGTTTTTTCTTATTTTGCAATTAGTTAATCAGAGTAGTAGTAATTGTAAAATTAGAAAGAAACTGCAAGTTTCTGGATTGTTTGTATTAAAAGTTAATAAACAATAACAATTATTTGTTTAAACAATTTCTGAACTGTTTAAATCATAAAATACTGTTATTTCATACTTTTCAGATTAGTTAAATATAAAATTAAAAAGAAACTGCATTTTTTTAGGTGCTTTGTGTCAAAAATTAGTAAATAACAACAATCATTTGTTTAAACAATTTTTGAATTGTTAAAACCTTAAATTATTTTTATTTCATGTGGTTCGAATTAGTTAATTGCAAAATTAGAAAAAAACTGCATCTTTCTGGAAGCTAGTGTCAGGAGTTACTAATTAACAACAATTATTTATTTAAACAATAACGACTGCAATATAACATTAGTAAAATTTATTATATATAATAACAAAAATCGTTTACAGTGAAAATTATTAAATAGTTTAGTTTTTCTTTAACATTTAATAATAAAACTTTGATGTAATTATGGTCATCTTCGTACATGAATTGACAATTGACAAACATGTTAACATTTTACGGAAGCATTTTAGAGTTTGTCTATTGACCCACTCACGGTGGGTTCCGGTCAGGCGAAATAATATTATAAGTGGGCGTGAGCTGGGTCCTACCTGGGCTTCCCAGTTTTTGAGGACCCACATCAATAATTATATAAGCAAAAATTTCTAAGTCCAAACCTAAAAATTTTTTTTTCAACAAAAAATTAATGTTTATAATGACTAAGATTAAGAAAAAACGTGTTTTTAACAAAAATGTATTCACAATATTTTTTTTTATGTAATGTCCACATAATTAATTAGTAAAAATTTCTAAGTCCAAACAATTAAAAAAAAATTTTTTTTTAGACCAACAAATTAATGTTTATAATGATTGTAAACAATAAAAAACACATTTTTAATAAAAATGTATTGATATATTTTTTTCATAATAATATAAATATTATTTTAAGAATATTTATCGTTTATTATTACATTATTAATATTGTTATTATTATTATTAAACTATTTATTTGTCACGGTGTATTCGTATCAGTAAATGCTTTATTGAATCATTACAGCAGATCAACAAGTCACTGACAATAAAACGTCGGTGTTCAGTAGTTAGTCTCCGTAGTATAGTGGTTAGGGCGTTAGTCTAGTAGTCCGTAGGTCGTAGGTTCAATCCCCGCGTGCGTTAAATTTTATTTGTTTCTTAGGTTTGCGTTTATTCCGATTTTTCTGCATTGTATTCGTATAAGTATGCAATTTAGTGATTATATATACCGTTTAATAATTTAATTAACAAATTTCTAATTTTTTTATAAATTTTTAATTTATGAATGAAAGGATATATATTAATTCCCATATATATGCTAACATTATTTATGAATTTGCTTTTGGTCACAATTTCATTAAAAAAAGTAAAAATCGTTAAATAATAACGTTATTTATTTATAATTCGACTTATTTGTTATTAATAAACAATTTATTCATTAATTTGAATGAAAACTAAATCTATGGGCCCCAGCTGGATTTTTCCTAGGTGGGCTGTGGCTGGATTCACCGTTACAAGCCAAGGAATCGCCCACCTGGGCCATCCCTGCTGGGACCCACCTAGAACCTGGGAAGCCCACCTGGGACCCACCGTGGGCCCACCTCACTTTTCCACACGGGATGAAAACTTTTCAAAATTCAATTATTTCTAAAAATTCACGCTATAAGGCTTTTAATATTCAATTATTATCTAAAATTTTAACTGAAATTTATTTTTATGAAATGAAAATCAATTTTCATTAGAAAATTCTACGAGACTTGAATTATTTAAATACGAAAATAAATAATTTATTGAATTGAATGTTTCTCAAAAAATTGAATTTAAATAAAGAATTTTATTAAAAAAAATTTGGAATATTAAATTTTTTTCACGAATTTTAAAACAATTTTTAAGAATAATTTCATTTTTCTTGAAATTCGATTAAAATTGTATTATAAATAATTGAATTATGTATAGAAAATTTGATTTTTCTTAAATACTTGAACTATTGCAAATAAATTTATAAAAAATTTGTAAAGAATTGCATTTCTGTGAAATTTTTAATATGTATGACAGTTTATGAAAATAATTAAACGTTTGCGTAGAATTTTATTACTTTTGAAAATAATTGAATTTCTGCAATCATTTGTAACTTTTTTCAAAATTCAATTTCTTTGAAAGTTTTTAACTAAAATTCTTTTATAAATCCATTATTTTTAATAACTAGTTAAATATATATTTAAAAATATAACTAATTTCAACAGAATTGAAATTAAAATTCTTTAAAAAAAAATTAATTCTATAAAATTAACAATTAAAATTCTGAAAAATTCAAATTTTCAAAGATTTTAATTTAAAGCCTTTTTAAAATTATATTATTTCTAAAAAAAATTCAAGCTATAATGCTTTTTAATATAAAATTATTATTATCTTAAAATTTAACTGAAACTCATTTTTAAATTCAATTTTTATTAGAAAATTCTACGAGAATTCAATTATTTAAATACAAAAAATAAATAACTTATTGAATAATTAAAATATGTTTCTTAAATTTTAATTTTCATAAAGAATTTTATCAACAAATTTTTAAATAATTCAATTCTCTTGACAAATATTAATAAAATGTTTAAGAATATTTTCATTTTTCAAGGATGAAAATTGTATTAATAATAATTTAAATTCTGCCAAGAATTTTATTAAAGTTTTTGAAAATAATTTGAATTTTGGAGAAAATTTTTATTATTTATAAAGATAATTGAAATTTTAACGAGAATTTTTGTAAATTTTTGTAAATTTTTGACAATAAGTGAATTTTTGCGAAGAATTATATTACTTTTGAAAATAATTGAATTTTTAAGACGAATTTTATTAAAATTTTTTTTAAAATAATAATTGAATTCTTTTGTGAAATTCTATTGAAATAGTAGACATTAGAAATAATTGAATTTTGACAATTTTTTTTTAAATTAATTAAATTTCTACGAAAAATATTTAATTAAACTTTTTTAAAAAAATTAATTCTACATAATTGTTAATCAAAAAGTACGAAAAGTTAAAGTTTTCAAAGATTTTAATTTGAAATCTTTTTATAATTCAATTATTTCTAAAAATTTACGCTATTAGCTTTCAATATTCAATGATAATGTAAAATTTTAACTGAAATTAATTTTTAAATCAATATTTGCTGAAAAAAAATCCACGAGAATTCAATTATTGAAATACAAAAATGAATAATTTATTGAATAATTGATTATTTCGTAAAATTGAACTCTCAGAAAGAATTTTTTCAACAAATTTTTAAATATTTGATTTCTCTTGACAAATCTTAATAAAATTTTTAAAAATAACTTCATTTTTCGGAAATATGATTAAAATTTTAATTAAAAATACTTGAATTTCTCCAAAGAATTTTTTAAGAGTTTTTGAAAATAATTGAAATTTTGCCAAGAAAATTTATTTTTGAAAATAATTAAATTCCGGAGAAAAATTTATAAACATTATTGAAATATTGACGAGAATTTTTCTAAATTATTGAACACAATTAAATTTCTGCGAAGAATTATATTAATTTTTGAAAATGATTGAATTCTTGTGACGAATTTTATTAAAATGTCTTTTTAAATAATTGAATTCTTTTATGAAATTTTATTGAAATAGTAGACATTGAAAATAATTGAATTTTGACAAATTTTTGAAATTATTTACATTTCTACGAAGAATTTTATTAAAATTATTTTGAAAAAAAATTGAATTATTACAAAGAATTTCATTAAAATTTTAGAAAATAATTTATTTTTTTTTCAAAAAATTTAATTAAAACTTTATAGAAAATAATACATAAATTCTAATAAATAAATTGTAGCAAAGGTTTTTAAAATAATTGAATTTTTTTGATGAATTTTAATAAAATTTTGAAGAATAATTTCATTTTTCGAAGAATTTCATTAAAATTGTATTAAAAATAATTGAAAGTCTGCGATGAGTTTTATTATTTATGGAAATAATTGAATTCGTGTATAAAAAATGTTATTATTTATGAAAATAATTAAATGTTTGCGTAGAATTTTATTAAAAATCTTTTTAAATAATTGAATTCTATTGGACAATTTTATTAAAGTAGTAGATTTATTAAAAATCATTGAATTGAGAAAAGTTTTTTAAAATAATTGAAATTTTGCCATAAATTTGATTAAAATTGTTGAAAATAATTGAATTTCTAAGAAGAATTTTACTACTTTTGAAAATAATTGAATTTCTACAATCATTTTGTAATTGCTTCAAAATTCAATTTCTTTTAGTGTTTTTAATTAAAATTCTTCTATAAATCCATTATTTTTAATAATCACTTAAAAATATATAATAAAAAATTTAACTAATTTCAGAAGAATTGGAATAATTAAAATTTCTCAAAAATCTACGTTCTTTAAGACGATTTCTAGTTAAATTCATTCAAAATTGAAATTTTACAAAATTTGAAATTAAAATCTTTTGAAATTCATCTGTACTTATGAAAATTGTAAACGCAACTCTTTTAAAATTCAATTAATTTTGAAATAATTATGTAAGATTAGATTTTAAGAATAAACTTTAGAAAATAACAATTTTCCAGGATTTCGATCAAAATTCGACCTTATGTCCTAATTATAAATATCGTCCATTATTGTAAATAAATTTTCAAACACTTACCAATACAATGTCCACTCTGACATCTGAACTGATCATGCCCACAAGTTGGACAATTCAATTCATCACTCCCATCTGGACAATCGTCCTGTCCATCACATTTCCACGATATAGGAATACATTTCTGTGCAACAGCCGAGTTTGGAGCAATACAAGTAAAATGTTCATTTCCACAAGCAGGTGCTTCTCTACAAGTTCTTCCATCTTCACTCAAAACAAGAAATTGTGGACACGAGCATCGCAATGACGAATTTCCAATACAAAGATGTGAACAACCACCATAATCATGCGATGGACTGCAAATATGCGAATCCATAACATGATTATTTGGCGTTCTCACAGTAATGAGATCCGTTAGTGGACGATTCATTACAATACTTTTATTCGTTCCAGTAAATTTATCAACTCGTTCCACCGTTTGAGCTCCTCGATTAAACCAATAGATATAATTCAAAAGAATTGACAAATGTCCAATTGAAGATTCATCAGTGCTGGTGAGTATTCGTCGATTGCCACCCGTTAAATCGGCGACTTCTATCGTTTTTCCACAAGACCAATAAATTTTATTTGCCATCACGTCGATGGTGAGACCCGACGGTAATTCCAAATTTGAAGCAATAATTTTCTTCTCATGTCCATCCATTTTACTTAAATAAATCTTTATCGATCCACCGACATCGATCCAAGCGAGTAATCTCATTTCCGGATGAATAGCAAGATAACGAGGCTTCTCACCTTCACCCTTAACGATAATTCCCAAATTTAAATTATTATCGATTTTCGTTATATTTATGACATTATTAATTTCACAGGACCAGAATAATAATCTTCCTATGGGATCTAGAGCCAAATCGAAGGGATGTCCAAAACTGCCTGCAACTACAACTGATCCGTGTGTTTTGTTTTCTAAACTCTTGCGAATCGCTAAACTACGACCATCGATCCAATAAATGTGTTGAGTGAACGGATCGAATTCAATGGCTCTGATATTTTTCAGTCCCTGCACACGAAGTACAATATCGGGACAATCATTTATATCGGGCAGTAATCTTCCTATTACGTTACGTAAACTGTACATCATAAAATTTGTCGGAGCTGAAATAGAAAATTTATTACTTAATAATAATCTTTAAATAATTGAATACATAGGGGTCGTCCATATTTTATCACTTTTTGATCCCCCTCTTCCCCTATTGTAGGCTTTTTACAATCCCCTCTCCCATAACTATCCACGTGAACATTTTTTGGTAAGAAAAAAATATTTTTTGTAGAATACAAGCTTCACAGTGACCCTAAAAAGTATTTTAGGAGAAAAAGGGACTGAAAATTAAAAAATAGGGGACTTTTAGGGGACCATGAAAATTGGTTAAATAAAGATAAAAATATAATTTATTTTTACAGGGTTGCCACAAAAATTTAACTTCATTTTTCCCTGACTTTTCCCTGATTTCCAAACACAACTTTGACTTTTTCCCTGACCCTAAAGAATATTCTGATTCACTCTCAAAATTATTAGATACTCAAAAAAAATGTTCTATTAAATTTATTTACAAATTTCTTCAAAAGTAAAATTATTCGAAAACATCAATAACTTTATTTCAAATAAATATTTAATCATTTTTTTTTCATTGGAATTAAGATGTTCAAAAATTTCAAATTCAAACCTTTTCAAATTGAACAACTCATAAAAATATTATTATAAAACATAAAGAAATGGATCACTCCGAGTCGAAGACTCGGAGTAATCCATTTCTTTATGTTTTATAATAATTAAAAATGACCGACTTACAAAATCATTATTTTATTATTATAAATATATTGTTACTGTAATTTCTTCAAAATTATTTCTATCATTTCAATTCAATTAACATTTTCTAAAATTTTAAACTAAAATTCTACATCAATTATTATTATGCAATTAAACTTTTTCAAAAATAAAAAAAATTAATTCTACACAATTGTTAGTTAAAAGTACAAAAAATTATAATTTAATTCTACGAGAAATCAATTATTTAAATACAAAAATAAATAATATTGAATGTTTCTTAAAATTTAATTTTCACGAAGAATTGTATTAACAACTTTCGAAAATATTTAATTTCTTTTAAGGAATTAAATTAAAATTTTAATGAAATTTATTATATTAAAGAATTTTATACCAATTTTTGAAAATAATTGAAAACTTTTTGAAGAATTTTATTCAATTTTTTAAAAATATAATTGAATTCCTGAGAAGAATTTAAATAATAATTTTTGAAAATAATTGAATTCATGAGAAAAATTTTATTAAAATTTTTGAAAATAATTGACTTCTTGAGAAGAATTTTTAAAAAATTTTTGACAATAATATTTAATTCTTGAGAAGAATTTCCCTATCTATTTATAAAAATAATTTAATTCTTGACGAGAATTTTTAGAAAATTTTTAAAATAATTTAATTTTTGCAAAGTATTTCATTACTTTTCAAAAGAATTGAATTCTTGCGATGAATTTTCAAATTTATCGCAAAATAATTGAATTTTGGAAAAGAATTTTATTGAAATTCCTTAGAATAATTGATTTTATGGGAAGAATTTATGCGATTTTGTTGTTTATCAAGCTAATTGAATTCTTTTGCAAAATTACTTGAAAATTTTTGAAAATAATTGAATTTCTGCGACGAATTAAATGTTATTTATGAAAATATTTGAATTATTGAAACAAATTTTATCGTTTTATTGAATAATTGAATGTTTCTTAAAATTAAATTCTTTCGTCAAGTTTTAATAAATTTTTTAAAAATAATTGCATTTGTCAAAGAATTTATTTAAAATTGTATTAAAAAAAAAATATTTGAAATTCTGCGATGAAAATAATTGAATTAGTAAATAAAATTTTGTTATTTATGAAAATAATTGAATCTTTTCGTAGAATTGTATCAAAAAGTTGTTTCTATAATTAAATCTGTTGATAAATTTTATGAAAATAGTAAATACTGAAAATTATTGAATTGCAAAAAACTTTTGAAAGTAATTGAACTTTTGCACAGATTTTTATAAATTTTTAAAAAATAATTGAATTTCTTCGAAGAATTTCATTACTTTTGAAAATAATTGAATTTTTGGGATGAATATTGTAACTTCTGAAAATAACTTATTATGACACATAACTGAAAAACTAATTAGAATTAAATTTTCAAATTATATTCAATTTTTTAAAAAAGTTTTTGATTAAATTTTAAGCATGAATTTAATTATTTTCATAAATAATAAAACTCATCGAAGAATTTAAATTATTGTTATTACTATATTAAATTAATAATCGAAAAATTCAATTATTTTTTAAAGTTTTCGACAAGAATTCAATTATTTAAACTAATAACATTTTCATAATATTTATTATATTTCAAAAAAATTAATTATTTAAAATAATGTTTATAAATTTCTTATGAAGAATTCAATTACTTTCAAGAATAATAAAATTTTTCACATAAATTTAATTCTTTTTAAACATTTCAATAAATTTTTCCGCAATAATTCAATTATTTTCAAAAATAATAAAATTCTTCTCTGTATTTCAATTATTTTTGAGAATTATAATAAAATTCCTATCAACTATTCAATTATTTTCATGAATAATGAAATTCATAGCAGAATTCTTAAAATTGAATTCTTTCCTAAAGTTTTAATAAAATTTTTAATAGTAATTGCCTTTTTCAAGGAATTTATTTAAAATTGTATTAAAAATATTTGAAATTCTCCGATGAAAATAATTGAATTCGTAAATGAACTTTTATAATTTATGAAAATAATTGAATCTTTTCGTAGAATTGTATCAACAAGTTTTTTCTATAATTAAATCTGTTGGTAAATTTTATGAAAATTGTAAATATTGAAAATTATTGAATTGCAAAAAATTTTTGAAAGTAATTGAACTTTTGCAAAGACTGAAATAAATTTCTGAAAATAATGGAATTTTTAGCGAAAAATTTTGCTATTTGTAAAGATAATTGAATTCTTGACGAGATATTCGTGAAAATTTTTAAAAATAATTGAATTTCTTCGAAGAATTTCATTACTTTTGAAAATAATTGAATTCTTGGGACGAATATTGTAACTTATGAAAATAATTGAGTTTTGTAAAGAATTTTATTAAAATTCCTAAAAATTATTGAATTTCTGTGAAGAATTTTGTTATTAATCAAGATAATTGCATTAAAACTTTTGTAATAATTAAATAATATTAAAAAATTCATTCTTGTCAGAAATAGAAAATTTTTTTGAAGCTTTTGTATTAGAATTAGTGCTTTAAGAAATTTTAGTACAATAAGAAGTAGAACGGTAAATATCAATTTACATTTAACTAGTCTTTAAGGTTCAAATATAAATTAAAAATATTTATTTTTCAAAAATTTGTTTTGTTAATTTTAATTTTCATAAAATTTAGTTTTCAGTTTAATTATTAAACTAAGAGTCTTTTTAAACACATGAATTAAATAAACAGAAAACAAGTTTTTAATCCATTTAGGGGGAAATTTTGAAAATAGGGTACGTTTAGGGGCCAAAATTATAAAAAGGGGACTTTTAGGGAAATAGAGGACAGACTGTGAAGCCTGTCAAACTTTTCAAATTGTATATGGACAATCTTTTAGAGGGAAAATAAAAAATGACTTACGGGTACAGGTTTTATTATCCGCGCTGAGATTAAAGTGCGTTGGACAGACACATTTACGTGTGGAAGTCCCTTCATTGTCACCTGGAAAAGCAATGCACAGATGACTGCAATTGCCATTATTCACAGCACAAACATTCGTTCCGGTTTGTCGAGAAGCATGAAAAACTAAGAGTGACGTTACTGATTCAAGTCGATTGTGAATAACTGTTCTGCCAGAACCCGAAGTTTTGTTAATTCTTTCAATAATCCCCGTATTCCAATCAGTCCAGTAAATATAATCCTGATACTGAGTTATACTGAAGGGATAAACAATATTTTGCGTAACTAAAGACTTTCTTCTCTTTGTCACTAAATCATAACTATCAATAGCCGGCGTTGTTGAATCGGTCCAATACAAATGATCAGTCATGTAATCAAGAGTCAGACCATTCGCTCGACCAATGTTCGATAAAATTAATTGACGTTGAGTTCCATCTAAATTTGCCCGCTCAATTGTTCCCGAATTTCCAGAATTTTCCTCAAATTCGGTCCAATACATGTACCTGGATATTAAAACATGAAGTCATTGAAAAGGACATAAAGTCATTAATAAAAGTATAAATAAAATAAAATAAAATAAAAAGTAATTAGGAATTAGGAAAAAAACTAAAGAATTAGGAACTAGGTTTTTATTTTAAGAGCTAAGAATGTTTATTTACCCTTTCTGGGGATCTAGCACCAAACACCTTGGTTCGATTATGTCTTTCCAAATCAGCACCTTTCTGCTGCGAGTTTCTAGCCGAATTACTTCAATCCGATGAGAACTCGAATCACTCCAATATAAATTGTGCGCTATCCAATCAATTGCTAAACCATCGGGACTTTCGAGACCAACTTCAACGAGTCTTTCCATTTCCGAACCGTTTATAAATGCTCGAGTAATTGATTTAACTTTAATATCCGCCCAATACATGCTGTTTTGAGACATTTCATAATCCAAAGCACTAGAAGAAAATTTTACATATTATTATCTAATGTGGGATTATTATTATTCTTTTTTTTTAAATAAATACTTAATCATTATTATTTTTCCGTAGGAATTAAAATTCTTCAAAACATTCAAACTCAAACCTTTTTGTAATTCAACAACTTATAAGAATATTATTACAAAAAATGAAGAAGGCAATCACTCCGAGTCTTCGACTCGAATTGATCGCCTTCTTCATGTTTTGTAATAATTTAAATTACCATAAAATTTTTCAAAAAAAAAAAAAAAATTATTTAATAAAATCCTTTGCCAGAATACAATTATTTCATACAAGTATTAGTCAAATTTCTTCAAAAATTCAATTATTTAAAAAAAAATGTAATAAAATTCGTTGCAAGAATTCAATTATTTTCATAAATAATAAATCGATTATTCGGTAATTCATTTTTAAATCAATTTTTATTTAGAAAATTCTAGAAGAATTCAATATTATTTAATTTAAAAAATAAATAATTTACTAAATAATTAAATGTTTGTTAAAATTTAATTCTCATAAAGATTTTAATTAAACAAATTTCAACAAATTTTCAAATAATTAAATTCTTTTGAAAAATTTTAATAAAATTTTTTAATAATTACATTTTTGGAGAAATTCGATTAAAATTGCATCAAAAATAATTAAAACCCTCCGATGAGTTTTATTATTTATGAAAATAATTACAAATTTTCACCAGAATTTTTTTAAAAATTTTCTAAATTAATTGAATTTTAGAGAAGAATGTTATTATTTAAATGTTATTATTTAAACCCTCCGATGAGTTTTATTATTTATGAAAATAATTACAAATTTTCACCAGAATTTTTTAAAAAATTTTCTAAATTAACTGAATTTCAGAGAAGAATGTTATTATTTAAATAAAAATACTAGAAATTTTGATAAGAATTTTTTTTTTTAATTTTTAAATATAATTGAATTTTTGCGAAGAATTTTATTACTTTTGAAAATAATTTAACTCTTCCCACGGATTTTATTCAAGTTTATAAAAATAGCTGAATTTCTGTGAAGTATTTTATTATTTGTATTTAAATAATTGAATTCCTGCAAACGAATTTTATTCAATATAAAAAATAATTGAGTTTTCGGTGAAGAATTTTATTATTTTAAAAGTAATTAAATTCTTGAAAAGAACTTTGTTAATTTTTTTTTTTTTAATAATTGAATTCTTGCGATGAATTTTATAAAAATCTTTCTAAAAATTGATAATTTTCAAAAATTTTATTACTCATGAAAATAATTGAATTATTTAGGAAAAATTCATTAACATTTTTTTAAATAATTGAAATCCTGTAAATTTTTGCAAAGAATTTTCTTACAATTTTTAGAAATAATTGAATTTCGAAGAAGAATTTTATAATTTATAAAGATAATTGAAATTTTGAAGAGAATTTTTTTTTAATTTTTAAACATAATTGAATTTTTGCGAAGAATTTTATTACTTTTGAAAATAATTTAATTCTTCCAACGAATTTTATTCAAGTTTACAAAAATAACTGAATTTCTGTGAAGAATTTTATTATTTGTATAAATAATTGAATTCTTGCAAACGAATTTTATTCGAGTTTATGAAAATAATTGAATTTCGGTGAAGAATTTTATTTATCAAAAATAATTGACTTCTTAAAATGAACTTTGTTAAATTTTTTTTTAAATAATTGAATTCTTGCGATAAATTGTTTTAAAATCTTTTTAAATAATTGATATTTTTCAAGAATTTTATTACTTATGACAATAATTGAATTATTTCGAAGAATTTCATTAAAATTTTTTCAAATAATTGAATTCCTATGAAATTTTGCCAAGAATTTTATTAAAATATTTTAAAATAATTGAATTTCGAAAAAGAATTTTATTATTTATAAAGATAATTGAATTTTTTAAGAGAATTTTTTAAAAAATTTTTAAACATAATTGAATTTTTGCGAAGAATTTTATTACTTTTGAAAATAATTAAATTCTTCCCACAAGTTTTAGGTATTCAAGTTTATAAAATTAACTGAATTTCTGTGAATAATTTTATTATAGGTATAAATAATTGAATTCTTGCAACGAATTTTATTCATGTTTATAAAAATAATTGAATTTCAATCGAGAATTTTATTATTTATCATAAATAATTGAATTCTTGCAACGAATTTTATAAAAATCTTTTTAAATAATTGAAATTTTTCAAAAATTTGATTACTTATGATAATAATTTAATTATTTCGAAGAAGAATTTTATTATTTGTATAAATAATTGAATTCTTGCAAACGAATTTTATTCGAGTTTATGAAAACAATTGAATTTCTGTGAAGAATTTTGTTATTTATCAAGAATAATTGAATTCTTGAAAAGAACTTTATTCAATTTTTTTTAAATAATTGAATTATTGCGATGAATTTTATAAAAATCTTTTTAAATCATTGATATTTTCCAAAAATTTTATTACTTATTCTGAAAATAATCGAATTATTTCGAAGAAATTCATTAAATTTTTTTTAAATAATTAATTTCTTGTGAAATTTTGCCAAGAATTTTATTAAAATTTTCCTAAAATAATTCAATTTCGAAGAAGAATTTTATTATTTATAAAGATAATCGAAATTTTGAAGAGAACTTTAAAAATATTTTTGAAAATAATATATTGATATTGAAAATCATTTAAATGAGGAAAATTTTTTAAAATAATTTAATTTTGAAAGAAAATTTTATTAACTTTTGAAAATAATTGAATTCTTCCAACGAATTTTATTCAAGTTTATAAAAATAACTGAATTTTTGTAAAGAATTTTATTATTTATATAAATAATTGAATTCTTGCAAACGAATTTTATTCAAGTATTTAAAAATAATTGAATTTTGGTGAAGAATTTTATTATTCATAAAAATAATTGAATTCTTGAAAAGAAGTTTGTTAAAATTTTTTTTAAAATAACTGAATTCTTGCGACGAATTTTATAAAAATCTTTTTAAATAATTGATATTTTTCGAAAGATTTTATGAAATTTTTTATTTTAAATAATTCAATTCTTGTGAAAAATGTATTAGTTATGAAAATAATTGAATTCCTGTGAAATTTTGCCAAGAATTTTATTAAAATTTTTAAAAATTATTGAATTTTAAAGAAGAATTTTATTATTTATCAACAATAATTGAATTCTTGAAAAGAACTTTGTTAAATTTTTTAATAATTAAATAAATAAATAATTGAATTATTTCGAAGAAATTCATTAAAATTTTTTTAAATAATTGAATTCCTGTGAAATTTTGCCAAGAATTTTCAAAAATTATTGAATTTCGAAGAAGAATTATATTATTTATAAAGATAATTGAAATTTTGAAGAGATACATAAATTCATCGACTACTTCAATTTTTTTATCTCAAAATTAAAAAATTTTTTTTAAAAAAAGGTTTAATTTTTCTGTTTCTCTTGTAAATGATGATTTTAATTTTCTCTACATTTATAGTAAGCAAAGCCCCTTTTGCTCTCGGGCAAATAAAATCCTTTGTGAAGTTTTATAGGCATAAAATTAATATTAATATATCGCTGTTTACGAATATAAAAAGAATTAAGAATATGGATAAGGAAAATTGTGTATAAACATCACTTACCTCACATCCTTTACTCCAGTAACGGGTATGATATTGTCATTATTGGTATTCTCGATACTTATTCGCACAATATTTTCCTTTCTAGCCACCAATAAAAAGGCTTCTGGTACAGCACAAGTCCTTTTATCTCTGGACAATTCATATCCAATTTGACATGCACAAACGTATTTATTATTTGGCCTATTGAGACACAAATGACTGCATCCTCCATTATTTTTCGAACAAGGATTTGTACCCCTAACTTTTCCCAAATGAACTGCCTTCAGTCCCATTACATTGGGAATGTTTTCAATTATTGCCTCGTGCTCATTTCCTGTTAATTTATGCGCTCTCTCAATACTTCGCTTCTGCCAATCTGTCCAATACAAATAATCATCCAGTAAACTTAATCCAAAGGGGTGATCTAATTTTTTCGTTATAACTTCTCGTCGACTGGAACCGTCCATATTGCAAACTTCTATTTTATCCGTTTTCGCGTCACACCTGAAATTTTTTTTAAATTTATCAATTTTTTCCTATTATCAACATTGAGTTAAAAATTAAAATTGAGTCAATAGCTAAACATTAAATATACGAGTGTTAATAAAATTGTATTTGAAATAGAAATACTCACCAGTATATTTTTTCTCGTTCCAAGTCTACAGCGATACCGTTGGGCCAGATGATGTCAGTGGTAATGAGAAGAATTCTTTCGCTGCCATCCAAGTTACTGCGTTCGATTTTCGGTTTCTTTTTATTCCAGTCGGTCCAGAACATCCAACCTAACTCTGGTGCTAGAGCTATTGCTCTTGGCTCCACTAAGTCATCGTTAATGAGTACTTTCCGACTACTACCGTTCAAACGAGCAACCTCAATTCTATCGGTTCCAGTGTCTGTCCAGTACAAATTACGAGCAACCCAATCAACTGCAATTCCATCTGGATTCTCGACTTCGGTGGTTGTAATATTTTCTTGTCCGGAACCATTCAAGAAAGCCCTAAGAGAAAAAAAAGGCTTTATTATTATTATTTCTAATAGTTTTCTGAATTCCTTTAATAAAATGTTAAAATATTATTTTAAACCTTTTAGCCTTTTCCCCACGGTTTATAAGGAAATATGAAATAGTTATTGTAATTAAAGATCTAATTCAAAAATCAGACAGGGTTGCCAACAAAAATTTAATTTTTTTCCCTTACTTTTCCCTGATTTCCAAACAAAATTTTACCTTTAGAGGATTCAATTATTTAAATACAACTTTGAATGTTTTCAGGACCTTAATTTTTGTCAAATAAATCTGTTTATATATTGTGACCTTAAGGCCACAATATAAACAGATTTATTATTTAAATACAAAAATTCAGTTCTTTATAATGATTCTAACTGTCAATGTTTTTTAAGTTATTAATTAATTTTCAAAAAATTATAATAAAGAAATTCTTAAAATTAATTTTCGGAAAATATTTTTAAAATAATTTATGAAAGATAATAGTTTTTCAATTATATAGAATTGAAAAATTTCCAAACAATTGAAATTTCGTAAATTCTATTAAAAAAATAATTGAATTTTTAAAGAATTTTAATTATTAATATAAAACGCGATTTCTTCAGAATTTTAATAAATCTAAAAAAGTCATATGTTGTTATAATGTTAAAAGTAATTGTAAAAAAATTTTAATGTTATTATTTTTTGTACGTATTTGAATTTTTGGAAATTTGTATTTGAAAATATTGAAAATAATTGAATTTTAAAAAAATTAGAATGCAAAAAATTCTAAGAATTATTTTTTTCAAAAATATTTAAATATAAATTTTTTTGAAGCTAATTTTCATTAATTACCATTTTTAAATTTACACTTGAAGATTTTTTATTAAAATTTTTGAGAAATCAATTATTTTCAAAATTTACAATTAAAATTCATTTTAAAGTTTATTTTAAAAAATTTGTATCAAACACTGGAAAAAATCAATTATTTTCATTTAAATTTTACAAAATTTCAACTATTAAAACTATCTTTTTATTGTAAATTTTAAAAATTTATTTAGTATTTACTATTTATAGAAATAGTTGAATTGTTTCGAAGAAATTATTAAAATTTTAGGAAATAATTGAATTTTATGGAAATATTTGAAAATATTTGAATTCTTCTGAGAAATTCAATTAAAGATGTTTTAAAAATAATATTGAATTCATGCATAGAATTTTACTATTTATAAAAATAATTGAATTCTTGCGAATAATTTTGCCATTTATAAAAATAATTGAATTGTTTCGAATTATTAATTAAGATTTTAGAAAATAATTAAATTTATTTGAAATATATTAAAAATTCTTTTAAAAATTAAATTCTTCCGAGGAAATCAATTTCAATTATTTTCAAAATTTGCAATTAAAATTCTTCAAAAGTTGATTTTTAAAAATTTTTATAAAACACTTTGAAAAAAATAAATTATTTTTAATTAAATTTTACAAAATTTCAATTATTGAAACTCTTTTTTATTTTAAATTTTGAAAATTTATTTAGTAATTTATAAAAAATAGTTGAATTGTTTCGAAGAAATTGTTAAAATTTTAGGAAATAATTGAATTTTATGGAAATATTTGAAAATATTTGAATTCTTCCGAGAAATTCAATTAAAGATGATGTTTTGGAAAATAATTCAATTCCTGCAAAGAATTTTACTATTTATAAAAATAATTGAATTCTTGCAAATAATTTTGCCATTTATAAAAATAATTGAATTGTTTCGAAGGATTTATTAAGATTTTAGAAAATAATTAAATTTATTTGAAATATATTAAAATTTTTTTTAAAAACTAAATTCTTCCGAGGAATTCAATTTAAATTATTTTCAAAATTTGCAATTAAAATTCATTTAAAGTTTATTTTCAAAAATTTTTATAAAACCCTTTTAAAAAAATCAATTATTTTCAATTAAATTTTACAAAATTGCAATATTTATTGCAACTCTTTTTAATTGTAAATTTCGGAAATTTAATTAGAGAAATAATTAAAAAATAATTTTTGAAGATTTGTCTATAGTTATTTTTCACACTATATATAAAAATCGAAATAAGTTTCATTTTATACTAAAAATTATTGCAATATTTGGAAAAAAAGTTGAAAAAGTCGTAATTTTTGAAAATAAGTCAAAAGAAGTCGCATTTTTTGAAAATAGTGGAAAAAAGTCAAAGTTATAGTAATATTGTTACTGTAACTTCTGCAAAATTACTTTCATCATAATTTCAAATCAATTATTATTTTCTAGAATATTTATAACTAAAATTCTTCTTTAAATCAATTATTTTTAATAATTTTTCAAAAAGTTCTTTGAGAATTTTTCAAATCCATTTGTTTACAGGAAAATATGAAATGAGTAAAATTGATGAATTTTAATAATTTATGAAAATTACAATTATAACTCTAGCTGAATTCAATTACTTTCTACAATTTTCATCTCTAAATAAATTATTTTAAATAAGTCTGCGAAAGTCCTTGTAGAATTCAATTATTTAAATACAAAAACTCAATTTTTTATAATAATTGAAACTATCCTTGTTTTTTTCTTAAGTTATTAAGGTAAAATATTTTTGAAAAATTATAATAAAGAAATTCTTACAATTAATTTTTTAAAAAATATTTTAAAACAATTTTTCAAAGATAATAGAAAACATTTTTTTTTTTTTTGCAACTATTAACGAATTTAAAGTAGTGCAAATTCGCGATAAAAAGGAAAAAGTAGTTTTTAGTGTCAAAACTCTAAAAAAAAAGTAGTGAATAAATTAAATTAAATTAAATTTAATTAAATTTTTAATTTAGTTTTGCTAAATGAGTACGAGACCTGGTTTTGTTAAAAATAATATTAAAGATATTATAACGTGCTGTCTTACTTTATTTAAATATTTAATAATTTTTCTTTTTTTTCGGTAAATATTAAATTTTTAAATTTTTATTGTTTTAATCAACAAATTGTAAAAACTTTTTTAAATATTTTTTTTTAATTACCAATAAATTTTATAGTTTCTGAAGAGAACGCAAACTGTGCTGCCAAAACGTAAAAAGAATTGATTTTCTATTTTAATTTCCTTGACTCGGAGTGATCGTTAAATTCCACCAACTACTAAAAATTATATTATAGGAAATTTTTAACATACCTGCGAATAGTTCTAGCTTTATCATCAGTCCAATAAAGCATTTCATCGACAGGATCAAAGTCAATGGCAATAGCGTGCCTGATATTTTGTAACGGAAGTATAAACGTGGTGTAATCAGGTGTATCCAAAGACGAGTGACAAATTTCCGTTTGTTGAACAATAAGCAAAAGTTTCTCAGGTCGTTTGGCGCAAGTGAAATTATCAATTAATTTAACACCAGTTGGACATGCGCAAGAATATCCCGAAGGTTTACTACTCAAAAGGCAAAGATGAGAACAATTTCCATTGTTGTGCTTACAAGGACTGTCACCTTGCGGCTGTCTCTTTGGATCCCAAACTTCAATATCACCCGGAACGTGAATATCTTGAATCCACAATTCCCGAGGATGCCCCTGATTCGAACGAACATCCAAAGAATAAATACCCCAAGCTTTCCAATCCGTCCAATAGAGTTTCTGATCGAAGAAAGTTATTGCATAGGGATAATCCAAACCCTTACTAATAATTTCCCTCCTATTTTTCCCCTCATAATCCATAACTGCAATGAATCTCAATCTCCCGTCGGTCCAGTAAATTAATTCCTTCTCGTAGTCCAATGTTAGACCGTTCGGCCAAAAAATCTCTGTTGAAACAATTATTCGACGAGTACTTGAATCGCCATCCATTGAAGCTCTTTCAATTTTTGGATCGTCACCCCAGTCAGTCCAGAAGAATATACTCTTCATTGGATCGAGTGCTATTGCCCTGGGTTGGGAGACATTTGTCCAAAACAATACTTTCTGATATTGTTCATTAATACTTGTTACTTCCAATCTTTTCTTTTCACTGTCCGTCCAATAGAGCTTTCCGGTGAACCAATCGCAGGCCAAACCGTCCGGTGATATCAAACTTGACTTGACAATTGTCATTTTCTCGTAATTCCCATTGACACGGACACATTGTATAACCTCGTCTCCACTATCGGACCAGCAAACTAGTCCGCGCTCGTAATAAAAATCTAAAGCTGTACCTTCTGATAAATCTTTAACAATTGTCGTTACTTTATTTGCTCGTGATATATTTGCCATTCGTATGTCCGTATCGGTTGCGAATAAGAGCGTTGGCGAACCTGATCAAGAAGAAAAAAAAGAAGTACGTTAAAATATTATAATCACATTATAAATTTAAAAATTATCACTGCCTACTCATGTGGTTAGCGTCTAAAATCGTCTAGGGACTATGGAAATTGTATTTCAAAAAGCTACAAACAAATTTGAATTTTTCGGGTAAATTTGATTATTTAATCTTTAGATAAGTCCGATATCAGATTCTTAATTAAAGACTCCAAAAACCGCCGAGTAACAAGCAGGCTTCACAGTGCCCCTAAAACGTATTTTAGAGGAAATGGGGGACTGAAAATTAAAAAATAGGGGACTTTTAGGGGACCATAAAAATTGGTTAAATAAAGATAAAAATATAATTTATTTATACAGGGTTGCCACAAAAATTTAAATTTCTATTTCCCTGACTTTTCCCTGATTTCCAAACACAACTTTCACTTTTTCCCTCACCCTAAAGAATATTCTGATTCACTCTAAAAATTATTAGATACTCAAAAAAATGTTCTATTAAATTTATTTACAAATTGCTTCAAAAGTTAAATTATTAGAAAATATCAATAGTTTTATGTAAAATCAATATTTAATCATTTTTTTTTTCATTGGAATTAAGATGTTCAAAAATTTTAAATTGAACCACTCATAAGAATATTATTATAAAACATAAAGATCTTCGACTCGGAGTGATCCATTTGTTTATGTTTTATAATAATTAAAAATGACCAACTGACAAAATCATTATTTTATTATTATAAGAATATTGTTATTGTAATTTCTTCAAGATTATTTGTATCATTTCAATTCAATTAAAATTTTCTAGAATTTTTAACTAAAATTCTACTTTAAATCAATAACATCAATTATTACCTTTTCAATTAAACTTTTTCAAAAAAATTAATTCTACAGAATTTGTTAGTTAAAAGTAAAAAAAACAATAATTTAATTCTACGAGAAATCAATTATTTAAAAACAAAAATAAATAATATTGAATGTTTCTTAAAATTTAATTTTTACCAAGAATTGTATTAACAACTTTTGAAAATATTTAATTTCTTTTAAGGAATTTAATTAAAATTTTAATGAAATTTATTATATTAAAGAATTTTATAACAATTTATAACAATTTTTGAAAATAATTGAAAACTTTTTGAAGAATTTTATTAAATTTTTGAAAACAATTGAATTCATGAGAAGAATTTTATTAAAATTTTTAAAAATAATTGACTTCTTGAGAAGAATTATTAAAAAAATTTTGACAATAATTTAATTCTTGAGAAGAATTTCCCTATCTATTTATAAAGATAATTTAATTCTTGGAGAGAATTTTTAAAAAAGTTTTGAAAATAATTTAATTTCTGCAAAGTATTCCAATTACTTTTCAAAAGAATTGAATTCGTGTGATGAATTTTGATATTTATCAAAATAATTGAATTTTGGAAAAGAATTTTATTAAAATTCCTTAGAATAATTGATTTTGGAAGAATTTATGATATTCTGTTGTTTATCAAGCTAATTTGAATTATTGCAACGAATTTTATTGTTTTTATTGAATAATTGAATGTTTCTTAAAATGCAATTCTTTCCTCAAGTTTTAATAAATTTTTTAAAAATAATTGCATTTTTTAAGGAATTTATTTAAAATTGTATTAAAAATATTTGAAATTCTGGGATGAAAATAATTGAATTCGTAAATGAAATTTTATTATTTATGAAAATAATTGAATCTTTTCGTAGAATTGTATTAAAAAAACTTTTCTATAATTAAATCTGTTGATAAATTTTATGAAAATAGTAAATATTAAAAATTATTGAATTCCAAAAAACTTTTGAAAGTAATTGAACTTTTGCAAAGATTTTAAAAAATTTTTTTAAAATAATTGAATTTTTGGAGCAAAATTTTATTATTTATAAAGATAATTGAAATTTTTTTACTATAGTTTTTTTTTAATTTTTTAACATAATTGAATTTTTGCAAAAATTTTTGAAATTTGAAAATAATTGAAAACTTTTTGAAGAATTTTATTAAATTTTTTAAAAATAATTGAATTCCTGAGAAGAATTTAAATAATAATTTTTGAAAACAATTGAATTCATGAGAAGAATTTTATTAAAATTTTTAAAAATAATTGACTTCTTGAGAAGAATTATTAAAAAAATTTTGACAATAATTTAATTCTTGAGAAGAATTTCCCTATCTATTTATAAAGATAATTTAATTCTTGATGAGAATTTTTGAAAAAGTTTTGAAAATAATTTAATTTCTGCAAAGTATTCCAATTACTTTTCAAAGGAATTGAATTCTTGTGATGAATTTTGATATTTATCAAAATAATTGAATTCTTTTGCAAAAGTACTTGAAAATTTTTGAAAATAATTGATTTTCTGCGACGAATTAAATGTTATTTATGAAAATATTTGAATTATTGCAACGAATTTTATTGTTTTATTGAATAATTGAATATTTCTTGAAATTGAATTCTTTCCTCAAGTTTTAATAATAATTGCATTTTTTAAGGAATTTATTTAAAATTATATTAAAAATATTTGAAATTCTGCGATGAAAATAATTAAATTCGTAAATGAAATTTTATTATTTATGAAAATAATTCAGGGTGGCCGCAAGATTTACTTTATCAATTTCCCTGACATTTTACTGACATAACAACGAATTTCCTTGACAAAAATTTTTTTGTTTAGAGCAAAAAATGTATTGCATGACCGTCTTAATTTCTTTAATTGCTTCCGACAAAAAAAATTTTTCCTGAGATTTCCCTGACTTTACTGACAAAAAATTTTTTTCCTGACATTTCCCTGACTTTACTGACAAAATATTTTTTTTCCTGACATTTCCCTGACTTTACTGACCTTACTGACATGTGGCCACCCTGATAATTGAATCTTTTCGTAGAATTGTATGAAAAAGTTTTTTCTATAATATTAAATCTGTTGATAAATTTGATGAAAATAGTAAATATTGAAAATTATTGAATGGCAATAAAAACTTTTGAAAGTAATTGAACTTTTGCAAAGATTTTTATAAATTTTTTAAAATAATTGATTTTTTGACGAAAAATTTTCCTATTTGTAAAGATAATTGAATTCTTGACGAGTGAAGAATTTTGTTATTTATCAAGATAATTGCATTAAAACTTTTGTAATAATTAAATAATATTAAAAAATTCATTCTTGTCAGAAATAGAAAATTTTTTTGAAGGTTTTATATTAGAATTAGTGCTTTAAGAAATTTTAGCACAATAAGGAGTAAAACGGTAAATATCAAAAATTTTTAATTATTTGTTTATAAAAATTCAATTATTTTGAAACAATAGAATTGAAAAATTTCAAAAATCTTATTTTTCAGAATTTTCAAAAAAAACTTTGCGAAAATTCAATTTCATTAAAAAATTTTAATTGTGCATCTTTTTTTAAATTAACTAATAAAAATTTTAATTATTAATTTTCGCACTAAGAATCATGAATACATTAGAATGTGACTTTTTATAAAATTCAATTATTAAATTAAAATACTTTGAAAATTCGATTTTTTAAAAAGTTTTTAATGAAATTCTTTAACAAATTTAATTATTTTCAGTTGAATTTCACAAAATTTCTATTAATTCAATAATTTTTTTTTAAATTTATTTACATTCTATATTTGAATCAGTGACTGATTTTTTACTATCAAATTAATTATTTTTTAACTTATTCTTTAGAGAACAGTATAAATATCTATAAAAATTGAAATAAAAAGCGATTTTTTAAAAACAAATTAAAATAATTTAAGTTTTTTTAATTTCGTGAAAAAATTCTCGTTTTGGCATAACATTTCCGGCTTATTCCCGGTCAAATTAAATTCCTGGCTATTTCCCGGTTAGTAGATACCCTGGAATTAAATTTTTAAGAAACATTCAATTATTCAATAAATTATTTATATTTGTATTTAAATAATTGAATTCTAGTAGAATTTTGTGATAAAAATTTATTTAAAAATGAATTTTAGTTAAAATTTTAGATAATAATTGAATATTAAAAGCATTACAGTGTAAATTTTTAGAAATAATTGAATTTTGAAATTAATTTTTTTGAAAAAGTTTAATTGAATTTTTTTTTATTTATTTGACTTGGACTGGTTATATTTTTGTCAGTAATTGGTCCATAAAGTCCGTATATTTTAAAATACTTTCACTGTTTCAAGCCCTGCAGAGAATGCCTCATTATTAAATTGTTATTGTTTTTATTTACATTTCCTGTGATTTTTCGTTTACTGCACGTTTCTTAGTTTCAAGTACATATATCAATTTTAAAGAAATAAAAAATTGAAAGATTTAAAGAGCATGCAAGAGAAGAAATAAGAGAAAATTGATAACATAAACGGTAAACACTCTATCGCCAATGGGACAATAACCCTGTAATAATAATAATAATAATAATGATTAATATATTAGAGATATAAAGAAATAAACATACCAATGCAAATTGCAATGCCACATAAGGCAAGAATAATGCGCCATATAAAAATCATTTTAAAATTTGTAGTAAAACAGAATCTCAAACATATTCTTCTTACGTTATAGTAGAAGAAATAAACAATAAGCACCAAAGTAGAATAATTTTACTTTTCGCTTGAAGTAACATTGTGTTGCTATGCACATTATTTATCTAATTAACAATACAAACTAGTTTGTAATAATTGGAGAATTTAATAAAAAATAGAATTTTACTTGTTGCATTTTTTCAATAACATTTTAAAATTAAAAATTAAGTTCACAAAATCCTTCAATGTGTCACTGTTGTGGTTGTAACATTTCATATGAGTATTTTCGGTATTTTCTTTATTTTTTCACTTTATTCTATATGAGAATATTCACTTTTATCTATTAACGTTTGTTTTGTTCATTTTATCACTAAGAATAGGATAAATTCGTCAAATTAATATATATTGGAAGATTTTTATATATAGAAATTTGATATTAAGTTAACCTAAACTATTTTGGAGTGCCTATTAAAATGCTTTGTTTGTATAAACAGAACTGTAAACTTTGGTGGTAAAGTGGATGAACAACGGATGATATTATGAATAGCAATTTTAACAATGAAATGTTTCCAAAAATAGCCATCGACTTGAGCGCTAGGATCAAACTTCTGGAAGGAGGAGTCTTTATTAAAGGGCTTTCTACAACAACTTCTTTTTCTATTACAACTTAAAGGTCAACGCACAACTGCTACGCGAACGTCGTCCGCGAATGCAAAGTATGAGTTAGAAAAGGAAAGAGATATATTTGTGTCCTTTTCTATTTCATGTATCTCTAGGCTGTTTCACTTGTGACGTCAGATAGCTGGAGGGAAAACAAATAGACGACACGACACAATTCTGAGAATTGGCCTGATTTTTCAAAGCCAAACAAAAAAAAATTTTTTTTTAAAAAGAAGAAGAAGAACAATACAATATTCTTGTGGGAGAAAAAGTTTTAAAATTTCCTTTCAATGTTTTGCAGATTTAATGGATTTTAAACGCTTTCTATCTACATATATGTAATTGAAACGAATTCTATAAAATAATTGTAGTGGAATTAACACTTTTCACTTCACAGAAACTTCAATGCTGAAATGTATGTTAGTGAGGTTAGGAACGTTTGTTTACAACGTATACAATATTGTCTAATTTATTTGTTTTTTAATTTTTTTAAATTTTATTTTATTTGTTTACTATATGTATAAACTAAAATTAAAGTTGTCAATTTTAGAAAGAAAATAATTTAAATTCCAAATTTCTGTAGATCAGGCAACGAGCTAAACATATCGAACGATAATTGAAAATTTCAAGAATTGAATTCTTGTGATGAATATTGTTATTTATAAAAATAATTGAATTTTGCAAAGAATTTTATTAAAATGCCTCAAAATAAATGAATTTACGGGAATAATCTTGTTATTTATCGACATATGATTGAATTCTTAGGAAGAATTTTATTAAAATCTAAAAGAATAATTGAATTATTTCAACAAAAAAAAAATTAAATTAAAATTGTATTTAAAATCATTGATTTCTTTTTCGAACAATTTTATTAAAATATTTGAAAATAATTGAATTCCTCTGAAAAATTCTAATATTTTTGCAAATAATGGAATTCAAGAATTTTTAAAATACATTTTTTTTAAATAATTAATTTTTTGAAGAAATTGAAATTAATTTTTTAAGAATAATTACATTTTTCGAGCAATTCCTGTAAAATTGAATTGAAAATAATTGAAATCCTGCGATGAGTTTTATTATTTATGAAAATAATTAAATAGTTGCTAAGAATTTTATAAAAATTTTCAATAACAATTGAATTAGAAGGAATTTTATTATTTATGAAAATAATTGAATTTTGCAAAGAATTTTATTAAAGTGCCTCAAAATAATGAAATTTACGGGAATAATCTTGTTATTTATCGACATAATTGAATTCTTATAGGAAGAATTTTATTAAAATCTAAAAGAATAATTGAATTATTTCGAAAAAAATTAAATTAAAATTGTATTTAAAATAATTGATTTCTTTTTCGAACAATTTTATTAAAATATTTGAAAATAATTGAATTCCTGCGAAGAATTTTATTATTTATGAAAATAATTGAATTATTATGAAAAATTTTATTAAAATGTTCAAAAAGAATTGAATTTCATTGAAAATTTTTGTTATTTTTGAAAATAATGGAATTCTTCATATGAATTTTATAAACATTGTTTTAAATAATTAATTTTTTTGAAATGTAATAAATATTCTGAAAATGTTATTTTTAATAATTGAATTCTAGTCGAAAACTTTATTTGATGATCTTTCAGATTTTTTTTTATACTTTTCTTCTTATTTCTTGGTAAACATAACAAAAATTATTAGAAAATAAAATTCCCATTTTGTAAAATTCTGCGATTTTTGAGTGTTAATATCTTCTTTACAGAAAAATAAAAAAAAATATATATGAGCTTTTAGGAATATTTTAATAATCACTATTATAAAACAATTTTTATTCGTTTCACACTTTCTTATAATTTATATGAAAGCTATTTACATTATTATTACATGTCCTCTGAATAATTAAATGAAAATCATTAAAGGTTAATTATAAAAAATACTTTAACATTATTTAAAAAAAATAAATATACTGTATTGCGGTATCTTACAAATATATTTATTTTAATTTATTGCATATTTTAACTACAATTCTGGCCTCTTAATATTCTTTTCCATTAAAAATTCTACTTATTAACATGGATAGATAAATGAATCCAAGTCTAGGATTCCTTCAAACATTTTTAGAATAATATAGATTCTTCCAGAAGTATGCTAATTTCTACTATACTGTAAATTATCGTAACGTTAAGAAGTATCTTTTTGAATAGTTAACAAATCTTATTTTACAGAATTAAAAATTTTTAAAATACCAAAAAATACTATTCATTTCTAGAAACTGATTATTATTTCTTCAGAAATGTCAAAGTGCTCCTGAAAATAAAAAAAAAGCAAATAAATACTTGGATTCAAAAAATATAAAAATTTCAAGAAATTATCTTTCCTTGAAGCTAAATATAAAGACGCGAATAAACATTTAATTAACAACCAAAAATATTTATAATTGAAATCAAAAAAATTTTATATAAAATAAAAATATTTTTTTAAAATTATATATAGTATATATTATTTGTTTATATAATAGATCTTATATAATAATAGTATATATAATAATAGAATAGACAAATAATAAAATATAATAGTATAAAAAAAGAAAAAATTTAAATTATAAAAAAAAAAATTTTAAATCATTTTCCTGAACGAATGTTTTAAACAAATGTTCATCTTAATCGTAAAATAAAGAGTTAACTTTGATTTTTTCGTAAAGAAAATCAGGAGCTTCTCATATTTTTTAAAAATACGGTAATTAAAAGATATCGATAAGTTTTCTTTCAATATATAACTATAAGTGGCCATTAATATAAAATTAGAGTTTCATTATATAAAAACAATACATATAATATCTAATATAATCATTAAAGTCATGTCCAATTAAATTTTTTATTCAATTCCCATTAATATTAATTATTTAAAAATAAAATTTTTTAAAACTATTAAATAAAATTTTGTAGAATTTTCGCTGTTTTATATAAATTCAATATTAATAAAAAATAAAAAGTTAAATTACTTTTTCCAATTTATAAAATTCTTTATAGGAGTTAAAATATTGTGATTTTTTCTTCCTCATGGACATGACTTTAACTCGAAAAAATTAAAAAAAAAAAATAAATAAAACCTCTTATTATACAAAATTTACAGGTCACGGACACAATGGCATAAAATTTGCGATGAATCATTGAACACCTTTTAATTTTAAAGATTCTCGAGTTCCCTTGGAATTGATTTTCTCCCGAGAATGAATTAAAAATGATGAATCAATTAAAAGCTGAAGTCCTCGATAAACTTGAGTCTTAATTTGAAAATTTTGTAAAATTCCCTCGCAATTTTATTCCCTGAAAAAGAAATTTACTTGTATTTTTTTTTTGCAATTTAAGCTATTGTTTTAACTCTTGTTTATAAAATGTTAACTTACAGAATTTTTGGGTTGTTCAATTTTTTCCAATATCTTGAGATAATTTTTTAATACTACGAACAATGGGTGATTTTTTTTCTGCTCTGAGTTGCTCGGCAATTTTCACATAATTATTTACATTTGTCAACATATTTTTCCATTTCTCTTTAGAATTTGAATTTTCATTATTTGATAATTTCGACACATAATTTTCATAAATCTTTTTTCTTTCTCCTTCTAATTGCAATGGTATTTCTAATTTACCGAAATGCAGTGAATCAGTCTTCATATACTGAAAAAAAAATTCAATTCTTTAATTTTATCATTAATTGATATTTATTAAATTTTTCTTGTAATTTTTCTTGTAATTTCGAATATAATATAGAAAAGGATTTTTGTCAAAAGTTAATTACGAATTTCTTAAAAAAATTGTTAGAAATAATTTCAATTAAAAAAATTTAATTAAATTTAGAAAAAGAATAAACTAGAATTATTTTAAAAAAAGAAGTTGAATATTAATTTTCAAAAAATGATTATCAATATTAAAAATTATTAATTAGATTTATAAATTTAAATATACTTTAAATTATAAATTCAAAACATTATATTAAATTTATATATAAAATTATTTGTAACAATTTTTTTAAATTATATTTTTTTTAACAAATTCGTAATTTAATTAATTTAATAATTTAATTAATTTAATTCAATATCAACGTTTATACTGCAAACTGTAAAAAAAATAAAACGATTAATAAAAATTACAATTAAAATGTAAAAAATGCATTAAAATTAATTAATAAAAATGTTACCATTGAATTGATTTCTCTAGTTAGTTTGAGAGTTTTTTCCAATTTGTAAGAACAATAGGCTGGATATCTTTGTCTCATGTCCGAGACTTCATCAACTAAATCCTCACATTCATTTTCGAGATTCTCCTCTGAAAAATAGAAGTATTATTATTATTATTATTATTATTATTATTATTATTATTAAAATTTTCCAAGAATTATTTAATTTTTTTTATCCAAATTAATATTCTATATTAATTAATAGTAAATTATTAGTTAATTAATAGTAAAAAATTAGTTAATTAATAGTAAATTATTAGTTAATTAATAATAATTTATTAGTTAATTAATAATAAATTATTAGTTAATTAATAGTAAATAAAAAATAGCAATTATCTGCTTTTATTATATAATTAATGCTTTTAATTAATTAATTATTGTTTACAGTAATTATTCTTAATATGATACTTAATATTTTAATAATCTTGAGAATAATTAATAACTAAAATTACTTTACTAACATAATTGTTTGTTGTAAATAAATAAAAAATAAAAAAAATAAGAAACTAACATTTTATTTACTTTACCTTTTATTAATAAAAATATAAAAAACAAAAAATAATAAAAATCCCAAATCCTATTTAACTTAAAAATATTAAAATTCAACTCCCCCCCCCCCCCCCCCCCCAAAGAAACAAAAGAAAATTTACATTGTTTTTTAATTTTAAGTAAATTGAAAATATATTTTTAAAATTTGGACAACTTCATTGAAAATTTTTGGTTAATTTTACTATTTTTTTTTTAAATTTAAAATAAATTGAGAATTTATTTTTAAAAGTTGTATAATTTCACCTAGAAATTTTTGTCTAATTTTCAAAATTATTCAAAATATTTTAAATCATTTCAAAGTTTTATGGACAAAAAAATTGTATAAGTAAAGAGAATTTGGAACAAAAAATTTGTAGCAATTTTTAAAAAACCGTGAAAAAAATACTAGAAATATATATTATATTTATTGAAATAATTTCATGTTTGATCTTATTTTTGCTATTTTTTAATTTTTACAAATAAAAGAAAAATTGTTTTTAGCAAAAGAGAATAATAAAAGCAAATAAAAAGTTTTCAAAAGATTAAAAATGTTTGTTTGGTAAACATAACCTCAAAATGTCACAAAAATAATGAATATACGGCAATTATACTATAGAGAAAAATTATTATCAAAATACTTACCCATTTTGATAGATTGTTTTTAAACTTCTTTTCTTATTCTCATATATGAAAATAATACATTTATTTCAGGAGATATTTATTTTTATTATTATTTTAATTTTGTTTGTTTGCAACCGCTCTAGGCGTTCAAAGTCAAAGCGTCACGCGCACTGAAAAATCCAATGACATTCGAGCGGAAGTAGATTGCTAAATTCAAATTATTATTTTATTTAATTAAATATTTTTCCCGTTTTTCCTCTAATTGAAAAAACCAATAAATTCGAATAAGATGAATAAACAAATTAATAATCGACAAAATGATAATAAAAATAATGTAAAATTGATTTTTAAATCTAAATGTAAAAAGTTGGCTAAAAATGCATAAGGCTATGTTCACAATAGGCTTTTTTTATATCTTTGTTTTGAACTCACTTTAAAGGTTGTGTCTACAATAGACTCTTTTATGTTCTTATGTTAAACATAACAACAATATATTTCATTTAATTTTTCTATGTTATGTTCGACGTAAGGACATAAAAAGATATTGTGGACACAGTCCAAAAATACAATATATTTCTTATTGTTCAACATAAGGACATAAAAAGAGTATTGTAGATTTAGCCTTATTCTACATTTATCACAAGTAATCACAAGAACAAAGAGCCAATTGTGGACGCAGCCTAATAAATATGAAAAATAGATAAAATAGAAAAATAAAATCAATAAAATAGTAATAACGAATAAGAAATAATGCAATAAATTCTATTGTTTGGAATTTACGGAAATTAGGAAAATTCGAATTTTAAAAAGAACACTAAAAAATATTTCGTCAATATTTCTATAAAATGTTATAATAATATTTGGATAATAATTAATATAACTATTTTAAATTTAGTCACACTTTTGAAGCTTTTGAATTTTTGCTGTTCTCCACTGTCAATGGCGGCCGTCAACGTACGCAACTTCCGGTTTCGAAAATTTATTTTCCCTCAGTTGGCAGCACTGACTGTTCCTTTCTTCCTGCACATGGCGTGTTTCTAGGTATGTTCAATAAATGTTTCTCATTTATTTACCTTATTTTTATCATTATTTGCAATTTTTATGTCTTTATTGTTCGACGAATGTTAATAAAAAGAAATTCCGGTTTCATTTGATTTTAAATAATTTGCGTTTTGCAAGAAAAAAATGTGCAAGTTTCGTTTTTATTTTTTCCAATACAAGACAGTGGATGGAACGTCACGTGTTGAAAATTGCTAAATAAATGGATAATATTACAATTTATTGTTTTAAATGTAAATTATTTTTATTTTACAATTTGTCATTTGATTGTTTCTATTTTTAATTAAGTGAAAATTTGTTTTTTTTTGCAAGTGTTTTATGATTATTGAATATTTTGAGGTTAGGTGGGATTTTGTGTCTGCCACTTGGTGTGCTTGAAAAAACATTTTACATTTTCTTATGTCATTTTTTTTTATAAATTCTGTTTTGTTTCAAAAATTTACTATTTGTAATGTTTATTACTTTTTTTTTTACATTTTTTTTAAAGTTACTTTACAAAAGTTTGCAATCAAGACAATATTTTTTCGAAAAAAGTAATTTTCAATTTGTATTTTCTTTTCTTTTTTCCCTTTTAATTAAATTTTCTAGATTATTTATTTAAATTTAATATTAAATAAATATGTAAATAAATTTATGTATAAAAATTTGGTAGAAATATTTTTATTTTTTGATATTTTGGAAAAACTTCTATTTGAGAAAATTAAATGTAATTTGTTTTGTTTGAATTGTTGCTAATTAAAAAATAATTTTCTTTATTTGTTATTATTTTAATATTTTACTTTTTTTTATTTTAGTTTTTATTATTTTTTCAAGTTTTTAAATTCTAATATTTTCATTTTCTTTGCAATTCAAAACAAAAGTATTTTAACAAGTTCTTTAATTATTCGCTAAAAGTCGAAGGTTTTTTTGTTTATTCTCGTAAATAACAATGTCAGTTAATAAAAAATTGTAATTAAAACAAAAATTGCAAAGAAATACAAATTTTATTTTTAAAATTGGCTTTCGAATGTCAGAACAATAGAAAAATAATTTTTGGAGTTCGAGTTGAAAAATTATTTTAAATATTTAATTATTTAATAAAATTAATGCTGTGAATTTTATTCAATTAAAAGAAAACGTATTTTTTTGGGGGTCAAATAAAAATAAATTTATTGTAAATAAGAAAAGTTTTTTAGTTTATTTTTTAAAAAGTAATTTTTTACTTTATTTCAAAAATAATTTTATGTGAAACTTTTATTAATTGAATGTTTAATTCGACATTAACGAATATCTAAAATTTTAAATATTTCTTTTCGTCTCCTTCCTCTAAAAGTCCCATTAATTTTGAAAATTTAATTTACTATTTCTTTTTTTAAAAGAACAGCATATTTTTCACTTCCCGCATGTCGTGAAAATACATTGTACACGAATAAAGATTTATCTTTGATATTCTATTAAAAAAAAACTTATTTTCAATAATAGTTGATTTCTTTTTTTTTTGCAATTTTTCAATTTTTTTTTCACAACAAAATAAATAATCTTGAAAATTTAAGAATTTCAATATTTTAGAAGATTAGTGCAAAAAATTTTTATTGAAAACTTTTATTTAAATAAAATATTCATTTAAATTAAATTAAAATTATTTAAATTAAGTTTTAATAAAATATTCATTTAAATGAAATTAAAATCATTTAAATTAAGTTTTAATAAAATATTCATTTAAATTAAATTAAAATCATTTAAAAGAAGTTTTAATAAAATTTTTTTACTACCGTAGAAATTGAAATCAACGAAATTTTTTCTAAACCTAAGAAATGTTGTGGAAACAAATTTTCTAATTTGAAAATTTTAGCAAATTTACTGCAACTCAACGTAGTTTTAAATAGTTTCTAATTTTTTTAATTTTAGAATTTTTTATTTTCAGGGAAATTTAAAAAATATTTTGAAAATATTTGACACATAACTTTATTATTTTGTAAACAAAACAAAAGAAACAATTTGTTGCAAAATAATCAGGATTTTTATTGCGGAAGATTTAATTTTAGAGAAAAGTAAATTTAGAAAAAAGTTTCAAAAGAAATAAGTTAATAAAAAAAGAAAAATTTTTTAACCAATTTTAGAATATTTAACGAAAAATTTGGTCGTAAAATATAAATATTTTGGTAAAAAAAAAGATATAGGAAAATTTGTAAATTACTGTATTATTAATTATTTAATTGATTAATAATTAAATATTTATTTGTATTTTTTTTACAAAAAATTGATTAAAATTGAAAATTATAATTTTACGTCCACTGAATACTTTGAAATAAATTTTACAATTTTGCACAAAAAGTTTAATTTTTAATTTCATGAATTTTTATACTTTGAATTAAAATTATTCAGATTTGAATAATTTTAATTTTTCCATTTTAATATTTTTCGTTATTTAAAGAAATTATAATTTTGACTATTTTTTATTCGAAGACAGAAAAGTATTGAGCAAACAATTTTTTTGATGAAAACGTGATTTTTAAAGTTTTTAAGGAACGTAAAATTATTCTTTTGAAAAGTCTTTAAAAATATTGAAAACCTTTTTTCTTCTTCAGAGTATTAAAAATATTCCAAAAATGAAAAACTTAAAAATATATTTGAAAATTTAAAAAAAAAAAATTGGAATTTTTTTGAAAAAATAACTTTTATTAAAAAAAAATGTCGGATTAGTTTATTTTCGGATTTAAACAATTATCGCGATTGTTTATTTATTTTAAAAATTGTTTTTAAATTGCGTGTTGTTGATAAAAATGCAAAAAAAAATATTCTTCTTTTTCAACGTTACCAAAAGAAGGAAAAGTGCGTAAAATCGAAGAAACTTGAGGTGCAAATTTTTAAAAATGAAAATCAGGTAAGTTTTTATCGTGTACAATGTTTTTATTTTCACCTTTAAACATTTTTTTCCAGTTCCTTTGTAAATTTTATTTTTTATTTAACAATTTTTTGTATTTTTTAATTTCTATGGATTATTTTCATATTTTTTTACTTTCTATTTTTTTTTTTTTTTTTTTTTTTTAGCAAATTTAATAGAAATTTTGTAATTTTATTTCATTGGTTTATTAAAAGAAAAAAAAGAATAATTTAAGTTTTATTTTTTTCTTTTGAGTTGTTGGTTAAAAATAAATTTGTGTACAATTTGTTTAGATTTAAATTTTTTTTTCAATTTATAGACTTTTCAAATTTAGATTTTGAACTCAATTCAAATTTTAATTTCGTCTACGATTTTGTAAATTTAAATTTCGTCTATAATTTTATAAATTTAAATATTTGCTACTTTTGAGATTTTTTTTTTTGCAAAGTTGAAATTTTTAGCGAAAAGATAGTTTTTTTTTAAATTTTTCAAAAAATATTCTTTTATTTCATTTATTTTTTGCAAAGTTGAAAATTTTAACTGAATTTTCTTAGTTTATTTTTAGCGAAATAATAGTTTTTTTTCATTTTTCAGAAAATATGCTTTTATTTCAATTTTTGGTTTTTTTTTGCAAAGTTTTGAAAATTTTAACTTAAGCTTTTGTTTTTATTTATTTATTTAATTTGTAGCAATGGAAACAGTTTTTAAACTTTAACCATATTTGAAGCATTAACTAAACGAATATTTTTTTTTTAAATTTGACGAAAATTAAAAGGATAATAATTTTTTGGGAAAAAACAAACTCTTTTTTTTTTTACTTTTTTTAAAAACTCATCTCGATCTTTTCTTTATTTGCGATGGAAGAATTTTCACAATTTGTTTTTACTTTTTACTTCTACAGTGAAACCTGTCGGAATGCAACTCGATTTTCTAAATTTTATTACAAATATAAAATCCTTAAAAAATTGTTTTATAATTTAATTTATAATATTTTTATATTCTTGAACTAAATGAAAATAATTTTTGTTTGACATTTTTGAATACAAAAAGAAAATTTAAAAATAGAGTTGCATTCCGACAGGTTCGACTGTATTTCTTGATTCGTCAGGACTAAAATTTCTTTATTTTTTTAAAATTTTTAATTCTTTTTTTTAACTTTTAATTCTTTTTTTTTCAAATTTTAATTCTTATTTTTGACTTTTAATAATTTTTCAACTTTTAATTCTTTTTTCTTAACTTTTAATTCTTTTTTCTTGAAAAATCGAATTTTCGAACTAAAAAAAAAATTGTTTTTCATTTTCAGAATCCCGAGACACGGAAAAACGAGAATAAATTGAAAGAAAAATAAAGAGGAGAATTAAAATTACACAAAATGCCACAAAACGAGTATATTGAACGTCATCGTAAACTCTATGGACGTCGTCTCGATTATGAGGAACGTAAAAGGAAACGTGAGGCTCGTGCGCCGCACAAACTCGCCGAGAAGGCGCGTTCATTACGTGGAATAAAGGCGAAAATCTTCAACAAGGAGAGGCGCAATGAAAAGATTCAAATGAAACGTAAAATTAAGGCGCACGAGGAGAAGAAGGGCAAAAAGGAAAGTGAATTGCCAAATAAGGGCGCAATTCCACACTATCTACTCGATCGTAATATCACAAATAATACAAAAGTCCTGTCGAATATGATAAAGCAAAAGCGAAAGGAGAAGGCGGGCAAATGGGATGTTCCAATACCAAAGACTCGGGCACAATCTGACGCCGAAGTGTTTCGTGTTTTGCGAAGTGGAAAAACAAAGAGAAAATCGTGGAAACGAATGGTGACAAAGGTGACGTACGTGGGCGAGAGTTTCACGCGTAAACCACCGAAATTCGAACGTTTCATAAGGCCAATGGGTTTGCGCTTTAAGAAAGCCCACGTCACGCATCCAGAATTGAAGGCGACTTTTCAATTGCCAATTATTGGCGTCAAGAGAAATCCAAATTCTTCATTGTTCACGACTTTGGGCGTCATCACGAAGGGCACTGTCATCGAGGTGAATATCTCCGAATTGGGTCTCGTCACGCAAACTGGAAAAATCGTCTGGGGCAAATTTGCGCAAGTCACTAATAATCCGGAAAATGACGGTTGCATCAACGCTGTTCTTCTCACTTGATTCTTTCTTTTATCTTCTACTTTTATAATTATTACTTGGAATAAATAAAATGTATTTCAAACGATTGTCTGTTATTTATGTTTTTCATTAAAAGGAATGAATTTTTTATTTCTTTTTGTCATTTTTTTTTTATGTACCTTGAAACTTGAATTTTAAAAATGTTGACTATCAAATTGTTTAACATTTGATAGATAAATAATTTTGATAACAGAAGAATGCTTCTTCTGAAAATGATGATTTTTTATGTCTCGATTAATTTTAAAAAATCTCGACTTTTTTTCAAAATTTGTGACTTTTCTTACAAATATTGCAAAGAATACCACATTTTTAGTATAAAATGCTTTTCTTTCAAATATTGCAAAAAATACCACATTTTTCGTATAAAAAGCTATTCTTCCCAAATATTGCAAAAAATACCACTTTTTTAGTATAAAAAGCAAATTTCGATTTTTCTACCGTAAAAAATAACTAGACAAATCTTTGAAAAATTAATTTTGAATCATTTTTATAATTTAATTTTCGAAATGTACAATTAAAAAGATAAATTGAAAAATCAAATGGAAATTAAAAAAAATTAAATTGAAATTTAAAATTTAATTGAAAATAATTGATTTTTTTCAAGTGTTTTATTAAAATTTTTTAAAATCAAATTTATTGATGAATTTTAATTGTAAATTTGGAAAATAATTAAATTCTCAAAAATTCTAATAAAAAGTTTTCAGTGTAAATTTAAAAATGAAAATTAACGAAAATTAGCTTCTAAAAATTATTTTCAAATAGTTTTGAAAAAAAAGTAATTCTTAGAACTTTTTTCATTCTAATTTTTTAAAAATTCAATTTTTTTCAATATTTTTAATTATAATATTTTCGAAAATTCAAATACATATAAAAAATAAGAAAATTAAAATTTATTTGAATTATTTTTAACATTTTGGAGAAAAAAATAATTGTTGACAATTTTTAATTAAAATATTCTTTAAAAAATTAATTAGTCATTGAAAATTATACAAAATACTTTTAAGAATTTCAATTACTTTCGAAAATTGACATTGCACGATTTTTAATTTCATTTTAAAAAATTTAATTCTTTAAGAGCTATCATAGAAATTATTACTTAAAAATTATTTAATGAATAATTTTACTTAAATATTGCAAAACTAATTGAATTTTAAAAGAGTTGCGTTTACAATTTTTATAAGTAGATCAACTTCAAAAGGTTATACAATTATTATAAAAAATTGAATTTTTATATTTAAAGAATTGAATTTTCAAAGAACATTTATTTAAAAATTGTAGAAAATAATTTAATTTCGGAAGTGTTATAGTTGTAATTTTTGGAAATTATTAAATTTCAGAAGGTTTTAAATTGAAATTTTTTAAATTTTATTTCCCGTGGAAAAACAAATAAAAAGTATTTAAATATTTATTTAACAAAATTATTCAAGTTTTAAATAATTGAACTTAGAAATCAGTGAAAGGTCAGGGAAATACAAATTAAAATTTTTTTGAAAACACTGAATTTTAATAAACGACTTTTTCGACTTTTTTTTTGTATTTTTAATCGAATAAAGCGATTTTTTGTGCGATAAATTCGATCTGAGGCCTGTAATTGTCCTTATTTAAGCAATTAATTAAATTTTATTTAATATTTAATAACAAAAGTTAAAAAAATAAAGAATTGATTGAATTCATCAAATAGTAAAAAATTCGACTTTTCTCCCTTTAAGAGGATGTCAAAATCAATGCGATTTTTACATAGAATTTTAATGTTAACATTAAAAAATATAGTTTTTTCTCTATTTTGAAAAAAATATTATAATGGAATTTTTTTTTATTTCAGAGAGTGTATTGGATAATACATCGCCATGCAGATTTTTGTGAAAACTCTTACCGGAAAGACCATCACACTCGAGGTCGAGTCTTCGGACACGATCGAGAATGTGAAGGCAAAAATCCAAGATAAAGAGGGTAAGATATAAATTTAATTTTCGTTTTGCTAAAAAAAAAAATGCTTTAATTCTATTTTTTTATTTCTATTATCAAAATTTTAATATTTCGAATGATTCATCAAACAATTTCTTTTTACTTTCCAAATAATATTGAAATTAATATTTAAAAATTAGAAAAGCAAAAAATTGTTTCCGTATTTTGTATAGTAGAGAAAATTATTTAAAACAAAAATTGTTTATTAAATAAATATAGTTATTAAATATGTAATAATTACAGGAGGAAATTAAATATTCCGTTAGAAAATATAAAAAGGACTTGAAAATATTGAATTAAAAAAAAAAACGCTAATGAAGAAATATAAATTAATTTTTAGGCATTCCCCCCGATCAGCAGCGATTGATTTTCGCTGGTAAACAATTAGAAGATGGTCGAACCTTGTCCGATTATAATATTCAAAAAGAATCCACCCTTCACCTTGTGCTTCGTCTCCGTGGTGGAGCGAAGAAACGCAAGAAGAAGAATTACTCGACCCCAAAGAAAATCAAGCACAAGAAGAAGAAGGTCAAGCTTGCTGTTCTTAAATTCTACAAGGTATTTTCTTTTTTTACAAAATATTTAATAAGACTTCGCATTCTTTTACTAAAACATATTAAAAAAATTAATATTTATTTCCTTCAAAATGATTATAAATTCAGGAATCCAGGCCTCGTATATTATAACATTTTCAACTTTTTTCGACTATTTTCAAAATATGCGACTTCTTTCGATTTATTTTTAAAAATTACGACTTTTTCGACTTTTTTACAAATATTGCAATAATTTTTAGTATAAAATGAAACTTATTTCGATTTTTATATATAGTGTGAAAAATAACTACAGTCAAATCTTCAAAAATTATTCTTTAATAATTTCTCTAATTAAATTTTCGAAATTTACAATTAAAAAGAAGAGTTTCAATAAATATTGCAATTTTGTAAAATTTAATTGAAAATAATTGATTTTTTTAAAGTGTTTTATAAAAATTTTTGAAAATCAACTTTTGAAGAATTTTAATTGCAAATTTTGAAAATAATTGAAATTGAATTCCTCGGAAGAATTTAATTTTTAAAAAAAATTTTAATATATGTATTTCGAATAAATTCAATTATTTTCTAAACTCTTAATAAATCCTTCGAAACAATTCAATTATTTTTATAAATGGCAAAATTATTCGCAAGAATTCAATTATTTTTATATATAGTAAAATTCTTTGCAGGAATTCAATTATTTTCAAAACATCTTGAATTGAATTTTTCAGAAGAATTCAAATATTTTCAAATATTTCTAAAAAATTCAATTATTTCCTAAAATTTTAATAAATAATTATTAAAATAAATTAAATAAATTTTTTAAATTTACAATAAAACAGAGTTTTAATAATTGAAATTTTGTTAAATTAAATTGAAAATAATTGATTTTTTACAAAGTGTTTGATAAAAATTTTTGAAAATAAACTTTAAAAGAATTTTAATTGTAAATTTTGAAAATAATTGATTTCTCAAAAATTTTAATGAAAAATCTTCAAGTGTAAATTTAAAAATGGTAATTAATGAAAATTTATCTACAAAAAAAAAAAAATTATATTAAAATATTTTTGGAAAAAATAATTCTTAGAATTTTTTGCCTTCTAATTATTTTAAAATTCAATTATTTTCAATATTTTCAAATACAAATTTCCAAAAATTTAAATACATACAAAAAATAATAACATTACAATTTTTTACAATTAATTTTAACATTTTAAGAAAACATGACTTTTTTTGATTTATTAAAATTTTGAAGAAATCGCGTTTATATTAATAATTAAAATTCTTTAAAAATTCAATTATTTTTTAAATAGAATTTACCAAATTGCAATTGTTTGGAAATTTTTCAATTCTATATAATTGAAAAACTATTATCTTTCATAAATTATTTTAAAAATATTTTTGAAAAATTAATTTTAAGAATAATATCCACACATATTAACCTATAATATAATGAAAAAACAGAACTAAATAATACGATTTTAACTACTCATGGTGATGTTTGGAAATATTTTGCATTTTACAACGAAAACTCAAAAAATACATTTTCCCATGTCTTTACTAAAAATTTGTCAAGAATGTGATCGTTTGTTTTGGAATGATATAAACAAAGGTTGTAGAAGATTTTCTAGACATTACAGCGAATTTGAAGGCTTTTAAGTACGTGAAATTTAAAAGCTCCCATTACCCCACGCTCCCCTAAGTTTCAAATAATTAAATTTAGAAATCAGTGAAAGATAAGAAGAATAAAAAATAAAATTTTAGTGACGACACTGAATTAAATAAACGACTTTTTTTCTATTTTAAATTGACTAAAGCGATTTTTTTTGCACTTTAAAGTCGATCCGAGGCCTGGGAATCATTTCACCTTGTTTAATACATCAAGTTAATAAATTTAACATTATTAAATACAAATTAATCTATTCTTAGTTGATTCGAATTAGAAATTTAAAAAATTGTAAGTGTTGATAAAAAATTAAAATTGAAAATGTGAATTTGTAGGTGGACGAGAATGGAAAAATTCATCGTTTAAGGCGGGAATGCCCGTCGGAACAGTGTGGAGCTGGTGTATTCATGGCAGCCATGGAAGATCGCCATTACTGCGGAAAGTGCGGATACACTCTCGTCTTCAACAAGCCCGAAGACAAATAAATTTTTATATATTATCTTATTTGTATTCTGCAATTCTCCATGTATTGCAATAAATTCTAGGAGATAATTTTTCACTCTTTTTATTTTAAACTTGTTCTTTAATCGTTTTAACACCAAGAAGAAAAAAAAGTAAAGAAGAAATCACTTTTTTTTTTTTTAAACCAGTAATTTTTGGAAAAAGCGTTAATTAAAAAAAGCTATTTTTGGAAAAGTAAAATAAGTTTAAAGAAAAAAGAATTCTCGTTTTGAAAACACATTAATTTCTTGGGAAAACAATTTTTTTTCAAAAAAAAAAAGGAAATTTATAGAAAAAAATAAATTTTCTTTTTTAATTAAAATTTGGAATAAATGGTATCAAGGTGTTTAATAATTAGAAAATAGTCCGGATTTATCAGAATTTTTATTATTAAATAAATTTTTAATACAATTTTTCCATTTTACATTTGAAATTCGGAAGTTTTTTTTTTAAATAACAATAAATAATTTAATTTTTAATTAAACATATAATTTATATACATATTCAATGTAAACTTACTGAAGAAAAATATTCCAGTATTTATTTACTCTAGATACTTATTATTTATAATTAACACGAATTTTATTTTTTTACATAATTTCTACGTAATAGAATTTTAATTTCATTTTTGACAGATTTTTTTTTTAAAGAATTTTTTTCATTATTGCAATGAATTGTAATATATGGAAAATTAGAAAAAATTAAATTCAATCCATTTCAAAATTAATTTTCAATTATACAGAAAAATTAGGTATTTAAAAAAAAATTTAACCGAAAATTTGTATTTTTTTTTTTAGTTAAATTCAAATTTGATGTTTCTTTTTCTATAGATTTGACTATTAATTATTTCGTGTAACGACACGAAAAGAAAAATAGAGTTGAAAATATGTGAGAAAATAGATTTTAGTATTTTTGAAATTCTAAATTTTTCCTTTTCATTTACAGAATTGATTTGTTTTAATAAACATTCGCTATAATTAACATTTATAGAATTCTATTTATAAAAATTACGTCAAATATAATATTCTACAGAAGTTATGTTCTTCTTAATTCGTCGAGTCAAGAAATATTAAATAAAATTCGTTTCTTGTATTTATTTATTAAATACGAAATTAATACTTTTATTATTAAATAAATTAATTTATAAATAATTAATAAAAAATTAAAATATATTGTTAATTTGGAAAAAATACCTAATAATTAATCTTTTTTCATACAAGAATATTCCTTTCGCTTTTTTGGGTAAAATAATTTAAATTGTAACTTATTATAAATTATTCATTCGTTTAAATAATTTGATTTTTTAATAGTTTCCTCTTCATAATTAATTTTCAATTGGAAATTTATTTTTTAATTTATTATTTGATTTCCAAATCGGAAAGAATGATTTTTTTCTCACATATATAATTTTGGATCGAGTGATAAATTCTACTTCATATAATAAATTTATTATTTTAATAATCGAAAATTATTAAATTATTAATTGTTATAATTATTATTATTAAAATTATTTTTTGTAGTAATAAGGTTTTTTCCTCGACGAAAAAATTAATTTTGTACAAAAACTGATTAATTTATATGATTTATATTTTTAATATCTTTTTTGGCAAAAAAAAAAGTAAAATAAATAAAAAAATCAGTCCGTGGTAAAATTATGATGAAGTCCCATAAAATTATGATGAATTTGACTAAGATTACGGGAAAAATTGTCATGAAGTGTTTTACTTAAATTACGAGTAATAAATTGCTCCGGTAATGATGTATAAATATGAGAGGAAATATTTTCGTTCTTGAAATTTTGACTCGCCGTTTGTTTAAGAACATAAAGTCCACGATCTTTTGGATCCCAAATGAAGGCATAATAGAGAGATAAAATAATAGCAGCTAAACTAACGGATATTAAATATGCTATCACTGTTAAAACACGTATTAATTTTTTATTGTGTTTCGGCTCATAAATACTCTCCTTACTCTCATGCTGCGCGAGTTTTATTTCATTTGGACATTTACTGTCACGATGCGTTCCCAATGCTCGCGATACACTTGCCATTACATTCTGTGCACTCATTTTTCTCGAGAATTGCATAATGATTCTTTTTATTTTTGGTTTTGAGTTTTTGGGCTCAGATTTAACCAAATCTGCGTTTCATATTGATGATTATCTGAAATTAAGATTTATATATTAGAAAAAAAGTAACTTATTTTATTTATTACAAAAAATTTTAATTAAAATTTTTATTCTTTTAAATAAAAATTATCACAAAAAATTTGATTATGTATTTCTCTAATTTCTAGATAATAGAAAAAATATCAATTGAAATTTCTTAATTCGTTATAAAATCTTTGCAAAAATTCAATTATTTTCAAATTTTGTAATTAAAATTATTTTAAAAAAAACTCCATTATTTAAAAAAATCCAAAGAAATTCTTCAAAAAGAATTTAATATTAGAATTTTCAAAAATTTTAACAAAATTCTACGCGAGAATTCAATTATTTTTCTAAATAATAAAATTCTTTGAAATTCAATTATTCTTCAATTTTTTGATAAAATTATTTGCAATAATTCAATGATTTTCAATACATTAATTATTTTAAAATTGAAAATATTTAAAAAGGAAAATTATTAAAAAAGTGAAAAAACAAAAAAGCAAACAACAATAACTTCAAACTGCGAACAGATTACCGAAAGACAACGATTATTATTAACATAGATTGTGTTAAAAATAATTGAATACTTTTGAGACAAATTTTATAACGAAATAAAAAAAAATTGAATTCTTTCGTGGAATTGAAAATTTCACGAAATTTATTAAGTATAATTTAATTTTTGCAAAGATTTTACTATTTAAAAAAATAATTGAATTGTTTCGAAGGATTTATTAAAAATTTTAGAAAATAATTGAATTCTTTCTTGAAATTTCATATTGAAAATAATTGAATTTTTTCAAAAAATTTTACTATATTTCTAAAAGTAATTGAATTCTTCAGAAAAAATATGTTATTATTTATAAAAATAATTGAATTTTTATATCATAACAATTTCGAGCCCCAGCAGAGTTAGTCTCACATTTTTTCATATAGTTTTAAATTTAAACAATTTCAATTTATTTTTATTTTTACATCAATTATTTTCTCAATAAATTATTTCTATTTGAATTTCGCAATTTTATATTTTAAGAAGCATTCCCTTTTAATTAAAAAATAATCGATCTTCTTAAATGAGCACAAAGGTTTATATATATATATATATATATATATGTATATTGTATACACACCATTATTATTATTGATACATTAAAAAAATTGCACTGGTCTCATATTTATAGAAATTCCTCCAATGTCAAAATTTTAAAACTTACGGGAAAGTTAATTTATTTTGTAATAATTGACACAGATGACAGTTAATTTTTTGCATTAGTTTCATTTGTACAGAAATTTAAAATGTTTATATTTTTTTGCACCAACTATTGACGTACTTTGAGCGTTCCACATCACGGCATTGTGGAAACTGTTGAGTGTATAGAAAAAAAAACGAAAAAAAAATTCTAGCCCTACCCAAAACACACGACTAAACACTTGCTAAAACTGAGCCTGCGCCAATTAAAGTTCTCACATCCCTCTCTTTTTCTCTCCTTCTCTTTATTCATAGTTCGAAATTCCTCCCCAGTTTCTATTATTTTTCTATTTATATTTATTGTGTTTGAAATTTCAAAAGTTTCAAACCGTTAAATATACTTCAATTTTCTTCTATTTTTATTTTACATATTTTAATAACAGATTTGGGAAAAGTCGCTTTTTTTGTTTACTAAAGTAAATAGAAAAGAATTCCGTTTGTTTAAATTTGGCGCCAAACGGAGGGTTGAAGCAACTTTGGCGTTGGTGTTCCCGAAAAATGTCAAATAGCCGCGCATGCGCATTATCACGCAATGAGATGATAATGCAAGTGCAAAAAATTTTTACTCCAGTTTTATAATTTCAATTTCATATACAAATATAATATAATGTGAGTATTATGTATTTAAAATTGATTTTTCATTTATATTGAATCATGATAAAATTGTGAAATTTTCTTAAGAGGTTTGTGAGTGTAAAATTTTTAATGAATTGATATTTCTTTTTGGTTAGTTTACACACTAATCGGGAGAATGACTTTTGTGTTTTCATTTCTTTTGTTGTCATTTTGAAATTAAATGGGAAATTTTCAAATGAAAAAAAATGAAAATAAACTATTTTCGATCACTATTTAATTGATATAATTTTTTCTTAATACAGGGAATTATCTGTTTTTTTAATTGAAACTCACAAATATAATTTATAGGTTATGTTTCCATTTTAGTCTTTAAAGAATATTTTGTTAATTATAATCTTTGTTGTAATTAAATGATAAATAATTGATATTTTCTCCTTTTTGTTATAATTTTATTAATTTTTATAATTTTGATTCCTGCACACGAAATGCAGTATTTAAATTATTATTAGGTAAATTAGATAATTTTTTTATTTTCAAATATAAATTTCAATTTTTGAATAATTTCGAATCCAAAATTTAGAAAAATTTAATTATTAACTAATTATTATTATTATAAGTTATTTGAAAAATTTTAATAAATTTTCTCATAGAAGTTCCATTATTTTCAATACAATTTTTAATTCCTCAAAAGAATTCAATTATTTTTAACAAATTTTTAATAAAATTTAATATAACAATTGAATTATTTTCAATACAATTTTAATTAAATTCGTTAAAAAAAATTTACAAACATTCAATTATTTTCATAAATAATAAAATTTTTCGTTGAAATCCAATAATTTTCAAAGCAATTTTAATGGAATTCCTCAAAAGAATACAATTATTTTTAAAACTTTTAATAAAATTTAATAATTAAAAAAATTTTAATCTATAAAGAATTTTAATTTTTTAGATAAATTCAATTATTTTGTATATAATTTTAATAAAATTCTTCAAAACAATTCAAATATTAAATTTTAAAAAAACCGTATTTTGAATTAATATTAGTTTTTCTACAATAATTTATAAGCAACTATTTATATATTTTAGTTTGTTAAATTTATATTATTAATATAAATTAAATTTCAAACAGTTTCAAATTAAATTTTTAGAAAAGTTGAATTTTAATTATTGTACTAAAATTTCTTAAAGCACTAATTCTAATACAAAACCTTCAAAAAAATTTTCTATTTTTGACAAGAATGAATTTTTTAATATTATTTAATTACTACAAAAGTTTTAATGCAATTATCTTGATAAATAACAAAATTCTTCACAGAAATTCAATAACTTTTAGGAATTTTAATAAAATTCTTTACAAAATTCAATTATTTTCATAAGTTACAATATTCATCCCAAGAATTCAATTATTTTCAAAAGTAATGAAATTCTTCGAAGAAATTCAATTATTTTTAAAAATTTTCACGAATATCTCGTCGAGAATTCAATTATCTTTACAAATAGCAAAATTTTTCGACAAAAAATCAATTATTTTCAAAAAATTTCTAAAAATCTTTACAAAAGTTCAATTACTTTCAAAAGTTTTTTGCAATAAATAGATAGAGAAATTCTTCTCAAGAATTAAATTATTGTCAATAATTTTTTAAAAATTCTTCTCAAGAAGTCAATTATTTTCAAAAAATTTAATAAAATTCTTCTCATGAATTCAATTATTTTTAAGAAATTTAATAAAATTCTTCAAGAAGTTTTCAATTATTTTCAAAAATTGTTATAAAATTCTTTTTAATGGTAGGTGTTCATTTTTTCTAAAAAATATTTTCTAATCCTTTTTGTGTAAAAAAAAGCAATTTCTAATGAAATCTGTTTTCTAAAAAAGGTTTTTCTAACAAGTTTTGATTTCTAAAAAAGTTTTTCTAAAAAGTTATGATTTCTAATATTTATTTTCCTAAAATTTGTAAAATTTCATAATTTTGATGAAAAGTTAGAAAATTGTTAAAAAAAATTAAGATTAAGAAATAGAAACTATTTGGCATATTTTCTGTTTCTCAATCACAATTTTGTTTAGAAAATTATAAGTTTCTTTTTGAAAAAGTAGAAAAATTTTTATAAAATTACTATTTCTTATCACAATTTGTTAACAAAATTCTGTTCTTCTTTGAAAAAAAAAATAAAAATTTGCAACATTTTTATATATCAAAATTTCTAAATTTAATTTATTTATAAAAATTTTTTTAGAAAATTTAAAATTTCTTTAGGAAACAAATTCCTATAATTTCTATTTGTTAATTACGATTTTTAACTAGATTATTTTTAAATTTTGTTAACAAATTTGCATAATTTCTAATTTTTATTATAATTTTTTAAAGAAACCTTAAGTACCTACTTTTTTTAAAGAATTAAAAAATTTTCGTAAATTTTATTTTTCCTTATTTCAAAAATTGAATATTGTTAGAAAAAATTTTTTCAAAAATGACCTTTATGAGAAGGAAGAAAATGAGAAAATCACTTTCATTAGGAAAAAGTTTTTTAGAAATTCACTTTTTATTAGAAAAAAAATTTTTTAGAAAATAAAAAATTAGAAACTTTGTTTTAGAAAAACTGTACCCCAATCTTCTTTAATATAATAAATTTCATTAAAATTTTAATTAAATTCTTTAAAAGAAATGAAATATTTTCCAAAGTTGTTAATAACAATTTTTCGTAAAAATTAAATTTTAAGAAACATTCAATATTATTTATTTTTGTATTTAAATAATTGCTTTCTCGTAGAATTAAATTATTATTTTTTGTACTTTTAACTAAAAATTCTGTAGAATTAATTTTTTTGAAAAAGTTTAATTGAAAAGGTAATAATTGATGTTATTGATTTAAAGTAGAATTTTAGAATTCTAGAAAATTTTAATTGAATTGAAATGATAGAAATAATGTTGAAGAAATTACTGTAACAATATTCTTATAATAATAAACTAATGATTTTGTCAGTTGGTCATCTTTAATTATTATAAAACATAAAGAAATGGATATTTATTTGAATTTGTTTTGCAGAGAAATCAACTTGCAGAATGGGAGTACCGGTGAAAAGTGTTGAAGCCATGGACGTCGAATTGACAGTGGACGCGGTTAATGGAGAGGGTGACGTTGTCGAGAAGAAGGACAATGATTTGTTAATTATTCAAGATCTACGGGAGCACATTCGTCAAATTGAGCGCGCCGTACAAAATAAGGAGCCGCGTTTTATTCTCCGCGCTCTACGAGCATTGCCCAATACGCGTCACAAACTAAATCCAGTCGTTCTTCGCGGTATTGTCGGCGGCTTTTTCACCCGTTCAACCACAGAACGTGACGCACTACTCGCATGGATCGAGGAGCCAATGGACACAGAGGGCACACAGGCAGCTATTCAAAGATTTCGCAGTTCAGCTCTGCCGCTACTTCCCGAAATCGATGCCTACATTCATCTTCTCATTCTCGTGAAACTCATCGATACCCGCAAATACAATGAAGCCGTCCAGTGTTCCGAGACTTTGGTGCAAAAAATCGTTGTGCAAAATCGACGTTCAATGGACTTGATCGCTGCAAAATGCTATTTTTATCATTCGCGCGCTTACGAATTAACAAATCAGTTGGACAAGATTCGTAGTTTTCTTCATTTACGTTTGCGTACGGCAACATTGAGGAATGATTTCGAGGGCCAGGCGGTGTTGATCAATTGCCTGCTGAGGAATTATCTTCACTATAATCTCTACGATCAGGCGGATAAACTCGTGTTGAAGTCAACGTTCCCGGAGTCGGCGAGTAACAACGAATGGGCCCGCTTTCTCTACTATCTGGGAAGGATCAAGTCGGCGCGACTCGAGTATTCAGCGGCGCACAAGTACCTCGTCCAGGCAATGCGCAAGGCCCCGCAAACAACGGCCGTCGGTTTTCGTCAAACCGTACAAAAACTCGCTGTCACTGTGGAACTTCTATTGGGAGACATTCCCGAGAGGCAGATCTTCCGTCAGGCCGCATTGCGACGCGCTTTAGCGCCTTACTTCCAATTGACGCAAGCCGTTCGTCTCGGGAATCTTCAGCGCTTCGGCGAAGTCCTCGAGAACTTTGGACCGCAATTTCGCGCCGATCATACATTCACTCTGATCCTACGACTGAGACACAATGTCATCAAGACCGCTATTCGCTCAATTGGCCTCTCGTACTCGAGAATTTCGCCGGCGGACATTGCGCAAAAATTGGGCCTCGACTCGGGCGTTGACGCGGAGTTTATTGTCGCCAAAGCGATCAGAGATGGAGTAATTGAGGCGACACTCGATCCAGAGAATGGCTACATGCGCAGCAAGGAGACAACGGACATTTATTGCACCCGCGAGCCGCTCCTTGCATTCCATCAGAGAATCACCTTCTGTCTCGATCTACATAATCAGAGTGTTAAGGCCATGAGGTATCCGCCAAAATCTTATGGCAAGGATCTCGAATCTGCCGAGGAACGTCGGGAACGGGAGCAACAGGATCTTGAACTCGCCAAGGAAATGGCTGAAGAGGATGACGATGGTTTTCCTTGAACAGTAATTTTTTAACGCTGTACTCTTTTTTCATTTCTGTAATACTTTGCAATAATTTTAAAAATAATAATAATAATCTGTTTCAAATTTTCCAGTGCGCAAGTTCTTTTCACTTTTTCCCATTCGATTCTTTTGTTTGTCTAAGAAATTTATTTTGAACACGTTCAATTCTAATTATGTGGAAGACATAAAGGAGACCAGGTTATACATGCATACTCAATTATTGATCTGACAAGCGTCAAGTATAATATTCTAATTGTTGCAAAACCACGAAATACCGAAGCACATCTCATTATAAACCCCATGGATTTTGAGGTCCTTGAGACAATTTCAGTAACCTGATTATTAAAACAAAGATTACTGGTGAACATTACACCTAAACTTATTTTTCGCGTATAATTTAGATGGAAAATTAATAATTTTCTTGAATTTAGTCAAAAATCGAGTTTTTAAAATTTTCTGTAGAGAAAACAATTAATTACTAATAGTAATTAGTTAATAGTAAAACACGAAAAATCGATGAATTTTTATTTTTACAAAAATTCTGTTTAAAATTGAAAATAAATAACGAATTCAGTCGAAAATTACGATTACGAAAATTTTCTGAAACAAAAAATTTGAAGAACTTGACGAAAATCACAATTTTGAAATTTCCTATAGAAAAAAAAACGATTTTCAAATTTTGAAAAATTTTCAAATTCGTTTAAAAACTTATTTTTCGCGTATAATTTAGATAGAAAATGAATAATTTTCTTGAATTTAGTCGAAAATCAAGTTTTTAAAATTTTCTGCAGAAAAAAAACGAAAAACTGATGAATTTTTATTTTTCAGAAATTTTTAAACTCGTTCAGAAACTGAATTTTTGCTTATAATTCTGTTTGAAAATGAAAATAAATAACGAATTCTGTCGAAATTTACGATTTCGAAAATTTTCTCTGAAGACGAATTTCAAAATTTTTAAATTTCCTATAGAAAAAAAAAACAAAAAAACGATTTTTAAATTTTGAAAAATTTTCAAATTCGTTTAAAAACTTATTTTTCGCGTATAATTTAGATGGAAAATGAATAATTTTCTTGAATTTAGTCGAAAATCAAGTTTTTAAAATTTTCGATAGACAAAAAAACGAAATGATTCCATTTTTTAATATATAGTGAATTATTATTTATTAAAAATAATGGATTTACAGAAGAATTTTAGTTAAAATCACTAAAAAAGAATTTTGAAATTTGGAGAAGTTACAAATTATTGCAGAAATTCAATTTATTTTCAAAAGTAAAAAAAGTTCTTCGCAGAATTTCAATTCTCTTTATAAATAATAAAATTTCAATTATCTTCAAAAAATTTTCCAAAATAATTCAATTATTAAAAAAAAAATTAATAAAATTCTACGTAAACTTTTAATTACTTTCATAAATAATAAATTTTTGACATGAATTCAATTATTTTCTTGACAAAATTTCAATACAATTATTGTCAAAATTTCAATTATTTTCAAAAATTTTCCTTAATTCAATGATTTTCAATATCTACTATTTTAATAAAGTTTTACAAAGCAGTTAAATTATTTAAAAAAAAAATTAATTATTTTAATAAATAATAAAAATTCCACAGAAATTCAATTATTTTCAATGTTAATAAAATTCTTAGCAACTATTCAATTATTCCTATAAATAATACAATTCATCGCAGGATTTCAATTATTTTTAATATCATTTTACAGGAATTGCTCAAAAAATGTACTTATTCTTATATAAAATTTAATTTTAATTTCTCAAAAAAATTAATTATTTAAAAAAATGTATATTATTTAAAATTCTTGAGATCAATTATTTACAAAAATATTGGAATTTTTCAGAGCAATTCAATTATTTACAAAAATATTAGAATTCTTTAGAAGAATTCAATTATTTTCAAATATTTTAATAAAATTGTCGGAAAAAAATCAATTATTTTAAATACAATTTAAATTTTTTTTAAATAATTCAATTATTCTTTTAGATTTTAATAAAATTCTTCCCTAGAATTCAATTATTTACATAAATAACTCGTCGAAAGAATTCAATTATTGAAGATAATTAAAAAATTATTCTCAATAATTCAATTATTTTGAGGTATTTTAATAAAATTTTTTGCAAAATTCAATTATTTTCATAAATACCAATATCACAGAAATTTCTTTATAAATTTCTTTGCAATAATTCAAGTATTTAAGAAAATTAAATTTTTTACAGAATTGAATTATTTTAAAATAAAAAATTTTTTTTAAATTTTTTAAAATAAAATTCATTATGGAAATTCTATTTTTAGAAACATTCAATTATTTAATAAATTATTTATTTTCGTATTTCAATAATTGAAGTCTTTTAGAATTTTTTAATAATAATAAATTGATTTAAAAAAGAATTTCAGTTAAAATTTTCGATAATTGAATATTAAAAGCCTTATAGCGTGAATTTTTAGAAATAATTGAATTTTAAAAAGGTTTCATAATTTTAATTATTAATTTTATAGAACTAATTTTTTTTTAAACTATTTGAACTTTTTATTTTCTAATATATATTTAATTGAAGAATTTCCTGATAATCGAAATTTCACGTAAAATTGAATGGTAAACAAATGGGTTTGAAAATTCTCAAACAACTTTTTCAAAGATTATTAAAAATAATTGCCTTAAAAAAGAATTTATTTGGAAATTCTAATTTGGTAAAAATAAATTTAGTATTAGAAACCTGGAAAAATTCCGTTTTTTAACCTGGAATACCTGAAAAAGTCAGGGAATTTCAAAAAAGTAAAAGCGTGTCAACCCTGACTATTCTTTATATTGATTACATGATTTTTAACACACCATTTTTGGAGCCTCTTCAGTCAGAAAAATATTGATGTCTGCAATATTCTTTTTTTTTAAAAAAATGTTAAAACAATGTTTTTTCAAAATTGTCTCTTGACAACCATGCGATCAATACAAAAAAGTTTAAAAAAAGAATCTATTGACCTGCTGACAATATTTTAAAAATAATTAACAACTTATTTGCAGTAGTATGAGAAACATTGTTTTAATATTTTTACATTTTTGCAATTTCGATTCGCTTTGATGAGGGATGAAAAAGGGAATTTTACTTTAATTTAATCAACTTTGCATGTTTTCACACAATTAATAAATGAGAATAAAAATTCTAATAAGTAAAGTATTTAAAGAATAAATTTCCTACTTTAAGAAAATATTCAACTACAACAGCAGGAAAGATGAGGAAGAAAATTTTACGTAATCTTTACTGTATTGTTTATTAAAAATTAAATATCTCTTTTTTTATAATTATTATGCTTTTGTATATACATTCATTTTTTAACGTTCTCTCTTTTTTTGTAATAAAAGGCAGATTTCAAAAACATTGTATTTTATTAAATTATTGTGAAATTCTTATTACCTTAAAACTTTAAGTTTTATATGGAATATTAAAAAAATAATTACATTCAAGTTATATATATATACAAATATAAAACATTTTTTCCATCATTAGAATTAACAACACATGTATGCAACTTTTTTCCAAACAATTAAATTCCGCAATAACACAAAAATCATAAATCTAAAAATTCTAATTAAATTCTCTATCTATTCATTGTAAAAAAAATCGGATAAATCTCTAGAAAAATATAATTCGCATAAAAATGTTAGGTTCAATTTTACAGAGGCTGTACAGTAAAAACTTATTACTTACATAAGTTAAAATTAGAATACAAGTATTTTTTACAATTAGTTTGCAATTGCTATTCGTGAAGTATTTTCAGTTTCACATAAAATGAAAACCATTAGGCCCGTAACTACAACTACAACGTAAAAAAAAACACTTCTATACATACCTACTATACAATTTATACAAGAGAAATGGAAATTAAGAAACTCTAGAAAACATGAAACATTGATGTCGAGATCTTTTTGCATACAAATACATAAACTAATACAAATAAAATACAATGCAACTAAAGTACAAGAGAAAAATAATAAAATCGATTCTTGAACAAAGACCTCTAAGTACGAGTAAATTTGCTAGCACTTCTCTCCGCATTTCTGCTGCGTCTGAAAATAAACATTTACCTAAAAAAAGTTCGAGGGCCTAATGACAGTGAAAAGAAGTATTTTCTTTTTTCTTTCTTATGTAAATATATATAAGCTGATTCTATAACGAATCATATAAGCCTTTTGATCTTATCTCAATGTTTCTTCAAGAATCATGCACCATCCGAAGGATTAATGATTAGAGCCGTTACTGCGAAGAGAAGAAAGACAATCCCTCCAATCATAGTGACTGAAAAATAAGTATTTTTCTAAAATAAACTTCTTAAAGAAAAGGTATCGCCGGCATACATACCCGGCTATACCTTTTTTAAAACTAAAATTTCTGTTCTGTGAGTTTCATAAAAACCCCCCAGAGAAGAATAAAACTTGATTAAATAAAAATTTTACCTGTTCGTACAGATATTTTTTGAGCTATCATACGTCCACCTAGGACAGCCAATCCTGTACAAAATGAATGACCTAATATTCCACCAATTATAACGCCATAAACATCCTGTAATTGTAAAAATAAAACTTATTTCTATTCTTGTTGTTGCGTTTCCTTTTTATATTTAATAATTTACCTCTCGAGCTGCGAGAAGAATTGTCGTGAGTTGTGAACGATCACCCCATTCGGCAAGAAATGTCAATGTAAATGCTTGGAGAAAAATTCTTGAAAGTACCATTAGAGCATTTTTCTTTTGCGTTTTCTTTATAATTCCAGTTTCTGGATCTTGAACTAATGTACTTTCAGCATCCTTCTCAAACTGTAATTATTATTTATTGAGTTTATTAGAATAATAAATAAATGTGGAAATATTTTTAAAAGAAGTATATTGACCGGACCATGATCTTGCCATCATCATGTAGTTTTACATCATCTTCAGGAAGATTGAACAAAACAAGATTGTTCTTTCTTTCAGTTCGATCTAAAATTACAACTTTAATTCTCTTAAAATTCAATTATTTTCTATAATTTTTAATCAAACTTCTTCTCGAAATCAATTATTTTTAATAATTTTCCAAAAATTCTTAGAGAATTCAATTATTTAAATACAACTTGGAATGTTTTCAGGACCTTAATTTTTGTCAAATAAATCTGTTTATATTGTGACCTTAAGGCCAGAATATAAACAGAAATTTATTATTTAAATACAAAAATTCAGTTCTTTATAATGATTCTAACTGTCAATGTTTTTTAAGTTATTAATTAATTTTCAAAAAATTATAATAAACAAATTCTTAAAATAAATTTTTCAAAAATATTTTTAAAATAATTTATGAAAGATAATAGTTTTTCAATTATACATATAGAATTGAAAAATTTCCAAACAATTGCAATTTCGTAAATTCAATTAAAAAAATAATTGAATTTTTAAAGAATTTTAATTATTAATATAAACGCGATCTCTCCAAAATTTTAATAAATCTAAAAAAGTCATATGTCGTTAAAATGTTAAAAATAATTGTAAAAAATTTTAATGTTAGGTATTATTTTTTGTACGTATTTGAATTTTTGGAAATTTGTATTTGAAAATATTGAAAATAATTGAATTTTAAAGAATTACAATGCAAAAATTCTAAGAATTTTAATATTTTTATCAAAATTATTTTAATATAATTTTATTGTAAATCTAAAAAATTTATTTAGTATTTAATATTTATAAAAAAAGTTGAATTATTTCGAAGAAATTATTAAAATTTTAGGAAATAATTGAATTTTATGGAAATATTTGAATTCTTCCGAGAAATTCAATTAAAGATGTTTTGAAAATAATTGAAATCCTGCAAAGAATTTTACTATTTTTAAAAATAATTGAATTCTTGCGAAGAATTTTACCACTTATAAAAATAATTGAATTGTTTCGAAGGATTTATTAGGATTTTAGAAAATAATTGAATTTATTTGAAATATATTAAAAATTGCTTTAAAAATTAAATTCTTCCGAAGAATTTAATTTCAATTATTTTCAAAATTTGCAATTAAAATTCTTTTATAGTTTATTTTCAAAAATTTTTTAAAAACACTTTGAAAAAAATCAATTATTTTCAATTAAATTTTACAAAATTTCAATTATTGAAACTCTTTTTTATTGTAAGTTTTGAAAATTTATTTAGTAATTTATAAAAATAGTTGAATTGTTTCAAAGAAATTATTAAAAATTTTATGAAATAATTGAGTCTTATGGAAATATTTGAATTCTTCCGAGAAATTCAATTAAATATATTTTGAAAATAATTGAATTCCTGCAAAGAATTTTACTACATATTTATAAAAATAATTGAATATTTTGATTCAATGCGAATGATTTTGCCATTTATAAAAATAATTGAATTTATTCGAAATATATATTAAAAATTGTTTTAAAAATTAAATTCTTCCGAGGAATTTAATTTCAATTATTTTCAAAATTTTCAATTAAAATTCTTCAAATATTGATTTTCAAAAATTTTTAAAAACCACTTTGAAAAAAATCAATTATTTTGAATTAAATTTTACAAAATTTCAATTATTGAAACTCTTTTTTATTGTATATTTTGAAAATTTATTTAGTAATTTATAAAAATAGTTGAATTGTTTCGAAGAAATTATTTAAATTTTAGGAAATAATAATTGAATTTTATGGAAATATTTGAAAATATTTGAATTCTTTCGAGAAATTCAATTAAAGATATTTTGAAAAGAATTGAATTCCTGCAAAGAATTTTACTATTTATAAAAATAATTGAATTCTTGCGAAGAATTTTACCATTTATAAAAATAATTGAATTGTTTCGAAGGATTTATTAAGATTTTAGAAAATAATTGAATTTATTTGAAATATATTAAAAATTGTTTTAAAAATTAAATTCTTCCGAGGAATTTAATTTAAATTATTTTCAAAATTTGCAATTAAAATTCTTCAAATGTTGATTTTTAAAAATTTGTATCAAACACTTGGAAAAAAAATCAATTATTTTCAATTAAATTTTACAAAATTGCAATATTTATTGAAACTCTTTTTAATTGTAAATTTCGAAAATTTATACATTGGGTATACTTTTGTAGCATGGTTCGGTCAACAATTCGTTTAAAAAAAGTTTATGTGTAATAATTAATTTTATCAATTACATCATCTTCCCTCTTTCTTAAGTCAGATTGAACCTCTTCGAGTTCCTCTTGTCCCTCGTTTGGCGACATATAATAACTGTCTCGGAGCATTTTTAGGCCAAACAAAGCAAATAGAGCTGTGGATATGTAATACGTGTAGGCGCGGGGGATTATTGTTGCCGCATATCCAAATACCACTGTTAAATAAAAATTACTATTTTCAGAATAACAAAATTTATTAAATTATTCTAAAAAGTGGAATTATAAAGAATCTACAAGAAGCGTTCTTTCATTACATTTTCTTTCTTTCTTTCTTTCTTTACTTACATAGACGGAAAAAAACTAAATCTAGATCGGCGCTTTAAGACAAAAAAAAAATTTTTCAAACTCCACGAAATTATAATAAAAAATAAAAAAATATATTCAAAAGAATATATAAACGAAAATTGAAACTAATAAAACCATCTGACTGTGAAATTATTACAAAAACTAATAAAAAAAGTTTTTTGTTTTTATTCGAGTAACCGAAGACTGCAATTACCTTCTTTCAGAAATAATTTATCTAACTACAGAAATTATTGAAAAAAGAAGTATAAAACTAGTAAAATGTACACTTATTATACAAAATATCAATATCGTTTCTAACTTAATTTGACTCTTCTTATTTTTAAAAAATATTTCAAACACATTTTAAAAAAATACATAAATGTAAATTTAAAATTGTTTATTAATTTTTTTGTCTACCAATATTATTTTTATAGCTCTGTGAGTAAGTCTTCTTAGTAAGTCTTTAAAAGCAATTCAAATCGTCTTCAATTTAACAATTTTCGTTTTTTTTTTTAGTAAATCATCATTAAAGGTGATTTAAATATACATTCTAAAGAATTGTGTTTTCTAATTAACTTCGAAGAATTATTAACAGAACTTTGTATTATAAAAACTGAACCTTGAAATACGAGACTAATTTATGTGTGTGTAAAAATTATGCGATAGAGCAACTATGTTATTAGCTTTAAATAGAAGATAGTTAATTATGGAATTTATTATTATCGGACAAAAGTGAAAGATAAAAAATTCATTATACCCCATAAACATTTTACTTTATACGCTAATTTATATTTCCTTTTTCAATGTAAAATTATTGTTAACTCGAGTGTAAGAAAATTTAATTGCAAATCTAAATTATTATTATTATTATTAATTATTATTATTATTATTATTATTAATTATTTTTATTATTATTATTATTATTATTATTATTATTATTATTATTATTATTATTATTATTATTAATTAATTATTACTTTAACAAATTTTTAATGAATAAAAATATTTTTTTTCTAATAAGAATTTTTTAATCACTTCATTTTGGTTTCTATTTTCGGGAAAAGATTAAATTTTTCACCTAATTTTGACGGAAAAAAATTACTATGAACCCTGCTAGACATATGAAGTAGAATAAAAATATTGTAAAATGATAATAATTAGACTATTATTACTTAGACGGAAACAATTTGTAATTTACTTTATCTGGCGATTGCAATTGCTATCTGATTTGTTCCATATTCCAGAAGGAAAAAAAAATTAAAACTCAGGTGAAATTTTCTCAAACAATATCAACAATGAAGAAAACTTAATGAGGAAAAAATTATATATATGAATTTACATTTTGTTTAATTCATTTAGTTCTGAAACCAATAAAATTAATTTAATGAATGTGCCCTGAAAAAAAATTAAATTTTCTTAAAATTTCAAAGTTTGTGAAAGATCTCTAAAAATAAACCTCTGTACTTTATATTTTGTTTTCTGATACATTGAATTCAAATTATTTTGAAATTATTTTTCATAAATAATAAAATTTTTCATAGAAATTCAATTTTTTAAAAAGAAAATTAATAAAATTCGTCGTAGAAATTAAATTACTTTGCAAAATTTTGATGAAATTACTTATGAGAATTGAATTATTTTCATAAAATTAATAAAATTATTAGCAGGAACTTTGATTATTTTAAAAAAATTGTAATAGAATTATTCGCAGAAATTTTATTATTATGAAAATTTTTAATAAAATTCTTTATAAAAGAAATGTAATTAAATACTTTGAAGAAATTGATTAATTTATTCATTTGCGAAAAAAAAATTCTTTAAAATTGAATTTTTTTCATAATTATAATAAAATGCTTCGCATAAATTGAAATATTTAAAAAAAAATTTTATTAAATATTCTTTATTCAAATTTAAATAATTTTGCCCAATTTAAAAACTAATTATTTATTACAAAATAAAGTAAATTAAAAAAATTGCTTCAAAATTCAAAGAAAATACAGATTTTAGGGGAAAATGTAAACATATTTTTTTTAGTTTAATTTCGGACAGTTATTTTATCAAATTGCTTTACAAATTGCTATAATTTAAAGCTTATTTAGTTTAGAACATTTATTAAACATTAATTTAAAAAATTTTATCACATTAAATAAATTCTAAATTGTGCGATACTTTTATTTTGTCTTCTACATTAAAAAAAAATGTTAAGTAAAAAAAAAGAAACATTTTATTTATTTATTTTGATTTCTTCGATTCAATAACTGAATTTTCGTTTTAAAATATTTTTTTAATTACTTTCACAGTCAATCCAAACATTTTAATCTCTAATGTCAAAATTATTAAAAATTATTGTACGGAATGCACTTCTCCCAAATCAATTTTCCCGAAAAAAAAAACAATCTTTTTAGCCATGTCTCCAAATAAATTTTTTCGAAAAAAGTTTTTTGAAAATTTTTGAACGAAAATAAATAAAGTGTCAGATTTAACTCAAATTAAATAAATAAACAATTGTAACCGTCTATTTTTATTTCTAAAGATATTAAGGTAGAATATTTTTAAAAATTTTAATAAAAAAATTCGTAAAATTAACTATTTAAAAATATTTCTTAATCATTTTTGAAAGACAATAGTTTTACAATAACATAAAAAAATGTCAAAGAAATTGAAATTTGGTAAAATATTTTAAAAAATAATTTAAATGTAGTAAAATCTTTGAGAAATAATTGAAAATTTGATAAAATCTTTGAGAAATAATTTAGTTTTTAAAAAATATAAAAAAAAATAATCAAATTTTTGAAGAATTTTAATTAAATAAATAATTTCTCAAAAATTCTAAAATAGTAAATTTTTAAAAATTTTAATTTACTTTGTTCGAAGGTAATTGAATCTTAAAAAATTATGTTAAAACAATTCTAAGAATTAGTTTTTTTTTTTATAAATATTGTAATGTAGTTTTTCGAAAATAATTAAAGAATTTTTGTATAAGTAATTTAAAAAAAAATTTTTTTTGAAGAATTTTAATTAAAAATTTTAAATATGATTATTTTTTCCAAAAATGTTAAAAATAATTCTAAAAAATTTTAATGCTGTTATTTTGTGTATGTATTTGAATTTTTGGAAATTTGTATTTGAAAATATTGAAAATAATTGAATTTTAAAAAATTAGAAAAAAATAATTCAGAGAATTACTTTTTTCTCAAAAGTATTTTAATATTATTTTTAAAACACAATTTTTATTTTTATTGAATTTACACTAAAAAAAAAAAAAAAAAAATTTAAAAGAAAAATTAAAAATTTTTGAGAATATTCAATTATTTCCAAAATTTTCAATTAAAATTTTTTTAAAGGTTAATTTTCAAAAATTGTAGTAATAAAATACTTGAAAAAATGATTTATTTTTTATTTATAGGCTTTATATTTCGTTTACTGCTCTAAATAAATATTTGTAGAACAAAAAAAAAAATGAAAATAATAAAAATTTCATAAAAATATAATGGAAGAAGAGGAGAAAAAAATTTAAAAACTATAAATAAAAGGATAAGTTAATAAGATATGTGAATAAGTTTTTAAACTAATAACTGGTTTTAATTTTCTAAAAAAAGAAAATATTTGTTACCTGAAAGTATAGTCATAAGAGCGAGTGCTCCAATGGCTCCGGTGAAAACGGTAAGTCGAGGATATTTCATTGCCATAATTGCGGCAATGAAAAATGTTTTATCTCCCAATTCGGAGACAACAATAACCGAAAGGGAAGCAACGAAGGCATGAAGAAAGCCCAGGTTTCCCTGGGCTTCCTGCCCTAAATTCGCTGTCGCCTTCTGAAAATTAAAATTTATAATTTACTTCTTTTTCTACTCATTTTCTTTAAAAACATGAATTCTTTGAAAAGTAACAAGTTATATTTAAATCTATCAAAATACTTTTGATCCTTTTGATATTATTACTTAATAATTTTTTTATTTTTTATTTAAATAAAATTTTATTAAATTTTTAACTGTTTTACAATTTTTCTGTTTTTCAAAAAGTTAATTTTTTTAAAATTGAAATTGAAAATCTACACGACTAATATTTTTCGGAATCATGAAAAAAGTTAAAAAAAAATTGTCAATGAAAAATATTTATAATTACGAGAAAGGTTCAAATTTTTTTTTTAAATTACTAAATTAGGGATCCCGATCGAATAACCGGTTATAATTTTTTAAGAAACAAATTCCTCCCCTTCTTAATTAAAAAAGGATTAAAATTTTTTTATTTTTTGTAAGCATTTCCTATTTTTTATAAAAATTACAAAAAAGATCCTCCAAAAAATGTGATTTAAAATTTTTAATTTTTTTGATTTATTTGACAATGATTTTTAGCTGAGAATAAATTATGAACAGTTCTTCTATCGGGACTTTCAATAACAAATTTTTTTTTTTTTTTTTAATAATAAATATATTATTAATTCATATTAAATAATTAACTGATTTTGAATTTTTTAAAGTATATTATGATTATAAATTATTCAAAATTAGGAGAAACAAATTGTCCTTCTGTAAAGAATAAAAATTTGATTTGTAATTCCTAATTATTTATTTAATGAACTTTAATCAGTGTAAGTTATATATATTTTTATGAAGAAATTTTTTAAAGATATAAAATATTTAGAATGTCCCCGAGATATGATAAGAGGTTAATATATATATATTATATATCTTTAAAAATTGAGTTAATTCGCAAATTTAAGTTTCAATGTCGTCAGATTAAATAATTTAATGAAAAATAAAAAAAATTTACTTTTTGAATACAAAATAATTAAAGTTAATTTTTTTTAAACTCGAAATTTAAAAAACAAGTAAAGTTATTTTTTTAAACTCGAAATTTAAAAATAAAAATTTGAATTTCTCTCGCAATTTTGATTATTTTTAATGCCAATTTTTTTATTCGCTTTTATTCATGATTTTTGAAATGATTTTGAAAAATCAAACTTATAAAGTTTAAAAATTTTCGTAATTTAAAAAATTTTGTTTTGAAAAATAGAATTTCGATTTTCGAAAATTGTTAAAAATAATTTTTTTAAAAATTTAATAATAAAGAATAAATTTAAATCCTAATTAATGCAAAAAGAAAATTGCCGCACACCTTGATAAAAATTAAATATTAAAATTTCACCGATCTCTTCACTTTTATTAAAAATATTTTATTTACAGTTATATCGTAATTTTTTTAAAAAAAATTATTCTACCAGAATATTTTTTATTTTACAAACTTTAAAAGTTTTTTTTTTTTTTTTGAATAAAACAAAAATTTTGCAATACTAAAATTCTAAATATTTGATTACATAATTCTGCAACTACAAAAACAATGGAAATTGCTTATTTGAAATTAAAAATTAGCAACAAATAATAATGATGTTTATGCCTTATCCTTTATTTACATTCGGCACATGTTTATTTTTGAAGCAAAAAAGAATATTGTGATGATAACAAGGAGATTTTGCTTGTGTTTTTTCTTTAAATAAAAATTTTAAACGTGAAAATATGTTATCAATTAATAACCTATTAAAAATTCCTCTTATTTACACTTGATTTAATTTAAAAAAGTTTTAAATGTCAATGATACAATTAAGGAATTTCACTCTATTGACTCTATTATAATTAAAATAAACATTGTTACTTTTAGCAGAATCAATGTAAACAATTTATGTGGAATTTATTATTATTTTGGGAAAAAAATACTTACCATCGATGTGGTGAATGAATTTTGAAATCCTCCCACATTAAGGGATAATTTTTCAGCTGCTGTTGCACTACTCATTAAACGATTCATCAGTTAGAAATAAGGCAAATCAACAGCAAAATAAAAACAGCCATGCAACAACTGACGTATTCAATCAAGCACTCTATAGTGTCATTTTAAAAATCACCAGATAATAATGGTGATTCTACAGTAAGTTTTTCACTGTTAGGGTCTATCCACATTACAACAGTTCAATTTACAGTTACGTTCGCAGAGGAGATGCACGCGCATCATCTATTGACAATTGTAAAAATTGTTTATTAATTAATTTTATATTCTTAATTGTAATTAATTATATAATAATAACAACATTATGTCACGTCCCAACTTCGATAATAGGGATTTTTGATTATTAAAAATGATGGGGATTTTATGCTGCTAGAACACTAAAGTGTACCCTGTAAATAGGAGGGAGATTCAACTTCTACTTCAAATGATAACAACAGAAATACTTTTAACTTGTCACTTTAATGAACATTAAGGGAAAAAGGTTACAAATTTGAGCCGAAGGATTACAACATGTAATCGGTCTGAGTGCTCGGAGATATCTGTCGAGATGAGATCCTGTGGTCCATGGGTCCCCATAGGACCCTGCGCGCGTTGAGTAGAGGGGATGACTACCCCTTCCTTTGAACTTCCCTGTGACCAATACAACCCTGACGGAGTGTTATTTTACAAGTTATTTACACATTCATACTATTTATTCATTATTTAAATTTAACATTAACAATATATGAAGTTAATTAATATTTGTTTCGTTAATTATCAAATATATAATAATCGGTTTCAGTTAAATTCATTCGGAGTATTATAATTACATTTTGCTTCTGTATATTTAATTACCATAGAATTATGGTAACTTTGAATTACTAATAAGATATTACAATAAACGTAGATAATTTGTTATTATTTATTATTATTATTATTATTGTTATTTAATTAATCAATAAATTAATTAATAAATTCTGTACATGTGGTTATAACTTTTATCATTAATTAAGAGTATCTAATTATTTAACTAGTAATGAAATGATAAACAGTAATCAATTTATAATCGTTGTTTTATAAAATTGTTAATGACATACATAGAATTAAAGATATGAAATTCATATCAAATTTGAATATTGTAATTAAATAGAAAACTCATTTCTTTTTCTTATATACGAACGATGAGTCATAGGTTTTTCCTGACGGTACAATACCCTTTTTTTTTATACCGGGGACTCGAGTAAGGCCCGAGTCCCACGGTCCCTTTTTTTATTGCTACCACATGTTTGGGTTTTCCCAACGGTTTCGAAGTTCGGAAAGATGTATTTCTCAAAAGGCTATTTTTTTATAGAAATAAACTCTATTTCTTTTCAATTCTAATTTTTTTGTGTCCTACGTGACATTTGCCTCATTTTCGCAGACTATTTCAACATCTGTAATTTTAACTATTATTCCTTTTCAAAAAGCAGCACATGTTTGGTTGCCATTCTATTTCGTTCTTTAGATTTTTTGCATGTGATAAAATTCTTTACGGGAATAAGCAAATAAATGCATGTGTTTTTATTTTACATTAAAATTCAATTATTATATTGATATTAATTTTGAATCTTAGCGCTATTACCTAGTTTCTTCCGTACGAAGAGTTACGTAGTGTTTTTCCCTAGCGGAGAATTACGTGAATTTAGGCCTGCCGTCACACCTCCCGCCTTACTAAAAAAAATTGTTTACGTAGTAACAATTTTTTCGTTTGTTTTCAGTTTTTAGAATTTAAACAATGTAAATAAATCCATCTCAAGTTGAAATTGGATTGCTTAAAAGTTGACACAATGAAGTGTTAAATCATTGTATTATATGTTACTGATTTTAAAATGCATTTCTTTTTCAAAATAATGCTGTGACAGTGTATTTCATTATTTTAAGGTTATGTTTCATTATAAGTTCTATATACCCTATATACATAGGTTCTACAAGTCAGCGTCCTATATAATGGACAGTGTAATTTTAAAAGCAAATACTACTAATTAAGACCAATATCGGAATTTACTACATAGTGTAACGAAACTTGTCAGATAAGTATATTAATTTTAATAATTTGTGAAAAATTTGTAGGTTTTCTTAGATAAGATTTTTCTTTGTTAAAATATTTATGTTTCAGGTGCTGAATTAATATGTTAACTTGAATGATCTTATATATATATATCTTATATTTGTTTTATTACTAAGGAAAAATAATTTATGGTACGTATGTTATTTAATGACTATGTTGTTTTTAAACTTTACTTTTATTCCAAGTATTTGTTAATTTTTATTGTAATACGGTTAATGTTATTTAAACATTTTAATAATGTTTAAATGACCTTTTTTTTTTTTTTTTTTTTTTTATTTTGTTTATTTATTTATTTTTTTCTTACCATGATACATTTAATTATTTCAATGTGCTAATCTTAATTTATCTAAATGAACGATCTTACTTTTACCCGTTTTTTCGTTAATAATTTTTGCGTTAAGGGAACCTAGGATTTTTTCTATTTTATATGGTCCCTCGAAAAACGAATCGAATTTTTTGTCGTTTCTAACATTGATTTTTAGGTTAACAATATTCCCTTCTTGAAAATCTACATTACTTATTCTTCGATCGTAATAAAGTTTTGTCTTTCTTTTAGCTTCTTCGATCCTATCTCGTGCAAGAGCTTGAGTGTTGTCAAGTTTGTGAAAAAGATCTTGGAGATATTGAATGTACGTTGGATCGGGAGAGGCTGTGGCAAAACTCGATGGGATGGTAGCTTCCCTACCAAAAACTAATGTGTAAGGTGCGAAACCTGTAGATTCATGGACCTGAGTATTATAGGAAAAAATGGCGAACCGGAGCCATTCATCCCAATTTTGGCCATTTCCAAACTGACGGAGGTACTCGACAAGTGTCTGATGGCTTCGCTCCAATGACCCGAGTGATTGAGGGTGATATGCAGTCGATTGGATTTTTTCAATTCCGAAAATTTTACAGAAGGTCAAAATGATCTTACTAGTGAAATTTCGGCCTTGATCGGTATGTATAACCGTGGGACAACCATATCTTGAAATGAATTGTTCTGCCAGTGCGTGAGCGACAGTTACAGAGTCAATTTTTTTCAAAGGTAAAGCATCAGAATATTTTGAGAAATTACATTGAATAGTGAGAATATACCGATTTTCGCGCGGGGTTACGGGCAATGGCCCCACGATGTCAATTTGAATTTTTTCGAATGGTTGTTTTGGGGTGTCGGTGATTCTCATGGGTTGCTTCATACTTGTACGAATAATTTTATTGCGTTGGCAATTCTTACATTTTTTAATAAACCCTTGTATTTCGACTTTCATTCCCGGCCAGTAATAAATTGATCTAATTCGCCAATATGTTTTAGAAACACCTTTATGCCCGCCTGTGGTGGATTCATGAAATTCTTTTATTATTTTTTCCCTATCACTAATCTGAGGGGTAATTATCTCCCCAGAGCAGACAATTAATCTCAATTTCGTACCAGAAAAATGTTGGAGAAATAATTTCTCTACAGATGTCCAGGATACATCGCCTAAATTATTTCCCTTATTAGAAATTCTAGCAACTTCAACATTTAGTGAAATCATGGCGTTTTTAAGTGCCAAGATCGATTTTGAAAGCACATTCAAGTAAACTTTTTCTGTTGAACTATTTTTCACTATAACATGAAAAATGTATCGATTATTTTGGGCGAATACGATTACTTCACCAAGATTTAAAACTTCATTTTTCAATGTTTCAGGCTGCAAAATTTTACTTTTTATCAATTCACGACTTATTTGCGAATCTAAATTTCCATCACATGCCAAAAAATGGATCACGTGGCTTTTACCCATTGACATAAGGTCCTTGCTGTACGAAAGACCAGCATTTGTAATTACCATTAAGGGTTTAGATTTTTGCAAAAGGTCTCTAATTTCTCTTTCTTGACTTTCCCATGAATTATTTACACTGGTTCCACTACCTTGATCAGGGGTAGCTTTCCCATTGATTGTACAAATACTCAATACTTGAGCCTTATCTTTCTCCCACGTACGGTTAACTTCTCCATTAAGATCGGCACTGTGACTTGAATTGAGCTTAATCCCGACGAGATCGCCAGATTGTAAAAGAACTCGGACAAGATGATTTTCACACCGAGGTGTGTAAACATCACGTCCCCAAGAACAAGTTTGTTCCCATAATTGATACCACAAATTTTCATTTAAGGTGTCAATCTGTTCGTGAACATCCTTGTTTACGGCAACTCCTTCAGGTTTTACACCACGCTCAGATACCTCATGAAGGTTTACGCCAGCCGTGCTTGCCACAGTGCATTTTGCAACAACGTGATTTAAGACTACTTCCGGAAGGTTTGTGCCACTCAATGGAACGTCACCGTCGTGTAGAAAACAAGATTTCATGAGAAAGCAAGATTCAACAAGTTTTTCAGCAACAATTGAAAATTCATCAGAGATAGAATCTTTCAAGACATTAATTTTGTGCACATTTTCATTTGCAACATCGTACGGATTTCTAGAAAGAGCGTCCGCGTTTGCGTTAATGGCACCTGGTTTATATTTAATATCGTAATCGTACTCGCTCAATTTTATTTTCCATCGCGCTAAGCGGGAAACAGGATCTTTAAGGTTATGTAACCATACGAGAGGTCGATGATCTGTAACAAGAGTGAACTTTCTCCCATACAGGTAAGGTCGAAAAGTTTTTACGCAGAAAACAATGGCTAACAGTTCTTTCTCTATCGTCGAGTAATTTATTTCCGCTTGTTGCAGTGTTCTCGAGGCAAAAGCAATTGGAAGATCCTGACCAATGGGACCTTGGCTGAGCACTCCGCCCAGTGCGTACTGTGAAGCGTCCGTCGTGAGGACAAAAGGTTTCGAGAAATCTGGGTACTGTAAAATGGGTTGAGAAGATATTGTGTCACGAAGCTGTTCAAAAGCAGATTTTTGTAACTCGTTCCATTGAAAAGGGATATCCTTTTTCAGGAGGTAAGTGAGAGGCTTAGCAATTCGAGCAAACTGTGGGATAAATCTGCGATAATATCCTACAAGCCCTAGAAATTGTTTAATGTTCTTTTTGTTTTTA